CGCGCCAATGCAGTGAATCCTTGCCAGCTTTCTGGGACTGGTTAATGGTGTTCGTGCGCTGTGGTGTGGAGCTACGACTGCCTGGAGCAGAGACCCAAGAGGATGTTGTATTGATGTGTGGCACGGCATTGGCCTCCTTCGCGGCAACATCGCATTCTCTCTCGTCCGATCATGGAAATGCACAGCGCTTGGGAATTCTTGTTCCATCAGCTGGACCTTTTGACTCGGGGCGCTTCAAACGATTCAAGGAATGAATATATCATGGCTGTCGGAGCTTTGCGTGTCCTTTGCTATGCGGATTTGCCTCCTGTCGACGTCGGTCAGCTCCGACATTTTACGACCGCTGAACTAGCGCAAATATCTCTGGGTTGCGTCGAAGTGCCCTTTCGTTTGGCATTCACCGACCCTTTTCAACTTTACGCTTTGCTTCTTGCAACCTTTCGCCTGCTGGATGTTATGGTACAAGCTCATCCCGACGACACATATGTGGATGCCCTGGTTGACGCTGGTGCTTATGCCCTGTTGAGTTCAGTCATGGAGAGAGTGTGTGCCTATGAGCGCTGCGAGTGGCGACAGAAAATACCCTTATTGGACACTTTGATGAGCGCGTTTCTCAGGATCGTTAATGCAAGAACTCATCAAGGTCTATGGGCTTCAGCAATTGAAAGCGGCGTTATTGAATCCTGCTTGCTTATCCTGCGAAACGGTATTAGTGCCCGGTCGGCGGCACGACTAGTTGATTTTCTATTACTGGGTATTGGGCCTTCTCTTTGGCATATTGGCGTTGTTGAAGCACTCAGTACACGGTCACGGGGTATTCGCGACGCCCTGGAGGTTCTTAATCTGGACAGGAGTGTCATGGCGGCTTTATTCAACTTCCATGCAATCATTGACCGGCACACTCGCCTTTACCGTGCTATAGTGGCAGTGCATGTTCCAGTTTTAAGAATGTGTGACGGGGTTTGCGGTATGACTTTCCGAGTAGAACGTCGGTGCTGATTTGCTTGTAGTGTGGTTCCATACGCCCTCGGAATGAAATCCGCCGTTGTGCAGGGTGTAAGACCGCTTACTTTTGCGCAAGACCTTGCCAGCGTCAGGCATGGTCAATTCATCGGAGAACATGCGAAATCTTAGGAAGGACCGTTATGCGTGTGTAAACTCTCATTCAAATGACTCATAATGTTGACATAGCTGCAGGACTGCGCTCAGGAAATGTAGATCGAGCTCAGCAAGAGTTTATTCGGCGCATTGTGACCCACTACTTCAAGGTCATGTTTACGGACATCCGCCGTCAAATGTTGGATTTCTGGCAAAACCGTCCTACAATGAATCCAGTACTAGTTTTTCGCTTGGACCTCCGTCCAATCGCAGTGGACTGCGTAGATCTGCACGGTTGCCGTGAATACGGGGCAATGCTTGAGTGGGGCTCCGGTGATCCCTTCACTCAACTTGATTTGCACAGCGGCCGGATGACGCCGGATCTTGTGGTGGTGCATTTGGGCACTCGGTGCGTTGCTTGGTTCATCATGCGTTGCTCCACTGTCAGTATGAACGAGCACTGGTGGACTAGCAACGGAACCGCCCCGCCAGATGTCTTTCATGCGTAGCGCGTCAGTTGCAAAATTGGGAGGCGTGGAACCTGCATTCTTTGGCAAGACTGAGGTCATAGACACAATTTACCATGTTCAATTTGTACAGAGTCTCACAATCACATCTCATCCATTTACCTTGACTCTGAGTCTGAATATCAATTTCTGTACGACACCCATAGCAGAATTGAGGCCAATAGCAATTGGTTGATGCAATGTGACACATGTGACTGCTGATTACTTGCTACTTAGCATCACCGTCTGCGACTTCGTATGTTCCCCAATAACTTGCGAAAATGACTGGCTCTTCACAACACCATACCATAGCGAGTCACCGTCGAAGGCTTCAGAGGGAATTGTGCGTCGTTGTTAACGATGCATCGGAGAGGAGTCATTGTCTTTTTGCATTCTTCCGAGGGAGACGCGATGTGTGAGTCGCAGCACTCTCGTTTCCACATCTTTGATACTTGGTTAGCATACGCATAGAACGACACAATTTCTGGTTACCTTTCTCTGGGAAGCACTCGAAGGATTAGAGGCCCACGTAGCCTTTTATGTTCTTGGATGTCTAGTCTTTGTAGCGGCAGCCAAGGCGTCCAATCTAGCGTCTTCCTCTCTCAACTGTTCGGATGGATGAGTGGTGAATAATTTGGGGTCAAAACCTCTCAGAATGCGGATGGTCTCCCGACCGTGACTCCTTGACAACGCAACGTACGCATTGAAAGCCGTCAACCTGCCAGATGGTGGGTTGCCTAAGTCAATGACGACATACGGTATCGTTTGGCCTTGGGACTTGTAATCGGTAAATGAATACCCTGGGGTCACAGCATATTGTTTGCGTCCAATGGTTTCAAGATCATGCACCGTGCGGACATCAAACTTTGCAACAGAAGGAACAATCGGTATGATTCCTGGTGGTAACCCTTCGAACGGCGGGAATGCGGTGTGGTAGGGCTTAAACAGCAGGACAGCTGGTGGGTAGTGCAGAATGGTTTCGTGCGAGGCAGGGTCTTCTCTCAACGGCATTGATTCTCTGGGATCTAGAACAAGATCCACAATGACACCCCGGGTTCCATTTGCCAGTTCAGCCTCCGTGGATATGTTCCACAAGACCATAGCCTCCATTCCAATCGCGATTTCAATAACATCTGGAAGTCTGCTCGATTTTTTGGTATCAACACTTGCGACGGCGAGTCTTTGCCAAGCATCCAAGTTAGCCTTTGTCTTGGCAACGAAATCTTCGCTCCGGCATTGATAAACGCGATTCCCGGTGGTCATCATGTGCTTTCTCAGTGAGTGCGTGTTCCACAGCATTCTTGTGCTATGTCTTGGTGTTACCAGAACTGATTTCGCCCAAGGGTCCTTATCCCATTCGACTGAAATGGTATCAGGGTCATCGACCAATAAATGGTTTAAAATTTCAAGGTCGTCCTTGGTGCATTCTCCAACGCGCAGTCTCTTAAGTAACGCCATCCAGGATGCATCCGTTACTCTTCTTTGTTCGGTCAGCGTGACGACCGTGTCGAATTGCAAGTACAAACTCAATCCTTCAGGGGAGACGTTTGGGGAGTCCTTCAATGCATAAAACAACGCTTCTCTTGGATTACCAACTGGTGGGAATTGGTGCAAGTCCCCGACCAGAATGACATTGACCAAGCCAAAGGGGTCAGTTGGTTCTGCTTCGTGCGCCTCTTTCTTAACGATAGCCATGATTTGCGACAGTAGATGCAAGAGCCGTTTTGTGAGCATGGAATACTCGTCAATCACAAGATATTTGACAGGTCGGATGTTCTTGGTGCGTTTATCTTGAGTGGGTTTGGCCCCCCTAACGCTTGTGTCGCTTATTGAAATGCCCGCCCAGTTATGAATAGTTTGACCTGCAAATAAGCTAGCGGCCACACCGGTTGTTGCAGTCATCGCAAGCATATGTCGCACTCCTTGGTCTTCGAAGGATTGAGCAATGGCTTTCAGTACAACGGTCTTTCCCGTTCCTCCTTCCCCCTGGATGATCATCAAAAGTTGACGAGGCTTTGCTCCTGACAGCGTTTGGCGCAGGTGATCCACGACGATGTTGTGAGCGCGAGATTGCTCTGTATTAAGGGTCGGGCCAGCGGAAACGTTGCGATCGGGAGTTATGTCGGTGACAGAGCCTTTGTCCAATGCAAGCATCGAAGTCAAGCCTCTTCCCTCTCGTCCACCATTTCCTAAAATTTGAATGCGACCCAGGTCTGTACCACCAACATCTAGTGTGGTTTCCTCAACAAATTGTGGGCTTTTCGTATATGCGGCAATTTTTTTGCCCCAGGCATGAAACTTCGCCATATCATCTATCGTGGCTTGCTTGGCAGGTGGTAGGAGGCTGCGAAAACTTTTATATTCGTGAGCAAAGATGCCTTGACCAAACGCGATGTCTACAGCTTGTTGTCCGAACATGCGTTCTCGCAAGCCCCGGCGATTTTCGCGAGCGTATGCTATTTCCTCCTCACTTGGCTCTTTAGATGCTGATGTTGTAGGCAGCACGCCAACCATTGCGTCATGATCAACATTGGTCTTCTTCTCTTTGACCACGCTTTGTTGTTCGGTTTCTCCTCGTCTTCGAGATGCTTGTGTACATTCATGGAAATATTGGATATTGGTGATAATTCTCAATTGTTCAGGGGTAGCTTGCTGTTGAAATAGTTGAAATGCAGTGCAAAAGGAAGTTTGCCCGTTGGCAAGGTCATGCAGACTACGCCACGGTTGAAATAGCAACAGCATCTGAGCACAGTAATATTCCCCTGCAGCGCCTGTTAGCTCTTGTTTGGGAAACCATTGTCCAATGAAATGGAGGTTGATCTCTTGACCTTTGCCTCTCAGCACACGACAGTGACCTTCCCTTTTGGTGCCGTTACGATATGGCACTCGGGTGCTGCGAGGTCGACCGCGCTTACGAGGAGCGACGGGTATATCAGAGGAAACAAGGGTTGTGTGTTCTGGTAAGACTTGTGCGCACGTATCTTCCGACTCAGCATCCACCTCCATTGCATCGGCAGTGGGGTCATTTTCCTGAGCCACATCGTTGAGGATCATCTTGCCATCGTACGTAAGCGTGAAATAGTCATAAAAATTCATGTTTGCAAGAGCATCGCCGCGGTCTTTCATACTCTTTCAGTTGGTCTTTCAACACTATAACACCATCTGAGTCCCGTGTAAGGGAAATCCTCCCTCCCTAGGTTGATAAGTGAATGGCTTCCGACAAGCTATAAACAAAGTTCAACGCACCGTGTAGTCGTCGACATTTTCTGTAGTCATTGTAGAGCGGAATTCATGGTCGTTCCTGTCAGCCTGAGCGTTAATATTGGTGCGGAGTGCTAGACCCGAGTGCATACGTTATGGTGCCAAGGTAGGGGAAAAATCGACGTAATTGTGCAGTTATTCGATCCCAGTAGATTGTGACATAGGTGTGCGAGAGATGAATCGATCTCCCCAGCCCATCAGGTAGCTGACCACCTCGGGGCCGCTGAATTCTTGTTGGCGAGTAAGAACGTTGGAGCAAGACTGTAGAAGGCGTTTGTTTTTGTCCAGATTACGCTTCTGTCGTGCGGATAGCTTTTCTTGAAACTCGAGGGCTTTAGCCATCAACGCAGAGGCATTGGCGGTTTGGATCTGGCGTTTTGCGATGTAAAGCGTGATATAAAAAGTGATATCTTTTGTTTCTGCTCCGTTGGTAATCAACTTGAAGTCGTTATTGGCGCGCGTGACTTGGAGCAACGGAGGGTTCCAGGCGTTGATTTTGGCATAAAGTCGTTTTGGTCCCCAATCTCCTGTTTCAGTAACCCAGTCGTTGTCAGCCGTGCGCCAAGGAGCTCTCCTCTTGCAAACTAGACGTCCATTTTTGACTTTGAGACATCTATTGACATCGCAGTCATGAGTTTGAACAGCACGAGCAATGCGTGATTCAGCCTCCGCTGACCGAGTCTCATAGCCTACGGTACGCGGGTCTACCGGTCTTGAGAAAGAAATGCTGGGTTTTACAGGTAGGGACAACAGCGTTTCGCCAGTTGTGTTGGGGATGTGTGCACGGATATTTTTCGCGATGAAGTTGGCCATCTTCACGCGAAATGATTCGGATAGCAAGGCGTTGCGCATGACGATTGCAGTGGGAGCTCCTCGAAGCCAAAGGAGAAGGTGTAAATGTAGGGATCCTCTTGCTTGGGCTTCTACAGTGCCAATGTATCCGTTCACATAGCCTATGACACCACAAGAGCGTTGAATAGTACCAAGAGTGTTGACTTTGATACCGAACAACTCTTCAAGAATAACTTTCACAAAGAGATGAAAATATTCTGCCGAAGCGAAAGGGTCTGCAGCAATTCGAGTACTGCGAGTGTCGCTGTTTGGGCCCAAACTTGCCACAAAATGGTCCAAATCGATGTCTGCGCCGGCCAAAACTTGGGCAATAGGATCAGCTGTGTCGTTCAGATTGATCGTTGTCCAAATACTCGGCGGATTAAATCTTAGCGTCATACCCCACACTTGCGCACGAATAGCAACACGATTTTCATCTGTGCCCATCACTCTTGCACGGACAGCAGTGATTTGTTTCCGAAAGGCGCGAATCACCGGGTTACTGATGGTTTTTTTGCTTTCCTCCTCTTTACTTGCCACGAGGAAATCCGCAGGAGTCAGTCGCTGAAAAGCTTCCCTATTTTGAAAAAAGGTGTTGAAATCAAGCTGTAAACAGGCTGATCGGCAAATTTGGCGTTTGATTTGCACACCAAAAACTTGGAACATGAAATACAGGTCCCTTCGAAAACGACCGTCATCGTATTGAAGCGCCCATCGGACATGCTCTTCGTAGGATACTTTAGTTCGTCGATCTACTTCTAGGCCTCCTAGACCGTAGGGGAACAGCAGGGGGAAAGTACCCAAAAGGTGATTAGCGTTCGAAGGACCGCCGTCCGTTCTTTGGCCAGCGTCTTCTCGTGGGTATTCGTTTACAAAAGTGCTTCCGGGACGAACTGCATAATCCTTGGCATTTGATGAGGGCGCGAAGTTACGCGTGGCCTCTCGGAACAGATCTTGGTCTGTGACGGCGTCACCAGAAATGTCGATAGCTCCGTGAGATTGCAACGGGAAAACGGCCGGTGCTGATGCCTTGTTAGAGATTAATGGTAGGAGCAAAACCAAGTGACTCACGGCACTCCTCTGTTTCAACCGCGCCATCGTCACGTAAAGCGTCAACTGGCAATAAGTCTGATGTCTGGTCATTCGCAGCAACGCAAGAAAAGGCGAAAATGACCTGTTCTTTGTTGAAAGTCCCGTTCTTCGGCTTCCGCCACATTGTCATCTACGTCGTCGGAAGCATCCATGGGAGCATAACCCGCGTGTTCGCGAAGAGGGATGGATGGGTCTTCAGAACACCTCACAGTTGTCGTGAGTTCTTCAGGAACGTCATTTTCGGGTAGTTCTAGTAAACGTTCTTTGGAAATGTTGATGTTGGCGTACAAGGGGTTGTTAGCTTTGAGCCATACCAGAGCGTTGTGAACTCTGTGGCGTTGAACTTTGAAGAGATCGGGAAGCGACGAGAGTGGGACGTTTTTGGCCCCGACGAATGTGACTGATAACACAGATGCCAATAGGCCAATAGGCCGAGGCATAAGATTTCCTGTCACCATGTCGGCGATAGCGCTAGAATCCAAATGGTAGGTTGAAACGTTGCCTCGTAGGCCGCTTTTCATGTGGTCGGGGTTGGTATCACGGTTGCGTTTTGGAAAAAGTTTGACAATGTATGCCACGGGGAAGTAAAGTCCAACGAGAAGCCGTTCTGGTAGCGTTAAAATCGACAATTCGAAAGGCACTTCGCCGATCCACATGTTGTTGGCGAGAGATAATGGAGGGGTTATGCATATTGCCAACTTTGACCAGCATTGACGACAAATGAAATGAGGAGGCGGGCGTCGAAGCGGTGGGGCGTGGAGTAACATGCCGTTGTATAATTTCTGGGAGGCATGGGGGTGAGTAGGATGTAGGCATTTAGGGTTTGGGATCTTTTCAGGTTCGCAGGTGATGAGTTCCTTCTGAAAAAGTCTTCGAGCACAGACGAAACAGACTCCTTTTTTGATTGCCTCGTTCCCCGTGGCGTCTATTACACTGTGAATTGGTTAGGACGGTAGGGAAAGTGAATATCCCCCACGCACCGAGAAATGCAGTTTCGCACAGTTTCATCGTCAACGCGCTGTAGGAATGGGCCGTTGATGAGTTCCAGTAAGTCGCCGCCATGGACCATTTGTGGGGCATCGATAGGCTTCTCGACTTCCAGTTTTCGACGCTGCGGACGATTTGACGTCGTCGTCGTTGCGCACGCGCTTGGAGCCTCGATTTGTTGTAGCTTGTAAGACTCGTTGAAATAACGCAGGAGGCAAGGTGGAAACATAGTTCAGCAAATTGTCCCGTTTGTGTCTGCAATTACGAGGTGCGGGTTGGATATCTTCCAGCATGAGGATAATTTCTTGGACCGTGTGCGTGCGCAAGGCCTGGGCAACGGCTGTTTGCATGTCAAGCGAGATTAAGAAGCAATTCAAGTAACCAGACCTTGGAATTGCACAGACATTGCGCATACAGGCGCCCGTTTCAGTGTTCTTTGTTGCGGGGGGAAAATGGACGGGCAAAGGCTGGTCACGTTGCCTATCCTTACCAATGAAGCTGTCGATTAATGACGTTGGGATTTACATTTGCAAAGGCACTTACTCATGGGCAATGCAAGAAACTGAAGAGTCAAGTGACATCTTCTCTGTTGATCACGTGTTTGAATACTTCCGACCTGGGGAAAGGTGCCGTTCTCATGAAAATGAGGCATTTCTGGGACAAAGAACGCGATTATTCAAAGGATGTACCTCAGGGTAGTTGCACAGCCCAATGTTGTCTTTCTACATTGTGAACTACGACGTGCCAAGAGTGACGGGCTGGTCTCAAGCAAATATTGAGGTGGGGTTGTTGTTTCTGCTTAACGCACAAAGACATCGCTATATCTCATATGACCCTTCCATCTAGTACATCCACCACTACACATTTCCCGCTTTCTGCGTCCGGAGGGGCGATATAGAATAACTGAGGTGGAAATTGATAATCGAATGCACGCGCTGGTAAGTACTTGACGAGGCGCTTTGCACGGATGACCCAACTCTTTGAGATGGTCAGAAGCTGTCAAGGATGCAAACATAGCGGCGCACCGTTCTCCAGGTTATTAATTCAGCATCAGCAGAGAAATTGGGTACGGTCAGGTTGTAGAGCTCTACCACGCATTCCACGGGAACACCAATATTAAGGTTAGAGTCATTACTAGGCGTCCCATGATTCGATGCAAGAGGATTTAATTCAGTCTAAGCACACCGGAATCAACAACACCATTCGTTGAATGAGTAGCTGAACTCACAATGGTTAAGTGCTTTGCCAAAGTAACCTGGAGAAGGTACTCTTGTGCTTCGGTGATCAATGCCCACCCTTCCGTATGCGCGACTGTCTAAAGCGATGGATAAGCTTTCGTGGAGAGACGTCGAAAGAAAACGCGTCCCTTGCCGATGAGGGTGTTGTCCATCAGCTGTGTGAACGCTTCGTGAAGTAGTTTGTAGCGAGGGCCCATTCCCCCGAGGAAAATATACTGCAGAACACGCTGTGAGTCAAGTCATAAACAAGTGAGTTATTTACTTGAGTGTCGTGGTCTTGATAAACATGTCGAACATTGCCTTTCAAGACAAAGCACGAGGGTCGTCCGTCCAGTACGTTGCAGTAGGTCTTGAGATTATAGCCTGGTCCATCGAAGCAAAGATCGTTCAGCCGTAAAACACCAGGTAAGGGGAAAGGGATGCAACCCATGGCAAAGCGAGACAGTGATTTGAAGGTGATCTCTTTATGCACTCAGCAGACGGCAGATTACGCGTCACGGCGGGTCCGGCAAGTTGGTGGCAGCGTGAAAGGAATTGTTGGGCACCAAAACCGCGACCCTGAACCGGGATTCGGAGCGGTCAAAAGGCAAAATTGTACACGCAGTGATTGCACTGCAATAAAATGGGTGCTGAGTTTTAGAAGGATGTTGGGTCTCGGGGTTGCCAAGTCAATCATAGAGCAGTATTCGTTCAAGGGCAAGTTTTCGTCGACGGTGGACGTTGGATTTGTTAATAAGCAAGGTCACGGTCACGTATCGTGATTGTTATTGAGTGGGGGTCAAGTCTAATTTCTACCAGCAGTTTCTCACTACTACTACAACGCATTCATCGTCATGGTCAGCATCTCCACATCCTTTTCAACTTGAAAAGATTTCAGTATCAATGTTCTACACTGGGAGGATCACCAACCGTCTCCACTTTCCATGGCAAGTTGGAACGCATGGGGTGCACTGAGTTGAACCTTCCTAGTCCACTCGTTTCCAGCGCGGTAGGGGTAACTTCCCTTGAAGATGCGGTCCAACTTCGGAGAGGTGTAGCAAAGCCATCTTTCACCCCACGCCAGCACAATACGTATGACGTCCTCGTCGCAATCGAGCCCTCGAATCTGAAGGAGAAACTGGTCTCGCAACGGCTGAAGATCGTGGTGAAGCGTATGCTGAACAAGTTCCTGCTCGTTGAGGAAACTCGCGGAAAGCAGCTGGAATAAAATCAGTAAGGATGTTTTATGGTCAGGCGGTTTTGAATACCTGAAAGCGGGTTTTGTCAGAGCTATCTTCGACGTTGGGCTCCGCGTTGACTTGTACAAGAAAACTGCGCGACACAAGTCAGTGATGGTGAAGTTTTGTCCGACGAACATACTAATGAGTCTTCAAGAAGTGATTCTGTTGGAGGCCAAGGTTCGCGATATACGTTCCCCAACGACAGATAGGAAAACACCAGCGGTGAAAGAAACTCGTAAACAATTCTGTGTACCGCACTTCCTGTGGTCCCAACGCGGCCCAGGTGCGCCGATGGTGGAGGCATTCTTCACGGTGAGCGTTCCAATGCTTTCTTTGACAATCCCGGTTGCAATAGCGGAGCGACGCGGCAGCCTGTACATTGCTTCGGTGCACGTTGTTTGAGGCAATTGCTGCAGCTGAAAGTGCGGGTGGATGCATGAAGCACCCAGTTTGGATTTGCTGGGCTTGTCGTGTCGGCCATGCTGTGGGTTGGTTTGAAAAAGGGCGGCTGCTTGCTGGCACACCAGGAAGGTGGGTCCTTTTATAGCATTCGGAAATGCGTCACGCAACTCAGTAGCGAGGCTGCTTATAAAACGCGTGCATGTGGATGTCTTTACTCAGGTTGAATGCTGAGGAACACTTAAATCCCGTGTGCGTGAGTGACCTTTGGTCTTGTGGTGCTGAGTAATATCTCGTGCGTCATTCACTCATGCATTCCCGCATAGTCACATGGGCGCGTGGTGCGAATTAGCAACAATGGAGGTCGTCCACATCCTTAGCTCAACATTGGTGTTCTGCGCTAGTAGTTACGAAATCCATTGTTCCATGCTTGGGACCATGCAATGACTTATTGGGTATTGGGCAACATAGATGGTGAATCTTTTTCATTGAAACTTTAGCACAAGGAGTTATTTGGAGACGGGGGAGGTAGGTGCTTTACATGGTCAAGTAACTAAGCAGAGAGAGAACGAGCTCGGTTGTTGCGGAAAGTGTAAGTAGAATCCCAATCGCTAGCACTATCATCCTCTTCGTCTTCAGTTACATCTTCGTCTTCGTCAGACGCATGATAAGAGCCATCGTCGTTGACCTCGGAATCAGTAGCTTCGTCGACGACGTCCATATTGGAGTTATTCTTTTGCACTCGACTTTGAGAGGAGGGACTTGATAAGATGACGCCCTTGTTCGGGATTGAATAGCAACGTGTGACTTGTTCAGCATTCAGAACCCAGGCCTGTTCCTTGTTAACGCGATGGTCGTAGGGGCGTATAGGCAGCTTACCACTGACCAGGCCAAACTGCCATCTTCATACTCCATAACGGCGCGATCTTCATGAAGAATACGAACAACACAGCGCACATCAGCGCCAGGAACCAAAGACACAGCTTCATTATTGCCTGGACCAAACCCTTCGACAAATTGATACTGCAAAAGCGACTAGGATGATGTTAGTGACGATGCGCTGACAAGTTGCACACTTACACGTTGGGTGTCATCTGTGATGCGGACGCGGATGACGGGCTCGTCGCTGTGTCCTCGTTGCGTATTACAGTAGGAATATTCGATAATATTCTGTCAACGAGAGGTTTAAGGCGCGGGGGACAAATGAACGGTAATAACTTGCCTTCTTGTCGTCCGGCATTGATTTGGGAACAAGGTCTTGTAGTTGTTTAACTGCGTTTTGGAACCGAGGCTTGAGAATTGGACCTGTGGGGCATCGCAAGTGAACGAAATCCTGAGAATTGTCAAGGATGATTTTGCAAGAGAAAAGAAGCACTTACACCCCATCTACTTGTCTCTTTACCGACATAGCGACCAGACAGATACACGGTCGCAACTTGGGCTCCGTCAACGTCCAAAAAAACTCTTTGTTCAACATCATAACCCTCGATTTGCTGTCGTGATGCTTTGTTGTGCAAGGCCAAGTTATTGGGCAGAGAGATCAAGAAATCACTTAGGAGCAAGGGAGCGGCCATGTGTGTCAAACCTTTCCCAACAGCCTTTCTGCGCTTTATGTAGTAGGAGTGGAAGCGGTTTCATAATCAGGTCATGTACGCGTGACTGGAAAGTTGAAGGTCAGTCGCGCGATCACGCACTGGATGACCCATTGCGTGTTCCATATTAGCGGCTACCGAGATATCGGAGTGCTGGAGTAAGTAAGAGTGCTGGAGGTGAAGGTGAGCAAATGAATTGTGACCCGTCACAGACAATCCTCAATACAACACGGTGACTTCATCGTTGTTAGCCAATGCCAACGGCTTTCCCAACGTCTTCCTTACGACTCGAGACACCTACGGTAGAATTCCAAGGAGACCGTCAGTGATGGAAGAATCATGCGCTTCTTCCCCAGTCCACTAACAATTGTCTCAGCAACAATGTGCGTGAGCCATTTAATCTGAAAAAGCAGAAAGCAACGTTGACCAGCAAGAGAACGATGCCAGGGCTTCACGCCACTCCTATTCGACGAGCGCTCTACGGAGAGAGGCCAGCGATAGGCACTGAAGCGCACCCTTGGCGATGTCGATGGTTCCAACTAGACTTTCGCTTGGGGCCTCTGCTTGCTGGTGAATGGATTCTGTTCGAAGACCAGAACTTTTTCATCGCCGAAGACTCGGGCTCGTGCCTTAGAAGATTCAAATGCTCTCCGTGGTGTCTCATTGAAGACTGTGTAACGGACATTTGGAAAGAACCCCCTCAAAGCTTGTTGAGACGATGGGAGGCCCTTGACAATGGACTGCTGGGCAACATATTCACACACTGCATCGGCATGGCCTTTTCAACGGGCAGTCGCGTTGTCGGTGACGTCGTAACCACTGGGACTTCCAGAAGCGGATACATGATGGATTTCGACGAAAACATATGCCCGAATAAGGGTGTCTGTGAAAGGAGAGAGTATCGCAGGAGAAGGGGAAGACATGGCACAACTGCTTATGACGCCCGTAGAAAGTGGTGACATCCTGGAGGTTCCAATGGCTCACGTCAAGAGACACATTTTTGCTCGCGACGGTGTACCTAATGTTGGTGAATTGGTAGAGATGGAGGAAGGTGAATTGGGAGAGGTTGAGAGGGTTGTTGAGGGTAAGGATCGAAGTGTCTGGGTGCACGTTCGGCAAATAACGGACCAGAAAGTGGTTGTGGTCAGAGCGTCCTCAATACGGAGGCGCTTCTACCAAGGGGACGAGGTGCAGGTTGTGGGCGGCGCATATTGCAATAGAGCAGGCATCGTGAGGCGGAAACTTTGTTGGAACGAAGACACAAAAAGAGCTTTCGCCTTGGAATTGCAACTGGTAAGTCTAAGTAACATTCAGATGCAACCTAGGGTGAATAATGGATTGATAGCGGACACCAGAAGGCGTGGTGGAGAAACCAGTACGGACTTGAGGTTCAGTAATACTCAATTTAACACATCTAGGTTCGTGTATTATGCGCAGACGCGATAATCTTGAAAAGTACAGGTGCAAGGGAAGTAGAGCGCCAACCTTCAAAGGACCAAGAAGAGGCGGCCATCGTAATTGGACCGGATTTATGTGGTGATCTTGGCAGTGTCGGTCAGCGAGGGCTGATATTGCCAATGAAATGTGAGCCAGGCAATGTCGCGTTGTACTTAGATCAGCAAAGAGGTACCAAAATCTCACACTTGTACTATTTTCCAGAACGGAGCGTATGTCGAGTGAATCAAGCATTGATTTAGACTTCAAGGATATGTTACAATTACGAACGACGTGCGTGCAGTACAACTCCCAGAGCAAGCTACCATCTTACTTTCATTTTGCATCCAACCACTCTTGCGGACTCTTGTATTGTCGGAAATGTGCGAGCAATACGTCGACGAGAAGGCTGCATCTAGGGAGCTTCATGTATTCTCCGCCATAGGTGGTAAAGCGAGTTGGATCTTCGCCAAATAGACGCTCTATGCTGGTCAAGAGAAACCTGGGCTCCTGGCCGAATTCAAACAAATCAGAAACCCGGCGGATGCCGTTGTGTTCGAATAAAGGAATGTACTTGGTGAACCCTCCCTGTGCGATCCGCCTGCAACAAGAAAGCCTCCAAAGTCTGTTTTTCTTCCGTTGCGGGACGCGAGCTTTCACCGACATTGGCATTAGTCGGATTCGTAACTGGGTTAGTTGTGCCGCGGGTACGAAAGATTGGACGGGGTTGCGGACCGATTCCACGAGGGGGCAACGAAGGCGCTTCATTTGTGAGCTGTGGCGCAGAACCGTGGGATAGCTGGGATGGTACCACTGGAAAATTGGGCGCGTTGAATTCCAGGAGTGGAGAGGCAGACGATATTGGGTGGGCGTAAGTAGCAATGGGCGCACGGCGAACGGGGCGCTGGACGCTCGAACGTGGTACTTCGGCAGGTGATGTGGGACTATCCATTTTGCGACGTTTCTTGGCGACATTTTGTAATTCCGAGGCCACAGATGGGAGATTGTCGTCGACCAGTTCATCAACCACGGCGGTTGCGTAAGAGCCAGCAGCCAATGGACGTTTTCGACTGAGTGCGGACGCAATTGCAGGGCCCGATTTACGCTTAGATGTCGTCTTTTTGCGCTGCGACAGTCGCAGCTTTGGGAGACGCTTTCGTTGACTTAGCGACCCGGCCATCCTGAGAGAATAGTTAGGTTACTGTGTTCATGGCATTTGTTTGGTGGAACCTACCTTGGGATCAAGCTCATAAGCCAGCGTTTCCTGCATAAGTTCTTCCAAAGCTTCGGGAGAAACCAACTGCCCATCAAGTGACAAAGTATCCTTATGGCGACGACGTTTGTTTTGTTTGACACGTGTGATTGTTGACTGAGTTTCCCCATAATAGCGCGCAAGGGGCAGCAGCTGTGCGCCCTGCTTTGAGCATCAAGCGAGTACCAGCGCGATCTACCCTGTCCAAAGAAGTCACATACAGGGTGTGCTCACTGGAAGAGAAAAAATCAAAAAAAAAATGAACGAAGGTAAAATAGAAATTGAGGCTCACGTTTTTGGCACCGTCTCTTGCTGTGACGCATCAGGGTGAGGACTAGTTCCACTGAAGTACAGTCAAGGAGTGGCCAGAAAAGCTAGGTGAAACAAAAAAGAACTTACACTGCAGTGGCATCGGCAATTTCAGACTGATGACGATCAGGAGGATTATCGCTGTCGGACGACGGCTGTCGGCTGGCTTGATGGAAGGACACCGGCGGCAAATCTTCTGGGGATTGGGAAAACGGGGTGTCTTGAACAGGCTCTGTTTTCAAAGAATTCAGGTGCATGTCACCGGAAAATGGCAAGGCCATGCTCGCAGAGAACAACCGCAAGTGGTCACACCGTCACAAACCAACGGCGCATTTGATTGTGATCACAACATTTATGCCGATGATGACTGATTTTGAGTCATACAAATGACAAATATTTTCACCGAGGTTTCATCGAGAATTTGGGGCTTTGGGACCCAGTCCATTCGGGTAGTATTTACATATGTTTGGCTGCACCCTCATCAACGCATCATGATGATGACGAATTGTGACCTGGTGGGGACCTTGCTTAAAGCAAGGTGATCGTCAGTCACTGACTGACAATCAATTATTTTCTCTCAGTGGTGCTGACCATTCTGACATTTGTTGGGGGATAGCGGATGAGGTGCCAGGAGTAGGCTGATACCAAGCTATTATGGTCACTTGTACTGTACTTTATCTACACACTCTAGCATTTGCCTGTGGGAGGCAAGTGGAAGGTGGATATTTGACGCATATCATGCCGATGGCGGACAGCTGATCTCATCATTGGATCAACAGTTGATGGATCAGGTTGGTCTGCACTCACAATAATAAGAGAATACTTCCTGAGCATGATCCAATTACTCCGAGCTGAAAGCAATATCCTCCAAGAAAGACTGACTGGGACTTGTCATGCCAAAATGCCCTTCTCTGAATAGTAATTACCATATTAGGCAATTGCAATTGTCGTGTGACATCCTGACAGTCATTTGTGACACCCTGGCTGACAATTAATTATTTTCCCAAAAACCTAATTGTCGGCGAACCCTATCGACGCGGACTTGTTTAGACGAGTTACAACGACCCGTAAGACGAATATCTTTTCTCGTTGTTGCTTTCTAAATCTATTGTCAGCTTTATACGTGCAGCGGAGCCGCAGGCACGCTACGAAATTGACGCCTTCCCCACAATTCACGTTTACCTCGTGTTCAATATCGGTCTAGTACTTATCCCACAAATACCGAGTCCCGTACCCCTCCCCGCGACACCCACCACTCCCTTCAGCAAATGCCTTCGCTCTTTCAACTCATCAGACTCTCGCTCTACGGTTGGTCTCCAAACTCATGTTGGGTTACTCCACTCAATGCTCCAAGGCGCTGTCTTGCTCGCAACGTTAATATGTTTGGCCATGGCCGGACACTTCCAGGGTGTATTGGCATCTTCCGATCTCAGTGCGTCCTCTCAAATTGTGTTGAAAGCCAGTTTCATCTTTGTTCATAGCTAAATTCGTACCATTTGCCCTGTTCGTGTGCTCAGTCGGTCTTGTGTTCACCTTGGTCCTGTAAGCTTGCTCGAAACGATGCCAAATAACGCCTTCTTACTTGATATAGACTTGGGGCAGCAGTGTTTCTCCGCGAACGAAGCCCAATTTCAACCAGACTCGAGCTTTCAGCGTTAGGATTCAATGGAATTCTTTGGCTGGGTGCGCATGAGTCATTTAGCTCCAACAGCCTCATGCTCACTATATCCTAGCTCTGGGAATCTTTTTGGCTACTTCGGACTCACAGACCGCGGATGTAGAGTGCTTTGCGTCTGAGTCGTCGACTCAAGTGCTCGATGAGTCGGCTTCCGAATGTGCGTGTGCATAATATTGTTGAAAGCATATTCCTAACGTTGTCTACAGTTCAAACCGACCAATTTCATGCCATGTACCATGTCCTTACGGCCTTTTCACTGATCAATGCTGTTCTGAGTAGGTTTCTTCAAATTTCTCTTCAACTTCTGTGCTCATCTATCTTAGCGTTGTTTGCATTTATTGCCCTATTATCATTCGCCCTGCGCTGCCACATCAATGGAGACACCCACATGTGGTACGGCCCAGTAACGGCCGGGATGTTCAACAACTACAGTAAACCGACCAAGTCTTCCTCTCACCGTCGGGCGTCATCCAAACCGATTCTTCCTACCACCGCCTTTACAGAGAAACCCACTAAGCGCAGCGCTTCCAAACACCGACCCAACCATTCCTCCAGCCGTAGGGCCCAGAGATCTCATTCAGCCGCCGATCGCTACACGCGACGAGGCGGTGGAGGTGGCTCTGGACAGTCATCTCTTATTGGCTCCAATGAGTTTGATCAAGGAGGAATGGTGAACCCGAATCGACGTCCCTCCCGGTAAATTGTCTAACACCTCCATCCTGGAGATGGTTTCACATATATGTACGCACTTGGCCATGTTTTTTTTTGTAGAAATAGGGGAATAAATGTAAAATTTTGGTCTCAGCTGTCAAGTCAAGAGCAGTGCAGGGTCACGTGAGAGGATAACGTTTGGTTCTCGGCAACAGACACGCGCTCTGTGCTCGTTCCATTCACCCTCTTTCACGACTCTGGAATGACAGTACGATTCGCAATTCACAGGATAGCCCTCTATGGCTCGTGCTTCGTAGTTGCTGCGTCAGTTACTGATGGCTCAAGTAGTGGCCATATTTTTGCTCTCAGGTATGTTTCACTGCTAGATCGCAGCGTTCAAGTTCCCTCAAGCCGAATGCCTTCTATAGGGACCGTACTCGGCCTTTCAGCTCACTTCGCAAACATCTTCCTCCCTCATCTCCACGGTCAGCACAGCAATGTCTTTTTGCATTGACGATCGACGTTGTTGCAGCCGCGTTTACTATTTTCGCGTTGTTGATTCCATCCTTGACGATATTTACGATGCTGATTTCGTGTGTTCTTTGGAAAAAGCCTCCGATGTTTTCCTGAAATACTTCAGACTCCAATTTGCGCAACCTCAGACTGAGGCGCCAATGCTGTTCTTGCTATGGGCACTCTGGCTTGGTGCGTGGCAGACCGTCAGTCTTCGCCCCATTTTATTCACTCCTCTTTTTAGCCATGGCAGCCTGGTCTACGTAATTATTTCTTCCTTCTTGTGTGACGCTGAACGCCGTCCAGGGACATCATCAGTGGTGTTCAATGCGATAGTCTAACCTCCGAGACGATGCCAACAAAAAATGGCCTAAGTAAGTAACTTCTCTACACTCAGGGCGGATTTTCATAAGCTTCAGTCCGTCAACGCGAATATTGCTATGAGATGAAGGCAAACTTTGTTTGTGATGAACAGTTTGTTTATGCTAACAACTTGTGTTCTAGGTCATCCAAGCATTCTCTTGGATGGCTTTCGTTCTCTTAACATTTGGTACGTAGGGTTTTTCCCCTAGAAATGTTGGCTTACAAAGCTCCTAGCTTTCTGTATCCTCATATCTCTGATCAACCAAGCACAACGCTTCGGTCGCATAACTATTTGGTCTGATCCAATCCAAGGCGCGGTTTCCTTCGAAAGAATCAACTTGAAAATTGATCACTATCCAGAATTGGGCTGGTTTGGAGAGCCTCCTGGCTATTACAACACCACACATGGCCCAAGCCAATACGCTATGTATCCCCAACAGCAGTACCCTCAACAATATGGCTACCCCCTGCAACCTGGTTATATTCAAGGGCCTCAACCTGTTTATCAGATATCACAAGGCCCAGCTGGAACTACCGGTAAGTCACACTCCAATCCTGGACCCATGCTTATTATGGCGGACAGTCACCCAAGTGCCCGTGTTGAATGTTTGAGACAAACTTGCGTGAAGCGGGTCGAAATAGACGTCCAGGTTGTAAGAAATTAAATATTAAATATTCTACCTCGTGCCTAGAGCATGTCTGCCGCGCGGTAACTGGTTATTTAAGTTAGCTTGACGAGTGTCGTGCACCCAATGGCCCTCTTCACAGAAAACCCGATCCGCTCTGCTGCTACAATCGCTGCGGCCCTATTCGTCGCCCATGTCATTTCTATGTTCATTTCAATCTTTCGTTGGTCGTTCAATGCTCAAGCTTGTTGGCTTACAAACCAGAGACGATCTGTGAACAGATGTGTTCCACTTGAGCCAGGCCGCACTTGCGATTCTCGCAGTCAGTGTCTTGATATACTTGTGAGCATTGCCATTCTTTGCGAGCACTTGATTGAAGGTGGACAGAGTATCAAGGCACCACTCTGAGGAGGGCCACCTGTTGACTCAGACGCAAGAAGAAGCATTGCTTGTAGCTTGCTTTGCCATCTTCTGGATGAGTATGTTGAAGCGTTTCTGGATGATGGGAAATCTAATGCTTCCTTAAGGCGTCCTAGTCGGCTGGCGGGCTCTGAAGGCAGAAACTAGTGCAGAGCCCATGGAGGCTAGCATGTCAGAGATATCAAACCCGCTTTCCCACCAGAGGAGTGCAGAGGTCATCAGAGGTTTCCGTGAGATGCGGCCATATCCTTGCACTGACTCGGATTATTGCGTAGTGGAGGAGTACTACTGGTAGTTAGTCCCTTGGGCCTTGGGAGTCCAAATGAAGATCGCTGAGTGACAACCGTAACGGTCGCCGTCTGTTTCCTCCACCACCCATTATGATGAGTTGCATGCTGATTTCCTCCCACATCCTATCTTACCTGCTCCCCTTACGCCGGCCAGAGCAAGCGTAGAATCGAAACCGATGTCATGAAGATGTCAGCCAATATATTAGCTCTGCTTTGGCCGCCTCTCATCGTTATGCAGGCTCATGTCGGACTATGAAGTCTCCCTTGTCAACGACAATATGCAGGAGTTCTACGTGCGCTTCCATGGACCCACAGAAAGTAAGAATCCGCTCCCCTCTTCGTCGGCTATACCTATTTCGCGGTCTAGCACCGTTTGCTGGTGGCATTTGGAAGATTCACGTCGAACTACCCGACCAATATCCTTTCAAGTCACCGAGTATAGGCTTCATGAACAAGATATACCATCCGAATATCGATGAACTGTACGTCAGCCACATTGCTTGAATTAGTACTGACTCGACCATAGCAGTGGGTCTGTTTGTCTCGATGTTATCAACCAAACATGGTCCCCGATGTTTGGTACGCGTTATTTGTCGCGAATCGATATGCCGTTCACTCTGCAGACATGATCAACATTTTCGAAGTATTTCTTCCCCAACTTCTACGCTACCCAAACCCAAACGATCCATTAAACGGAGAAGCTGCCGCACTGTTAATGCGTCATCCGAAAGAGTACGATGTCAAGGTCCGAGGTAAGTTCAATTGGACCTACCTAAATTTGAGCGCGGCAACTTAACTTGGCCAGAATATGTCCAACGATTTGCGACCAGGGAAGCTGCGGACGCGGCATCAGGAGATATGGAGGAAGAGCAAGAAGAGGCAGATGAAGAGATGAGCGACATTGGTAGCATGAGTGAAGGCGAATAAGAGAGCGAGTTTCGCGACTCTTCTCATTTTCCTTGACCATTCATAAAGGGTCTCTCGCTTTCGGCTCCTTGCATTTCTGGATCTTGTACAACGTCTGTAATTTTAATTGGTTTAGAGCCCAGAAACCTCTGTGTGGACCTTCTTCTGTCCCTCGACCGCAGTCTGCAGCAAATGAGTCAAGCCTTAACAAGTCAAACAACGCAGACCTTGTAGATCCCTTCGACGGTGGCGGTTATTGAATCCTGAGTAGTCGTCCGCATTTTGCTCCCTTTGAGGAGTTCTTCCTTCTCTTGGATCATCTCTTTCTTCATCTTATCAAGTCTTATCGAATAGTGAGTTGAGACTGTGTCTTGTGGTAGCTTGTTGCGCATACCGTTGGCGTTCAACAAATTCAAAGCTGAGACGATTGAGAAGGAGCTGGTGATCGTCAGCGAGGACTTCTTCTGTTTGAGCCTCTGGTGGTGCCAGACGTTTGAAGTCTTCCATTGAGTATAGAGGAACATCTTGGTAAATTGTACTACAGTGATGTTGGTCTCGAGTTTGCCGCTGCTTGACGCGACTTACGCGAATTGACGACACTTTTCGATTTCGCGCTCCAGGTGACGCTTCTCATAGTGAAGATTCTGAAGCCCGAGATTTGATTGGTCCATATCCTGCCGGGCAGCAGCGGTGAGAGCTTTTGCAGAGCGTGTGGCCGTGTTGGAATTACGAAGGATAGACTTTAACCTGGCACTGAGAGCAAGGCCATGGATGCGGGCAACGTCTGGGTCGATGCCATTCTCGGAAATGATGATGGATTCAAACGCGTCGATGACTTGGTCGTATTGGTCGGGGTGGTTCGGGGTGAGTGAGGACATGTCATATCTGTGACGTCCGACGATGCCAAATCGTCTTCATAAGAGATCATCACGGCCCGGGTGTAGCTTACACTAGTTGCTTTCTCCCGTCATGACTACGCCAGGTCAACATTGCCAGAATATAGTCAATCGCAGCTGACCCACCAACAGGCAGTATTCCCTCGATGGAGACATCTCACGATGAGCTCAAGGACAACACCATTATCATTGGTGGGCTTCTTGTCGGTTTCTCCCCACCCAAACTGACATCGGGCAGTCCTTGGTGCCTCTGGAGATCTCGCAAAGAAGAAAGTCAGTCTCTATCAGTCTAACCGTCCTGCAGACCTCTCACAAGGCTCTACAGACATTCCCGGCCTTGTTCGGCCTATTTCGTCTGGGGTACCTGCCCCGCGATGTCAAGATTGTTGGCTACGCGCGTACTAAGATGGACAAGGCCGAGTACCACAAGCGCGCCACTTCCTACCTCAAGAACCCAGACAACGACCCAGAAACCACCAGCGCCATCGAGCAGTTCAAGGAGATTTCTACTTACGTCTCTGGCAGCTATGAGGATTCAGAATCTTTCGCCCAACTCAATTCCCACCTCCAAGAAATCGAGTCTCATTACCAATCGAAAGAAGCTAATCGTCTCTTTTACCTCGCGCTTCCTCCCAGTGTCTTCGTACCCTCAGCTAAGAATCTCAAGGAGCAATGCTACTCCCCGACCGGCCAAAATCGAATCATTGTCGAGAAGCCGTTTGGAAAGGATCTTGATTCGTCCCGCGAACTGTTAGATTCTCTGAAGCAGTATTGGACTGAAGATGAGACGTTCCGAATTGACCACTACCTTGGGAAGGAGATGGTGAAGAACATACTTGTCCTGCGATTCGCTAATGTCGCGATGGGGGCTGCCTGGGACAAAAACCACATCTCCAATGTCCAAATCACCTTTAAAGAACCTTTTGGCACGGAGGGTCGTGGAGGATACTTTGATGAGTTCGGCATTATTCGTGATATTCTGCAGAATCGTAAGCGGATCACCACCCGCATCTTGTTAATGATGCTGACCAACGTAGATTTGTTGCAAGTGCTAAGCATCCTCACCATGGAGCGGCCAGTCTCTTTCTCGGCTGAGGACATCCGAGACGAAAAGGTGAGTATTCTTCGGCCCGATCTTTCCCGGTGTTGCTCACAGGTTATTGCAGGTCAAAGTGCTTCGTTCTATCCCTCCCATTGCGCGGGAAGACACGCTTCTTGGGCAATACATCGCGGCTAACGGTAAACCCGGCTACCTCGATGATGACACCGTCCCACACAACTCTGTTTGCCCTACTTTTGCTGCCACAACGCTCTGGATTCACAACCCACGATGGGAGGGCGTCCCTTTCATTTTAAAGGCTGGCAAAGGTGCGTAGCGAGTGTACCCCCGCCGCATTACCTAACCACATATAGCCCTCAACGAGGCCAAAGTCGAAGTTCGCATTCAATTCAAGGACGTAACCCAGGGAATCTTCAAGGACATTGTAAGTCATAACGTTTTCATCCCATTCAGCTAACTGATGGATTGCAGAGCCGTAAGCTTTATCATATAAATCACCGCATACTCTCACAGTATACTAAGGAAATGAGCTTATCATCCGCATTCAACCTTCAGAAGCTGTGTATCTCAAAATGAACACCAAAACTCCCGGCCTTATCACTCGCGCTATGCCAACCGAGATGGACCTCACATACAAGAGGCGGTTCACTGAAACGAAGATTCCTGAGGCATATGAGGCATTAATTTTGGATGCACTGAAGGGCGATCATTCTAACTTTGTGAGGAACGATGAGCTGGACGTAGCTTGGAAGGTATGTGACTGGTTTTGAAACTACGGCATCAACTTGAGCATCACCAGATTTTCACTCCGATTTTGCACTGGATCGAGGGCAGACAAGGTCAACTCCCACGCCCCGTCCCTTACCCATATGGCTCGCGTGGACCCAAGGAACTCGATGGGTTCATTCAGAAGTATGGCTTCAAACGGGCTAACGACGCCTAGTCAGTCCCATTTTATTCTTATCGTTCGATTTGCAGTATCTGACCAAGGATTATAGTGTCTGGCCTGTTACCAACCTTGCTGCTTTGTAATCGTATCGAATGCATAGACGGGAGCGTCCTCGCCTTGCCCTGGACGAGTGCTGTATTTCCGAAGGAATACCTATCAATTGTACAATTTAGCGAAAAAATCGTCAATGTGTTGAAGGACTCCGTAGATCTTTTTTTTTTCCTTTTGAGGAACTGGGTGTTGAGCGAGGGTTTGTAAGTTTCCCACAGTAATCGGTCCCGAATTTTTTCGCGCGATTTGGCCCCAACCGCCACAACACCGCTTGCGGCCCCGGTTTGCCGACAACCTCAGTGTGCAGGCTTGGTTAGCGCAGTTCGGTCGAAGGGAAAAGACATGGAAATGCCTATCAGCGCCCAGACATATAAAATGTCCAAATTAGCGTCGCCGATGGGGATTAGCGTTCAACAATCCGTGCGCCACCATCGCTTTCATCCACCGTGGTGGATGACGTGTCCCAAAAAAAAATGCGTCTGGTTGTCTATATACCATAAATTAAGGTGTAAATGCTGATGCGATGCGACGGAGGTTACAAATGGGTGAAGACGATAGAGAAAGGGATTGCTACACATTTGAGGCCGGTCTGGCCAGAGTCCAAATAAATGTCTCAACTGCTCGATGTGTTGCTGGATTCGGTGACAGTGATCGGTCAACCCTAGCCAACCGTTCCGACACATTCCAAATTAGACGACGACGCAGCCACTAGCGAACCACCTGGGCACGATATTAGTCTAAGAGCAGGGCACAGAATGTACGACGTAAGTACCAATTGCTGTTCAGCTGCTCGATCCAATGCGCAACGAGACGAAGTCTAAGCCTCGCGCTACGAATTGGAAGGAGCTTGGCTTTTTCGTAATCATCGAGGGGAAGGATAAGCGCCACCCAGTATGTGAAGGCGGCAGGGTCATCAGGAGGGGGACCATGAACATTTTGCAGTCGTTGAACCACCCATGGTGCTGTACCGCGACGAAGCTGTTGGAGAAACTCGGTACACATTTCCATAAGTTCCGTGTTGGACGGCCCAGTCAATCCAAGAGTTGGTGAATCTGGCATATCATCGATTCTGCATTAGGCAAATGAGCAACCGCCAAGGAAAGGAGAAGCAAATATCTGACCGCTCAATACGTCCAACAGTATAACCATCCAAAGTTCCCCGTTCAAGAATACGAAAGCGGAAGGTGGACCATGTTTCTACCTGATCAGAGACTTAGCTGTGATTTCTTCACGTTTCACGAACCACTTACCATACTTCTGCCATCGGCAAGCATTTGAACGGAGCGTATTTCAACCATGGTACCGAATGAAGATTGCTCTCCATTACGCGGTGGCATTATCATGCCAAACGATGGCACCTCCTGCTCTAAACACCGTCGGAGCATGAGTCGATATCGGGGTTCGTAAAAGTGTAGCACAGTTGGGTGACCGGGGAAAATAAGCATACAGACAAAAATGGGAGTGTCGAGACGGGCATCGCGTTCTTCGGAGGCAATGGTTTCGGCACGTTCAGTGTACATCTCGGGGAAAGCGGTGACAATCAGAGTTTCCACAGTTTGGTTGACTGGGTGATCCTCGAAAAATGAGAAGCCGGGAAGGGCTTCGCGGCAAAGGGGACATAGATTGCTATGGTCTAGCGCCCTATGCAGACATTTGGCGCAGAATGTCTGGTGAGAGTCAGTGAGTGAGTTATATGCTCAAGAGCAGAATTAGACGGACATGTTGGCATGGGGTAGTGACAGGATTATAGAGAAGCATAAAGCAAATTTCGCAGGAAAGTTCGGTAAGCAATTCCTTCGCAAAGGACGGGGTTGGATCGCGAGGGGGAGAAAGGCGGCGAAGATGGGAAAGTAAGTCAACGTTATTTTCGTCGTCGTCACTGTCTGGATCAAGTACTCTTTGCCGCTTTCGTGGTCGAGCTGGAGGAGACCCTGAGTGCGAGCGGGGGCGGGTAGTGGAAGACTGGGTAGGTTGTTGGTTATCTTGGAGACCATTAAGCAGCGAGATGATCTTGTTGATTGTTACATCGACCTTTGGCGCGTCTGACACAGACGATGGAAGAGAATTAGAGAGTGCTGGAGGCGGGAGGTAGTTTACACGAGAGGCGGAAGGAATTCGAGGGCGGGTTGGGCCATTATGAGGGTTGCAATGGAGGACTGGGCAACGGGTTGTCGTCGGGTGGTCAACACAGACGGTATGGCCACAAGGAAGAGTAGTAGGCGCAATCAAGTGAGAAAAGCAGGCTCCGCAACGAAGAACAGCATTCAGCGCTGCAACATCGAGGTCCATATTGCTGTCGGTTAACCAGACCGAAGCGTAGTCTAAATATGTGACGTAGCCGGCGTGACACCTTTCGAGCGGGATCTCATCGACGACCATTTAGAATGAACCAGACCCTTCTCCTTCCCACCGTACGCAAAACCCAAACTATTCGTGCTGCACCGCATCACACACACCATCGAACCCACTCAAAGCTCAGCAGACCAAGCACTTCCTCCGTCGACCTTGCCCCAGCTCAACCACGTCCCACGAGCCCTACAGAGATTGCTCAGCAGTGGATTGGTCTCCCTCTTCACTTTGACATCGTCACAGACCGCGTCCAGCTTGAAGGGTACCAGATTTATGCTGTAGAGAAGTGGTGAGTATCTTGTGCTTGTTCTGGTTTCTCTCACAAGTTCAGGATAACAGAACGCGACCGGCCAGTCACATGTCTTACAGTCTACACTGGTGACCCAGCGCACAAGGTTTGCTCTTTACTTGAGTTGAAGCGTGTAATAACGTCGCAGCCAGATCACCGTCACGGCCTTGAAACCATCGCCTTCTCTTTCACCCACGGAATCAGCTGCAGAATGGGAAAAGGCCATTTCACATCTCCGACGTGATGCTCGCCCACGAGAGGTATATTTTGTTTGGAAGATACCATGTTGACTAATGAACAACGCGCAGACTGCTCACGGCCTTGTCTTCGCAACGTCACTCGCCCATTTCCGTTCAGATTTCACTATTGTCCAAATTCCTGATGGCGATTTTCTACAAGCGCGCGACCAACTGTACACCAATATCAACCTTTTGCGTATGGGTTGCAGCGGACGGAGTGCTCTCACACTGGAGGAGCCTAGGTTCGTATATTCATTACTACTGCAACTCGACCTTGATAATTCGCAGTGAAACAACCAAAGATAGATTTATCGCCACCTATCATCTACCCGATAGTATTCTCTCTGGAACTGCCAATCTATCCCCCAATCCAACTACCCCTACGGCGAGCCCAGCTGCCAGTCCTCAACCCTCGCCTGCCAAGCATAGAACTCATTCCTCCGTCTCTGTTCCGACTAACGAGAGTCCACAACGTCGTGCTGCGGCTGGTCTTCGCATCGCACCCCCGACTCCTTCATTGAATGTGGGCTTTGGTGTAACTTCGCCAACGCCTGCAACAACCCCTGGAGGTCGGATTGGAACCAAAAGCAAATCTCGTGCAGATCGCACCTTGTTTAGTGCGAGTGTTCTGGAACTGGTCCGCCTTTTGCAGGCTAGTCTTGCTATCTTTGGCCTGTTCTCGGTGGAGTCTCACGGTTTGGACGGTTTATTGTGCGACAAGACGGTGGAAGGACTGGACATGTGGGTGACACAAGTTGGAGAACAGTCCTTGAACCTTGAGGCTACCGAACGTATTGCAGATCCCCATGTTGTGTGTGCTCTGCTTAGTCTTGTGCTTTCAACTCGCAACAAACTTGTAACTTTACTTTCCACTTCGCCACCCAAAGATCCCTTCCTCCGTCCACAGGCTTTTATCTCGGCCCTTTCACTCTATTCCTATCTTGGTTTCAATGGCCAGGGCAACTCCAGTCATGGTTCTAGCACACCAGCTACACCGGCATTCCCATTCTTATCGGGCCATAATTACTCGCACTCGTTGCCAACAACCCCTGGTTTATCGTCCGCGTTTCCGATGACTTCCAAGTCATATGGACTGGGTCTTGGTCCACCACCGAATATGACCCGAACGGTACTCACTCAAACTCTTGTGGAAGGCATTGCCGCGGCGTACTCGGAAAAAGCACGTGCCGGCGAACGACGGAGAAGTCGGGGAGCTCGGGCACTTCTTGGTTTCGATGGGGAAGTCGATGAAACCCTCAGTGGTGGCGAAGGAGGAGAAGGGGTGCCGGATACTGGTGGTGGCCAGATCTTGACCGGCATCGGCAGCCTGGTTGGGCTGAACATCAACAACGGAGCATCGGGAGCAGCAGGCATCATGGAAGCCAGTGTTGATCTAGAGGCTTTTGTGCGGGTCGTGGTTGGACGCGCCAAAGAGCGAGGAAAGCGTCGTTCAGGGAAAGAGCGAGAGGGTCGCGGCGCGGATAACGAGGAGAAAGAAATCGTTAATGGTGTTGCTGGATGTGTACGAGGATTGTGGAGTGGGCATATTTCCACTGTCGTTGCGCTTCGAGAGAGAGAGCTTGACGAAAGTTCAATCCCACCTCGTGGCTCCAATGACCGCAAACCACCTCTAATCGGGAGCGATAACGAAGATAATCTTCGTGGCGAGAAAGACGGTCGATCAACCGAGGAGGAGGGACCAAGTGCTGACAAATGGGGTGGGCGTGTGCAGAAAAAGTTTGAGTCATGGACGAGGTCAGATTCACTATCAACTTTCTCTGGTTTCTGACGCCGTCTGTAGACTTAATCGCGGTGTCAAGAAAGGTCATGCAAGTATTGACTTGGGAGGAAGAGACTCGCTAGATGGATCTTATGGGATTATACGTTCGCGCAAGCGTCCCCCACTCCCTATGCGGGGGCTTGTGCTACCACCTGGACAACGGTAGGCTCGTTGTTCCTTTGTTTCCATAACTGAATTCCCCAAGCGATATCGATGGCGGAGAGGATTTAAGCAGCGGACAGGTCTCCCCAATCAGTGCTTCATCATGCTCGTATCTTCTGTCTTCTTCTCTAATTCCTCGCAGCAGATGACCCCCGCACTCCACGGCCACTAGAACCTTCACTATCTGCAACCAGCTCGAACGCTAACCTGCTCAATTCAGAAGAGTTTGAGAGGAAACTCAGCGCCTTCAACCATAAAAGTCCATGGGGTAACCGAATTGTGCAAAATAGAATCTCTAGCTGGTCCGATCCTGTGAGTGCTCGCGAGATCATCGATAGTGAAGAAAGCGACGATAGTGGCGGGACTGGAGAAGAAGGGAGCGGTTTGAGTGATCGTAACGGAAAACGTCGTCACCCACCCCCAGTACGCGAGCGCGCTGCCAGCCGTCTGGCACAGTCAAGTGTTTTCGGAGAACCTGACGATGTAATTTACGAAGAACCCATGGACGCAGCTGGCTATCTCAGTGATGCGCCTCCTGAAACGTCCCCAAAGCGCAAGCAGGCGACAGCCACCCTTACGAGGTTATTGCCAGAGTCTTCCACCTGACCCAACTGATCCTTTCCAGACGAAGGAGTTGGCATCATGATTCGGCGTCATTTCGTGATCTTAAGATTCTCAGCATTGACCGCATGCGTATTGATGTAGCCCTCTGCGGGCAAGTCCTTGTTCTTCTACGCAGAGCTGAGCATCTCCGTAACGTGCTCGCTTGCGTCCATGTCAGCCGCTCTTCTTTTTCGTCCTCTCTCATTGATGATTCCCCACAAGGTTTTAACCTCGTCTTTGTCGGAAACCAACACAATACTCCGCGAAGACTACCAAACACACGTCAAAGCACTTGCTTCAGTGGAGCAGCAAGCCAGAATCATTGCGGAAATCGATGCTGAAGGATCAAAAACGGACAAAATATCCCAGGCTCAGAACACGCTTTCGTACGAAACCCAGCAGTTGGTCGTGCAGAACCTCTGGCATGTCGCTGGCCAGCCACGACAAACAACGTTCGCTCTTCGAGACAAGGTTTTCGGGATGGGAGGACGGCGACTCCCGACTGGCAAGTATGGTGCACATGGTCAGTTCAACCGACTGCAGTGGACTTTGGACAGTCGAAAGTATCTAGTCGACTACCTTGGTCGCACGGAAAGCGAAGCTGAAGAGGAAAGTCTTGTTGACCCTGAAGCTATCCAGACGCCACCTCCAATAGAGGACAAGGAAGTGGTCACGCATCCTTCTATACGGCCGATGTGGCTGCTACGTTTCTTCACAAGTTGGGGCGCCAAATGGGCCACCCAGCCGGATGTTGCACAACCTGAACAGCCAAGTGGAATCCAGCTCGCTTCGGAAACCACGTCCGCTCCCCAAAGTCGTACATCGCTTTAATCCCACATATATTAAGTGTAAATAAACGTTCTGCTGGAATACTACTTTCGAACCTTGACTTGCTGTTTCCGAATAGACCGTCGCTTCTCTCGCTCGAGAATCTGTTTTGTTGTCAGAACAAAATGAGTGGATTCAGTATAGTAAGCACACCTTTTGTTGCTCTGCAGCAGGAAGTTTGGCGATACGCTCCTCTTCGGCCCTGCGCTTTGCAGCCTTTTTTGCTTCCAAAGCCTCTGCTTCCTGACAAGTGGTAAATACGCCTGGTTATCAAGAACAGAAACGTGCAAACCTCTTCTTTCTTGTCCCTCTCAGCCTCCCTTTTAATGTCTGCGTCGACTTCCTCTCTGACCTTTTTCAACTTAATCTTGGTCTCAGGTCGCAGGGTGACTTTTGTGAGTGAGTCGACGAATTGGAAGATGGCAGAGACCAAGTCGTTTGTGACGGAGGCCTGAGATGGCGAGGGCACGTTTAGAGACAAGATAACATGTTTTTCATGTTCATTAGGGAGCAATGGCTGGGCAGGACGTTCACGAGGTTGGTCGGTGATCTATTGTCCATTCAGTACATATTGCTGACTAAGTCACATCCCAACGAACCGTTAACGAGCGGAAATATGGGGTAATTTTTGGGTCTGCAAGAATTTTGACAAGAGGGGATGCTTTAAGGATGCTCTCAGTAACATCAGCAAATTCTAATGCAGGTTAGAGAAGCCGCTGGAATAGGAGAAGAGATGTGAGGTACCAGACATGACCAGATAGTTATTGGGAAGACTCTGGTTTTCTGTGGTCTTGGTGAAAGTGAGGTCCCAGCGGCTCTCTTTGACGAAAAGGAGTTCTTCCTTTGAAACGACACCCCAAACAAAGTCATACGGAAGCACTCCATCAATAAGCTTGAAGTCGAGTTGGAGATCATCTTTTGGACGATACTGGAGGTCCACGAATTGTCTGCCTGTCTGCCAGATCCATTGAACCAGGTCGTGTCGAGGTCGGAGGGTAAAGATTGTGTGAAGGGTAGCAACATTGCGACGTCCCGTAGAAAAATTGAAGAAGTCCGAATACCCGTCTAGTAAGTGTAAAGGAATAGAATTACAGGGAAGAGAGCACGCACCCTGGACGAATTTCAATGGGCTGGAGAACTGACTTTCAAGAATGCGCTGGTGGGCATCGACCCTAGGAACGCGTCAAAAATGATGTGCAAAGGGGTTGACGACCAACACCCACCACTTGTTGGCATTCCTGGAGTTGGTAAAGCGCCCGAAAAAGAAGAACCCGACGTAAACCAATAGGCCAGATAGAAGATATGCCTCCATTTGGAACAGAGCAGGACGGAAAGTGAAAATCCGCCATCGAAATTCGACGCCGTCATAGCTTTCCGGGACATAGACCGGTGGGGGCGTTAACGCCGTCAGAAACTGGGTCAAGACGCTGGCCATCGTGAACCAAGGAAAGAACGCTGGCAGTCACGCGGCTTAGTACGCGTGACGAATCGTGTCTTCGCCTGTTCTTGCCGCCGCATGTTACGTCCTAATTATGCCACTTGAGCCTAACCTCCATGGCTGACTTGCCGCAATCAACTCCCTCCGTGGCACAACCCACAGATTACTCTCATTTCGTACTTCAAGCAGTCAAAACCGGCTCGAAAGAAGGGGGTCTTGATCAAGCAGTCGTTAGAACTGCTCTCAGTCTCTGTGCCAGTTTTCTGATCACGGACACCAGCACAAATGAGATGACCCGTGGCTCACAAACATGGTTTACGGTGAATTTCGGTGGCGAATACCTGAACGCCTCTAAAATTTAGTAGGGTCTTAACCAACTCGTTGATCTACTCGTCGCGCTGCATGCCCGAGGTTAGCTTCGTATCATTTAACTCTGACTCTAAAATTGAACTCAATGAGATGAACTGGAAGTTGATACTTTCAACGCGGCTTCCAAGGTACGAGTCGGCCCTTGTGTCTTCTTCTTGCCTCACTTTGTTAGGCATGCTCAGGTATGTTCATTCACAACTTTCCTGGAAAATTGGTACGATAACTTCGATGCAGAGTGCTGGTCGGTTATTGGGACTTGGCGGGGCCTAGAGGAGTGCAGAGAAGGTATCCGAAAGGTCGGAGCGAAATTGAGACGCTTATTGGACGAAGAAGGATTCACATATCGAGGCGAAGCCAGTAAGCAACGGTCGTTCATACTGCCGGCTCATTTGACCAATTCTGGCCAGTCTACTCACCCTTGGCACCTGTCCGGGCTCCACCACGCGTATCAACTACAGATACCTCTGATGCTATGAGACGGACTTAATTGACCCTAGTTACGAATTAAAGCATTCGTCTTTTTGAGATTTGGGGATCGATTCTCGCTACGAAAATGGCGGTACAAAATTCGGGGAAAGGCGGAGAATTATGGTTTTGCCCAGATAACATATTGTCGCTTCCTGAATGCCGCTTTTTTGCTGATTCGGGTTGGACTTCGAAGTAGCTTTCTGCGCAAATGCACAATCTAATCAACTGATGAGATCAAAGGCAGGGTTTCCGAATCGGAAATGCTGTGCCGATCCTGCAATTGACATTACGTCACATGTAATCACTGCGCTCAGCTCAGCATGAACGATGTCCAAGCTGACCAGCCTGCCTCTCCCCGACCTCGAAGGCCAACACGGTCGATTCCACACGAACCTCCCAATGAAGATGTAGCGACACTCGTTTCATCCCCGACAACAGAACAACCGCCTTCCACGATAGACCTGACTCCCCTACGCGCCCACTATCTAAAGAAATCGTTAATCCAGCTTCAATTCAACCAGGAATTGGACGCCATTACATCACCCACATCGAATAATGTCTCAACCCTCTCATACCTAGGCCCGCCATTTGCCTCACCACCGAAAAATGCACCAATGCTCGACCTTCCTTTTCTCCGATATATCTTTCGCCAGTTTGTACTCACCTTCCCGTTCATGGCGTCTGCCCCAAAAGACTTCTACGCCGAGAAGCTCCAGCCATTCGTTGGATCAGCTCTATCCCGAAACATCTCACCGACATCGGTTTTTGACGATGGGTCAGAAACAGAGCAGGCATTGCGGCTCAGACTTCTCGCAAAGGCAGAACGCAATCTCTCACTCTTCTTTAGTGCCGCAACCAAGCTTGCTGAGCCAGAAGAGGTTGTCCGATTATCTCAAGCTGACCTGGATCGGCTAGAAGCGGCCGCCGCCAAGAGACAAGCCAAAATGGCGGAAACAGTCAAGGACTATTTTGAAGTCAACATTGTCAGTGTGCGCGCTGTGGTGGACAAGGGCCGCGTGAGGAGTCGAGTACACGAGGTTAGATTGACAATCTCAGTGTTTTGTACCATGCTACAACCCACAATAGGAATTTATCGTCCGGACTCGACGTTCAAATTTTCCAGATGTCTTTGTTTCTCGCAGATATGGAGACTTTCGGGCACTGGCGTTGGAAGTGCGTTGCAGTTAGTTCTGGTGCTCAGTCTTCTGCTGATATAACTCGACAGCTTCGCAAAGCACATCCAGCGGAAGATATTCGATCACCTCCAGTGAAAGACAGGACAACTGTCAGCGCCCCAGCCTCTGCTGCGTCTCCCCTTAGTCCTGCTCCCACTCTGTCCCGTCAATCAACATGGGATGGCCCTAGTTCGCCCCAGCCACAGACGCAAGCTCATCAGAACTCCCGGATGGCGCGGGAAAAGAACCGTCTCACTCTCAGAGCCTATCTGCACGGCCTACTCGCCAACTACACCATCGCCTCTTCACCAGTTTTGCGTTCTTTTCTACTCTCCGGCCCAACTACCCTTAATCGTGACGAGGTTGAGGATGCAGTCCGGAGAGAAGAAGCTGACAGAGTCAGGGACGATGGGAGGAAACAATTCGCTCGGGAAATTGCCAGTCGTGTTGATGGGCTGCGCGAGGCAGTGAAAAGTGTTAGAGGTGATATCATGGGCAAAGGTGTGTGAGTATGATTCAAGTATCACAGAAACTCAATGGTGCAAAGACGGCTTGACACAAATATTTGCGACCGTGAAGGTGACACCAAATGTCCGGGACTTGCCTCCTAACTACAGGGCAGTCTTAGAGTGGGCCAGAATGTCGTGAGTAGCATGCTTCTATAGAAATAGCCCCACTTAGAACATTGACAGTCTGGCTTCCACCATATTCCACACTTTTGTCGCTTCGGACAGTGCATCGGAGACATTCTCGAGCCTCAAGCGCATACACGGTCTTATGCCATACCTTCTGCTGAAAGCAGCAATGAGGATAAGCAACCCCATTGCGATGATTAGAAGTACGCGAACAACTGTCCTGTTGACCCGAGTGACCTTGTATGCAGGTGTATTGGACCTTTTTCTCGCTCAGCCGTTTGGTGGTCGCAGTTTACTGCAACGGTGAGCCACGTGTGAACTTGTAATCCATTTCTTATTCTTGCAGAATGTTCACTGGTTCGTTAACAGAAGAAGTCCGTGCTCTGGAGGAAGAAATTGAAGCGGTCAAAGCTAAAGTTGATGACCCAATGATCTGCGAGAAAATTCGACAGTTTGTTTATGCTCCCCGCGAAATTCAGGATATGCTAAGAGCTGATGCAGGTAAGCTATCTCGACCGCGTTACATAATACTGAACCAGGACCCTTTTTTAGCGGCAGAAAACATGGACTTGATCACCATAGTACTGCGCGCAGCTGACCCGCCTTTCCTGTCACGAGCACAAATGCACCGAGTTGCTAAAGGACATCGCGCCCATCAAGTCTATCTGAGACATCGCGAAACCCTAGTCGACTCTGACGACGACGATGGGCCTCAGGATGAGGATGGATGGCTCTTTGAGGATCTCAAGGTTCTAGCTAATCTTTATTCAAGACTGAGAGACCGAGAGCAACTGATTGAACTACTTTTCGAGGTAACGTCCATTAGTTCTGGCCACAGGTATCTAACTTGAGTAACACAGGGCTCGACATCCGAGTTGCTGAAAGACATTATCACTATTTTTTACACTCCTCTCGCCCAGGTCTATCGAGCAGCCAGCATCGCAGACTCATTGGGCGATCTGCAAAGCTTCATCAATGATCTAATCAAAACCGTTGAGCAAAGCGAAGATCGTCAGTGGACGTCACTCGACTGCCCTCGATGGCTGATTCATTGACAGTTTCTCAAGAGGATCCACACCGGACAGTCCAAGCTTTCGTTAATCTTGTCGAGCGCCACGAACAGTCGTTTTACCACTTTGTCCACAAAGTGCACTCCAAGGGCGAAGGGCTATTTGACAGTCTCATGCGATGGATCGAGCTCTTTCTCACTGTTGTCCGTGAGGGCCTCGGTGGCCCAGTCAGCCTTGAATTCCTCCTTCCCCATACTGGCCCGGAACGCCAAAAGATATTGGCCGAAGTTGATCAAGTTGCGCTTTACCACTACAAGCTCAAGGTCCTCTATGAAGACAAGCTGCGCAGACGGTTTGGTCGGACCAAGGCAGGCAAATTGCAGAGCGATGCCGACGCCGAGGATGAGGCCACCAAGGCTCTGGTAGATGGGGTCGCACAGGAAATAAACTTCGGCGAACTGATCTCTGGTGATGCTGTTGATCTTGCTGCCGAAGAGACCGACGAGGAGGAAAGTGACGAGTCAAGCGAGGATGAAACCTCATCAGAAGATAGTGATGAGAGCAGCGAGGAGAGCAGCGATGAAGAAGATACTGCGACTGATAAGACACCAGTCGCAACACCACGGCCAACACCGCAGCGATTGAAGGCACTGCCACAGGCACCTGTGTCTTCACCAATGTCTGCCCGCCCTCGCAATCAGGCACCAACACCCACACCTCCTCAGCAGCCTGGCCGGCAGCGGTCACTGTCGCTCAAGAGTTCACGCTCATTGACGTTTTTGAGAGAACAGTTTGGTCAGGTGCGGCGCAGCGAGGACTCTCCGCCAGTCCCTCCTCTTCCGAAATCACTCGTCGCAGCGATGAATAAGCCATTGCCTGCCAGTCCTTCTCCGATGTCTCCTGCTCATCAATTTGCACCGCCGCCAGCTCCTCCTCCCACCAAACCATTGCCGCCAAAGCGGAAGGCAAGGAAGCGACGCAATGAAGTGGTCAAACCTCCAGAACTAGAACACATTCCACAATTATTATCCATCTTCAAGGAAATGGTACGTCGTGACAGTCCCTCGTGGCACATGACTGAAAATTGTGTCCCCAGATGCGCCCACATTTAGCTCCCCGACAAAGGACCAACTAACTGTACGAATAACCCCCATTGTTTGTAGCCATTAATTGCAAGAAAAGACGATCGTGTACAAATACAGCACCCTCTAAATGAGCATCTAAGAAACGCTTGAACCCTACATAGCATGGGATGATATAGAGAAACGCTTGAAGGTATATCTGAGTCGCGTTAGAGGAATCGAAACAGAGGTTTCTAAGGCGAACCCAAGAAAAGCGAGATCCTTGTTGGCCGAACCCCCAGAGTCGGAGGGCAGATCCTCTGTCGGTTGCTCGAGTTGCTCCACCGGGAAATACCTGAAGAGCTTTTTCAGTGACCAGATGGTAAGAGAGGCAAAAACAAACGATGTGTCCGTGATCGACCTGTAAAAGCCAGTCAATTTCCAGCAAGGAGCGAGGTCTGAGAGGCAATACCTGAGGTGAGGCACGAATGGTGCATCGATACTTCTGATTGTGGGCCAGTCAACACCTGGCAGCGATGAGCTTTATACTGTAGTTTCGAGGCAAATCGAACCGTAGAAAAAGGGGCTTTTCAACATGTCAGCAATGCGTCAAGAATAGTTTGGAGACGACGAACTGATGCTTGATTTGTTGGATGTTCATCCTTCGATCAGCGGAGGTGATGAGACTGTGACATTCTCAGCATCGAGCTCACCATTAAGCGTCAGCAAAACTAACCGGCAAATGAAGTCTTGAGCTTGTTTACTCAGGTGGACGTCGTCTGGGAATACAAGGTGCTGTTGCCATGTCATGATTTTTTGGTAGGTATCATGCGTCGACTCGGAGCAGAATGGCGGGTATCTGTTGAGTTGTATTGAGCGATGGTAGAGGAAGAAACAGAAATGAACTCACCCTACAAGACATTCAAAGCAAATGGCACCAAGAGACCACCAGTCACATTCTTTTCCGTATCCTCGCTGTTGGAAGATTTCGGGCGCGATGTAATCCGGAGTTCCAACGGTCGAATACGCAAGTTTGCGTCTGTTGGCTTTCCATGTTTGGATTTGCTCATTTGTCATCGTGAGGTTGATTGAGTTGACCATGACACTGTTTCTGGACGGTTGGGCCCCAGCTTGAGTATTGTTGGCAGATTCTAGCAATCGCTGGTAGTAGTTTGAATCGTGTTGCTTATGGAAGCCGGTTGACAATCCGAAGTCACTTAGTTTTACGTGGCCGTTTTTATCACTGCGAAAAGTCAATAACATGTCGACGGGCGAGGAGCGTCACTTGCATGAGGATGTTGTCCGGTTTGATGTCGCTATAAGAAAATGGGTAACATCCTCACGACAAGCAACACTTTCTAACCGATGGATGAAACCGAGCTGATGAACTGCATCGATAGCAAGCACACATTCTGTGAGCTTGATCAGTAGAGAAGCGAAACAGGCTACAAGCGTGGCGCGGACCAGCCATATAAAACCGGGTGACATCTTCAGAAAAGGTGTCGTACTTGATCAACATTGTCATGAGGTCGCCACCAGGGAGGAATTCCATGACCAAGTAGAGGTGTACGGGGTCTTGAAAGGAGTAGTACAGCTGCACAATCCCTGTTCCAGTGAGAAGACGCGCAACTCAAAGGCTAGCAACCAACATTCCGAGACTGATTCCGCAAGGACATCGCGCTCAGCGCGAACGTGAGCCAACTGAGGAAGCATAAGTCTCAGGGTAATGAGTGGTGAATCAGCTAACTTGGTCTTTCTTCAACATCTCATCCTTGCGAAGCAGCTTCATGGCGTATATTTTACCGGTGTCGGTCTTCTGGACAAGGCGGACCTGAAGAGCGGCATTAGGAAGTACCAAGCACAATGTGTTGTCAACGCACCTCCCCGAAAGCACCTTTCCCGATCACCTTAACTGTCCGGAAGTCATCCAACCCTAGCTTTGTGCGACGAAGCCGTAGGAAGGTCTAGAGGATGATTGATGAGGTCAGTCAAATCGGGTGCAAGGCAGCGCACCGATTCCTTCTTGCCCAGCTGCTGCAATTGTCGCTGCTTGCGCTCATCAGACATGGTCGCATTCTGTAAACTCCGTTCCAGCTCTACGCGTCGGGTATTACGTTCAATGGCGGAGTCTACTGCGACTTTATAGTAGTGCTCGAGTTTCCTGAAAGCCAGGCGTCAAGCGACACGCACTGAAGCGACATATGAGCAAACATTTGAGCCCCTTTGGCCCGTGGCAGGACCTCAGAGGAGAAATCTGCGGTGCTGCGATTGAAGTACACGTAGTCCGACTATATTATGAGAATATACTCTTCGTCGCTGAATGCTAGTCTTACATTCTCTGAAGAAGGGGTTGTGGGCTGCTGTTGCTGTTGCTGGCGGGAATTAGACGCTGTCATCGTCGGCGTTGACGACCCTGAGCTGCGAACAGAACCGTTTCGAGGTGTCGACATGGCCGCGGAGAATTTTTGGAAAGCACTACGACTCGGAGCGGAAGGAAGGGTGCGGGATCACGTGAATACAAGAAGACTACTAAGATACAACAAGAAAACTAAGCCCAGCGGACGCGTTGTGTAGGTTTCGGGGGTCGCTGGATCGGATTACTAAGAGAGACTGTTTAGTTTGGGATTAAGCCAACGAAACCCCCCCCTCACGTTGGCTGAGGTGATGGTGGTAGATAAGCGGAAACGGCAGAGCTAATTTCATTGTCAGCCAATTTGACCTGCTGTCGGCTCAACGCACTTGTAGAAAGCATTTGGATCGACTACGGGCGTGGCCTCCCGCTTCGGTGGACTAAAATAAGGCGAAGGCTGGGGCATATAATGACGAGTTGGTGGTGGATCATGATATGGTGACAAGTCAGATTCACGGAAGGTTGGTCTTGACTGTACGGAATCTGACTTGTTTGGGACAGGCTGCTCCCACACAGACGATGGTTTCTTGTGGATGCGAAGAGGTAGTACTGCAGTGTGTTTTGGCGAAGGTCCTTGCTTGGGTACGGGAGGAAGGGGCCTTGGAGCCGAAGTGGGCAGTTTTCCGCCGGGGTGCTTGGCAAATTGTGAACGAGTGTGACCATGATACTCCTCTGAGTAAGCTGGTGGAGGGGAGTCATCCATGCCCTCCCTCTTCGTTGCAGCGGATGAGTGCTGAGAAAGAGCTTCACAGCTGTCGAATCAGGTCTGCCATTGAGCGCCTATACCAGGATAGCACGCGGACAGCTGTAGCCGGACCGTTTCGGCAAAGATAGAAGCACCTCTAGCGGGAGAACATCAGCCTGCGAGTCGTCAACTGGAATGAACAGGAGGAAAATCATGCAGGTTTATGCAATGGGTCATTTTTGCTAGGTCCAGGAAGAACAACCAGGCTTATAGCAATCAGAGAAGGTCACTTTTGTCCTTATAATTAGGTGTAGGAACGGCTACAATTCGCTTCCTTCCAGGGTTTCTAAATTTGTGCCCTGTAAAAATTATGAGCGAATAAAATCGTCAACAAGGAAGGTACCGCTTACCAACTTCGGGAGTCTTAGATAGACATCAGTCCCCCATCCGTTCATTGTTACAAGCTCCAGCGAGCCTCCAAAGTAGGTAGCGAAAATATTACTCATAGGGAGACCGATTCCAATCTTAGTATGTCCCACACCGGCCTGGACCTCGGGGTCGGGGTCAATCAAGTCTTGTTTCCAGCGTCCAACCTGTTCGTCAACTGTCGCTCGCATTCCAAGAGGACTTGAGCTAACGGAACGCAACGCATCGATATGAGAGTCGTCAAGACGCGCAGCATTCCGAAGATGTGAAAAGGAAAAAAGATCGGAAGGAGTTTTCACAGTTGCAAGACCGCCGCCTAGGTTTTGAATGAAAGGTGAGGGAACAAGAAAAGACTGCTAAATACCTTGATCGGATATTCTGACTCCAACGTCATTCGCTCCAGAGGAAACTGTCGCTCGGATGGGAGGGAGACCTGGAGCCCCTCGATGGTGTAAAGCGGTTGCCTGCATCGCCTAGCACATGGATTAAAATACGAATATTAGATGGTTGGATTCACACACATTTTTCAAGAGCTCAAAGAGAATGTACCTAGGAATATGTGAGCCATTTGGCGACAAAATTGAAGGCGAGCATACTCCAGGTGTTCTTTGATATAGGCAAAGCGGGTAGTGACATGGCCGTCAACCACAATCTCCGGCCATCCTTTACCTTGATTCCGTAAAAGATTGGCGCATTTCTCGAGAGAGCGCTTGACATCCAATGCAGTAAAAATGATACCCACATGAGGTTCTGGGTAAGTGGAAGTCTTGCCTGAATGCATTCTTGACAGCGCAATGTGATGCTCGGCAAGAACGCGTCGAGAAATGCGAGAAATCAGCATTCGTCGCATGAAAGAATCAAGAACATCCGCCGAGAGATGTGGGCTAGCAAGGGAGAGACCAAGGGAGAGGTTGGGAATCACAGCCCAACTGCAGAAATAGATGACGTCAGTTGAAGTCTCCCCGAAAAAAACATAGCACTCAACTGTTCCCGCAAAATATCGGTCAAGAACCCACAGAATGCATCGTTTTCGTCAGTAGTGGTTATCGGAGGATAGCGTCTGAATCTTCAAGCGGCGTTAACAACTTCGAGACGAAGGAAATGGGCAGCAACAGCTTACTTTTCGAAAGCAGACCAGTAGAGCTGGGCGATTAACGGTTGAATGCGAGTCGAGAGAGGAGGAGAGTAGACAAGCGGGCACCTCATAAACCTTAGCTACTTCTCCCTGCGCTACAACCTTCGGTGAAATGAGTCAGAAAACTCAATCAGTTGTCGGGGAGTACGGACGATGAAAGGAAGTTTCTGCATGTCGCGCAGTCGATGAGCAATTCGTATGGGTAGTTCTGTTCGAACATAGTTTGCACTCTGAGCACATAAGTCGAAGCGTGGTCAAGGACAGGTAGTAAAACAACCTTGATAAGACGCTCAGCATCGGAGGTGGAGCGCCCAAAAAACAGCTAAAAAGAAGTTTGAGACTACATGGAGGCGCGACAAAGAAGAGATCGCGCACCAATTGACGAAGAGTCAACCTGTTAGCTTCCCTGGCAGCGTAAAGCTCGAGCTGCTTATTCTGGTAGAAAAGACGTTGTTGAGCCAAAAAGGTGGTTTGACTCCGGCTTAGAGGGGGAGAATGCGAGGCAGGTCTCGCTAGTGTTAACATCGAAGCTGAGCCGCATGCCTTGGGCGAAGTAGCTGGAGTCCACTTGATTATGGGATGTCACGCGAAGCAAAAGCCGAAACCGGTCTAGATTCGGCCGAAAAGCGATCTCGCTTTGTTGTTACTGGTGTGACACTGGTCTGTCTCGACTCTCAATGGTGAAGACGTTCCCGGTCGTCAATCATGTGTTCGATACCTCCATTCTACCAGATTCCTCGTCGACTAGCTCTATGTTCCTGTCCTCGTACAACCGTGTTGTCTCTGCTGAAAAACAAGCTCTGCTCGACCATGCCGCTGCCCCTAGCCAAAACACCAAACGTGACATCGTGATGGCTCGTGTACTAGCTTTTCTCCATATCTCGCTGCACCGTATGCAACACGCCATGGGCTTACAGCCCCTCCAACACCTGGATAAAGAGATATCTTCCGCGTCAGGTGACCCCTTTCTCTATGATCTTGGAGAACAATATGTCACATTCCTTGGAGTGTGTGAGTTGCGTTGAGCTGCTGCTAGATTTATCTGACAGCGCTAGTTCGTACCTATAAACTGACGCCAGTTCCCTCCAAGTTCAGCTCTCGTGAACCGTTCGACGATATGCTGGAGGCGCAACCAACTATTTACGTGGATCCAGTGCGTAATTCTTCTTTTCGCAACGAGAGTAGGCCTGATGTTGTTTAGTGGCTCGCTCGAGATAATTTTCAGTGTATCATTTCCAATGGATTCGATCTTGATTCCTTGAAAACGTCTCCTGACCTCGTCGAGCTGATGAAGGAGAGCCATGGTTATCCTGTCTCTGTTCGAGGCTGTTGCATTTTCGACCATGCAAGGCTGTATGGTTTCGAACGCGATGACGGCAAGGTGCGAGATACTTAATAGTACCTTGGTACTTACTTAATCATTCAGCATATGGGTGGGACTTCTGCTCTGGCACTTTTACGGTCATTAGGGATGAAGGACATCGTTGATCGATTTTCTGTGACTGGCCTGCATCAGTTGGGTGTCCACAACCTTATCAATGTCGTCTCGATGCAGCCCAACGTTGCCGCACTCTTTCACACATTGAATCTGGTCCTTGAACCGGTGGCCGGTGAAGAGGTTGGCATTTTCTTCTGGGTGACTCTATGCTAATTTACGTCAGAATGCATATGACATAGTCTGTGCCGAACCCAATTTGCTACGTGGCCTCGCGCATGTGTTCGACCGAGTCACCTTCCAGAATCATGCTAAGGAAAACCTGTCCCTCCCCGATCCTCGACTCTTGGCTCTCCATGCCGTGTGTGCTCGTGTAGTGCATATGTCTGGAGCAGCGGATGTTTGGCCGCACCCTCGCGATGATGATGATGAAGATCTGTTGGTTTTGGAACCAGACGGTACCTCAATGGACATGCTCTATGCTAAACTTGCTCCTTTTGTAATCGTAGAGGCATAGCCTAACTACGTCTTATTTTAACTCCTATTCTTTTAATTTACAACAAAAAAATAATTGTGGTTTGGTGCCAGTGAACATCCCCGCCGACTTTCGAACATAGTATAGATCATCTTAACCAAGTAATGACTCCGACCTCAGCCCACCAAGTATCAGAAAAGCGCTTCGTCTATCTCGATTAATTCCCATCCAATCATGCGTTCTTTGCGGCACTGCACTCCCCCAAGCGTGAATATCGTCTTCTGTTTGCTCCTCAGCTGGCGTGGCGTCTGACTGCTCTTCACCGTCCCACAAAACATCCTCCCATTGTGAGTCGCTGATAGTCACCGCCACTGTCTTTGCGTCGGCCACCATGGGAAGAATAGATGTCAACAAGTTGGACAACATTTCCGACGACCCATCTTTGTTGGGGGACTGCAGCACAGGCAATGGCAAGTATTCAGCCTGCAGTCCATTAGTCGAAAGTTAGGATAATGGATGGGCATAGTAGTACTTCAAGAACCATACCCCGTATTGCTCCGCCGGGTAAGACTACATTGCCGACACGAACAATCCAGTCCGTTCCAATACCGTAAATGTGACCTTCGATTGAGAGTTGCTGGCTAGGCTGACCGCGTTGCGTGTTGACTGTTATGACTTCGTTATCGATGTGTCTTAGGGAAGGAAGAACACGATGCCTTCTCGAACGGGCTTCCAGCGAGCATTTAGTTGGGCTAAAAGTTGTTCAAGGCCTGAAGGCGGACGAAGGGTCTAAAGCAGGTTAATTGGCGGCTAAATTACGAGAAGTATACTTCACCAAGAAGGTATAACGATAGTGCTGGTGCCTTTGGAGAAAGAGGGCTTCTTGACCACTTTCGACCACATCTGCGCGGTTTGGGGCAGCAGGATCGTCAACAAGCACAAATACGTTTTGGTCCATAGTCAGAGTGAATATTGTACGGTCCGGATGACCAGGGAGCACTTGAGAAAGTGTAGACCGATATAACGAGATGGAGAGGTTCCATTGGCCCTTGAAAAATCTCAAGCAGGATCAGCGTCCATTAGTAGGACGCTACCTTGTACAGGGCATTGTGATTAAGCTGCAGGTTCTCTTGAACGAGTTTGAGTCCTTGAGGCGGCGCGTTTGTCCATCGAGCCAGTCCCGTGAATCCCATTTTGTTCAAGTTCAAGCTGCGTCGCTTACATCATCCAAGGAATTCACGATCACGGGATTTACTCCTTGTGTCGGCCCTGTTACACGCTGGTTCTCTTCTTCGTCTGTGTCATCGTCATCTTCGTTGTTTTCTTTGGATTCATCATCCTCGTCATAGTCAGAGTCGAGATTCCGAATCCGAGCCTGAGCCGGAGAGTGATTTTGTACATGTAGGTAAGGCGATTGGCCAAGGTTACGCAAATTCTAATCTCAGGTTAAAACCAGTTGGGATGGCTAAATTACTACAAACATATGATGCGCGCTTAGTGCTCAAGCCCGGTGCCCACGTCAAGGGGGCGCATCTTCCACCAGGACCTCCACCATACATGATTCAGCGATCAACAAAAGACAACCCCCCAACGCCGCCTCCCACGAAGATCTTGTGACTCAACGATTGGAATTGGACGTTTCCCGGAGTACTTTCCGCGCATGGTTCGGCCGTCATGAACTCATCCTACCATTTGTCGGCCAGTTGGGCCTATGGAAGGTTTCTTGATGTAGCGCACAGTCGTCTCTGCTGATGATATCACAGTTCCACCCGGGGTCGCCATTCAGTTCGCCGAGTGGAAAGACCCATCAGCTCCCCGCCTGCCGCTACTGCTCCCATTGTGGTGGTCAGGGCTTAAACCTTGCGAGTATTCGTCCTGGGAACGTCCAATCGTCACGTTCTGTAGGCATGTAAGTAAGTAATTGAAGAGAAAAAATGATTGCGTACAGTGGAGAGCCCGAGAGATCCCTTGAATGAGAATGGCTGGCACCAGGCCGTTTAAGGCGGAAGAGTGAGTCGGCTCTGTGAAACAATGACTTACTCCGCTCGCACTCCGCCTGATCCGTGAGTGCAACCAAGACATTGTCTCAATCGGTACCGTGAGTAATGGTGTGGCAACCCAATCAAGCACTTCATTTGGACGAGCATGGAGGTATGGTACATCTTGCCAGTCCCGACTTCTTCTAGGCAAGGCCCAGAGAGTACTCACAAGTACAAGTCAAGCAAATCACTCCACCGCTTTGCTAGAGTAAGCAACTTGTGGGACGCGTAGAATTAAATGTCGGACTCACAACAATTTGTGGCGTTTTCGTCTGTTCGCATGTGAGAACTTCGAACCAAGGTTGACAATGTGGTGCCAGTTTCTGACCAGTACTACGAATGTCGCCACGGGGAGCTGCTCTTCGCCAGAAATCTGGGCGTAGTAAGATCAGATGTTAATGCCAGACCTTTGAGAGCAAACGCAACTCCTCCGCCTTTGACACCACCAATACTTGTACATCCTAGACTCGACGAGTACCAAAGCCAGCAGCGTTTGTTAAAAATGACAGTGGACCTCTTCGATATAGTGAAACGAGACGGTGACGATCAATCTCACTTGAGACATTGGTGGGCCACGCGGAGTGAGCTGGCCGTCGAATTGAGGCGTCAGCAGTAGCATCACGGCGAAGGCCTGAGACTACTCTGACTGGTTGACCCCCGTCAGCTGTGATGAATCTGGCGTTTCTATCGTGGACAAGGTCGACGAAAGGCGTTTCGAACTGAAAGATCCATTGGTCTGGTCTCCGTCATAAATGAAGGAAGGCACTTGAAGCCATAAAAACATGCTGCTGAATCGCTGCAGGAGTCCGGGCTGATATTACCATCCGTTCAATATGGTTGAGCGGGGGAGTAGGCAAGAATTGAGTCCTTGAGGCGGCGCGTTTGTTCAGCCCATTTTGTCCCAGTTCAAGCGCGGTCGCTTACATCATCCAAGGAATTCACGATCACGAGATCTTTGGAGCTGTTCATCCAAGCATTATGGTACATAGATGGAAATATACTGAAAGAATAGTGATAAGCGACCTATAATCCCAAAGAGAAACTAGAGAGCATTTGATACAGTAAGAAATGTAAGCTACTTGTGTGAGGTATGAATAAAATAGGTGGGGGGGTATAGTTACTCCTTGTGCCGACTTATCTTCTCAACTCCGGCTCCCAGAGCTGTTACACGCTGGTTCTGTTCTTCGTCCGTGTCTTCTTCGTAATCGTCATCTTCGTCTTCGGTCGTTTTGTTTTCTTTGGATTCATCATCATCCTCGTCAGAGTCAGAGTCAGATTCCGAATCCGAGCCGGAACTTGGAGTTGGCGCAGCTTCTGGCCGGTTTTCTGCTGCTGTGACATGCACACCAGGCGATCCGATCCCATTGAGAGCATTGGAACTGCTCCTGTGATGGCCATGGCTGTGCGAATGCGAATGGTGATGGCCACGGAATCCAGCCGGCAGGGTGACTGCACGTAAATCATGTTCTCCCTCTAGTGTTGGCGTGCCAGCTAGTGAAGATGAATTGTGAGGGGCCATCGGAGTAGCGAGCGGCGTAGAAATGTCAGAGGCAGCTGGAGCAAGTGTGCTTCTTGGCTCTGTTGCTGTGGGTGTTGCAAGTCCATCTTCCTCCATTGAGCCGCTACTGCGCTCTCCTTCAGCATTGGAAACTTGATCTTTTTCTTGCGCCTGTTTTTCTTTTTCTTCTCGCTCCCTAGCCTCTCGTTCTCTCGCCTCTCTCCTTCGGCGCACCCAGCCCATTCCAGTTCCATCGTCATCATCTTCGTCGCCGTCGCCGACCACCCCCATGCCGACATATACCTCTCCTTTAGTTGAAGAGCCATTTGTTTTGGCTCCACCGGCTTGGACGCTCTTCCAAGCAGAACTGCCGACCCCATGACGCACTGAGCCCATCCCACCGTAACCCCACTCAACAAACTCGGGATCATCATCGCGTGCATTGCCGAATGGATTGTGAGTGCCTAAATCTCGTGAGTCGTAACAAACAGCAAAGGGGGACCGCAGACCGTCAGCATTGCGTGAGCCATACACTCGTCCATTCAACATGCGAGTTCCACGTTTCGTTCCCACAGAGTTTGAAAATGGATTCAGTGGTGGAGGAACACTACCCGTCCTGGGCTTCCTCTTGTCACCGCTTCCGATGCTGAATATCGAACGACTCCGCCCTGACCGCTTGGAGCTGGTACTAGTTTGGCTTTGTGTCCGTGCAAGGGGAGAGCCTATGATAGTAGCACTCGTACCAGACGACCAGCGCTGGAGAGATGGTACATCTGGCGTAGTATCAAGTGAAGGAGTAGGTGTGAGACTGTCGGTTGAGGACGCAGGGGTGTTGCCTTTCCGGAACGAGCGTAATAGGCTCTTGGGCCATGTGGAGGAGGGCTTGGAAAAAGATGAGGGTGGTACGGATGGTAGTGGAGTTGTTTTGGCTGCAGGGGAAGCAGCAGGTGAAGGTAGTGGAAGAGGGCTTCGCGGCAATTGAACTGTCGTTTGCTCGGGTGAGTCTGGAAGGGCTATTTCAGCGCCATCTAGAGCCGGTGATACTGTCCGACGAGGGTCTGGAAGTGGTGCAAACCGAATTTTGCGTCGATGTGGAGCTTCGTTCATTGTGGAAGTACTAGCAGAAGTATTTGTGGATGCAGTCGATGCACTTGAAGAAGAGTTGGATGATGTGCTACTCGTAGCAGAGGAAAGGCTGTTTGTTGATGGCCTGCTAGGCAGTAAAATGGAGGAAGGTGGAGAGAGGAGCGTCGCCGACATGACGGTCCTCTGGAAATCAAAAATTAGTTTTGTCACGCACGCGTCTCAGATTTCGACAACTCAGTAGTCGCGTCGGGGTGCGTGGAAGGGCTCAAAACTAGGGCATTGCAGACTTGTTCAACTTCAACCAAGTTAGCGGCTTGTTACAATCCTTGTTCTACCTTGAAGAAAAAGGTTAAACGGTCTACTTATTCTCAGTCGCCGCTTCACACTCACTCGTTTTCTAGGGACAGTATGCCCTCTCACCACAGACGCCGTCACCACCACCACCACAACAACCACCACCACCATGCGGAACCAGATAATGAACCCATACCGTCAAGAGAAGATGACGAACAATATCCACGCGAATACAGACATTCCTCCTCTAATTATCGTCGACATGACTCTTCCTTGCAGACAGAAAAGGGCTCCTACCCTGGACCCTCATCTTCGTCATCTAGAGGGCATCGTGACTCAAATTGGCGTCCTAAGGACTATGATGATGAGTATTATCGAGAGAGAAGGGAAGGATATGAGCTGGCAGGCACTCGCGAGCCAGCATCGTGGCCGGCGCCAACTTCGGAAAGAGAGTGGGGACGTTACGAGTCGGACTACCCCCCACATTATGGCGAGCAAGCCTCTTGGCCAGCCCATGATCACCGGAATGGTCACCAAGAGCGGTGGGACAATCGAGGAGGATATTACAAAAGACAGTCAGACCGTCCACCAGTTGTTGACGAGCGACGAGACTGGTCAAACCGCTCTTCCAGAGGCTCGGGCAATTATGACCCTTGGTCGCCTCCCCAAAAATCAATTTCAGACGAGCGGGCATGGGAACCAGCACCGGGTTGGCAGCCTTCAACTTCGAGCGACCACCAGCAGAATCATCGAGGCCAGAATCAATCTTTTCACCGCGAAGACACCACCAACCACAACCACTACAAGCAGTCCCCTACATCCCGGCGTGGAGGAAACACTCATAATAATCGATATACTAACAACAAACCTCAACGAGAATGGCAAGAGGAGTCAAGTCCCAACAAGTGAGTTTTCTGCCTTTTTCTTGCCGCCCAATTGATATTCTCTCCTAGTTGGTCTCGACGAGGGTACCAAGAGTCAGAACGAGCTCCACTACCCTCTCGTAAACATAACCGCTCCATGTCTCCCGTCCGGTCACCTTCCCGCTCGCCTGCAGAATCTTATTACTCTCGACGATCTTCCCGTGGTCGAACTCGATCGCCATCTCCAGCCCTGAAAAAGCAAAAACGAGAGCCAGTGCCGTCGTCGTATGATCATGAGAATATGGGCTGGGTACCAAATCAGAGGAAGGCAGCTCTTGCCAGAGAGTCATATCAGCGACAAAACGAATTTGCGCCTCCGCCAAGAATCCCATCCCCCACTTCAAGTCTCGGTACTAGGAGAAGCAGAAGCCGTAGCCCAAGGTCAGATGCGAAACGTTCTTATCGTCTACCTTCAAAGTCTGCAACGCCTTCCAATGCACCTTCATATGATGATTCAGCAGAACGTCGAGTGGATGAGCACTTGGAGGATAGGAATGGTGCGGAGCCTGTCAATGATGTAAGTCTACTCTAAACATTCACTTATTGCTCACCGCCAGCGACATAGACTATCTATCCATCTGAGCCGCCGCCAGGCTACGACAATGACGCTCAATCCATGCCTCCCCCAAGCATCATTCCCAATGCCATCAATCCCCTCCAATATTTACCCGAATTCTCAAGGACATCATTCTCCCAACCCATCTCATCGAACAGGAAGGGCGGATTCAAACCTATAGGACAGAACAGCTCTTCTCTCCGCAAATTTTTTCCTGGGGACGATGATGATTTGGACTTGTCGGCTCAACCAACTGTCACTGAGCAGACCGAAGTAATTCCGTCTGCTGGACCCCGCTCTCCAAATATGTCTCATTCGCGTGCCTCATCCATCGTCATGGATGAAGAGGAAAATCCGGACGCCCCTGTCCCGCCGTCGCAGCAGGCTGTTGCCGACACCAATGAGACGAGGACATCGACCCCATCAACTCGCCCAAGAGCAGAATTGTACGCCATTATGAATCATGTTGGCGAGGGCACCTTTGGCAAGGTCTACAAGGCTCAAAATACCATCACCCGTCTCTTCGTTGCTTTGAAGAGGATACGGATGGAGTCGGAAAAAGAGGGCTTCCCAGTCACCGCGATGAGGGAGATAAAGCTGTTGCAATCCCTGCGTCACGAAAACGTTGTCCGTCTATTTGAGATGATGGTTTCCAATGGTAAGTAAAAGCACGATGTTGTTCTCAATAATTCACCACTGCCACCAGGGTCGGTTTACATGGTATTCGAGTACATGGAACACGACCTTACTGGGGTTCTGTCACAAACCCAATTTAGCTTCACGGACGCCCACCTCAAGTCACTTTGCCGCCAAATGCTTGCGGGTCTTGCCTATCTGCACCACAAGGGCGTCATCCATCGTGACATCAAAGGCTCTAATATTCTCCTCAACAACCGAGGGGAACTTAAGTTGGCAGATTTTGGACTTGCGCGGTTCTACCAGAAGCGCCGACGGAGCGATTACACGAATCGAGTCATCACCTTGTGGTATCGTCCACCAGAATTGCTGTTAGGTGCAACTGTCTATGGTCCTGAAGTAGACATGTGGAGTGCTGGGTACTCATTTTAGTTTATCTTCTCGTCTTCACGCGGCTTATTCTTTGCAGGTGCATCATGCTGGAACTGTTCACGAAGAAGCCCGTCTTCCAAGGCAATGACGAAATCCATCAGCTTGACACGATTTACCGTGTTTTTGGCACACCGACTGTCGAGCGTTGGCCAGACATCGTCAATCTACCTTGGTACGAACTCGTTAAGCCACGTGAGGAGATTCCCAATCACTTCCGTGAAATGTTCCGCAAGTTAGTCATAGAAACGCCACACAGATAGATATTGACCATGCTTTTAGATGGATGTCTCCAGCCGCTCTAGATCTCGCAGAAAGACTGTTATTTTATGATCCTGCGACTAGGGCAACTGCGGTTCAAGCATTGGACGCGCCATATTTTACTCAAGAAGAGCCGCCAGCAATGGCCCCGACTGGGTATGTCCGTCCCATAGCATCAAGATCTGATAACATCTCGCTTAGATTGGCGACCCTTCTGCATGGCGAATGGCACGAACTAGAGACAAAAAAGGCGAAAAAGAAGAAGAAAGAATGACCACTTGTTCGCGCAGTCCCCCAGCAAAGCTCAATTGAGCTCATCCTCCTCGCCAACATCTGCATCGGAGGCTATATTGGCCACAGTCGAGCGTTGGCAAAAGGAATGAAGTATTGCTACAGACACAGTGATTCAATTGTATTTTATGCTTTCATCAATCAGCACGACAGCCATGGAGAGCAAGAGAAAGCAACCCTCTATGCATTTACCGAAACGAGACCTTTCTCAGAGAGGTGTTGGACAATCGACTCGACGTTTGCCGCTGTCAAACGTATCTGATTGTCCCATCGCTTTGTGAAGGGTGCGCCGGTATCTTCTGCCTCCTCTACATCACCCAAACCACCGGCTTTGCCTTGAGCATCGTCCTCCTCGCGACTGCTCTCAAACCAAATGAGCTTGTCGACCTGGTCAATCGAGCCACGCAGACGACCTTGTTCTATCATTTTCCGGGCCATAGTCTCTGCTGCCCCCGGCGTCAAGTCTAGCAAGGCGCCGAGTCCACGGAAAGTGATGTTGTTGTAGATTTTCGAGCTAGCAAGGAGGTTGTGCTCCATAACAGCACGGTCGAGCACGGTGGAAGGCCCTGTTCTTGTGCTGATCGCAGGCTCATTAGAGCTAGTTGGATCGTCATCCTGACCAGCAGATGCAAGGCGGTCGTTGGACGAAATAGCAATTTTGGCCAGTTGATGCGGTTTGAGCGTAGCCTCGAAAGACTTTACTTCTGTCGATCGGAGAATGTGGTCGAGGAACATTTTGGAAAGGACATTATATGTAGGGAGTTCCAATGTTCGCTCGTCACGGTAGAGGGAAGCCAATACACGAGATCGATTGGGACCAGCAGGCGCTAGGACAGCACAAGTGACAGCAGCAGAGCTGGATACAGTTCTTTCAGCTACAGCATTTGAACGAATCAACAGTCTTGACTCACAGCATGTGTTGTCGCTCTTCTTCATCGATCTCACCCACATAACTCAACTCATGATATCGCTGGCTGGCCTCGAGGAACTTGCGGCTATAGTCGCTTATCCGTGCCTGGCAGAGTTTGAATTGGAGTAAGGTTTCTTTGTCGTTGGTGGAGTGGACAAGCAATGCGGCGCGATTGTAATATGTTTCTGCTTGGACAGAATCCTCGTCCTCGAGAAGTAGTCGGACTATTCTGACGTATACGCGCAGTTTGTCTCCATCGGCCATTGAACTTGGAACAAATCAAAGACGCGTATGACGCGAAAATGGTAGACATACCGTTGGCCAGAGTCGAGAGATGTCCCCATGAGAACCCGTGCAGCTTCACTCCACTCTTCTTCCTTCTCCAAGATGTCTGCTAGCTGAAAGCGAAGGATGTTGACCTGGCGCCAATGAGCTTAAGGAGATCATGACAACGAAACGTGCCTGTTCTTCATAGCTGACAATGCGGGGTTGAACGATACTAAGTGTGTCTTCAACGATGCTCTTGTATAGGTCTTCGTCCTTTACTGCGCCGTCGCCGAGAACTTTCACAAGCTCAGAAAGCACTTGCCGCCCAACGACAAGCCCCACTGCATCTGTGTTGACTACTGTTTCGACCAGAGCATGAATATCTGAGGCAACAGAAGTGGATGGGCCGGCGAAGATCTCTTGTGATAGCGCGATAAACCCTGCAGCCTGCTCTTTCTGAGGCAGAGAGCTAATCGAGTTTAGTTTTGAAGCCATGATTCAATTGTCACGATGTAACACAGCCAAATCATAATTATCTGACGCGGTCAATCATCCTCTTACTTATTACCTTCATCCTTCTTCCCTTTCCACTTTCCTCCCCCCGCCGGTATTCGTTCATTCAACCGACGGAGAGCAGGTCTCTGTCATTTTCGTGCCGACTATGTCCCACCTCACCGCTTCGCCGTTTCACAAGCCATCACCATTCCAATTTCCCCAGCGGAACAACACAGTCGAAAGCAATTACAACCCCCAATTGCCCACTCCACCGTCAATGAGTGTAGCAGAGGGGCACACACAAGAGAAAGAGTACTTTGACACCCCGTCCGTGGCTCCTGAGGCTGCTGGAGGCCGTTTCCGTCGTGCGGCTTCGTCAATAGTCTACCATAGCAGCGGTCTCCGTGAATCAAGGGAACGGACTGTCCAACGCAGCTCTCGCTCATTTCTCGTTGTCCTGCCACCTTCGTCGCTTCCTCAGGATCATGCACATCTTGGACATACTCTATCGTCTGGCCCTCGCAACCGCCTGTCGCAGGGACTTTTGATGCCCTTATTCCCGACAGTAAGTGGTCTAGGGATAGCTAGTTTCCAATGACTGATTGGGAGCAGATGTACGGCCAGCTGTCGGCCATTGCACGCGAATATAATTTCCCAAGCACCACTGGTCTCTGTTTATATCTTCACATAAACGAGAATGGCATCACTGCGACTCCACGTATCTCAGACGACTCCTGGCAAATGATATGGAGCCATATATTCGACGGTCAAACGACGGGCACAGGTCACCTTCCGGTTTGCGGCAAAGTCGAGTTCGACATTGACCTTCACCTTGCTCGGTGGTATGGGGCATGGATGGCATCCTCTCATAGAGAACACGGAGTCGATGTCCCAATGTCTGTTACTCCATCGGCGGCGCCATCCGTCGTGCACTACCGGGAAGAAAGCAGGACCACTTTTGCTGACGGAGATGATGGGGACAATCACTCCATCATTCGGCCTGTTCGGCATGTCCCACGGAAACTCTCTCTCGTGGATCGTTTTGATGTGATGTCTGTTCGTTCGGTTCCTCGGTCCGTCGTAGCTCGAGCCCTCCCGGAAGGTCTGCATGGATCTCAAAACCTCTCGCCAATCTTTCAAGAGGAGGAACCTAAGACGGCCAAGTTTAACGACCTCGAGCACCGTGTCAACTCATGGCGAGCTAGTGCATCGATTCTCCCAGAAACAACAGGTCATATACTTCTGGCTAGCGTCATCTCTCCGCCGTTGGAAGAAAGTCCGATCACTACCAGCAATAAGACCGACGGAGAACATCCTGAACCGGCGGAGGAAGAAGAGTATCGAATTGAAGACTACTCTTTCTCGATTTCTTCTGCTGGGCCAGGTGATTATGACCCTCACTCTCCTCTGACGTGGTACTACGACCCTTCGGTTCATATGGCTAATCGAGCAGAGGGCTCAGTTTGCTTGACGCCAACGGAATGCACATCATTTGGTCCCTCTGAATACCCTTGGTCGCCGCGGCATTACGAATTTGACATGGATGGTTTGGTTTATACTCCCGATATCGGCCGTCGCATGTTAGAAGATGTTCCTCCTTCGCCTCTGACTACCACTAGCTGGGGCGCCCCATTGTCTTACCCTCCGACACCCGTCAGCGACTACCATGCCCCCTCTGTCCATCTCGCTTACCGAGGTGAATTCAGCCGACCTACAACCCCGATGACCGCAACTTCCTGGGGAGCTCCTGAATCTTTCCCTCCAAGCCCAACCACGCCCTTCTACGTCCGTACTCCCGACGCTGCTGAACGATCCTTTGACTTCTCTGCAATTGGTGATGCTCCTTGGTCCCTTGTCTGGCCTTATCACGACACAACCCGGCCTTGGAATCAAGTTTGGCCATATCGCTCTTCTGACTTGCATCAGAACTCCTCACCGGCGGCATCTACGGCGTGGAACATGGTCTGGCCATACCATGCAGTATCTGTTTCTGCGCCATGGGAAATGGTTTGGCCGTATCATCAGTCTCAGTCAACCCCTTCGCCAAGTGCAATTTCTGTCAGTTTACCGGCTGCGTATCCTGCTTTCGACCTTTGTAGGCCTTCGAAATTTCCTTCCTGACGTTTTTTGATGTCAATTTAGACCCTGCCACATATCCTCACAATTTGGATGAAATCTACCCTGCACTTGCGCAAGAAGTGTCGTCCTCGGATATTTCAACGCACATCAGCTCCTACCCGTCCTTGAATATCTGTATGCTCTCATCAATTCACCATTGACCCTTACTGAAATGTCTTCAGATCCGGCTGTTTACCCCAATTTCGAAATCTATCCTAGAATTTCTGCAGCTTGGGATGCTTCCACTTCTTCGGAGATCAACGTTAGACTGGCACCAGGTCCCTCAATCTACCCACAAAACCTCAGGGAAATTTATCCAATAATCGGTGCGGTTAAGGAACAAAGCCTTGGCCCCATCAATGTTCGGCTGACGCCGGGTCTCACTATCTATCCGGACAACCTGGACAACATTTACCCTGCAGTCAATAGTCTGGTCAATGTCAGACTAGCTCACGGACCCTCTGTCTACCCACAGAACCTGGACGAAATTTACCCGAGTCTGTCTCCATTGAGGCGGGTAACTGGCCTAATCGATATCGTCCTGCCTCCAAGCTATCCGGTCTTCAGCCTCTGTATGTCTTAGCACTAACACATCTGAATAATTCTCTGATTATGGACCAGACCGAGCGGTTTACCCTTGGAACCTGGACGTTATATATCCACCCGTAAAGCTCGAAGACTCGATAGAAATCACCACACGTCTCACTGCATATCCGTGCTTCAATATCTGTAAGCTCCTATCTAAGCATGTTCTCCATCTGATGACATCAGACCCGGCGGTATATCCTAATTTCGACATATATCCTGCAATTTCTGGTGCTTGGAAACACGACTCCGTCTCTTTGCGTGGTTCGATCACGGTCCGGCTGGCTGTTGGGGACGCCATTTACCCGCACAACCTGGTAGAGATTTATCCTTCAATAGTACCAGTGGCGCGTCCTACCGGTGGAATAACCACAAGGCTGGCAGCGCACTATCCGGTTTTCGACCTTTGTATGTCGAGTTTTATCATCAAGCCATTTAAGTGTGCTAACATAAGCAGATCCGGCTGTCTACCCTCATGTTGTCCCGTACCCCCCGACACAAGGAGAGATGGAGAAGCCTCTTTGGACGGTGGTGTACCCACATTTTGACCTTTACCCTGCCATCGGTCCCAAGAAAGCAGGTTCCATCGAGCTCTCGGTGCGGCAGTCAATGGCATATCCTTATCTTGATATCTGTGCGTTTCCTTTCCTGGTTGATGTTTGTTGTGACTAAGCATTTCGCAGATCCTGCTGTCTATCCATATGTCACGCCATACCCCTCTGCTTCTGGGGAAATGGCGGCACCTACCTATCAGGTTGATTATCCCGTCTTCAACTTGTACCCTGCTATCCGCAACTCTACGCCTGTGCATCGTCCAATTTCAATGTCGCTGTCTTACCTCTGCTTTGATCTCTGCAAGTCCTTTTTCCTCCTCTACGTCCTACTATTTGTTCATTCTCGTGACAGACCCTGCTGTCTATCCACACATTGTACCATATCCTCCCGTCGAACGCAAGGCATCGCATTTTGATCCCATCGTCATTCGTCAGTCTCGTTATCCCGTCTTCGACTTGTGTAGGTTTCTCAGCAGGGGTGATAAAATTTTCTGATAATTCTCCTGTAGACCCGGCGACTTATCCTCCCGTTCCCTACCCATCAGCGGAATGCGAGATGCAAGACGAGATTCAAGTCCGTCCAGAACCGCTGTACCCGTTCATTGCTCTATGTCTGTTGCTCTCCTGCTATTCTCCATTGGCCACTCACGTTTTCACGACAGATGACGCCGTCTACCCCTACTTGGACCTTTATCCAACGCTACTGACAATGCCTGACCCTCGGCCGCCAAGACAGAGCCGATTCACCCGCTCTGATCTTCACGCGTTGGTCAAGAATGGCCCTCGACGCAATATGTCCAGAACCCACCAAGAGCTGCACTTGCAGGTATTCGCCCAAGGCACCGAAGTTGTCACCCCCAGTGGTGGTGGTGCACAGCCCCGCGTGATGGAGCCCACCAAGAGCCATCTCGATCTCCACCACGAGGTGTTCCCCCTCGGGACAGTGGTCGTGTCTCCAAGCGGTGCCGCCCCGATCGAGCCGTCGCCATCACCCCGATCAATGACGCGCCTCCGCTCCGGTTCCGTGATCCGCAACAGCTTGCCGCCGTCGCCGCGGCCTGTGGGCGGGCGACCGATTTCGATGATGCGGGTAGCAGCAGCGCCCCCCGCCGCCCGCCCAGCCACTGCCCCCCGCCCCCACCAGGCGCGCAAAGGACTGTTGTGCGACCAGTCTCCACTATGGTACGGCCCGTGATTGACCGGACTTCCCCAACAAAGGCTCCGTCCTCTTTAAGCCGCTCAAGCTCGATGGCCCTCCCGAAATCCTCACCTCCACCCCCATCACTAGATAGGTCTGCATCGACCAATGGACCAGCACCGCGAAAGCGAGATAGCTTGGTTTTGCAGCGCGTTAGAGCGTTACAAATGCATGGTGAGGCTTTTCCTCTTTCTTGCCTTATTCCGCTGACAAACAATGTGTAGACGCCCCACCGATCACAGAGGAAGATGTACCTCGTCCACCGACAGTACGGAAGCTGACTTCATAATTGTAATTTTAATTATCAACCATGAGGTGGATCCCATGTATTTATCTGCTACACGTTACTACAAAACTGTCCTTGCTGTCTTATTACTAATCCGTTTTTTTGTTGGACGGAATTGATGCGCGAGGCTTTTCGCCCAACACATTACCGCCTCCAGGCATAAGCTGTTGCTCTTCATCATCCTCGTCTCTGTCATCATCACCATCATCATCGTCCTGATCTTGTTGCTCCTCCTCTTCACGCTCTAGCGCTTGTTGCTCTGCCCGCTGGGCTGCCGCCTCTAAACGGGCTGCTCGCCGTTCACGCTCAAGCGTATCGTTCAGTTGTTTCCGCTTCCGATCGTCTTCGAAAGCCAACCGAACCTATACCCAGTTGGAAAACCCAGCCAGCATTTAATTGGATCCCGCACCTTCTCTGCTGCTGCAGAAGCAACAGCCTTCTCGTTCTTCCTCGCCTGTAACTCACGCTCTTGTTTCTCCGTCTTGAGCGCCAACGTCTCCCGCAGCAGCTCGGCGCCTATTTTCAGTTGGTGCAGCTTCTTGGGATTGAACACGTAGACCGGCTGGTAGTCTTCGACGTGTGGAGAGAACCCTAGCTGGGGTCACGACTTAGATAGGACGATCGGCTGGCCGGAACACACCCACGCACCTCTCGAGCATACTCGACTGTCCCCCTAGCTTCTGTGTTAAAGATAGACTATCCAGAGAGTCACAGACGCACTTGGGGTCCATTAGATCGCGCTTTATAATTGAATTCGTCGGCTTGAACGAATGCCACTTCTTGTTCTCGGGCTCAGCAATGATGTTATCGCATAGCCTGAGCAAAAGCTGTGCTGCTTCAGTCCCAGACACACAGAGGAAACGGGCAGGCTACTTTCATCGACGTAACCGCTTGGGCATCAGGATTGCGGAGGATGCCTGGGTCTATCATTCGGCGCAGTTTCATTTTGAGTTCATAGTCTTGGCCGGTAAATTGCACTATATCTGGTGGGGAGGCTTGTTGTTGTTGTTGTTGTAGTCGCCGCTCTACTGCTCTTAGCATATCTTCGGAGGACATCGTGGTTCTGAGTCGACAAGGGTCACAGGGGTAACGACGGTCACGTAACAGCGTCCACAACTACAGACTCGATCAGCTCCTCCTCTGAGCTATCGGTATCGCTACTCCAGCCATCTTCTGGCGCTACATTAACTTCCTTCAACGCGCTCCCCTTGAACGACGAAAACGACCGCGCGCGTAAACGGGCAAGAAAACCGGATGGACTTGCCGGCTCGTACTTTTCACTCGATGCCCATCGTTTCCGATTCCGCAATAGGTCTGGGTGGCGACTATGCTCTCTGGGAGCCGAGGTGCCCGAACGTTTGTTTCGGTAGAAGGTACGCGACTTGTGGGTGAACGCGCTTTCTGCATCAGTGTCAACTGATAATGGGTGGTCTGACCCGCTCGGTGGTGGGGAAGTGAGCTCGGGAGTTAGGTCGGTTGGTTTGGATTTGGCAATTTGGCGTATATGTTGTCGCCCAAGGTATATTTGTTTTTCGATCCGCGCCCGGTTTGCGATCATGTGCAACTGTGGTGGTAGTGAGAATAGCTAAGAGTCGCGCATTCAACCCAACAACCTTGGGCCATGTTGCCAGCTGACCAACTCGCATCATTCTGTCCAGAAATTAAAAAACGGACACTGTGAAAGCAGCGGGACATACCTCTCCAATTCATGCTGGGATGGATCGCTCAATATTCTGAGCCAGTCATATAGTCTTGTTCGTGGCCAGATAGTAACGTGCCCATCGAATCGTTGAAGAAAGACCGAAGACCAATCTTGACCCAAAAGTTGAGGTAGCAGCCTTATAACCAGGTCAGTCGTTATTTCGCGATGCTGCGTGGGGTTACACACTCAAGATCACGGATCACTTTGAAATTCTGAAAATCCGTCTTAAGTCTCAGTTATTCCAAAATATCTTGACCGTACCTTGGTTAACTCGTGCTTTAACCACTGCTCTGCTGCCTGTCGCGGCGTTCAATCCAAATTCAACCGATTGTCGCTGTTCTTACGCTAAGAATGAAATTCCCTCGCCATCCTGTACAAGTAAGCAACCAATAGTGCCATTGAAGCTGGCCCAACCTTTGCCTTTCCGATGAGCAACCGGCCTTCCTGGAGATCCTCTTTGACACAGGTCAACTCGAGTTGAGAGTTTAAGATTAGACAGAACCTCGGGGCAAAGAACTGTGGATGAATGAGTTCACCTTTGGCGGCAGATTAGAAGGAAGGCTCACAAATAGATGAACATGTGGGTTGACTGGAAGGCTATCAGTCAAATCGTGATCAATTTCTCTGGTATACCTTGGGAAACCACAGGAAATGTGACATTGAAGTATGTGTGCAGAGCCTGTAGGGGAATATCCACTCTACAGCGACGGATTAGGGACGATATGATGCAATCAAACGAGAGACTTCACCGAAGTGATCCATCTTTGAACCTACTGCCCCAGTTATAAGGGACTGCGCTGCCATCTCGCAGCTTCTGCATCAGACAAAGGGACGGTAAAATGCCTGGTACCGCAGCCGAGGCCAAAAGCGCGCTCCAAATTAACGTGTCGGGCGAAGTCAAATAGTTGAGCAAACGAGTTGGGCTGCATGGAGGTGTAAAATGATGATGGTGATTGATTCGGGATGACATACGAGTGACGGTCGGCTGGGATAACCGAGATATTGAGAATTCTCCCCGTTCGCATATATGCCTCTTTGAAAGTCAAGGAGCCTCTAGTAAAGAAAGCGCACTGAGATGCATAAAAAGAGGGAAATTATGAGCCGGGATAACCCACACCTTCCTTGCCCAACTATACATTGTCTTGTCAGCAGAAACCAGAAAGGAACGAATCACACACAGAAGAGGATCAAATCTGGCGCCAGTCTTCCACAACCGTCTCCCCCAAACACTAAAGCTCTCTTCACAGGCCGTTATCTTATCAGCAAGCTGGGGAACCAGTAATTCTTTGAGCTCAGCATCTAACAAAAGACTTGAGTAGGATTAGGTTCTTGTTAAGCTTTATGCACCAAACCTGTTCGAGTACAGCACAAGGCGGCGATCAGGCCACCAGCACTGGTTCCTGTTATGACCCGAGGAAGCAGTCCGTTGTCTAGAAACGCTTTAACGACCCCGGTATGGTCTAGAAGCTTGGTTACAAATGCAAGTGCAGCATGAGACGAGACCCACAATATCCGAATGACGCTCCGCCCGACAAACAAAGAGCACTAATGCCCAAGTTTGTATTTGCAGCCTTGAAAAACCTTCTTTTCTCGTCTAGCGTGAGCTCTGAGGAGTTGCGAATGAGTTCGATGGCGCGTTCTTGCTCGTCAAAATACGCTGAACCTTGTCAGCTTACGACACAGTCATCTTAAAAGCACGGACCTTCGATAAGATCCTTTGTTCCGAAAAATGTCTGGAGACTTTGCCTTGAGAACTCACCAAACCCTTGATTCCCATTTGCCTACCTCGCTGTAAAGCCTGGTAGATGGTCAGCAATCATTGAAGAAGAACAAGTAAGTAATTGCAAGCAGACCTCGGAGATTCAACGGCAGCAAAATTAGACCGCAAACATGTGGCCAAAACCCCAAGACATCCTCGAACATCATTCTTCTAAGGCCAAATTGGAGCCGTTGACAATTTCGAAGGACAGAGACTACCTCCCGAAGAGTTTTGAGCGATTTATGCACACGACGGAGTAGTTTGTAGTCGTAGAAAGCATCTTCGTCGTCCTTCTTCCATTCATCCTGGTGATGAAGGTCGGGTCAGACAGGTTTCTGCTGTAAAGGAGGAAACTTACAAATTGCAAGTACTCATCCATGACGCCCTTGAACAGGATCAGTTATAGTCGCTAGAGCCAATAGTAGACAATACAGCGGCTTCTTTCCACTCCTACTCTAGTCAGAGCGCGAGTAAATTTCTAATAAAATTACCGGCGTACCTCGTATGTTGCTGCCCCACGTAATTTTTTGCGCAAAAGACCTTTTCGACCTCGCCCTGTTGAACCAGTCTTCAATGTCCACGTAGATCTAGTAGTTTGACCACGCACAAGCTGATACCCACTCCTTGACATTGACAAGTTGTCGCAAAAACACATACAGACCGAATTCTGCGGCAATGAAGAGAAAGATAAAGCCCTTGAGTACCCCTGTTCAGATACCATGAGCTTTTGACAGGTTACACACGAGCAATGGCCATCTACAAAATTAAAAGTCAGTTATGAGCGAACTGTCAACACTCGCTTCTGACCGAAAGATTATAAACGACCAATCGTGTTTCGCCGCCTTTCTGTGCTCCTTTCGTTTCCTTCTCTTGACTCTGAGATTCACTGGGGCAAAGTCGGAGAGTGCGGAGATTTTGCGAACGCGCCCTGCTTCAGGGTCCAGCAAAATGGGGCTATTAATATGGTCCTCTCCATCGTATTCGAGCGCTTCTTTGAATGCGTGAATATGGCTACACCGTTCGACCTTGAGTGAGTATATAGAGCAGTTGCAGGTTCAACTTGCGTTTCATCGACAAAGTCTTCTTCAAGTGGTGGTGGCATAGAAAAGTCAGCTGTGATGTCACTATCTGCAGGTCTTGTTTCCATCCACCACCACGATGCTCGCCATACTTGTGTTTGTCGTTACGCTCCTTACTCCCCTCGTTTCGGCAGCACCAATCCCAGTTCACGTATCTCCATCCACAGTTTCTCTCGTTGTCTTTGCCGGAATCATTTTTGTGGTCATGTGTCTCATCAGCTTGAAGCGCGTTTTTGTTCACCTGCGACGCGTCAACACGCAGCAAAATTCAGCAATTTCACTACCGCTCTCAGAATCTGCAGCTGGCTCCGACGATAGCTCGTCCACCATCAAAGAGAAGTCAGCGTATTTTGTAGGATTTTGGGGTTCCCCAACAGTGGAAGTTCAATGTGCATTGGAGAAGAAAGATTGGAAGCAGCCTCACCATTCATTTGCATACCAGATCCACACAGACTCGAATCATCGTCCGCGACCAGAGCATCCCTCTGTGCTTGATATCGCCCGTCGCTTCAAGACCTCGCCCAAGCGTCAACCTCCCAAGACACTCGTTGAATTCACACTACCGTCTTTCCCCGAAAACTCTCACTCTCCTATAACACCCCAACGACGGCGTTTCTCTCTTCCTGTCATGACTCGCAATCCAACGCACGATTCGCAACGACGGCGACATTCCAGTCTCAAGAGTCCCCGTTCTGTCAGCTTTGTTTCAAGCCTCGAAGACTCTCCCAGATATACTGAATCTTCTTCGTCGCTGACTCGGCTTGGCCGCTCATTGTCTCGACCACCATTTACGACACACGCTAGTTCCCCTACCGTTCGTAACATGCCAATCTCCCACCCTTTCGCCCTCCATCCAAAGAAATCGGTTCTTACGAGTCCACCTCTTCACGCCTTGCCAAAACTTTCACCTACGGTTCACCGCAATGAGCAAATTTCCCCCAATCTTTCTGCCTTTCCACCACCACCAACGATTATACCCAGTTCTAGACCCAAACTTCGAGCACGCACTCGACGTAGTCCTAACATTGGACCTCCAGGCCCTTCGCCTCTTCGCAGTATGATTCTCCCAGATGAGCCATCCGACAAGCAGATTATTCCAGACGCTCGCAATGGCTTGCCTACCGTCAATCTTGGCTTAGCTATGAGCATCCACTCGATGTACACACCTGCAGAGTCCCGTCAAAACCCGACTAGCAGCCCCGACCCATTGCTCGGAATACTGCGCGAATTGATTGATGAAACGAAAGAATGGGATTCCAGCAGCGTTTTTATGAGCCAGAGTTTTAAAAACCTCCTCCAACAGTCTACTCTTCCTGCTGATGGCGAAGTCAATTTGTCGACGTCAGAGAGTGACCACTCGATCCAGTCTGCAGAGATGGATCCAGCATTGCTTGGAATTGATTTCTTCGCGAGTGACAGGGTGTTGGAGGCACTAGAAGAGTGTCTCGAGGACAGGTAATGCCTCGTTTTTGCGCTTGGACACACCTGACTTGAAAGTATTACAGTGAGGATGACGTCGACGTGGGATTGGCGTGGTAGCTGTTTTTTTCTTTCTCCCTTTCGGGTTCTGTTTTCTGTTTTGGCGCAGTAAGTAACTGCTCATCGATGCGCTCATCAGTCTGGTCTTTGCTGATTTGTTGGTCACAGTCCTATGTTGTAGTCTATTTGCCAAGGCCCGGGACTGTAGATACCCACATTTGTATATTTGGCTCATAAAAATTTCATCAGCGTGAGGTACATGAGAGCTAACTACTGGGTATATGTCGTGAGCGTCATAAGCATTACTGAGTAGAATAAACAACGCCGACTGTACTTGGGCAAAAGATTAGGTAAACAAGTCGAAAAGAATCCAATGCAAACAAAAGACGAAAAAGAAGGAAAGCCAGCCACTCAAGTAAGACTGGGCCACTTCAACCGCAAACCCTCTAACCAGCGCATGTAGATGAGCTCTGAAATAGCAGACTTCTTCTGAGGTGCCTCATCTGATTTGGCGGATTCCAAGGTGGGCGGTAGACCCGAGACATCTTCCTGGACTTCGGTGACAACCAATCCTTTGGCGGTCATTTCGCTTTTCCGAATGATACGTTTGTGAGGGAAAAGACTCCGCGAAGTTTGGACATGCTGTCGAACGGCCGCGTTGCTGTCAGATAGCGTTAAATGATGTCAATGAGAAGAATAGAAATAACTTACTCGTTGATCCCAGAGAGAATGTCCAGAATAACATTGTAGGCCAGTTCAGGGTTGGCTTCCTTGAGTTCAGTGAAACCCCTTGAGATCATGCTCAGTGATTCAATTTCCCGCGCATCCATGTCGTCTCGGGTAGCCTGAGCAAGATTAATAACTATGAGAACGAGCAAAGCATGAAAACTGACGGATTGTAATATCGGGAGGACCACATCGTCAACCAAGCTTCTGCCTGCTTTGACGGCTTCACTGGTGGCTCTCCGATGTGACGTCGGTGAAGTAGGACCAGAACTGCCGCTTCCCTCTCGCCTCATGCTGCCCACATACTCAGAGGACAACCTCAATGAGCCAACCGTGTCAACTTTCTTGACCGGGCGGATGGTATCGACACCAGTGCCGAGATCGGCTTCCCTCATAACGGTACCGGCACCGTTCAGAGAGTTACGAGCGGCATACGATGAACGACGACTGTTCCGAACTGAACCTGAATAGGCGGGAGGGGCGCCGAGACCGAAGTTGTCTTGGGGGGGAGTTTGTGGGTTGTCAGAGTGGGTGTCTGCAGACGAATCATCTTCTAGTAATGCCGGGACATCTTTCTCGTTGGGAGGTCGTATGAGGACAGTTGAGTGTGCCGCCTGAAGCTGCATACCAATACCAGGAATGGCATCACTACCCTTTGTTGCTCCACCAGTGTCAATTGAGCCATGGAGTTCTTCATCCGAATCGTCTGCATCTTCGTCCAACTCCATCCCTGGAGGCATTTCCAGGTCTTTCGCCATACTCCGAAATGTTCCCATAGCCGAAACTGATTTGATGGTGTCAAAGTTCCAGTCGCTACGGATGGTGCCATTTGCCTCCCATGGTCGAATGGTGGGTTGGAAAGGCTGGTGACCACCCTTCTGTGGCGATCGCGCTCGATAGTCTTGGTAACGCTCAATTAACTCCGTCAAATACGAGGTTTTCCGAGCAGCGCGAATAAAGCGATGCTGAAGGAGCTCATTGGCAGTCGGGCGCTATGAATAAATTAGTCTTTTGTTTAGACAACAACCTCCAAATGAAACAACTGACGGCATGAGGGTCCTTTGTGAGACATTGGCTCACGAAGTCCTTGAACGCAGCAGAAAACGGTCCGTCAAGAACGGGCGGCTTTGCTTTCGGAATGAGGAAGAGCACACGCATTGGGTGGTACTCTGCAAGGGGTGGTTCACCCTTGGCCATCTCTATGGCCGTAATTCCCAGACTCCACATATCGGCTTTAGCGTCGTAACCAGCCTGTCGGATAACTTCAGGAGCCATCCAAAATGGAGTGCCCACAAAGGTGTGTCGCAATGTGCTCGTCAGCTGGGCAGCAACTCCGAAGTCCGCAAGTTTGACTTTGCCGGATGAAGAGAGCAGGATGTTGGCTGCCTTGATGTCGCGGTGGATAGTGCCTTCGGTGTGAAGGTAGTCCAGACCGAGAAGGAGTTCGCGACAAATGACGGCGATATGGGCTTCGGTAAATGTCCCAGCTTTGAGTAGGTCGAGACAAGAACCGCCGGCCAGATACTCCATGACAATCCAAAGCTTGTATGCCACAACGAATGACCCATAATAGCGCGTCACGTATTCTGAATCGCACTGGGCAAGACTAGCAATCTCTTGCTGGATTTCCGAGATGTCGTCGTCCGAATCCTCCAAATCTAGCCGGCAAGTAAGACAAAAAAGAGCCCAGAATGGAGTGTGAAGCACGCACCAATCTGCTTTATAGCCACGATTTGCTTCGTATCATTATGCATTGCCTTATAAACAGTCCCGAAACTTCCTGTGCCCAGTTTTTCGAGGAGAGTGTACTGGCTGGCGGGGTTGCTGCTGGGGATGGGGACTGGCTCCCGCGAGCGAGGGCTTGGCTCTGGAGAGGCCATCTGTTGCTTTGGGGTAATATCGTCAGAGCGCCGTCTAAGACGAGAGCCGGGGGCCATCTTGAGAGCAGAAGCCAAGCCCTGACCTCATCCGGCTGAATGATGGGGCCCCACGTGCAACCTCGAAACGAAAATTACTGCACTCACCATTGGTCGGCGTTAAGAAAAGACTAAGGAATCGAGGAGGATTGGGGTGTACAATTCGAACGCGTTGGAAGGAGTGGCGCCACCTGGGTGAACGGAGTCAATCGGTTTACAGCCCTTGGCACTGGCTTTAAACTGTGACGCTGGGTCCGACCCGCTTTGGTTGTATGGTACGATAAAGAGAGAGGAAGAGAGAGAGAGCCGCAAATGACAGTGGAGCTCCTGAGGGTACAGTGTCAACCTCCGTTGTTGCGTGTCACGTCCAAGCATAGTTCTCGTTGTCGTGCATAGCATACTACAAAACAGGAAAAAAACACATATGGACCGCCTATGCTTTGACCGCGTATTTCCGCAGAGGGAAGTTCTGGTCCTTCTTTCTCTGCTTCAAGGTCTTTAACGAGGCATCGTGCTAAATAGATAGAATAAGATTAAAGCGTCATTATTAAACCAACGATCTACTCACCTTGGACAAACGCCGCCGGATGGCTCGGGTTTTCTTCGCCCTGAGATCAAGAGGGAGGTAGTTCTTGTTCTTGTAGTACTCGCGCAGATTTTGGCGAGCCTTTTGGTTCATCACAGTCAAAACGCGGGCAATGGATTTCCGGACAGTGTTTCTGGTCCAAGTTAATTCCCAGACGACATCGATGAAAGGACGACGCACATTTTGGTAAGCTTGGATGCAGACCCGCCGGCGATTTTCTGCACACGCAAAGTGAGTAACTCGTTCTTGAGCTCGACGAGTTGCTTCGACAAGTCATTCTTCGACCTAGTTTTCCTCGTCAAAAGCGTTTTCAGATAGCCTTCAATCGACGCACTTGGATTGGAGTTCGTACGCCTTGACCTTGGCGGGCATCGTGGATTTTGGTCTTGAAGGATGGATGGATGGATGATCACGTGAATGGTCACATTCTAACTAGTTCACAAATTGATGCGCTACCAACTCCTCAAACTTGACTAAAGTCCCGCCAAATATATCCAAAGAGCTGCCCGATAAGTGTGCATCGAAATGATTGTCGACGACATACCTTCCATACGTTAGATCAACCTTTCCACCAGACAATCGTCGAACTATGTCGAGGTCCTCAATTGCTATCTTACTTTAGTCCAAACCGAGCGATTAGTCAGAGCGCCTCGCCTTTTGCGCCGCCTGCATAAGTGCAAGGTATTTGAACCCATTCACCCAGTCCTGCTCTTGTCAGACCTTAGAATTAACGGTTGGAAAAGTAGACTAACTTTGAACTAGCGCTTCGTCTATTCCCTGACACAGACCTTCAACGTCTGCTGCGTGGATCAAAAACTCGCTGAGATGCGTATGCGTATGACTTGGATGAAGTGCAAACTGGAACCGCGAACCTGCAATATTCAGCCAAGGTGTCCAAATTTTCTGTAAGGTGGATGAACAGTGCGCAAACCAAAATATTTGCAACAAACCTTTGGATACGATCATATCAGTAAGGTCTTGCCACTTATTCATAGCTACAATCCAGTCCTCTTCTCGCCTGCGACAGCTTTGTCTATCAGCCATTGCATGCTTCTCTGAACGAAAAGTACCTCACGTCCACGACCAATCTACCTTTGCCAATCAGAGAAGAGAGTTGTTTCAAACGATCCAATGAGAATTTGGCCCCCGGGAACAGATACGAGGTGACGATGACCTGGTGGAGAATTCATAGATCTGCCATTTACCAAACTTGACTTCGAACTTTGCTAGCACCAGCATCGAGCCAACTTTGCGCATTTTCCACCGTGATGCCCCCGCCGATTTGCAGTCCCCCTGTGAGAAAGCTATCGCGTCTGCTTTCAACGATGTAGACAAAGGGAATGACCTGGCCAGACAGCAAGTGCTTCGCGCGCTGCTTGGTCGTTTCCTGGACCCAGCTTGATGACATGACCACCCACTAAATTATGCTCTCTGTATAGTCGCGCAAAGTCAGCAGCAGATTGACTATCTTGTGCATTGGTCTCGGGTTGATTCCGCAAGAAGTCAGACAAGCCTTGAGACAAAATTAGTTCTGAGTGCATCTGGTGCTGATTCCGAGAGTGTGCCGCCAACGATCTGCTTCACTTTGCCGTCGTGAAGGTCGATGCATGGTCGAAACATGGTCACGATGCATAGTCACGGTGACGTCACGCGTCATTAATATTCAAGCGACTGTTCCAACATTTTTGTCAAATGCTCTCGGCCATCTTCGTCCACCACATCTCCAATACCCGGCGCGAGATCCAGAACGCGTCGCTAAGAGTGAAAAATGAAAAGGCGAACATAAACTAAATGATGCCGTACCTGAGGAATTGTTCCTTCAACCAACATAGGGATGTCAGCTGTTGTGTAACCCAGTGCTTTCAACCCGCGAGGGACGCCAAGTCCATCTAAGAACCGAGCTATGGTATCATATACGTGAGCGCCGATTTCTGAGTCCGGAATGCGCGTAATTGATGGGTCTGATGGGCTAGTGTTGTTGAATACAGCCAACACTTGTCGATGCCTATCTGGTGAAGAGGGAGCAGTGAACTGGAACACTAGTACATGGGGTCAAAAGTATGGCTTATAAAAAAGGAAATGAACTGACCTGCTGGGCCAGTGATGGCAACAGAGATACCGTGGGGGATGATTGGCTGAGGGTTAAGGTACCCAGGATGCTTGTACTTTGGTCCTTTTTTGTTTAATCCTGAAATCTTGATAGAGTCAATGACCTGCATAGAGGTAGTTTTCATCAGTATTTACCGGATAAGACATCTAAAATCGCGATGAAAAAAAGAGGCGAAGAGTATTTTATATTTACGCACCCCATGGCACAGATGCACGCCGGCATTGCCAAATCCTATGCCTGCGAAGGACGCAGCCAGCCTGAGGTCTTACTAAGCGATCACAATGAGCACAACAGGAGAGACGAACAGCATCTGTCGCCGCGCCTCGTCATCGTCGGTATTTTTGGCAACTCGAGGAAGGTATTTGACCGTAGTTTGTAAAGCCCAGAACGAAAAGACGTCAGCAACAGGATTGCTTCCCTGATAAGCAGGCCGAAGGATAGGGTTGGAGGGTCGGGTGCGTTTGGTATAACTGGTCAGCATTAGCAATAAATGGAGGCGATGAAAAAAAAGAAGAATACGGAATCGCGGTATAGCTTTCGAGACTGTGGAACAAGACATCAAGGCCAGCAGAAATGTGGACCTCACGCGGACATGTTGCCGTATTTTGGGTGTCCTACGAGCACATTTGCTTCCGCTTCACAAACAAAAATTTAGTAGACTTACCACGATACCAAGCACTGGTTTCAAAGCTCGATTGGCGATTCCCGTCTTGAATGACCGGGATGTAACATCAAAGATAGCGGCGCCAGTGGTTTCTGATCCTGCGCAACAATGAGAGGGTGAGGCTTACGACAATAATAACGTACCCGTTCCTGCGGTTGTGGGGATCGCAATCAACGGGCGGAGAGGCTGGGTAACCGGTAAGCCTGGAAAACGCGTCAAAGTTGACACGGTGGAACATTGACGAGGCAAACCTTTCCCGACTGGCGCGTTGACGAAGTCCATAAGTTGTGCCTCTTTGAAGACAGTGAATAAGTTTGCTGCTTTGGCTGTGTCGATCACGCTTCCGCCACCGACGCTACAATATCGTCAGTCAACACAAAATATTGAAGGGATCGTCGCACGCCAGGAAATGACTGAAGTCATGGGTGCGCGCCCACTCAATCGCGCTGGCCCAACTCTCTTCAGTTGGCTCTCCAGCCGGCAGTGCCATGACTTCGAAGGGGAGATCAGGTTGAACATCAAGAGACGCGAGCGTCTAATTGATTGTATTCAGACGCGCCACAGAAAAGGTATAGAATGCAGACCGCTTTCATTGGGTGAAGGCTGGCGAGATTCACGTCGGTGAAGACTCCGACCTTGTAGATTGTTAGAACACATTCAGTTCACAGGACGTCACGACCACCTTGCGAGCTTTCATGTTGGATAGATCGTACCCAACCTGAACACAATGTCAGTGTAGAGGTGGTTGGATCCTTTTCAATGTTGGACTGACTTCACTCGTTACATTTGAGCCAAAGCGTAGATTGGAAGCTGCAACCTCAAATGCGTATTCCTTGTTGTCGACGGGTGTCGCATAACGCCTCAGTTGGGAGAGAGCAGCGGGTGTTGACGCGGCATGGTGGGTGGTATGGCAAGGGCAGGTGGCGGAGTGTTGCGATACATGGTTGAGGAGACGAGCTATTGAGCGAGTTGAAGCCATTGGGGAAGCAGATGTAGATTCACGAGAAGTTTGATCGTTGATGGGCTACGCCAAGTCTTTCGAGAGGCTTTGGTTCCTACCCCTCCGGCCTTGCGCACAGTCGTGGGCCACAAACGCTCCTTTTTACTCACCATGGTTCTCTCCTTCATTCTACTGCTACTCCTCCCTGTTACGCTTGCTGCCCGTATCTCTGTCGACCAAGTCCGACAACCGCAACGTAGCGGGAGCGTCCCCAAGCTTCACCACGTCCTGGCTGCCTCGAGCGATACGGATAACAATTTGGATATCAAGTGTGTTGCTGCTGGTTCTCTCCATTTTTTTTCTGAAAAAACAATTGCTCCTCAGCACCGTTCATGACCTGATTTACATGGCAAATGTCAGTAGTCGTTCCGTCGTCCCACAATTCTCATTAATCAGACTTCTAGTTAACTGTCGGCGACTTTTGTGCGCTTTCCTTCCACTCCTTTGCTTAAGTCTAATAAGGTCCAGCCTATCCTGTTCAGCTGGACACCGGCTCGTCAGATGTCTGGATCAAGGGCCCGACATCACCTCTTCCCAACTGCACCGATACAGTGCGTTTTTTTTCTTCTGAGCTTATGAGAAAGACTGCAACTCACGCAATATAGCCGCTCACCTACAATCTCACTGTGCGCTCCCCAACCTTTTCTCACATTTCAACTCATCACATTTCAAGTACGGAATCGGTTGGGTGTTTGGTCATATTGCGTATGGGCCAGTTAGATTCGCAGGGTGCGTTCTTTCGTTCTGGGGAGGCAGCCAAAAGACTAATACTGAATAGAATCAATGTCGCGTCTCAAGCACTCCTTGATGTTTCGACGGCCAACAATCCCGCCTTGGCCTATGGAGCACAAGGCCTTGTGGGACTTGGATTCACCTCTCTGTCCTCCATCGACCATGCTCTTAACCAGACCGGTGCATCAACTGGGCGCAGTCTGCTGTTTAACCTATTCCAAGACAACCCATCTGAACCCAACTTCATCGCCTTCTCTCTTCAACGGAGCACAGATTCCAGCGCTACGGTTCAAGGCACTTTCTCGATTGGTGAGTGGATGCCGCCGAACATCTGATCACAGCGCTTAACATCTCACCAGGTGAGGTCGAACCGCAATATGCCTCCGTGATGGACAAGGTCCCCATTCCTACCTGGCCAATATCATCTCCCAAACGCTGGAATGTACTTCTGGATGCTCTTCTTCTAGGAGACGGCACTATCATTTCCGTGAACACAACGGTCCCCGGTGCGCCTAGCAACAGGGCGGTCGTGTTGCTCGATAGCGGAACCTCGTACACGTAAGTTTCTAATGGTTCTTGATGCTTCTAGTTGAACTTGTTTTTAGTTACGCTCCACCGGAAATATGCGCGGCTATATACGGTCGTATTCCTGGTGCTTATCTCATCGACGGTCAATGGGTTGTCCCTTGTTCTGCCGAAGTAGATGTCGCTCTCCAGTTTGCGTAAGTTTAGACGCCCTTTTTTTATTCAATGCCGATTGCTCATACATTATAGTGGGCAAGTTTTGCCTCTGCACCCTCTTGATGTGTCACCCGTTAGTATCGTCAACAACTCCCTATGTGTTGGATCCTTCGTTCCACAAGCTGTCACAGTGGGGACTGGAGAATTGTAATGATTGTCATCTTTGTTGCCGTTCAAGACTAACGCTTGTTATCAGTGACTGGCTCATCGGCGACAACGTTCTGCGTTCATTCTACTCCCTCTACGACTTTGGAGATTTCGATGCGTCAAAGCGAATGGCAGATCCTTATGTCAAACTGTTGGATCTCGTGGATCCTATTAAAGCATCCAAGGATTTTCATGCAGCTCGTGGAGGGAATGGGGCCACCAACATCACGTATAATGTCGCCAACAGCACTGCGAACACAGCATCCTCAGTTTCAGTGTCGTCGGACGTGAACGACACTCTTAACAAGATTGTAATGTTCCTTCCAGCGATGCTAGGCATTATGGCCCTCAATGCTGCTGTCCTCATTGCTCTCATCATCTTTGGCATCGTCTTCATGTGTCGCAAGCAGCGCAAGACCAAAGCAACCAGCCGCAAAATACGTGGCCGCTCGACTCCCTTGCAAATTGACCCTCGCAATAGTTATGTCGCTGGGGCTGACCCACAACCACATGCATATGCGCCTGTTTCAATGGCAGTGACCGAAGACTTGGAGGGTGCTCGTCCAATGTCTGCTCACGCTCGAGACAGCTTTGCTGGAGTCCCGTTAATGGATCGTGCTCCAGTGTCAATGGCCATCAGCGAAGACGAGATGTTCATTCCACCTTCACCGACCGCTCGTCCCTTCAAGAGTAGTGGGTTACGACCCAAAGAACCAGAGAACCGTCCAGACAGTACGGTTTACCAACGTCAGCCTTCCATTGCGGTCTCAGATGACCAACCCTACGCGCCGCCTTCTCCTGGCTTCCGCAATTTTGATGGTCAGCAAGGAGATCGGCCAAAGAGTGCGGTATACCAACGACAACCTTCTGAAGACTCATTGGCTGCTCCTGCGCGTAGTTTTGACGAGAGACCGCGTAGCGTGGGTTACCAGCGCAGTCCATCAGAAGAGGATTCCGTTTTTGTTGCAGAACCTACTCAAGCTGCCCCAGATTACATTGTGTTACCACCTCCTCATCGCCAAGCGCCACCCCCACCCCCTTCCCGTCAGGCACCGCAGGCACCTCAACGAACCATCCCCCAACCCCCACCTGAAGACTCTCCACCCCTATCTTCTTCTCCAGAGCCTATCCTTCCACCACAACGCCGAGCTTCTCAAAACTCAGTACATGGCCAAAACGATCAATATATTGTACCCCAGCCAATGAGTCGCAACTCGACATACTCTACCCACCTGGTTGATGACCAATTCCCGCCTGCACAGCCACGCCAAATGACGCCTCAGCCTCGGAGAGATTCGTCTTACTCTGTTCGTCTAACGGACAATCAGTTCTCTCCGGGAACAAGCAGCCCAGGCCCTGTCCCTCGACCGCGACAACCCTCGAATAACAGTAGTCTGTTTGTTCCCCGCGAATTTTCGGGGCGGCCGGGTGATAGGCCTCAAAGCTTCGCGCCTGCTGACCCATCTTCTCTCGTTCCTCCAACACCAGCTTTCCACTCTGACGGCGGAGGACGGCCGAAAAGCATGGCCATGTAGAATGCTACCCCTCTTCGTCTCCGTTCCTATTCTTACGCCTGTCTTTACGCGGTTCTCCGGACTTTTCGCACCTATAGTTCCATTTACTAATCTCTCTGACGACGTGGATTCATGGTTTTTGTGTAGGCTTTTCTTCACGACTCGACACCACATACGTATTATTATTATCTGTATGGGTGGGTTACGAGCCGATGTAAACATGCTTTGAGAACTGAACCTCCTGTTATGATCCAAACCCTTTTTCATAGCTTGTTAATGGCCGCGTCTTCTCCCGCGTTGACGGCCTCAAAGCAAGTCTACGATCAGACCTTGAAAGCTTTCGAACGCGCCAGTCTCCGTCCCCCTCCCTGCTTTGGGACTTCTGGGAAAGAATACCCAGAGAAACGCGTCGTAAATGAGACCATCTCGTAGTCTCAACATCGCTTGTTGATCTACTGTTGGCATTCACCCAGTCGACTGTTTCGACGACAGCCTCAGACATTTTCACCACGTCGAAGGCCCACTTCTTGAGAGTGCGCGTGCTTTCCGGCAAGTTCCTCGACTTTCGGATAAACAGGCCCTCGCCAACCGAGTCGAGATAATTGACCAGACGCAAACATTGCCGCATGTTGGCGCCATTCTCGGTGGAGCGGGCGACTCGCAGCATGGCAGACATGGTTTCCGGATCTGGCCCAAAGGCGTCAGGTCGCCGGCTTTGTCGAGGAGCAGAAGAGACAGCGCCATCCATGAAATCATGACAATGGTAGCCCGTCATCATGTTGAAAACCCGCGTTGCGATAGTCCAGTCCGCCGCCTTCTGGCACGTGAGCAGAACGAGGATATATATCCAGCGTGTGGGCTCCAGTCTTACACCGTTGCGCGACGACCTCTGGGTTGACATCCAATCGAGAGTCTCCAAAGCAAGCCGAGCAGAACCCGTAGACTGGATTGCTTTAAACACGATTTCCATGTGTCCACGGTCAATGATGTCGGCCCCGCCATCGACTCCTGGTCTTTTGAGGACTTGGTGGAAAAAATGGATTGCCTCTTGTGGTTTTTCGCGGTTGAAGCATAAGGACAGCGCGGCAGCAAGACTTGGTGGAGTCAAGGCAAGTTTTGACGATGCACGGGGCTCGCCAGACAAACTGAGCCCAAAATGCTCCCTTAAAAGCTGAAAGGCAAGTTTCTCCTCCGCCAGTTGTCCTTTAGATAGTGCAAGAACTGCAGAGGTGACCAGAGCTCCGTCGACGTCAAGCTTGGGAAATTTGAGCATCTCTCGCCACAGAACCCTTGCATCCTCCGCATTTTTCTGGCTTTGCTCGGGTGATGCTTTGTCGCTGGACAGGGCCCGGAAGATTGCAGTCATTAAGAACTTGGTTGGAGGTCCGTTTTTGGTTATGACATAGTACAGGGCGAAAAGCTCGTCAAATTGCTCAGCATTGCCTAGGATAGTCGCGTAGGCTGGTAATGGGTCTATCTCAAGTTCCGCGTTGCGTGGATCACGTTTCTTGAGATCTTCGGCGTGCCTTTGGTAGGCGCTATACAACGAACGGGCGTTTTTAAGTTGTTGTTGATGGGTTGACCAGTCTTCAATGTGTGACAGGCCAGTAAACATCGTTTGGAATGTCCTTGTAGTGGCACTGAACCCTCGGCGCTTCATCTGGTGAAATGTGAGTGAAAAAAGACATAGAGGTTCAAATCACTCACGTCGGTGAAAAGCTCGTAGGCAAGCTTGAATCTACGGGCCTTGGAGCACTCCCATATCAGCGTATTCCACACCGGCGTGTTTTGTGCAGCCAATGGAGCGTTTTTCAACATGGAAACGGCGACATCGAGCTGGTTCTTGTCTGCAAGCTTTTTGAGTCGGCCAGAAAGGACATGGGGCTCGAGCGGATGGAGAGTTTTAGGCTTTTCATTCGTCTTCTTAGGCACATAATGGCGAGAGCGGAACGAGGTCGCGTATTGTCGACGGAGGAAAAGCATCTGCCCGCGGTCACATGGTCAGTCCTCAACTCCTATTGGCTGACGCGTCAAGCTCGGACTATCTGGCGAACACGTCTACTTAAATGGGACGTCATCGCGTTTCTTCACGACGAGATGCTCTTCCAACTCCTCCTACTCTGCATTGCGACCGTCGCCGCACTTCCCACCTGGGAGGGCCTGAACAACCGCGCCGATTTCATGTCAGAATTGGTCCCAACAACGACTCACATGTGCGTCAACTCTCTGCATTCAAACGCGTTTGCTAAATTAAACCAATAGCCAAGTCTTTGGTGGGGACATCAACTCTCCCAACCATCTATGCAGTCATACACCGGGTAAGGAACAATAACGAGGAGTTGCTCTGGCTTACTTTGCTTGAGGTGAACCGGGAAACGTCACATTCGAGCCCACTTACAAGCAGACCCCAGCACTATTCTCTATCTCCCAGCAACAACTATGGCAGTATAAGAATGCATCCACGATATATCCCGTCGCGGTAGTCAACACAACCTTGTTCGGCACCGACGACGGCCCATTCCTTCAGCTTGTCTTAGGAAAGCAACCCCGAACTTCTTCCGTAGTATCTGGTGGCTCGTGGAAATGGCGGGGGACAATGCTCAACTACTGGTATGGGCCGAAATCCAACGGTGGTGTCTACTTTTCTTGTCCGACGGGTGGTTCCCGTAACGGTCTCTTTACGAGGCTTGGTCTGTGCGTAAAGTCCCTCTCTCCACGCATCCCCGAATTCATACCTGGAAACAGGGGTCCAACTCCAGAGGGCTGTCAACTCGTAACTTTGCATAGCTTCTCGACCAAGATATGATACGAATAGCCTTCCATTGCATCTAGTGTACAAACACATTTCACGACTTGTGGATTCGCAAATCAACGCGTCTGGCTGTTAGTCCAAATGCAAAGATGCTCAAGAATGCGATAGCCACGGCTATGGGCTTTTTGAGATGAGCTGACAGAGGAACTTTGTAAGAGACCTGTATTTCTCAGATCAGCTTCCGGTCTGGCTCTAGGGAATTCCTCACATAGATAGGGAGTGCATGCTTCTCAGTGAGATCTTTGAAGTTCAAGGTAACAGCCGGGCGTCCAACAGTGTCCAAGTATGTGACATGCGTCGATTGGGAGCTCGAGGTTGCCGGGAATGGAGTCGCAAATTCAACATCGCTATCATAACATAAGTTGAAGTTAGTTTAGTGGTAAGCCAACTTACGTGGCGCCTTCTGGCAGGATGATGGTGACTTCTGCATTATTGACCACGGTCGCGGGCATGGGCGTCAAGACGGGCACTTGCAGAATGTACTTGCCAGAGCGTTTGTCGTAACCAGTAGAATCCTCGAGGGGCGAATCCCACCCCAGAGTGAAGCTGTAGTTCCAACCGCCCATAATGGGGAAACGCGGTCGTAATTCAAGCACGCTATATTGCCTGACTTGTGAGCTTCGTGGGACAGAAGGCGCGGTACGGAGACGAGAGGTCGACACATTCCCGTTGAGATCATAGTAGTAGGTGTTGCGGATACCAGCCGGGAGATGCAGCGTCATTCCAGGAATGACATGGGGCAGAGTGCGCTTATAAAACGTCTGAGTTTGGTGCTCGAGACGAGAGAAATGACCCTTCAAGCTGCAAGCCGGTTCAGGACATTGCGAGTCAAGCAATAGCAAACTAAACGTACGCAGGCCCGGAGTTACGAAGGTGAATATGGTCTTCGATGTTCAAGTTACCACCCCAGTGGCTGACTTCCGCATAGCGATGGAGTTGAGGGATTTCAGCAACAGGAAAGTCGTAGACATAATGGATGACCACTCGTTTCTGTTGTTTGGAAACGAACTCCTCGTCCGTAGACACAGGAATGTTGTTGTACGGTCCATAGGTGACAGTTGCGCCGGATTTAGTAACAGTCGCGTCATGGGTGAAGGCCTGAAGATTTTCGGGGGTGGTGTAAGAATGAATGTTGGGTGAAGGTGACCTTGGTCAATGTTAGTTGGCCTGAATAAATGTGAACCTCGCACTTACTTTATTTTGGTGCGCTGAACGGCTGAACGGTACGGGCTAAGGACAAAAAGGTCTGTCTCATGCTTGAGAGATTGCTCCTCGTTTTGTGCTGCTGTTTCAGGCCACGGATACGTGGAATGTGTGAGAACCGACTCGACGACGATGTTGGTAGAGGAGCCAACGGAAGGAGCTTGAGGCAATGAGATATCAACAAGGTAAAGACCACTGGATGTCGCGTCAGAATCAATACCGGAGTGAAGCGTTGGACACGCACTTCGAATCGACGCCGCGTTCAGTGATAGTGAGGGCCTGGGGTTGTCCCTTAATCTTTGCTTCCAACCAGCTCGTCTGCCTCTTCTCAGTTTCGGAGAGCGCGATAGTGTAATGGTTCGCGTTGGATTCAAGCGCCTTCACAGCGTATGTTTTGGTGACCTGAACAAGCGAGCCCCCAAGCTCAATAGTGCGCACAATGGCAGTATTCTCGAACGTATCTGCGCTGGCCAAGCCCAGCAACGAAAAGGAGAGGAAAGCCCACCGCCGTAGCATGGGTGTTGGAGGAAAGAAGAATACGTGTCAATTGAAAATAACTGATCTACCAGGCCCAAGCAGATCCAACATTTCGTAGAGGCACATCCTCTCGTGTAACCGCTGAAGAGACTATTCTACTCAATTTCCGCTTCCTGGCTTCAGCCTTAAGCTGCTCAACCGTTTTGCCTTCCTTCAATACTACCGTTATGCTCGAACTTGGTTTAGTTCGAACACCACGATGACCACGTCCTTGGGCTACCATTTTCCTAGACCTTTTCGCCCGCTTGCTTACCCAGGCCTCAGCTATGTAACTGTCAGATCAAAATCTCGGTCAAGAATATTATGGAGAGCATACCAACGACGAGCGTAGGCTCATCCATCTTCCTGAGGCGCACGGCCCTCTGCTTAGCCTCAAGGAGCAAGTCCTTGATTTTCGAGCTGGCGCGCTTGTTACTGAATTGCATTTGCAGGATAGCATAGTCAATAGGTTTGCCTGCTATTTGTCGGCCCAACTTGTTAAGTTTCCGATGCGATATTATGAACGGTGCGGTTGTGGATTTTTGCTGTACGAAGCACCATGAGCCAGTATAACCCAGAGGGTGGGTCACGCACAAATGCTACTTCATATTTGGAAGACAAGGGCTTTGCAGGCTGAGGCGTTGCTTGCGAGGGGACAACTTGAGCAAAGATACTCGTGCTTTTCGCAGGTTTCGCAGTGGGCGTCTGGGGCTTGCCTTCTTGCGTTGTCTTGGCCCTCGCTACCTCTTGTTCTGCAGGAGCGGGAGAAAAGGTCTTTGACAGCCAGCTGATGGGACTGAAAGAGCTTTCACTGAAGGAGAATGAATATGCGACAGCAATTCGCGTATATATACACACTAGCGTCGAGATGCAGGAGTTAGGCGCGAAGGGCCAGCCTGAATCCACCGAGTGAGCATCAGCCAAAAGTGTTGTGTGACAGTGAGCGTGACTAGCGCTGAACACGTCTCCATGCTCGCTCTCGCTCCAACCAAGATGTTTGGGAAAATCCTATATGTTTCCCTTCTCTTAACCAACTCGATGGCTGTTCTAAGCGAAGACCGCTTTCTCGCTCGCAGTATGCTGGAATCTGCCTCTGAAAGTATTTCGCTGAAAAGCCCCAGTTGGCTGGACTTCTTCTTCTTCACAAACGACAAATTCGAATGCGGGATTTCAACAAACTTATGACCCCCAAACGGGTTACGGTGTCCAGCAGGAAGTGGGGATCAAGACTCGTTTAATAGACCTCATTACCGCAGTGCGGACTCTAATGCGAAGTACGTGTCCAACCCTTGCTTGACTTTACTTGACCTTTAACCTAGTTCCTCTCATCGGCTTGAATATCCTCATCATAATATATAAACTGACGCTGGGTTAATATACTTATTCGCCTTCCTGGGTCAGTCATGTTGGTCGTTCAAAGTTCAAACGCTTAAACTCCTCGTTGATTTGCTTCACAAAGTCATCCACGCCATGGCCGCGCTGTTTGTCTCAGAACACGCTAAATTCGACGGTAGCCGGGTACTTACTTCGCAGTCTTGCCAAGTTCCATCTCGTATGCAGACTTTCTTCTGATTGATCAGGACCGTGCAACTTTTCCTGTGGGCAGAATTAGCATCCATTTGTGTTGTGCCATGGAATTGTACTCGATCTGCAAGGAGTTTCCTCGCTTTACGCTCTCCTGCAACAACCCGACTCCCTCGCCACCTTTTCCTGCACAACGCCCCTCACGACTGCTTTCCCAGTCAATGTCGATACTATTTCCACACTCAACGGCCACGCTCGGAAGGCCGATTTGGAAACGGCCATGTTTGTTTTGGCATTGAACAAAGTCCCACCAGCGTCGGGAATATCTTGTGACACACAGTTGTTGGACATTTCCTGCGCATTCCCCTGGTCCATGCATGCATGTAACACCGAAATCGGGTTCTGTCTCGTTGATACTTGAACGCTGGGGTTTGATGAGTGATCAGAAATAGCGGAAGAGGCGTACTGTGCAACGTAGACGAGCGAGAGGTCCATCTTATCTCCTACCTTTAGGCGAACTTGATCGAAAACAGCCTCGCAAGCAATCGCATCGGGGCATCTCAGTGGAGTGAGACATTCCCCCAAATATATATGGCCAGATGTGGATTTACCTGCTCATCACCCCGAGTTCTATAGGAACCTTGATTGTTTGATGTTGTGTGAAAGGCTGTTGAACATGACCCGCCGCAATGGCGTTTGCGCAAAGCACCAAAGACAATGCATAGTAGATGCTCATGGGCGGCGGGTTCAAGCAACGTTTAGTCAAGCGATGGCGTCATGTTCGCCATTTCCATTATAAATTGCGCGTCTTGGTAGTTCTGGTTTCACCCTTGTCTTTTGAGTCCAATTTTACATAATGGGTAAAACGATACCGTTAACGAGCTGAAGTAGAGCTGAAGGAGGGGGGGCGTCCCACCAGTACCTTGTGCTAGTATTATAACGTTGAGCGTTCTGTAAATTCCCTCAGAGATGGCATGCTGTTGATGATAAACAAGACTTTTCGACCTTGTCAAAACTGCTGTGCACTTTCTTGACCCCCCGAGGGCATCGAGCCAAGAGTTTCCTTTTTCGGCGACGAGCGTTGCACATTTGATGCGCCGCTTTGGCGCCAACAACTCCCAGGCCATGTTATTTGAATCGTTCAACTTGCCTTATATGGGACACTCTCGGAAATCTCCCGCAGGAATCAATTGCTGTCTGACTTCTAGCGCCTGTAAGCATTCCCAACTCGTGGTTTTGTGTGGGCTCGTTGACAATGGTGTGAAAATATGTCAGGTTTCTGTGCGAACGATCAATAAGACGCGAGTATTTTGGGTTTATTGTCCTTGCATCCTCTCAGCGTCAAAATCAAAGCGGCGATCTAGTAAGGCTTAACGTGAAACAAATCGCACTGCTTGACTCTGATAGAATATAGAATAGAGACTATTGATATTTTGCTTCCAAGCCCTCCCGGTTCTTTCTCCGGCAGATCTTGGGTATGTAACTAATGCGGGCCAGTTAGTGGGCGTCGAGTAACGGGCCCGAAATATTGCTCAACTTGTGGTCCTTAACGCGGTGTTTGTGGAGACGAGCAGGATCCTTGAACTCGAGGGAGCAACCTTGGTCCCTGCATTTATGTGGCTTTTCGCCAGTGCTAGAGAGGAGAAACAATGAGGCTATATTCTGTCTCTATCAGTGCCGACTCACTGTTTGTTGTGATGAGTTTGCATTGCGGTCTTCTGGAAGAAACGTTTCCCGCAAAACTCGCATTCGAAGTCTCTGCATGACTAGTGAGAGAGAGCGTACGACATGAGAGAAAATCACTTGACGCCGAGGTGAACAGACGCAATATGCCGTCTGACAAGTTGGATCGACCCCCAGTATCCACATTGCTTTGAGCAATCTTTTACGCTCATCTGTGCGCAGCGGAAAATCTTAGAATTATACAAATCCTTATCCATGAGAGCATCTAGTTTTTTGATGAACTCCTCTCGCGATTCCTTGCCGTTCAAGTTGGAACTGCTGTTTGACGGCCTTGCTGACGGAGCACACACAACCGTCGGCATGGGGGATGAAAGCTGTGTTGCTGCTGAGTGCGGCTCACTGATATCACCAGTAGTTTTTGATCGAGGGAGTTCAGAGTGCTGTGACGATGATGCGGGCGGTGTGGCCAAAAAGACAGCTGGAGGCGACTGCGACGGACTGGATGGCATGATTGGCGAATGAGTATAGGTGCCTTGGCGAGGAGGGAGGTCACTGTCATATGCGCTTGGTGACGAAGGAGAAACAGTATCCCTTAAAACAGTTAGCAAGCGCACAATATATACACAAGACGAACAAAAGGGAGTCCGAATCGAGTGGGTTGAGGAGACGGGTTAACGGAGAAATTGATCTTTGTGTGCGTCAACAATGGACTCGGAGAAGATGTCACGAGAACGTACAAAGCCTCAATTCTTCGAGTCAGTGCACGCAGTCGTGGAATCGTAGCACGAGTTCCCGGCAGTGAAGCAGAGTCGATCCTTTCTTGTTGAGGAGAGCTGTCGGTTTTGTTAGAACTAGCAGCAAACAGTAATTTCTCACCGTTGTGGGTTGTCCCTCATCTCGAATGAAGCTCGGAAATCTGGCCACATATAAACTGCGCAGGGAGCCAAGTCTGTCGAGAAACGCGGAATGGGAGGAAACTTGAGTGAATAAGACCAAGATGGAGAGCTGTGACAGGATGTTTTGTTCTGACCCGTGGAGAAGACAACGCTTACCTTATGCTCCCCGTTTCGGTTTGTGGAACCGACCTTGAATCATCCTCGGTGATAGAGTTTGTATCTAACAAAGACTGCCGAGGGTGGTTTGATTTCGACGTCGCTGGAGATACCGCTCTGGAGCAGAAACCATGTCTGAAAGGGCGATTCTGAGCCTCCACTCACTGACCACAGAGAGGAAAACACAGGATACGCGATAATCAACATACCTCAAGCCATTTAAACCGTCGTATGTATCCATGATGGTTGTGTGGGCGCAGAGAATTCTGACTTGCACGCTGCCCGGCGAAGGAAAGTAACTGCAATCGGGGGGCTGACCGGTCGTGGTGGTAAGAGGAGAGAAGGGGGGAATAATGGACCCACAGCATATTTGTTCAAGTCAGCGACCACTCAGTGAGCGCTAAGCGAGTTTGGACTGGTGAATCTAGATCTGGATCTGTCAACATAAGTAACAGAAGTGGACAAAAGTGATTGAGTCGTGGGTTATTCGATGGGTCAGCGACCGCGGCGATTATTGACAAAAGGAATTACACACAATCAGCACAACATATAGACGTACACACTACAACCGGTTAACGCGGTATCAATTGGTTCATCTATGCATCTTCGTGTGTGGGAGGCAGTCGAGAGGGCATGCTGACGCTCCAGTCGTCTTCTTCCTCGATGGACTGTGACCCAAATAGGTTACTGGGTAGCGACTGGGTTTGCATCAACCGCCTGGGTTTTGCCTTGATGACCCGCTGCTGGAAACTGTCCACTGCCATTTTCCTGTCCTCCGAGTCAGATGTTTCTTCATCATCTCCTTGCCGTTGCCGCTTCCGCGGAGAAATCGGCGGCTGTGGTTGTGTAGGTCCTGATGAGAGAACATCACGAAGGATGTCATTGGCGGAAGTGAATATGCCGGATTGTGCCGACATGGCCCGCGTTGGTGAAGGAGGGGCCGATGTATGGCGTTGAGTGGTATATCCTTCGGTCACGTCTGCGGTAGTGAGCAAAACGACGCGTCAAACGCGTGAAAAAACGCGAAAATGCGTTTCACATACGTTTTCTGACACGTCGGCCCACACTCTGTAATTGGAGAGCTAGCTCAGCAGGTGTGCTTCGAGATGTCTACAAGTCACGCTCGACATAGTAGCAGGTAGCTCACGAAGGATGAAATGTGTGGACACGACTGCTCTCCTGTGCCGCATCGGTCAATACGCGCTTGGGCTCCATGACGGTGGGAAGTGGGAATGTCACAGATCTTGTCACAACAATAACAATAAAGAACATTGCTCCGAGATGTTCGGAACCTTGAGGTTCAGAAACAGCGAGCCTGCCTGCGAGCTCCATATCCACACCAATCCATTCTCTGCTTTGCTACTGGCCGCGTTTGGTGAACTAATTCCAAGCTGGAGGGTCTGAGTCGTCAAAAAGAATTCTTGTTCAACTTACATACATACGTCGCTGGACTGATACTTACCCCCACAGTTGATTGTCGGAACAAGGACCAGTCAAAGACTTTCAGGAATGTCGTTAACTGTGGGTCCACCCTGGACATCAGAATCTGAGTGTTGCAATCTGAGGTATGACATAATAAATAATTAACCAAAACGTGACCTGACGGCGGTTTGTCTCCGCTGCCACACGGCCTTCGAGTCGGATATGGCGGGGGCGCGTCGGGTAGGCCTAATAGCCCTTGCATTGACCTGGGGGCTTGTATCCGCTATTTCTTCTTCTCCTGCTCCCCCACTCCAGTGGCTGAATCTTTCAAACCTTTTGAAGGGCACAACACGACCACCACCACTAAAAAACGCGGCTATTGGTTACGATGATGCCTCCCGAACCTTGATTATCTTTGGAGGAGAAGCCTCCAGTGGAATTGCACAAGGAAACACTTATCTGTGTGTTCTAGCTTATCATTTTCGACCAATCCTCCCTACTAAATCTGTTTCTCCAGCCTGGACTTGAAAACATTAACTTGGTCCATTCCGAACCCTCCGAATAACCTCAAACTCACGCCCCCAGCTCGTAGTGCCGCAGGTATGGGCTCATTCATCCTCCTGTCAAGCTCTCACTCGGTACAGTCTTTGGAGTCGACAGCGCGGCAAGCAAGTGCGACTTTGATCCTAAGATTGTGTCCCTTTCTCATCATCCTCATAGTCGCCATGGCTTCATTGTAATTGGCGGGAAGGGCGTGGATGGTGTGGCGCTCGACGATGCTTGGGAATTCGACTTCACAAACGGCTTTTGGAGTGAGATTGTACGTCACGTTCATCTTGTCCGAGTTACATTGTCAACTCAATCTCTTAGCATATAACGCCAGGTTTGTCGCGAAGCTGGTTACCCCAGAAGCACTTGTTAATGTCCCGGTAGGACATGGACCTGCTGCCCGTTGGGGAGCCAGTGGTGGGATCGACACACGTGTGGCTGCTGTTTCGGTACGGATGCCAGCAGGGATCATGCCTTCTTTGACATTCGCCAGGATCCTGTCTTACCTGGTCCCAATAACACCTTTTGGTATTGGGGTGGCTCAGACCCCTCACATTCTTTCTCTGAGCTCTGGCGGCTGAACGTGTCTGGAACACTCTCATCAAATCTGCCTGACAATGTGGTGGCTAGTTGGGAGCAAATTCACCTGCCTGCCCTTCCTCTCATCACAGGACAAGGCGGCAGCGTCTTGAAAGAGCAAGTTGTAACAATGGGGGGCTGTAATGCTACCTCTTCTCCTGACGAAAATTGCGCGATCCAAGCAACATACCTTATCAACGGCGGAAGTTCTACTGACGCGATAGCTCTCAACTGTCCCGCACCCCGACTTACTCCCGTCGTGATACCGAACGGTAACACCTTCAGTGCTTCGTTCGCTTCACAGGTAGATCCTTTGTCGATCATGAGTTTGTTTTACGAGGATGGCTAGATGTTCGTCATGCTGGGTACATTCAATTCCAGTTTGTGGGACGACGGCGCTGGCTTGAAACACGGTGAAGTCGTAGGGTTGATTTATTTCTTGCCTTGGAAGCGGTTCAAGTTGCTTCGCAGGCTATTGTGGACACAATGACTCGATCATGGACACGAATACTCCCAGCCGGCGATCCAGGTACCTCTGGCAAGGAAGCCTTTCCAACGCCTAGAGCAGGCGCGATAGCAGTTATGTTTCCCATTTCCCTGGTTGGTGATGCTCGGTCAACATCCAGCGACATTATTGTATAGCGATTCTTTTTACTTTTTCTCCCTCTTACTCTCATCTAGGTCTTTGGAGGCGTTGAAGAAGATGGAACGTACCTTTCTGAACTCTGGTTGTTGCGGTCATATAATGCTGTGGTCACAGAAGATGATCCCAGCTGGGCGGGCTTTGGCGACGGAACGTTGCAAACTGGGGTCAACGCCGCAGGAGCTGGTGTCCAAAATATCTTCATCACGAGTTGTGCTTCTCAGTTGACTCGGCCGTCCCCTCCTATCTCTTCACCCAGTAACCCGTCCTCTTCTTCCGACAATTCTACGACACCTAGTCCGGTCCCACATATCGATACATCCGTCCTCCACAAATCTTTGGCCCCCGTCTCAGCTGCACTACTACTCCCTTCATTCCTTGTCTACCGGCATTGTTCTCGCTACTTCAGCTTAGGCGAACCCCCTCTGCCTCGCTTCATGTTCTATCTTTCCATTGCCTCCGCAACAGTTAGTTATGGACTTGGGGTCGCTGCTTTGGCCATCGCATTCACTTCAATCCGCTCTTCCACGGGTGTTCCCCCACGACATCTGAGTACAACCCACGGCCAAGCGGGCCTCGCTCTATTTGTCTTGCTATACGGTCTCGTGCCCCTCACCGCTATTTTCATATCCATCAGAGATGCGAGGAAGTCACCCTCGAAATATCACAATACTCGAACACGTGCCAACTCTGATGCGAGCGAGAAAGACGTACGCAGTGCCCGCAGTCCATCGCCCACTCAGCGCAGAGTACAAACAAACTGGAGGAAAGGTCACGAAGATTCTTTTGACACTGGGTCGGCAGAAACAGGAGACTGGTTGCAGCCCTCGGTTCCTTCTTCCAAACGAACATTCGAGGTTCTTAACCGCCCCGCCCGCACGCGTCGCGCCAGCAGTAGTCGCCCATTGTCCGACACTTCACCTTCCCCGACATCTCAAAGCCTTGGTGATGTCGAATGGTTGAACCGAAGGCGGAGTCTTACAATAGTGGTATGTTTAATTGAACCTAATTGTTTTCGTCTGCTGATAAGTCTTAGGGGGAACTAGAGAATTCTTACAGTCCCCCTCCGCCTGTGGCACCCACCCCCCAATCAAACCCTGCCACCTTGATAGAGCCGCCACCCAGGCTTATACCATCGAAAACACTTGTGCTTGCACGGGTTTTGTTTCATGTTCTCATGCTTGCTTTCTGTGTCTTCACACTTGTCGCATTGTGGTCGAAAGCACCCAAAGGCGCGTTCGCCGCCTTTCTTGTTGTTGTTGGACTTTTCTACGCGACTCTTGCTGGCCTGGCCTGGAGTGGCCGGCCCGACCGATCAATACTTGCAATTCTTCTCCATCGCATGCGGGCTGAACCACCAACATCACCTCCTCGACCTTCAGTTTCGGATACCGATGAAAGCGGAGGCTTTCCATATACTCATCGACCTCCCTACCGAGCAGCCTTGGCTACAGATTATGTCAGCCCTGGCACTGGTGCAGACACAGAGGATGAAGATGACGACAGAGCGGAAGAAGAAATGCGAAGACGTGATATTTCAATGTGGACCTCCCAGCCCAAACGAGCACTTGTCATTACCAACCCCAGTCCTTCTTGATACCCACTGCATGCGTTTATATGTACCCATTTGTAAAATTATAATCAGCACGATGGTTGAAGCGGCTACGATACGATAGAAAAAAAGTGTCCGTCAAGTCTAACTACTGGCCATCCTCGAGAACTACATCTCGTCTCCACTTGTCAACGGCGCCGTACTTGGCCTCGTCGTGGACTGGCGCCATGGGAGAAGGTGGCATCATCATGGGAGGGGCAAAGAATCCAGAGCCCATCATGGCTGGCATGGCTGGGGGCGAGAAGAACATGCTATTGGTGAACTGAGCTTGCATCATCATTTGTTGTTGATGCTGCTGCTGAGCTTGCGCCATCATGTGGTACTGTGAACGCCTCTGTTGCTCAGGATGATATGCCAATGGCATGTCATCGTCTTCCTCCCCTCCACGACTCGAAAGAAACGACGGTGCAACTCGAGAGGCCCTCAGACCCAACGGTTTATCATCTTCCTCGTCGTCGTTTTGAGACTGTCGATCAAAGTTCAAGGATGGTAGACTGAGTTTAGATTTACGAAGAAGGGCCGAGAGAGGTTGTTCCTCGTCAGAATCTGGATCAGCCGACAGTTGCATTTGTGTTACTCGTTGTGCAGCCCGGTCTATCGTTGCAGCAAGCGGCATATCCTCCTCGCTATCATTGTCTTGGTCAGCAACTTTAGCCCGGGCAGGATAGCGAGGGCCAGTTCCAGGTTTTCGAGTGGGGCCATCCCCCTCGTCATCAGAGGACACCCATCCATCGCGCTTTTGAGCCTGTGGCTGTGATGGCCCCGCACCAACACTATCTTCACTATCAGAATCATTGGCCGGAGGCGGTCGACGAAGTCCTGGTGAAATGGCAGGGAGTACAGGCGGAGACGATGCAACTTTTGCATCCGATTGTGGCAAATCTGACACACTGGGTGACACTGAAACCGCCGGCGAGATATCATCGACATCCAACTTGTCTTTGCGCTTTTTCCGTCCCCGTTTCTTGCTCTCGCGTGCCTCTTCCTGCGCCTTCATCAGTTCCTGCTCTTCCTTCTCTCGAGCCTCAATCTCCTTCAATTTAACCATCTCCCGTTCCCAAAGAGTATCGACACCGAAAACGGAACGACTGTTGTTCGGCCGGGAGTTCGGGCCGAGTCCCGGTCCACCTCGCTTCAACTTGTCATCGTCATCGAAATTCAGCAAGGGTTTTGCGTTTAAGGAGTTTCTTCGCCCGAGAGCATTTTGCGATCCCTGAGAGTCGAATGATTTGTTGAGTTGAACCAACGGTCTCCCTTGTTCGTCCATCTGTCCGTCAAGGTCGATGAGGGTACTCTTCCGTTGCGCGGAGGTTCTTGCCATCATCGAAGGACGGGCATCACCAGTAAACACTCTATCGCTTGCTTAGAGACAAATTAATTGCTCTAGAAGATAGCGATCTCATACCTTTGTTTGCTTCGCATAGCGGCCTTGCGACCCTCCAAGTCATCAATCAGACTCTTGCCGTATAATTTCCCGGGAGGTCGGCCTGGCTTCACCTGATCTTCCGGTGATGCTGTGGTCTGCAATAGAGCTTCGTCTTCGGTTATCGGCGGGGTCTGCTGTACTTGTTCACCCTCCTGCGCTGCACGAGGAAGCTGAGCATCCAGGTCGCTATATGCCACATCCCGCTGCCCACCGACCATAAGGGTATTACGGAAAGTAAGCTGGGATAGGGTGAGATTCATTCTGGGGTTGGGAGTAAAAAGGTTGGATGGAGACGAGTCCATGAGTGTAGAGGACATCCTGCGTGAAGCACGAGCACCAGGCGGCAATGGGGGATCGGCTGAAGCAGAAAAGCCTTCCCGCGCCTGGGTAGGTTCGGGCGGAGGTATACCCGATGGTGGCTGGAGTGGACTCGGCATAACCAGTACTTTGGGCCGCAAAAGTTCCATTGTAGAATAGCGGCCATCTCGTGCTTGACCAGTCATTACAGACGCATCGTCCAACATCATCCTTGAGCCCATGGAAGCGTTGGACATTGTTCGAGCGTGAGCAGCCGCTTTAGGATCAAATTTAGACATCGAGGTTGGTGGTCGCAGAGCAAATGGATTGTCTTCAGTGAGCATATATCTTGAATTCATGCTTCCAACGGACATCCTCCGTGTGCGCTGGTCTTCGTCTTGGGAAGATCTGGGTTCGAACTTGGATGTGAAAACGGAGGAGCGGAAATCTTCTTGGCGCGGAGGAGAGGGAGAGCGAACAGACTCTGAAGGAAACGGCACGAGCGAGTGTGATGCCGCGCGAGGTCGTTGGAGTGGTATTGATTCTGTTCTCTCAAGATCGAGTGGTGAGCCAAATGACTTGCGACGCCCAGCTTCAATTTCGTTCGTCATTTGGTCTAAATTTCCAACGCTCATGGATCTCGTTGTTCTCGCGGGGGTCTCGCCAGCATAAGATGTCGGAGACCGCATGGCTACAACTGGCTGGGGGTTGGGTAGCGTCGATGTACGGGATCGTCGCTTGCTGTTCTTTGCTTCTGCAGTTTCCTTGGTCATGAATGCGTCGAGGCCCCATGACGAGAGATCTTGGATTGGAGGCTTCAGCGGACGACACGCTTTAACTTGCTTATTGTAGAAACTCACCAACTTCTAGCCTTTCCGCTTCTTCATCATTATCTTCTTCGTCGTCTTCATATTCACCGGTTTCCTCTGCGCCGAACGGATTTCTCAGCATGTTTATGGATGACCGCGAGCGTCGTCCGCTCAGAACAGATTCTCGCCCACCCACACTACCAGTTTCACTGGGCAATGCGACGCTGAGGTAGTCATTTCTCTTGGGGACATTCTGTCGTGGTCTTGCCCGTCTAAAGTTTGCAAAGATGGCGCTTTCTTGCGCTGAGCGCTGAGGCGCATCAGGATTTGTAGGGTCATTGTCGTATTCTATAGTGTGTCAAGCTATCAAGCCGTTGTGAGTAAATGCTTTAAAAAGAGTTACCTAGTAGGGCGGCAGCGAGCTGAAGACGGGAAAAGGGAGCAGGCGACGCAGCTGCCATGTAGTGGTTGGCTCCAAGCGAGCATCCTCGTGTTGTGACGCGCCTACTTCTAGGCCATCATGCTGGTCAATCTAGTTACGCCCATAGACTTCACTTCCAAGAGTAATAAACCAGCCCAGCGGAAATCTACAGTCTCCGCGTCGTCAGACTCTGTCGATCCCGTCACCCGCACCACTATTTCTCTCGAATTCGCTTCATTAGGTCACCGCGACCATTGTCCGCTTGGAATCTACATTCTCCCCTCACCAGACACAATCACAGTTTGGGATGGTGTCTTCTTTGTGCATCAAGGTATTCCCCTCCCCAACGCAGTCGCCGCAGGCATTGATTCCCCCCTCCAAAGGCTATTTTGCGGATGCTGTCTTCAAATTCCGGCTCACATTCCCGTCCACATATCCAGAAAATCCCCCCCCAAGTCAAATTCTCTTCGGACGTATTCCACCCGCTTGTGTCGCCCAACTCAGGCACCTTTAATCTTGCGCCAAGATTCCGTCCATGGCGGTAGTAATATTTTAACCTTGATTGGTCTTTACGGTGGGTAACATATCAACAGACCCAAAGAACACCGCGTCTTCGACGTGCTTCATTGGATAAAGGCGGCCTTCAAAAAGCATGCCCTCGATGCAATCAAAGAGTCGGATTGCTTGAACAAGGAGGCTTTCAGGTAAGCTGAGCTAGCTCCAATCCGATTTCAACTAAATAATGCGCCTTAGACTGTAAGCAGGCATAAGGTCTTGCGTTGGGCTATAGCTAGCTAACGCGCATAGCAGATACCACGAGTCAACCTCTTCATTTGCCAATCTCGCCTCTCAGTCTTCCTTGCTCTCACAATCAGCACCCTCCTTGTTCGACCGGGATCGAACAACAAGCAAAGGAGCTCCTCGTGATGCTCTGCCGTTTGTCGAACTTTCTTCAACCCAATTATCCTCTCAGCGCACCAGAATGGGCCTGAAGGAGTGGCCAGAGGTCGAGGAACAACCATAGCATTACAAATTGGATAGATAAACTAAGAAGGAATTCTAGGATTATATGGGACTTGGCTAAAGTACCGAATTCTAAAGGTCACTGGAACTAGAATCGCCGTTACCAGCCATGGCCAGAACAGGGTGGGGCTTGATCGTCTCGAAATCGTCAGTGTCGTTGTCCTGAATAAGATCAGGAAAAGTCCAGTCAAATAAAATGCTAACACACGTCAGACATCCTATGAAAGTGTTTGGAAAGCTTTTCGATCACGAGTGAATAGGGAAGATGTTGCGTTAGTTTCCTGTAAACCATTCAGCAGACAATATGGGGCATTCATAGACCAACTCACTTGCGAGCCTGTACATTGAGCGAATGGCGTGCATCCAGGGTTGAATCGAGCACATTTGACGAGTGCGCCCCTTCACTGAGCGAAAGCTTGATGGAGTATTCTTTGTCAGACATCCCTCGACCGTGGTTGCGTTCATAGAGCTCAAAAGTGATATGCGACTGGGATGATTTTAGCGACACAGTCAAGCAACGTCGTAAGACTGACACAATAGTCGAGTTCCGGAATCCTTCGATTTGCTATTGGCAGACCAGAATGCAGGACAAGATTAACCAAGGTATGGATATGGCTTTCCTTGGTGAAGTAAAGTCGCAAAGAGCTCCCACCATGATTTCGTGCGGCCTCTAGATCGGCAACGACATTTCTCAGTAGCGGTAGAGAGGTTAGAACGCCAATCTCTTCCCTATGAGCGATAAGCATGATGCATAGTCCGAAGAAAAAGCGGCGCACTTTTCTTCGGGCTCTATGCCATATTCCTGTGGGGCCACTAAATCGAATAAAGCTTTGGCGCGTCCATAGAGCTCGTGGAGTTTTCGGTCTCCAGGAGGCTGAGCAGTATCTGAGCGGCCATGCTCGTCGAAAATTGCAAAAAGGAAAGTACGGTGGTGGAGTGCGCAATACTTGATCGTATCGTATAGTTCGGAAACCTTTGGCTACTTTCAGCAAGCTTCAATAGGCCCAAAGTCGTACTACACACCCTGGACGGATCGAATTTTTTCTGCTCGACGTCGCAAAAGTCTTCGAATAATTTCTCCCACCGTTCACGAAATAGCCAAGGTTCATCACCACAGCACCTGTTGCAATTGAACGAACGAAAGAGGTGAGAGCCCGGAGAAGACCATACCATCTCTCTTGAATCTTATCAACATCCATATTCTCGAAGTTTTTGTGCATGGTGCCTCTGAACGAGCTCAGCAATTCGATGACCTCCTAGATTAGATCGCTGAGTCAGCAATACCAAATCTAAATCAAGACCCACTTTAACGACCTCAACGGGCTCTTTATTCATGCTCTTAGGCCATGTAAGCTCAGGCCTCTTCTCTGATTCTCCTGGACGCAAAAGGATTTTGAGTCGTTTCTTGACGTCATCCATCAGGTCCTTTGCGGCGTTTGAGTCGTCAAGAAGATCCTTGCGGACAATAAGGTTGAGGGGTGTCTGTTGTCCTTTGTTCAAGTTACTCATGTCAGTGGAGGACCGAGAGGACAGCGAGCTAGCGTTGGACGTTGGAGCTGAAAAATTGGAATTTGAGCTTGCCGTGGACGGTGGAGCAGAGTAAGCCGAGTTTTGGGAATCGACTAGAGCTGCTGCAAAAATTTCGGCGGAAGCAATGACACGCCGCTCGGAGGAAGTAAAGATCTATGGACGGTCATTCACAGAAGCATTGACATGAGTCCTCAAACACCTTGACATTGTTCAGTGCATCTTTGTCTGTGGCAACATCAGAACATGTTTAGACTGGTCTGAGTCGGCTCACTCATGATAGAAATGTCCTTTTTCATGTTTTCTCCCAAATCTCTTGACTGATAACGAGCCGAATGGGTAAATTCGCCACCCCTGATGAACGTTGAATCCCCCCAAAACGGCCAGAATCATCTATACGCACCACTTGAATACTAGTGTCAACTTGGTGAGTCGCCTGACTTGTCCCGCTTGACGCTTGGAGTAGACTGGTTTGAGCTGAGCCTTAGTACCAGGTAGGTCTATCTTGCTCAATAAAGCATTGCTGAGTTGGCTCAGTTTGGCAAGGTCTTCGCCATTTGCACCAAGAGTTTTCGCCTCGTTGACTGCAGCCGAAATAAAGCTGAGCTGAGTTTTCTCACGGAGGATAATTTCTTCCTTTTCGCCATTAAGTAGAGTGACAAATGGTTGCGTCCAATCTTCTCCGATAGGGAAGTTACTGTCAAATTTCTAAGTGGCTGCTGCCGACGATGAAAACACCCACAATTTGAGCTTTTGCTTCGGAGTCCTGTCAGCGTGGCGGAAGACCGTTACATTAGCCTTGAGAAGCCAAGTTGGTGCTTGTTCAGTGGACAACGGTCGGTCTGGAGAAACTGAAAGACGCATGCATAGGCCAGCCAAAATTTCGGCAGCTCTATCTAACCGAAGTTGCATCAGGCATTTTAGAATGAAGGCGACAAATACCATAATAGGACTCGTTCCCCTTGACAAAACTCCAGCCATTGACATCTATGACTTGACTTCTTTGGCCGCCATCACATCGCAGCATATCATATCCACACACTCGCTGACCAAAACCCTCGCAGATCTTTTTGGCCCAGGTCTTTTCCTCTTCACTCAGACGAGTGATGAAGCTGTGCCACAGTCAATCACGGAGGGAAGATGAAGGACCTATGATACCGTATTTCTTTGCCGTCAGTGTTTCTTCGGACAACCCCATCTACAACGGGAGATTTTCTGGTTTCGGCATGAGTGTACTCTTGTCCCACAGTGTAAACCTTGATGTCTTCCGAATTGTCCACATCAATGAATTGCTCATAAATGTACGATCCATCAGTTCGTGGATGATTCAGAGTGGGGTCGAGGTCACTTGATTTATTGCCGACCTAGAACGCTTTGTTTAGGTACACTGCTATAAGCAGGACGGCACAAACCTTTCTAAACAATCGCCGTCCACCTCCACCACGAAAATAGATGTAAACGTTGTGATCTTCGCCACTGACTGGTTTCTCCACGAATGGCTTTTCTAAGACTTGCCCATCGATAATAATTGCGTCGCCATCTTCCCGTAAGACGACCTCTGGAGCGACACGGAAATCGCCGACTGAAAGACCAAGTTTTGTTTTCACAAGATCTTTGAGCTCTGGATCGACAGTTGGGCCACCGTCACGGGAAACCTCTAATCTAGGAGGAGTTGGAACTTGGAGGTGGTCGAGGACAGCTCCAACTAAACGACGATCCCAGAGAAGTGCTTGTAGAGACAGATCGTTGATACAGAATGGGCGACGAAGTTTGACGTAGGAAATGGCCTTGTCGAGAGGAAAGTCTGTGGAAAAGAAGGATATAAGGACATCGCATCGAGGCCAATTTTCAACATCTAGGAAAGCGTAAATTTCCATGAGTCAGGGGAAAGAATGGTGAAACGAACCTTCGTCTAAAATCACCTTATCACCAAAAACTTTGACTTCGATATTGCTGGCTCGTTCGACGAGTCGAGTAAGAATTTCTCGCATAGCTTTTGACCTAAGCAACTCCCTCGATCCACTTTCGCGCAAGAAAACGATTGTTGAGACCCACCTGGCTTTGACATCCATGGCACATATGCCTAGCACTATCGGCGCCGCATTTCTGGGAACTATAGTTTCATTCGAGTCGGGATGCAATGGAGAGTGTATGGCATCGAGGGAATGGGAGCTAGACGCAGGAGAAGAGGATCGTGTTAAGACGGAACTTGAGCGTTGCTTATCGGGAGAATGGAAAATATTCGAGAGGCGTGAACGAGACATGTTGGTTCGTTCTGGGCATGCACAACCCAGCAGGCGGAAGGCAAAACGAACGAGCCAATTTTGCCGGATCACGGCACACGATCTGAAATTGCGCCGCGTGACGTCACATTTGAGGGACTTTTTGAACCTGACTATAACTCAGCCGAAGTTTATTCACGCCATGACACTTTACTCTGCTCTTAAAACACCATGCTTTCTAAGAAAGCCTCGTATCGGTTCAGCCCTGGCATGGCCAGTCCCCTTGGTTATCACACCATCTTCACCGTCGCAAATCTTCATTGTGGTTCGTGCTGCCTCACGATAGAGCATGCATTAGCTACTCTTGACCCCCCACCGCTCAAAGTCGATGTCTCTGTGGTGAAGCAGACAGTCTCTGTCTACCACCCAGCTGGACTTTCTCCAGAGCTCACTGCTGCCGCGATTCGAGATGCGGGTTTTGACATCGACGAGCCCCCTTCCCTACACTCAATTGATGATGTCGACGGCCTTCATCAGAAACATCTTCAACAATGCACATTTTGTCAAAAGGCCAACGTGGACCTCGCCCAACCGCGTTTATTTCGGCTGACGTTATCGGTTTCTGGGATGTCGTGTGCCAGCTGCACAAACTCGATCACTCGAGCATTAGAGGAGCTCACCGGGGTTTCTGAAGTGGCCGTGAGCTTGCTCAGCCACTCAGCAGCTGCTACAATCGATGATGAAGACCGTGCCAAAGCTGCTGTCGATGCTATTGAAGACTGTGGATTTGGTGCACATGTCGTCAGCGTCGAGCCTATACGTGTCGGTATTGCCGAACAGTCGCCACTTCAGTCATCAAGGACAATCTCGTTACGCGTTGATGGCATGTTTTGCCAGTATGTCGTATCTTCTTCACTATGATATGAGCCGCTAAGCTTATCTAACAGACACTGTCCGAATAGGGCATTGGATGCCATTCGCAGCCTTGGTCCCCGTGTTGTTGTCGATGCCCCATTTCCTTCCCTCGTCGATCCTGTGTTTCACGTAACATATCAACCGGACGCCCCGAAACTTACAATTCGCACCATCATCACAGCACTGGAGCAATCCAACTCTCCACCTTTCAAGGTCTCGCTTTTCAATGCGCCGTCGCTTGAAGACCGGGCCAAGCATATGAGGGCGCGCGAACAGAAAAGCATCCTCTGCCGAGGTCTCGTCACCTTTATAGTGGCGATTCCCACTTTTATCCTCTCCATCGTGTTCATGAGCTTGGTTCACGACAACAACCCAACCAAAATGTACCTCATGTCACCGATGTGGACCGGAAATACATCGCGTGCTTCATGGGCACTCTTTTTCCTGTCAATCCCCGCTATGTTCTATGGCGCCGGACTTTTTCATCGGCGAAGCATTAAAGAGCTATATGGCTTGTGGCGTCCAGGAAGTAAAACACCGATATGGCGACGCCTGATCAGATTTGGCTCTATGAACTTACTCGTCTCTCTCGGAGTTTCGGTTGCATTCTTTGCGTCAATCGGCTTGCTAGCACTCGCAGCAAGACAACCAAGACAAGACCGCGGTGACAGCACGACATATTTCGATAGTGTGGTCTTTCTCACACTATTTTTGCTTGCTGGTACGCTTCATCTACTCTCTTCCTTGTGTCCTTGATCAACTGTTTTGTTAGGTCGATATTTGGAAGGCTATTCAAAAGCACGTACTGCTGATGCGGTTACAGCGCTTGCGGGTCTTCGTCCCGCTCAGACTCAAATAGTTGTCACGGACTTCGGAAATGATCTCACAATCCCGGAAAAACCCGCAGGGTATGATCCTGAAAAGGCGTATGATGACTCGCGGGTGGGTAAGGATATGCGAGTCCTCAGCATTCCTGCTGACCTACTTGAAGTCGGAGACATAAGTACGTCACAGTCTTCAGTGCTAACCATGCTAACTCACGTTTGCTTTTAGTTCGATGCAATACTGGTGCAACGCCACCAGCAGATGGGACAATACTTTCACTGACGGCAGGAGAGATGGATGTCTTCACATTTGATGAAAGCATGCTCACAGGCGAGTCGATGCCGGTCACAAAGCGACCTGGTGACAAGGTCTACTTGGGCTCGATAAATCGGTCGCATGCCGCCTTTATTCGTGTGGATAGCGTTGGTGGAGGAACAATGCAAGTTGTCTCCAACAGAACTGTACTCTTCCTTGACTTCTGACCCAGGCTCGACGGCATCGTTGCGGTAGTTCGGGAAGGCTCAAGGTATACAGCATGATATCAACAGGAACCTCGCGCTCACTCATTGGACCAGTCGCCGTGCACCTATCGAACGACTTGCTGACCTATGCACTGCTTATTTTGTCCCACGTAAGCACTTATCAAACGCGGTCAGGTGATCTTACGGTACTTAGTGATCACACTCTTGGCAATATTGACATTCCTTGTATGGCTTGTTCTCGCCTATTCTGGCGCACTTCCTAGCGACTACCTCGACATTCCAATTGGGGGATGGTTTGTATGGGCTCTGGAGTTCTCCATCGCCGCTTTAGTTGCTGCTTGCCCTTGTGGAATAGGACTAGCAGCCCCAACTGCGCTGCTCGTCGGCTCTGGAATGGCGGCTAAAGCTGGTATACTGGCTCGTGGGGGAGGGGAGGCATTCCAAGAAATGTCTCGTGTCGATATCGTTTGCTTTGACAAAACAGGAACTCTCACAACTGGAACCGATCCCAGTGTCTCAGACTCGATTTTCCCACCTTTAAATGTCCCACTCGCACGGGAGGATCTTCTGGGAATGGCGGCCGCCCTCGAGAGCGCTACATCCCATCCGCTTGGGCACGCTGTCCACAAGTTCTGTCTAGAAAATCGTGCAAAAGACCTGACTGTTTCTGATATCCATGAAACCCCTGGTCTTGGAGTTTCTGGTCACTTCGGCCCCACATCAATTGTCGTTGGCAGCCAAAAATTTGTGGAACAGAACGGTGGCTCGCTTGATCAATCGACGATAGCTGCAGTGGACGGATGGAAAGAGACAGGAAAGAGTGTGGTCTTCATGGCTGTTTCTCGGGAAGCGCATTGGGAGGTTGCAGCTGTGTTTGCGGTGTCAGATCCGATCCGGGCCGAAGCACCGGAAGTGATTGCTTGGCTCAAAGAACAAGGCATTATCCCGTGGATCATATCTGGCGATAACCCAACGACCACAGTTGCTGTCGCAAAGGAGCTTGGTGTCTCCCCGGAAAATGTCATCGCTGGTGTCTTGCCGCATGAAAAAGCCGAAAAGATAGAGCTACTCCAACGAAGTCCATCTTCCCGTCGGTCGCGACACAAGCAACCTTTTCGCAGTGTTGTCGCCATGGTTGGGGATGGGATAAACGACAGTGTAGCTTTGACTGTTGCAGATGTTGGAATTGCTATCGGATCTGGAAGTGCGTATTTGTATCCTTTCTTGAATTTTTCTAACATTTCTTGCAAGGCGATGTTGCTGTCTCGAGCGCAAGCTTCATTCTGCTCTCTTCTGACCTCAACTCTCTCCGTACTCTTTCTGACCTTTCGCGTCGAATCATCAATCGAGTGAAATTCAACTTCGTGAGTAGCAAATTTACTGTCTTGCGCAAAGAATTGAGCTTTGAGAAGGCTTGGGCCATTGTCTACAACCTTTGCGCACTTCCAATTGCTGCTGGTGTCTTATATCCTGCTCATCGAGTGCGACTAGATCCCGTTTGGGCATCTCTGGCTATGGCACTTTCATCGATCTCCGTAATACTGAGCTCCTTGGCTCTGAAACTATATAGTCCTCGTAGTCGTAAATAGAGTCGCTTGTCTCTTTCCTCTCGGCGACGCCTCGGCCATCTTGTTATGTAAAAAATTGATTCTGTGTTGTTTTTGATGTCGGCTTTTCGGCTTCCTTTGGCCCCAACACAAATTTTCCTGTTCCATCCTCCTCGATTCAACCAATACTTTTGTGGGCGTCTTCCAAACGACATTCTCTGATCCAAGCCTTTAATACTGCCCGCGAAGTTAGAGCTTCGATACGTTTTTGGCAGTTCCTGGGAGGCGAGATGGTTATAAGGACCACTTCTAGATGGATGTTCGTGGGGTAACTATAACTCAACTGCAAGCGGCGTTCACCTTCGTACCTGAACCATTATGGCCGTAGCTTGGGAACCCAAACGCACTCTTGCTGAGAGTGAGCAAGCAACGACCCTCCCATTGCTGCTTTGATATAATGGTCTATAGCGGATGCACTGCTCTGTGCTCCTGGACAAATGCATGAACTGGAGACCGTCTTGGTAAATGGACAGCGTACGGGTCTTACTATTCTTGTTGCTGATCTCACCTCTGTCTCAGTCCAACGTGTCTATAAGAACCAGTGGCCGAGCGCAAGGATGTTCTGGCTGTGGTCGACTAATCTCTATGGAGTTGGTTTTCTTATTTGTGTTGCGTTTAACTCATCGAACTTGGGAAGGACCGGACTTATATCGCCTACGAAAACCAGCGATACACGTTTGTGCAGGACTTGAGCGCTGATGTCCCAGCTCACGAAATCATCTGCAGGTTCAAAGAAACGCTAGCAAGATCTCTGATAGCAGCGGCTGTCTATCGAGAAGTCTACGGTGTCAAAAAAGGTGTGTCTATTCTATGGCATCAAGCTCTGTGTTCGACTCCCCTTTACAGGCGACAGAATCGCTATCTGTGCCCGCAACCTCCCTGAATATCTTGTGGCTTACTGGGGATGCCGTGAGTGCTCTTATTCACCAGTTCCCATTCCTTCACACGCAATAGATCTCATTGGCGCTGTCGCTGTCCTGGTCAACGCATGGCTTCCTGTGACACCCCTGCTCTATTGCTTGACCCATGCCGACTGCAAACTTATCCTTCTTGATCCAGAGCGTGCAGATCGTTTGGTATCGGTCAGAGACAAGTTGGGGGCAGCACACGTGTTGGTGTTTGAGCCCGGCAAACGACACTGGAAGGGAATGCAAATTTGGGAATCTACGCTCAATAGCTTCAAAGGAAACCATATGCAAATCCTTGAACAGGATCCCAATATTCTCCCAGAGGACGACGCCATGATTTTTTTTACCTCCGGCGTACGTTCTCACATGACACGGTTCCAGCAGCTGATGCGTCTCTAGACCACTGGTCTCCCTAGTATGTTCACTCATCTAACTACACCTACTGACCTAAACTTTGATCTGTTCAGAAGGAGTCCTGAGCACTCAAAGGCAGTTTCTGACCAACACACTAAATGTAGCGGTTTTTCTTCTTGTTCCTATAATGCTAATATTTGATCTAGACTGTCGTGTCTCGTCGGAGAGCAGTGTTGCGACGCGGTGAAGAAATAAAAGCTCGATCTCCGACTGATCCTCAAGAAGGATTCCTCATCGCCGCGCCGTTCTTCCATGCGACCGGGGTTAGTGACTTCTTCTTTGCGCCGCTTTCTTCTGAGCTAGCCAAATAGATGACCTCTTTAACGATGACGGCTACTCTAGCTGGTGCTAAGATCGTACTCATCAGGAAGTGGGACACGAAGCAAGCCACCAAGTGAGCAAGAACCTATGTAGTCGAGCTATGGTGCTCACTCAAGTAGATTAATCAAAGAAGAAAAAGTGACCATGGCTGGAGGGTATGTTGCTGACATGACCTTTGAGATCTTGATTGACCGTTAGATAGTGTCCCTTCAATGTCCTCAGATCTTATCGAAAGCGAGCTAGCTGGCTACAGTGGACTAGATGCTCTAACATTCGGCGGCGCAGCTACACCTCCCGCTTTATTGATTAGAGCAAAAGCCGCGTTCCCCAGCGTGGTACTGTACGTTGAACTAGCCCCTTATGATCACTGGACTGATTCTTGAACAGGAATCAAGCGTAAGTCTGTGAAACTAGGTAGCATTCAACTAACCACTAACCTAACAACAGATACGGCCTCACAGAGTGCAACAGTATTGCTATCTCATTTGCAGCAGAAGACTGGTTAGCGAGACCAACAAGTTGGTGAGCTGGAGAACGAGCTTCTGTGTCGGAATTTGACGTGTGTTAGTGGATTGGCCTCACCTATTAACGACGTTGTTATCGTCAAAGATGGAAAGGTCGTTCCTCGAGGAGAACTTGGCGAGATTTGGATAAAGGGGTGCAATGTGATGAAAGGGTATTGGCGCGATCCAGGTCTGATGAGTTTATCGCCCTTGCTGTACTCTGAACCTTCCATAGCTGCGACGGAAAAGACTGTCACCAAAGACGGATGGTTATTGAGCGGAGACGTCGGAATGCAGGACGAAGAAGGTTTTGTTTATATTCGGGACAGAAGTAAGTCGTCTTTGGTGTTTTTGAGGCAATCTCTCATCCATACTTCCATACTCAGTCAAAGACATTATCATTCGCGGTGAGTGACCTCGAGGTGAAGAAAAAACTTGATCTCATAGTCGCCCAGGCGGAGAAAACATTGATTCAACAAGCGTGGAGAATGCCTTATTCACTGAAGGAGTGCTCGAAGTTGCAGCAATAGGGATTCCAGACTCACGTCTGGGCGAACTCGTTGCTGCCGTCGTCACCACAAAGCCAGATCATGGTTTGACCGAGGAGTCCCTGATTGCTTTGGCCCGCTCAAGGTTTGAACAAGACAATATGAAGGGACGATTTTTCTGACCACATGAGTTAGACTTCCACATTTTGCAGTTCCAGTGATGGTTCTTTTCGTTCCAGAGATTGAACACAACGCAGCTGGCAAGATTATGAAGGGCGGTGCTAGGAAGTTTGCCGCAGAGGAGTGGGCCAGGCGTTTGAAGACAAAGGCCAAATTGTAGATAGGAGAAGGTCGATTGTATGGATCGCAAAAGTGGTTCGAGGTCAATGCGAGTCAAAAACCGTCTTCTTCGTCACGCGTCACTGTGAGGTCACCGCCCAATCAGTCCATCTCCGTCTCCTTCGCCTTCATCTTCATTTTCATCGTCGTCGCCGCATGGATGGGGCTAAGCCCTCTAAGGCGGCGCATTCCAATGCACCGCCAACATTTGGCTACCAGACCCGGCTGCTAGAACGGACTGCATCCCAACGGAGCGGTAACAGCCTACTTTCACGGAGTAATTCGCAATCAGGCATGGGTATCCTTTCCCAACCGACAGGCTCTTCCACTGCATCTGCCACTCGCCGCTGGACGCCTTCGCATAGGGTGACAAACAGTTTAGATGCCGTGAGAGGGAAATGGGAGGAAAAGGCCAGGGAAACAAATGGCGAAGAACCCCGCGTTGCATCTCCAACGTCCCTCTCCCGCGTTTCCTCTTCATCCCAACATACCGGATCTTCGACATCATCAGGGCTTATTTCTCCCACTGGCTCGATTTCCAGGCCTGAACGAGAGCGTCGGCCGCCATCACCAGACAGTCAGCGTACACCCACCTTTCTCAAGCGACACACCATGCCCGCCCCCATTATCGCCACTCCGCTCTCACCCAATACAACCGGAGTTTCTGTGGAAGCAGACTTTCCATCTCCTTCATTTACCACACCCACTCCCAACCGAATCCACCTTCCTTCCCCAACAGCGTTCCCATCCACAACATCTGTTTCGAGCTCCAGAGATTCCAGTAGTAGTTATGCTGGGAGGAGTGCTCCTAAGAGTGTCCGAGAGCGGGCACAGACGTTGAATGCAGCTTCAACTGGAGACAACGCAGCCCCAAACTCCCCGCCTCCAAGACCAACTTCATCTTTCCCTTCTCCAATGCGTCGTCCTACGTCTTTATATGGCTCAAACCACTCCGCCATCGACCTCTCTAGACCCCCCTCAACTATGACAGTCCCCCCTCCACCTCAAATTCTCCCCGCCGAGGCATCATCGGTTATGTCCCCACCATCTTATCGCAGCTCGTATATGAATCGCAGCAAAGCTTCGACTTATGGCGACCACCTTGTTGTTGGTCGGAAGTTAGGCCGCCATTTACCGCGCATAGCCAGTGGCGATGGTGAAGAAGATCGCGATCGTGTTATGGAAAATCAAGAGCGCGAATCTCGCGAGTCACGACGAGTTGCCCGCTTGAGGAGGCATGAAGTCGATTTTGACATACCGCAGAAGTCTCCCCCGCCTGATATTGTTGTGCCCGGCCCCAGTGATGTGACTGGTGTTCCAGGGAGGTTGCGTCTATCCAAGAATGCGGCGCCGGTGGCACCTTCTTCCCCTCTGCCTTCTGCTCGACTTACGCGTGGCTTGTGGGCGGACACCCAACGACACCTTATCCAGGCGTACGAGTATCTTTGCCACGTCGGTGAAGCGCAACAGTGGATCGAGGGGTGTCTCAACGAAGAGCTTGAGTTTGGCGTCGTTGAGTTGGAGGATGGACTACGTAATGGAGTGATTCTAGCCAAGCTAGTACGAGTCTTTCGACCAGCAGCTGCCAAGAAGATTTACGATGTGCGTGGTCCGGCAGTTGAACTATCGGTTTCTAACCACAAACAGGCGCCAAAGCTGGATTTTCGACATTCGGACAACATTAACTATTTCTTCAACTTCGTACGGGAAGTGGGGCTTCCTGAGGTCATTAATATTACCTTCTCCATCTTTTTTTTTGCTGAGTGTTGGGCTATTAGGGATTTATCTTCGAACTGACCGATCTGTACGACAAGAAGAATCTGCCCAAAGTCATATATTGCATCCATGCGTTGAGGTACGTTTGGTTGTCCACACATGCTTGTCTAGGTCAATTTGTTTTAGTCACTTGCTCGCTCGACGTGGAATGGCTCAACGGATCGGCAACCTTCTTGGCCACCTCAAGTTCTCTGATGATCAGCTTCAACGCACACAGAAAGGTCTCAAGGATGCTGGAGTCCTTATGCCCAACTTTGGAAATGTCGGGAAAGAGCTTGCACGCGAAATCAATGAGCCAGAGGAAGACATTGAGACAGAGGAAGAACGTCAGTTGTTTATCAGAACTAAGACCTGTTATTGACTTAATTCAAGGCCGCGATCGACTTTTACTCGACCGAGTGGACTCTATCATCGGCCTTCAAGCTCACTGCCGACGAGAGCTAGTTCAACGGGCCCAAGCTACGCAGAATGCTCGTATACACCTACACCTTCCCCCGTCACGCGTGACCGCAATCCAGGCGGTCTGCCGTGGTGTGTTGATCAGGCGACGGATTGAACGGTATCGCCGTTCCAGACAGAATTTAACACCTTGGGCCATTGCTTTGCAAGCTGCTGGCCGAGGTCTGCTTGTGCGTCGACGATGGCATGCACGACTTGCTCGAATCCATCATTCCTCTCGCTATGTCGTCAAAATTCAAGCCCAGCTGAGAGGAGTCCTTACTCGCCGTCGCTACCATCGTCTGAAGGCCGTCTTCCGGTCCTCTGCCGCTTCAATCACCAAACTACAATCACTAGCACGTGCATCTTTGGCACGTCAACGTCATCGTCAAGTTGCCATTTCTTTCCAGCATCCTCACATTCGCACATCAATCGTAGCTTTCCAGGCAACTTTAAGGGGTCTCCTTGCGCGCAGGCGGGCGGCATGGCGGGCGCACGTGTTCCGACATTTAACACCGACTTTCATAAGACTCCAGGCTCATTGTCGTGGTGTCATCATTCGCCGACGAATGCGTAATCAGCAAACGAGACTTAGGAATACTACCGCTACTATGGTTCAGATACAGGCGGCTGCACGGACATTCCTCGCCCGCAAACGTCTTCTCAATCTCATTCGCGGGTTGCGGACAGCGACTCCCGTTCTTGTCGGAATCCAAGCCATTGCTCGTGCGAGGCTAGCGCAACAACGGCATCAGAGCTTGAATGTTGCCCTGTCTCAGACTAACATCGTCACCTCGATTGGCGGCTTCCAAGCTCGGGCCCGCGCTTCCATTGCACGTAACAAGCACCGTCAACTTCAACATACACTTGGATTTGTTGCCCCAGATGTGGTAGGGCTCCAAGCTGCCTGCCGCAGGGCGCTTGTTCTGAATGAATATCGGGCTTGGAGGGACCATCTCCGAAACAGTCACCCAATTGCCACGTTACTGCAGGCCATGTTGCGTGGCACCATGCAACGGAAAAATTTCCGAAGCAGAATGAACCATTATCGCGCCAACCTTAGCAAACTCGTTCAAATCCAGTCTTTCATCAGAGCGAAAGAAACAAGAGAGCAATATAGACAGCTGACCCTGGGAACGAACGTCTCTGTCGGCACAATCAAGAATTTTGTTCATCTTCTTGACGACTCGGAGGGCGATTTCCAGGAAGAGGTGAAAGTCGAAAGGTTACGCAAACAGGTGGTGGAAGCCATCCGAGAAAACCAGGTGTTGGAAAATGAACTCAGCGATCTCGATGTGAAGATTGCCTTGTTTGTCCGCAACAGACAGAATGTAGAGGAGGTACTACGTACTAGGCGACTGGGTGCTGACAGCGCTGCGGCTCGGGCTGAGAGGGCCACCATTCTCGCTGCACATGGCGATCCTTTTTCTGGCCCCCATACCATCGATCTCGCTGCTCGTCGTAAGTTGGAGCTTTACCAACAGCTATTCTATTTGTTGCAGACGCGAGGTGAATATCTGAGTCGTCTCTTCGTTCGCATGTCGGTAGATGCTGCCTCGGAGAACAACCGACGTTTCACCGAGAGAGTGGTCCTTACTTTGTTTGGGTTTGGTCAAGATCGGAGGGAAGATTTTCTTCTTCTCAAATTGTTCCAGGTATGACATTTCTTACCGCCAGTCAAAACATCTCACTGTGCCATTAGCTCGCGATTCATCAGGAAATTCAATCCGCCGGCTCAATTCACGAAATCATTCATGGCCATCCTGTCTATTTGAACATCGCAGTCCCATACCTCCGCCGGAAACAGGCAGCATACGTTCGAGAAACTTTCCAGCAGATTATCATGAAAGTCGTTGACCCAGAATCCTTCGGTGAACCTCCACTTGACCTTGAAATAGATCCGTCCAAAGTCAGCCAGTCATTTAGCATCCAACGTTACTGACTAGTATCAGATTCATCTGGAGCGTGGTCAACGAGAGGACCTTGAGGCTGGTGTGCACAGAGACCGTAAACCCCTCAACTTCCATGAAGCGTTACAAGATGGACCAACACGGGCCGCATATATTCGTGGTGCGTTTCTTTGCGTGGATGGTCAATTCAAATCAACTTGTTTAGGACTGCAATCCCTTCAACATGCCACCACTTGGTTTTTGGACAAGTTTTGCAATTCGGTTCGACGTATGCCGTTTAGCACACGCTATCTTGCTCGGGAAACTCTAAACGCTCTCCATGTAAGCTGGACGGCTAGCTTCCGCATGACCATGTTAAGCATTTGTAGGAGCGCTTTCCCGGTGAACCCGACAGTCTATATGCTGCTTGCATTGGGAGGTTAGTCTATTACCGCTGCATTAACCCGGCTATTGTGTGAGTTTACTTTGCTCTTTGAGTTACTCTTCAATGACGAATCCAGCGCCCCCGAAACCTATGATATGGTGCCCAAAACCGTTGATCTTGGTGCCCGGAAAAATCTTGAGCAAGTCTCCAAGGTTTTGACCCAGATTGTCTCTGGATCCGAGTTTGACGAGGACACTCCTCAATTCGTCCCAATCAACGAACTCGTTCGCACAAGCATCGTGCAGATGACAACAGCGCTTTTGGACGGTGAGTTTTCAGGACTGCTTTGACGTATCACGTGACACATCATTAGTTGCCAACGTTCCTGATGCGGAGACATTTTTCCATGCCCATGAATTCTTGGACGCGACTGTGCAACCCAAGCCAATTTATATTTCTCCGAATGAAATATACACAATTCATGGCCTTCTGTTGCAACACCAGAATGTCTTGGTTTGTAAACATCCTCTGTCATGGTCCTTGTCTGACTTTCAAAAAGGCACCAGAGGCGAATGATGTCCTGAGAACGATTCTCTCGGAACTTGGGGGTGTGCCCAACCTGGGTAGCGATGAATTGAAAGATGCGAGAGAACATCCAGTCACTCTTGAGCTCACAAATCGGTTTGCGGACGTTGATGGTGCGCTTAGGTCACGCGTCTGTTTCACACCGTTAACAGCCATTTCCAGATACCCGAGCAGAAGAAAACACACTTTGGGTCAAAGCGAAAAGAGGTGTTTTGGCTGTTCTTCGTGTCCACCCAGCCCAAAGTCTTGCCGAGTCGCTTTTACGGAAGGTTACTGAGGAGGATGTACTCATTTGGGACGAAATACTCGACGCGGAAGCACAACATCAACGCGCGCACAATCGACGGCAGCCTTCCAATTATGGCGGCGATTCCTACAAGCTGGATGACTTCAATGAGTGTGTCCTAACATATATTTCTCTGGGTTTCCAACTGATCATCCACAAGTGAGGAAAGCAATTTCCATACCGTCAAAGCCAACGCCATTGCATATCTTCTAAAGCTGGAGAAGATGGGCAAAGTCTCACGGGACGATGGTTTCCAGGGAATTCTCAATGCCATCGCGCTTGATGTCCGCAGCAAGCACCGCAAACGCGTTCAACGCCAACAAGAGATGGAGTCCATGCAGGAGGCACTGAAACAACTCGCCAAGAGCAAAAAGCAGCTGGAGGAGCAGATTCAAAGCTATCACAGCTACGCTGCTGCGGCCATGCAAAACATGCAGCAAAATGCGCAAAAGAAGTCAGCCGTTTTTCTTCTTCTTTCCAATATTTTGCTCATGTCAAAATTTAGACGATGGGTTGTTCCTTTCACGAAGCAATTCTTCCATCTCCGTGATTTGCAACGGTCCGGTGAAAAGCATCAGCACGGCTCATTCATCTACACTGCCAAGTACCTGTACGAGAAAGGCATTCTACTCTCTATCGAGCAGTATTCCCCTCGTCAGTTCGACAAGCTCAACGTGATTATGGCGTCCGACAAGCTGGGTGTTTTCGCCATCACTCTCGAGTCCAACACCATGGGTATCGCAAACCGCATCGGAAGCGAGGACGTCCGCATGGAAGACCTCTTGCAGGCCAAGTTCGAAAGTCGGCAGTTCATTTCGCTCATCAAGGGCAAGGTCAAGGTCAACCTCGAGCGCTTCCTGTTCCAGATTAATAAGAAGTACGGTCTCTGTTCAAAAAGGAAGAAACCTCTGACCTGGTTTACGACAGATTCTATGTTTAATCGCACTAATGACCCATCACGCCTTGACGATCTTGTTTTCTTTGACGTTGCATTCATCTCACTCATCTGACCCACCCACCAACATTTGCTGCTACTGTACCGCTAGTCGCCAACGTCGTGTATTTTTGGCATCCTCGTATCATTACTGAAATTAATCAGCCCTTTGTATGTTAATCTTGTGGGATGATTCAGCATCGCGATCACGTGACAGATGCAATTGTTCGTAAGTAGGTACAAGGTCATAGTGTGAATCGGAACTAGAGTAAGGTCAGTCTGACTTTGAATGCAAGTGAGAGTGGAATCACGTCTGGATGCCTAAGTTGACGAGTTAACTATGCACAGCTATTAGGACAGCAATATACCTGTCGCCAATGGGAGCTTTCGTCTTGCCCGTGCGTACCAACTCTTCATATGCGGTGATATTTCCTTGTCGTTCGCCATTAGCGCGAGCTTTGTTCTCCCTCATGCAGTACAAGCTGGCCCACAAAGGTGAGAACCCGAGAACCTGCGGGGTAGAAAAAAAGCTGAGCGTACATGTTTATCGCAGTCATAACCCAACTCAAGACCAAGAACCCAAGCACAATTGAGTGGCCCTTTCTGTAAAAAGTCGGAATTTGATCTGTTTCCGAGTGTGAACCCGAGGACGATTGTGGGGTGGAGCCATCTCGTCACCTTTGGTGTAAATGTTGGTAGCAATGAAGCCGCCGGTGTTGGACACGGCTAATTGGAGCGCAATTGTTGTGCTGCGCTTATAGTAACCCGAGCCGTTGTTTGGGAGTATGGAGCTATTGAGGGACGTCAGCGTAGGTTGTGCAGTTTGGGGATGGGGCTTACAGGATTGACGGTGCAGAAGGGTAGACACCCGCTGCGATCTGAGTTGGGTTAACGCTTATTCAGTCACTCATTCGGTACACACAAGAAACACAGCTCCGTATCTTTGTGCGTTGGTTTTGGCTGCAATGGCCAAAATATAGCCAACCTAAGAAACGTGACTCAGAGAGGTCAAAGAAGGAAGAGACTTACAATCGCAGATGGCAGACAGATTAAAATAAACGGACCCCGCCATTTCAACCGATCGCTTAGGAAAGCAACGAAAACTAACATGTGTGAGAAACCATCAGCAAGCTTGCTGCCAGAGGCTCACCGGTAAGCACGGTTGCAGGGACATATGGGGGCACGGTGTGCAACTGCGCGGATTTTCCCTTGTACCCAAGCCCAGCGACGATGGTAGGAAGGAAAAGCGAGAAGGAGTATAGCGAGACCTAGAATGATAGGGTTTGTGTCGTGACTACTCAAACCCAGAGTAGTCCTTACAATCAATCCCAGATAAGCGATAGCAGTGACCCAGGCTTGGAAATCTGTCAGGCCTGGGATCTGATCAATGGGTGCTGTAAAACGATTACTGACAAAAGTACCTCGAATCACCTCGCGGAGCTCGAAATGCTCCTCAGTAAAGTGCGTAATTTCAGCCGGGCTTTGGGCGTTGATGTTTTCTGTGATGGACCCCTTGTCACCCTTCTCAAGGGCAATATCGGGACTGTCACGCGTCTGGGTGGCCGGGCTTGTAGTTGCATGAAAGCGCCGCACTGGCAAAGTTCAAGCTGCTTATACCGTCATATGCGACTGGGGACAAACAGGCAAAATCTCTTTCTTCCTCTGTTAGAAATTTGGCGGAGGCAAGACTGGACGGTAAGAAGTAGAGGCAGATTAAACTTGAGACAAAAGTAGCCAGTCCTATATGTACAGTGGTCAGAGCGGTGAGTTAATAATCAGCGTGAGACGGCCAACCTTCCAAAAGGAATATCCATCTCCAACCTGCAAGATTCGCCTTGCCATCCATGTTGAGAATGGCGGTTGCAAGAAGACCTAGTTTGCGTCAGTCAGAAGAGGACATTACTTACTAGAACAACTAGCCTCCGAATGCGCCGGATAGAGATGCGCTAGCGTAGAATAACCCGACGCTGGTATTTGCCATCAATTACATATTATCCGATTACAGAACGGACCGACCGATACTGGAGCTCGTGTGGCTTATAGATGGTACTCAAGTACAGGACAATGCCCGGTAGCAGACCGCCTGATCAGTCTATCAGAGAATGCACCAAGTTCAGGCGTATAAAAAACTGCACCTTCACATAGTCCAAGGACCATTCGTATGGCCACCAGTCCCCCAAAATTTTGAACAAAACATGTGAGTGTGGTGACTGATCCCCATGCAGCGACCAAGAGACACAACCATCGCTATACGAAGGGATTAACTGAGTCCGCTTTGGTTGGGAAACAGGTACTTGCAGCGGGCTTCATACGCTTCATGATCAGATTAGACGGAATTTCGACGAGGATATAAGTGATATAGAACACTGGGGTGGTAAGGACAGGTGTGGGCAAGCAGTGGATTGAAGCTACCGCTGAGCACAGTATTGAATTGGTTGCCGTGTAGTTTTGTATCAGCCTCCAGACCAACGATCCTGAAAGACTTGAGAATAACGCTGACACAAGGTACGAATAGAGTCCACAAGCCTTGCATCTGAAGCAGTTGCAGTCGACAGAGGCCGTTGAAATTACTAGTACTCACTGCCGATGTTTGACCTGTCTATGAAGTTGCATAACCTTTATCCATGATTAGCTGGGTTCCGACGACAAAAGAGTTCGTGAACCAGAGAAGAGCGAGAGGTGGTAGAATGTGCATGTCCAACTTGCGCATCACTCGTCGTTCCATCGCACCGTCTGGCTGAGATATCGATTGGGACATTGTTTTGCCGTTATGGTGCGGACAGAGCGACTCTTTGCGCGCCAGATGACGGAAAAAAGTCCACATTATTTATATAAACTCAGAAGAACGTGGGGAGCTCAGCTGACTTCGGTGAGAAGGAAGTGCAGTTGCCTGCGAAAATATTGCCTATTGCGCATATTTTTGAGGAAAATTTCGTCGTGGGTCTAAACTTGACCAGGCACAACGAGCATTCGAAATGATAGTGACGAGATAACAACTCAGCTTGCTGCTGGAGTTTGGCTGGAGTGGGGGAAAGGGAGTTGGTGGTGACGTATTAATAATCATTTCGCGATCAGGTTGATCATCACTTATGAACCGGCCCGAGCTATATTTCCACCAACAGTCATGTCTTTTACCTTATGGGTGGTCCGAGCATCTTGGTACGAGCGAAACGATTGCACTTGGAGGCGCGCGACTCACGTTCTACAGGCCCAACTGGTCAGCCTTACTACTATAATGTCAACACCAAAGTGTGTAAATCTAAACCCCCCCACAAAACTTTTCATTCTGATCTTGTGGCCAGGAAAGCACATACACCAGGCCACTACCTCCCCCGGTGCAGGCTGCAGCCAAGAAACAAAAGGAAAAGCCACACGTCAAGACACAAATTCCGGGGACTGAGTGGATACGCGTAAAAACAACAGAAGGAAACATCTTCTACTCTCATAAAGTGAAGAAAAACAGTGTGTGGGTCGTGCCGGACGAGATTAAGAGCGCTGTTGAAGAGTTGGAGAGACAAGAGGCTTCAGCTCCACCGGATATAGCCATGGAAATCGACAGAGTCAAGAACGAAGTTGCGGAAGCAGTCAAACGCAAAGCCGAGGACACTTTGCCAGCAACGAGCAAACGACCCAAGACAGATGCTGAGTCTGACAATGAGAGTGATGATGCAGAAGAAGAGGATTGGGAAAAGGAGGCAGTGGCGCAACTAGCAGCAGAAGCGGAGGCAGAGAAACGGCGGGTTGAGAAGGAAAACAAACGTTTGGAGGAAGCTGAAGCTGAAAAACGACGATTGCAGGCTGAGCGTATTGATCTTTCCGTCGATGAGGCCAAAGCGTTATTCAAGGTAAGTCATTTCGGTCAACTTTATTCGACTCGACGAACAATTCATAGACACTTCTCCGAGAGAAAGATATCAACCCGCTTCATCCCTGGGACTCTGCGCTACCCAAATTCGTCAATGACCCGCGATACGTGCTCCTCACTTCCGTCTCCGCTCGGCGGGAGGCATTCGACGAGTATTGCCGCGAACGCTCCCGCGAAATACGACAAGACACGGTTAAAAAAGAAATATCGGACCCCAAGGAAGAGTTTGAACGTTTCTTGCAATCAGAGGTCACTAGCACCAGGACTTCATGGTCGGATTTCCGTCGTACATGGAAAAAGGACCGGAGATTCTATGGTTGGGGTCGGGACGACCGAGAACGAGAAAAGAAGTTCAAGGACTGGATCAGGGAGCTGGGTGAAAGTATGCTGCTATCAATGGAATTTGACGGTTGCTGAACTTCATCTTTAGAAAAGCGTGCTGCTGCCCAGAAGGCAGAGTCAGACTTCTTCGCTTTACTAAGGGAGCGTCAAGTCAGCCAGGATGGTCAACCCTGGAAAGATGTAAGGATTTTAGGCCTCGTTTTTTCGCTCATATTGATGCAGTAGCTCAGGTCAAGAAAATGCTTGTCGATGACCCACGCTATGATGCTGTTGGGTCGTCGTCTCTCCGCGAAGAACTATATAACACGTTCTTGAAAGGCACGACAACGGTTTCCCAACCACAAACTGTAGCACCGAAACTTGAGCAACAAGAAACTTACGAAGAACAGCAAAAACGCCGCAAAGAGCGTGCTCAACAAGCTGTTCAAGACCGAGAAAATAAAGTTAGAGTGGATATGGAGCGCGTCGAAGCCGATATAGGTAGATCTCGGGAGGTTGGGCAAAAAGAGGAGGGAGAAATACTGTTCAAGTGCGCCATGCGTGATGAACAGGTTTGGCGCTGACATATCTGACTAGAACGATGCTCGTTGATGCAGTACGAGACCCCCAGGTATGCGACCTTACATTTACGGGCAGTAGCTTAGTGTCATTGCCAGGTTACCTGGCAAGCTGTTGTGCCGCTGCTGTCTGCTGATCCACGCTTTCAATCCTCACGTCTTCCTCACAAAGTGCAACTCGGACTGTTTCAGGCTCACATCGACCATCTTCGCGTCAAGCATATGTCTGGTCTTCACGCTCTTTTCGAAACTCATGCACCGCGATTGAACATTGTTTTTGATTCTCTCCCCGTTGAGAATTTACTAACTGCTTTGCCCGTGACGAAATTGGGGTTCGACATTCGTTCTCTTGAACGGGAGTTTGAGCGCTGGCAACGGGAGAGGACCAGTCGGTGTCGGAAAGCGTTTGATGAGATGCTTGCAGAAAACTCTTTCGTGGAATTCTGGGGCAAGCTGAGGAAAATTGGCGGAGAAGGGGTCAGTTTCTTTCTTTCTTTTAAGAGTCGTTGTGATGCCATTTAGGTCGACGGAGGGGTCAAAGCGGATGATGAGGGCAAGGCAGAAGACGAAGGGGAAGCTGGAGGTGGACGTGTGGACATGAAATCGCTTGCAGCACAAGTTGATGTCGCAGAAATAGAAAAGGTTTTGAAGGTAATAAAATTTCGGTTTACTCTGAGTTGGAGCTGAAGTGGAGAGCAGAACGACAAACGATACGAGATGTTTGCTCATATTCCTCAAGAACGAACTGAGTGGATCAGGATGCATCTGGCTGAGCTTCCTTCACCAAAGTTCTCTGTCCATATTTGATGTCATCAGCCCATAAACTTTTCGTAAAATAGATGCGGCATTGATGCGAAATTAGTCTGCTGACCGCGACACCGACGTGGCAGGGGAAAGGAACACGTCGTGTAACTTGTTTTTAACCTTCACTTTGCTCTTGTCAGTGCTGGCCCCGGTCGCCGCTGAGAGATGCGTCTCATCAGCTCATTCCTTCTCTCCATTTCCCTCCTTGCAACTGCCCAGGACTTCGATGCCCCTGGCGTGCAAAAGGAAAAGCATAGCTACCAGGTGCGCTGTCTCCAACCTCTTCTGCAACTGCTGGCTTACTCGGAGCAGAGTGACGTAGCCCGTCTCCGGAAAATTGTTATTAACAGGCTCGTCTTCTTGTTCTCTGTCCCAACCGTAGCTAAACGTTTGACCATAGTCTCTACTCACACAAGTACGCAATGCTGGTGAACGATGATTTCTGGCTCACAGTGGTCCCAACAGAGACATCTTCCTTCGGGAACTCATCTCAAATGCGAATGTAGGCGGACTGCTTCTGACCTTCCATATGACTTACCTCTTTCTAGGATGCCCTCGAGAAACTGAGGCTAACTGCTCTAACGGACAAGTCGATATGGGATGGAACAGAGCCCTTGAACATTTCCATAAAGGCCGTTAAGGACGAGGATGGAAAGAATGCCAGGCTAGTTATTTCTGGTGCGTTGCTTTGGATTTTCGTCCACCGTTTGTTCACGTATCCATAGATACGGGCATTGGCATGTCTGCCGAAGAACTCTCCACGAACTTGGTGTGTCTTGCGGTTCGCGTAGCTATTTACTCTAATACTGTGAATAGGGAACCTTAGCGAAATCTGGCACCTCAGATTTCCTAGCCCAAGCAGAAAGTTCAGACAGCACGGGTACTGGCAATCTCATCGGAGCATTCGGTCTCGGATTCTACAGCAGCTTCCTGGTTGCCGACCGTGTCTACGTCGCCTCTATTCCTCCGAAAACAGCTAGAAACCCCAACCCAGTCCAGAATGTTTTCAGTTCCAATGCTGACGACAGTGCATTTGAGATATTCCCAGACCCGCGTGGAAACACCCTGGGCTCTCATGGTACCGAAATTACCCTCTATCTGAAGGAAGATTCGCTGGAATATCTTGAAAACGACAAGGTTACGGCTTTGGTGTAAGCAAATATCAGGAGCTTCTTTCGAAAGTTGCTGACGAGTCTTAGCAATAAACACTCATCCTACTCGACTGCGTTCCCGATTTACCTGTTTACTCAAACCACTGAAGAAGTACCCGATGAGGAGGCTATTGCCGAGGCGGCCGCCAAGGCAGCGGCTGCGGCTGCCTCTTCGAGCGCTGAAGCTGCCAAGTCCACTCCTTCTGAAGAGAAGGACAGTGATGAGGCAATTGTCGAGGAAGAAAAGCCAGAAACCGAGGAAAAGAAGGAGCCAGAGCCACCCAAGACTAAGACCATCGTCGTTGACGACTGGGCTCAACTGAATGCCCTCCCTCCTCTCTGGCAGCGGTATGTACTTTGTGCTGCCTAACGGTGTTGCTTATCATCTGCGTAGCGATCCCAAAAATGCCACTGACGGTATGTCTTCAATGCATAGTCCCGTCTTACGACTCATTTTTTTCACTCAGAGGACTACGAGCTGTTCTATACCGCATTCTGGAAAGACTACACCAAGCCCTTATCTTGGACCCATTTCTCTGGAGACTCGGAGTCGGGCACATCATTCAAGGCCATCATCTACCTCCCTGGGAAATTGTATGCTTCCATGTCCTTATTCCGCTACACTTTCCAACATGTCATGCAGCGACGACGAATACTGGAAACAACCTCTGGCGTACAAGTCGGAGGATGTCAAACTCATGGTTAAACGTGTTTTCATCACTTCCGATTTGGGCGAGGATGTCTTGCCTAAATGGGCCAGCTGGGTGAAAGCCGTTATTGACGGTAGGTCCACGAGCATTTGCTCTGGACGATGATTGACCAGTTTCGCTAGCTGAGGATCTTCCTTTGAACGTGTCTCGAGAAACGTTACAGTCAACTCGATTCCTGCGACAACTCAAGTCCATCATCACCAAGCGCATCCTTCAACTGTTCAACCGCATCGCAGAAGATGACGAGGAGAAGTTCAAGAAAATTCTCGAGGTTTATGGCTCGATCTTCAAACTCGGTGCAGTCGAAGACTTCAAAAACCGGGATAAACTCATCAACCTTGCCCGTTTCTCAACCAACCAAAGGAACTACACCTCACTTGACCAGGTATATACTATCTGATCTCACTGGATTGTTGTTGATTTTGTTGTGTGCAGTACCTAGAGAACAAAAAGCAAGGCCAGAAACAGGTACTACCACTTGGCCCTCGGTTGAACGTCCCTCAACTTTTATCAGATCTTCTATCTCTCTGAGATGGGTAAATCAACCGAAGATTTGGCCCAGAGTGTCTTTGTCGAGAAACTCCACGCCCGTGGGTACGAGGTTTTACTGCTCAACGAGCCGTTAGATGAGATCCTCGTCCAAAACCTCCGTCAATACAAGTAATTGGCTTTGCTTGATTCCTGCTCCTCCCCGCTTATTCGTTATTAGGAACATCCCTTTCCAGGACGTTGCCAAAGCTGGTCTCAAGTTTGGTGATGAGGGTACGTGGTGGATACCCATGTGAGCATTATTGACAATCAACCATATAGACGTCGAGAAAGAGGAGAAAGAGGAAAAGGAAGAGCAAACTGAGCGATATGCTCCTTTGCTCAAGTATTTGAAAGAACACTCGAAAGACGTTGTCCGAGATGGTGGGCTCCCCAATTTTTCTCTCGTTGCTGTCTGTTGATATCGAGACAGTCGTTATCTCCAACCGATTGGTTGCGAGTCCCTGTGCGGTCGTGGCTGATAGCCACGGTTACACTGGTAACATCCAAAGGATGATGAGTGCGCAGACGAAAAAGGAATCGGGAAACAATGCGTACATGCACGAATTTGCCAAAAAAGCCAAAGTCCTCGAAATCAACCCTCGCTCACCTCTCATCGAGGGTATGCTGCGACGTGTTCAGAGGCTACCGGCCGAAGACGAAGAGCGTGATGAGGAACTCGAGGCTCAGATCAATGAGGCGGCTTCTATCTTGGTTGACGGCGCACTCGTCCGTTCTGGATTCGAAGTTCCCAACGCCAACTTGTGAGTAAATGTTCAGTATGTACACCTGAGCTAATTAATTACTCTTCCAGATTCTTCACTCGTGTGGACCGAGTACTTCGCCGTTCCCTCGGTGTCGATGAGTTAGCGCCAACAGATACCTCTGTAAAACCTGCGCCGCCAGTTGACCCAGAGGTCCCAGAAGAGGGTTACCCCCCCGAATTTGAATACCCCCCTGGTACCGAAAAGCCAGGCATCCACCTTCCTGACCACATGAAAGACCAAGTCTCGATTGAGATGGAGGAGATTGACGACGATGGGAATACCGTTGTCCACGATGAGCTCTAGTTACAACGGATGTACTAAGTTATCAAACCAAACACAGCATTTTGAATAGCAAGCGAATTCAGTCTCGACTATACCCACCACGATAGCGAGGTCCTCGGTCTCTACTACCCCTATCACGTTCTCGTTGTCGGTTATAGTCACGTTCTTTACCTCGAGAAGAGCCCTGGCGGTCGCGGGACTTGGAATGGTTGTGATTATCGTGTCGTTGTGGTTGGTGTTGCGCTATGGGTGCATTGCCGAGTCGTTCGCCCAGTGATTTAGGCAGGCTCATTCGACGCGGAGCAGTTGGCGCCATACGCTCTCTATTTGCTGCCCCGCGAATGCTAACACCTCGTCCGTTTTGGAACCAGTCGTCAGGGTCAACTTCATCATCTTGTTTGGCTCGTTGCGCCAGCCTTTCTTTCTCTTTATTCCGCCCTTGCTTCCCGACATTATCGACGCCGCCTGGGAGAGGTGCATCAAGGAAATCATCCCGCATCGGACTGCCAGGCTCTGGATCAGAGACCTTGAATGGACCGTCGGACAGATTTTTGTGGCTGAAGGCCGAATATTCCAAGGGCCTTTCTTCACGACGCTGACAGTCCTGTTCATGGTCAAGCTTGAGATGGAGACAATTGAGGAATCTACTCACATCACCAAAATGCCCTCTCTTCGCACAAACATAACACCAAGCATCTTCAGCAATGTAGCCTTCTCCACCTTGTCCCAACGACAGTCCTTTCTTCTCTTTACGCGTTTGGAGAACTTGGGTGTGCTCTGCCTCGGTCAGGTAGTTATACAGACGCCATAAGGTTGGACATTCCTTGTGAACAATTAGAACGAATAGGTAAAACCAGACGCGCCATACTCTTGTGAGATGAGAGGGAGCACCGCATCTTTCACAGTCATGTAGACGTTCGTATCGACTTTGAGCATTGGAATTGGGGCAATCTTGTCGGACATGACCTGGAAAAAAGTTTAATAAGGACATCAAGCATGAAACGATGGACTCACCACGCATACCACAACTGAAGCAATGCTTGGAAACGTTGCAAGAACGCGTTGAATGTTCATCCCGGGCACCACATGTCTGGCAAATTAGGACGGTGCATTTGTCTTTGGTATGCCCTTCTTCGCCACACTTTTTGCAGATAGTTTTGGTGCGTTTGTTATCTTCCGGCTCGTCTTCTTCGTAATAACGCACGAAATGCTTTTGAGAGATGGGTACGAAAACGACGCGGAGCCGAAAATTGACTGCACCTTGCGGTTGTCGTTGTAGTCGAGGTATTCGATATAGTCCTCCTGTTCGGAGTCCGATTCTATCGCCGGTAATGTGATCTCTGTTGTGTCTCCAAACACAGTAACATGGGCGGGGAGTATTAGGTGCTTGCCATTGGCAACGTTAGGTTGTGCAATGTCGATAGTGATATCGGCAGGAGCGAGATCCACACAGAAGAAATCGGCGTGTTGTTTCGTATTCATGATGTTCCTCTCGCGAGAATGTCCACGTTTCTGTCTGCGACCTTCTCTTTCCTCTCGCCGATGACCGTGCTTTCCTTCCCCATTCCTCCCCTCTCTTTTCCTCTTTTGACTTGGAGCCTCTTCTGGTATCGGAGAGTCCTCGCGGGTGAGGTCGATTATGTCTATCTGGGATTCGCCCATGGGCGGAATGAAGAAGAAATGTTGCGGCACGTGATCCCTCGTCTTTCTTTGCATGGAACGTCTTCTTCGTGCTGGCCTTTGCCTCGTCGAATCGTCAGAAACACAAGTAGACCTCAAGTCTGTGCTCTTAGAACGCCTTTATCGATATTATGAATGCCTCGAGTCTAATGCTACAATTACTCAATCTGACTCGCTCGACGAGGTTCAGCTGAGAACTGGCTTAGAGGCGTTAAACACCATTGAAGCGGTCCACGAATGTCTTGCAAAGGAAGATTTGCCTATTGGGACCCGCGATCTCGCAGAATTGCGCACGCTAACTGCCATTGCTTTCAAATGGGCTGTTGACCCAATGCTCAAGCGAGTCCTGGGGTCAGATACGACATTGCTGTCAGAGAGTTTCGAAAAACTTAAAACCATCGTCTCACGTCTTTTAACAATCGGGCTTGCTCATGAACCACCCACATTTGTCAGCACAACTTTACTTAACCGTCACTTGGATCAACTCTTGCGGTGTGGCATCGCCATTGGTTGGTTTCCAGCGCTGCGCAAGAAGGATCCAACGTTGTCAGCTAGTGTTGGTCGGCTTCTTGACGCGTGAGCTTCAATTTCTTTCTACCGTTACGCATGTGTGTATCACCGCAACTAGATCAAATCCCTCTCAAACAATTGCTGCATTGGGAACTGCATTAGTTGCGAAACCTTGTCCGGTGTACGTTCGCAAAGCCTGCTCTTCACTGCTTAGTAAGCAACTACTGCGAGCTGAAGGTGTTCGTGGGCTTTGTGCGGCTATTTTCGGAGAGAACGCCGAAGAGGCGCAGCTCGACAAATTGGAACATGTGGCTCGCCTTCTGACCACCCCTCCGTCTACAATCCGTGCTGAGGTCAGACTATCTTTACTGCCTAAACTTGACTGACATAATTAGGCTTACTTTCCAGCCATCATACCTCGAATTCTCGACCTACTTTCGGATCGCGCCCCACCAGCATATCGCAGAGCGGGTGCTTTTTCGATATCTCGCATGCTGGCCATCCCTGCGTGCTCATTGTTGTTTTCGCTGCTCCATGGGCCATTTCTGTCTTTTAACACGCCGTGTGAGGCGCATAAATTGCTCGACACTCTTACCACACTTGTTACCAACACGGATCCCTCCCCCACTATGATTTCCTCCCTCCTCTCTCCCATTATGTCTTCTCTTTATTCGCTGCTCTATACCTTCGACACGACAAGAACAGCTGATCCAAGCATTAAGGAGGCCGTGCGGGGTCTGTTGGCTACATGGGGAAGAGTCATTGCCACCGAAGAGGCCTTGGCCATTCTCTGGTCGATTACTGCTGGTGAAGGGGGCTATTGGCGTATTGAGCTTGACGGCAAGATATGTCACCTCGAGAAGTAAGCCTCACTTCCAACGTTCTACTTGGACTTATCAAATATAGACCTGAAGAAACAGCAAGGTTGACGCTCATGACCCCAGCAGACGAGGATATCGACGTGGACACTAACATTCTGGGTCTTTATCCTGATCCCGTTCACTTTGTCCTTTTCCTCAAGTCGCTACAACGAGCAGACATCTCCTCCGATCTATTTCTGCGATCGCTCGAGGCGTATCGGGACTCGAAGCGAGAACCAGACGATCCAACACGGTGCGTTGTTTGAAGGCTACTCGCTTTACTGCTTATCGTCCAATGGAGGACACTATTATATCTTCAACTTGTCGTTCAAATGCAAAAGCAACTGGTTGACGGACCATCCACAATTCTAGGAAATCATGAACACATCCTTTCTTTCATCAAGCACACACTTGATGCGCCAAAGCCCGACCCGAAACCGATGCCAACGCCCAAAACTAGCCCGTTCGACTTTGGGCTCAGCACAGATGATGACGTAGCTAGCGATGAAGAAGAGCTGGGGGACAGTTTAGGCCAAGATGATGAGATGATCGAAACATCCATCAACTTGCTGCTCGCAATCCTCGAAAGTGAGCGAATTGATCGCAAAGGCCCCCGTTATCTTACTCAATATCTCCCAGCAAACCAGGACCTTTCCGCAAGGAATGCACCCGATTTGAACGAAATATTTACCCTCCTTGAGCCTCATGCCCTTTCTGGCTCCTCACCCATCCAGCCAATAGCACGTGAGGCCCGCATAGTAATAACGGCGCGCCTTGCGTCAACGTCGGCATCTAGCCGCAACCCAGAAAAGCGCGACGATTCGCAGGCTGTGTATCAGAAAGCTCTCAAGCTTTTGCAAGACCCCATTCTGCCAGTGAGAGCCCATGGACTGCTGCTACTACGCGAGCTAGTTAGCTCTGGGCAACTTTCGGATCAAGCATTGGTACCAGCCATATTGTCTATATTTTTACAGTCGCTTCAAGACGATGACTCGTATATCTTCCTTAATGCTGTCCAAGGTCTCGCAGCCATGGTAAACTCACATGGGAAAGATGTCCTTAAAGGACTGGTGAAAGATTATACGCAAGGTTTGGCAGGACTGGGATCAGGCAACATTACGCCTCACGATCTCGATGTTCGCACTCGAATCGGAGAAGCATTGGCATTTGTGATCAAAAGATGTGGATCGGCGCTACCAGGCTATGGTAAGTGTGAACCCCTCGACGACACACAAAAGCTGAATTGTGTGGCAAGTGGACATGCTTGTGCCGCCATTATTCCAAATTGTGCGTTCACCGCAAGTGCCTGTGACGCTCAGAACTTCATGTCTCGCATTACTCGCCGAGTGTGAGAACACATATCCTTTGGCGCTGACAGAATACGTCGTAGATCTGGCGGAGGCGATGGTGGATTTGATCCAACTCGAAACAACCCCCAACGCTCCCGCAGAATCCGAGGACACAAACCCAGTTGTCAAGGATTCAAAGCAGCCAGCATTCCGGCGGGCAGCATTGCATTTTTTGGGTTTGCTCATTCGAGAAACGGGCCAAGATGAATCACCACGCCCTCAGTTCTCGGGTGCCGTTCTAAGGAGAATGAAGACAACTCTCTCATATATTTCAACCACGGACGGTGATGCAGTCGTGCGAGCTATGGCCAGAGAGGTAGTCGAAAGTCTCTCCGAATTGGCGACGATGATACTCGGAAGTGTAACATAGTTGGTCGATGAATGTTTGTCTCGTATCTGTCTCAGAAGCGGAGAGCTCTTGTCAACTGAGTCAAAAGTAAGGCATTCGATCTTGGCTCATGTCCACCGAAGTGATCTCCCCGTCTGTCGTGTGGTAGCAAACGAGACGGCATAGAGAGAGAGAGCCTGGGTTCAGGAGGAACTGGATGAAGTCGATGGATTGTTGGCCACAGTACAAATTTCGTCTATTTTGCGACGCAAACTTTTCCACTTGGAACCACCGACCAGGAGATACGGAGACGGGTCGTTAGACGCTTCGGGTGCATCGAGTTTCAGAAAAGGGTTCGAGATGGCAGCGTAATAGGCCATGTGCAAGGCTTTGAAGATCTGGACGTGCCATACAATTGAGTGTTGGGGGAGGGAAAATAGCCAAAACATACCGTGCTGACCTCTACATCGCGCACAACAGAGTCGGAGAGAGCGAGACACATGACAATTTTTAGCTGTGGAAGGTTCATACAACCCATCGGCGAATGCTCAGTTCAAACCTTGAGTGGTGTCGTGTACCCATAGACTAAACCAACAATGAGATGGACTAAGAACGCGCCTGAATTTTCTAATTACCTGCAACATCTTCGATGGCATATAGTAGTCCCAAGTAGCTGGTATTGTCCGTTGTAACTAGAGCCAAAGTCAGAGAACTGGTAATGGTTATTGGAATGTGAGTTTACCTCGCTCCTCCACAACGTCAAGACTGGTGTGGAAGATGTAATGGTACTTGGTGTTCTCTGCCTCAGAGTTGAAGGTACGTATGAGGATGGGGTGGTTCTGCGGGGAAATGAAAGCAACTGCGTTTATCTTTGTTTTGCTCATGACAAGAAGGAGAGAACGACGACGAGCTATGATTGCCGGCTTCAAGTTTTCCCAACTCTCTCTCCGCCTTCCCTCTGACCACATCGTAGAGCTTTGCCATGGTAGCCACAGAGCCAGAATATCATCGCATCCTCTCTGAGCCCCTTCGAAGCTGGATCTCTGACTCAGCAGACTACAGCACTCCCGTTGGGTTGCTTGCCTGCCAGCGCAACCCACTGCTGCGAAAGAACACCGCCTTTGTAATCTCAAGTACTCTGTCCGCTCCTCCTCCCCCACCAAAGGGGAAACAAAACAAGAAATCGGTTATCGCGCCGACCCTACCGACTGGTGTACCTGTTCTCGAAGTGATCCTGAGCGACACTGTCCTTTTTCCAGAGGGTGGTGGGCAACCGACAGATACTGGCATATTTCGCACTCAGGACGGTGATTATGCTCAATCTCAGTCACTCTGCAAAGCTTGAATATCGCTATTTACATAAGGTTCCGTTTGGCCCGTTCTGAAGGTCCTGCGTCAAGGAGGAACAGCAGTCCACTATGTCCAGCATGTTGGTGACCAGACCCCCGAAGAAGCCCTTCAAAAATACTTCGCAGCAGGCGTCAAGATAGAGGTTGAGCTTGACAATGGGGGTTGGGAACGACGAACAGACCATGCAAGTGTCGCCCTTGAGTGAGATTCAGCTCGTAACATTTGCACAGATGACGCTCCACACGTCGCAGCATTTGCTATCGGCACTTCTCGACACAAAATTACAGCTCCCCACATTGTCATGGTCACTCACTAGCTCTGGGCCATGCTACGTGGAAATTCCTCGGGGGATGACCACAGAGGAGATTTTAATGATACAGAATGAAGCCAATCGACTTGTGTTTGAGGGAACAAAGGTTCATATTGAAGTTCAAGAACTCGATCGTACTGCCATCGCACCAGTCGAGAAGACTGAAAATGGTCGCGCTGTTGGAAGAGGACTACCCGAAGATTACACGGTCAATCCCCGTCTCCTTGCCTCTTTAATATGTACATAGCTGATTCAACTCTAGGGTGGGGTACATCGTGTTGTCCATATTGCCGGTGTCGATATCAACCCGCAAGTTATTCAACAGAATTTTATCCAGTACTACTGCTGACTATTCCTTGACAGTTGTTGCGGCACACACTTGCCCAGCCTGAATAATCTCCAATTGTTCATTCTCCCTCACACCGATGCCTTGTCTCGATCGGCGACTACCGTAGCTCGGCTTTACTTTCTGGCTGGACCGCGTTTGATCAATCATCTAACTTCAACGCATAATTCTTTGGCATCGACAGCAGCCCTTTTGTCTTGTGGGCTACCTCAGGTTCCTGAGCGTGTCGCGCAGGTCGTAGACGACCGTAAAAGCGTGACAAAACGATCGGAGGATCTGGAGCTAGAGCTAGCGAAATTCATCGCCACTGAGATTTCTTCTGAGATGGACAAGACAAGTCCTGGGGGCCTTTTCAGGAAACATGTCCATCGGCTGGACGACTCTCCTAGTGCACTCGCTTTTCTGACTGCCATTGCATCTGCTTTGGCAGATTTGGCAGCCAAGTCTTCTCTCAAGCAATCGTACATCTTGGTGTTGTCTTCGAGTCCAAGTTCTCCAGCTCTAACGGGCACCAATGTTGTTCTTGTGCTGGGGAGTGATGACGCCCGAGTCAAGATAGTGGGTGATGGACTTAAATCGACCCTAGGTGTCAAAGGAGGGGGCAAGGGGTCGCGATGGAGCGGCAAACTAGTAGGCACATGGAAGGCAAAGGAGGACGCTGTTGTAGAAGAGATTCTCGAGAAAGTGTCGTAGAAATGTACATGCAATGAAGATGGGGTCTATTTGGGCTCCCGACTTTGGTCATCCGAAGACTGGGAATCATCCAAGTCTTCCTCGTCATCCGCCACTACTTCTACGTCGACAACCTCGGCATCTACAAGTGATTCATTTTCAGCGAAACGAGGAAAAGTGGAACTAACCTGAATGTAGGCTCGTCGTGTCTTCGTCGGTGTCTTGCTCTACGCCAGCTGACAAACTACTTCGGTCCTCCCAATCATCGTCTTCTAACTCCATTTCGTCGCCGTTGGATTCCATGTCGGTATAACCGTCAGAAGTGAATGCGAACGAATCCTCCTCCTCTAGCTCATCAGGGTCAGGGACATATTCACCCCCATCTGATTCGTCGTCCGAGGAGGGTGGCCGAATGTCAAGAAAAACGTGTCTGCAGGTCGGACAACTTCCATGCATGCTGCGAATCCACTCGCTCAAACTGTCTCAGTTGTTATTAGTGGTGAGCGCCGTGTCATGTTTGACAACGCACTCTTTCCGACAAAATATGTGGCCACACGCGAGTTTCGTGACACCCGCTTGCGTCCCCGACTCGGAGGAAAGGAGCGTTTCGAAGTCAAGGAAGCATATCGGGCAGTTGTCCTCGGGATCAAGTTCGTCTAGTTGCATACTTGGTAGAGTCTGCCAAAAGTTCGTGATTATAGTTTGGATCTCCGGGTCCATGGTTTGCAGCGAGTTTAGAAGGATGTGGGGAGAAATATCAACAAAACCAACGTTCGTGACGCGGTGACTGATGCACGACGCGTCCGAGTCTGCATCTAATCGCATTGTTGACGTTGTGATGGCGCTCACGTGATCCCGACAGGTTTCTTCCCGTTTTCTCTCTTGCCGATTGAACCGCCCATGGACCGTGCCTTGCTCTAGGCTCTGTAACTTGATAATTGCCATATGCTCCACCAGGTGATGTTCAGTTCAATGGGCCCACTGGAGTGGCTTAGACGTGACGCGGTCTACGCGGTGTCGCTCGTCAGCTGATGGGAGGGTGGGAGCGGGCCGGTGCCGTTATGCCATCGCTTCCTGCTTGAATAAATAGTATGAGCACGGATCTTTTGTGCGCTGGAGACATCTTTTCACCATGTCCTCTCTCGAGAAAGGCCAGAATGTCTCGGATCCAGACGTTTCAACCAAGGAACACGCGCCAAACGTCGAGCATTCACCAGAGCGGCGTGCTCTTGAGCGAAAACTTTTGTGGAAGATCGATGCGCGAATGAGTATCCTTAGTGCGTGATCTGGTGTTTGTTACTCGTTCCAGGCTGACCTTGCGCTAGTTGTTATCTACATCCTCAACTACAGTCAGTCTGCCTCAACTTGAAATTCAGCAGCTTTGTTTCTCAAATTTTCCCTCAGTCGACAGAAACAATGCGGCGTAAGCTTTCCATTAACTCTTCGACGCTCTGGAGCTCCTCCACAGTGCCGCTCGCAACCGTGGCTTTTCTGCCGATCTCCATCTCAAGGGACAAGAGTTTCCAACACTGTTGAGCATCCTCTATGTCGGTTATATCCTGATGCAAGTCCCGAGGTACGTCTGCAAGTGTTTTTCGTTGCACACGCTGGCAATTCTAACAATTTCTGTTAGCAATATGCTGCTTAACTATATGGGTCGCCCCTCGCTCTACCTACCCGGGGCGTATGTCACCTGCTAAACACTTGTTGTTTTTTTGCTTACAGTAGTCGAGTATGATTATCTGGGGAGTAATTTCCTGTCTCACCGGTGCGCTCTCCCGAATTCCGTTCACTCTAATATTCATTTCTGCGTAAGGAATCACCAACGAGTTCGCTTTTCGTTCGCTCCCATCCGCTAATCCCTAATATCACCGGTCCAGCTTCACTGGCGCTCTTCTCACTCGGTTCTTCCTCGGATTTGTCGAAGCCGCATTCTTCCCGTCGGTGCCCATCTAATTTCCTGTCCGTACCGACTATTCACGATCTGTCTTAGTGGAGCGCTCTTCCTTCTCTCCAAAGTAACTACCTTTCTCCGCTCCGAGTCCGGCCTTCATTCAAAGCTGGCAGTGGTACACCCGCCGCGAGATCGGACTGCGCACGGCATTGCTTTATTGTGGCAACATTATAAGGTTCGTCCACCGGTACTATCCGTTGAGGGTACTCTAATCGAGGCCAGTAATGCGTTTGGCTCGCTGATGGCCTCCGGGATCCTGGCTGGCATGGGGGGCAAGCTCGGCCATGCTGCGTGGAGGCAAGTATTGGTTCTTTTTCAAGCTAGATAACGCTGAAAGAACCCCTTTTTTCAGATGGCTATTCTACATTGGTATTATTATCAGCTTCAAACGCATGCAATTATTCTAACATTGAACCATGAAGAGGGCTCCCTAACCGTCTTCATCGCTATCATCGCCATATTCGTTCTTCCCGACTTCCCGACGACATCGAAGTGGTTGTCGCCAGAGGAGCGAGAGTTGGCGCTGCTGCGACTGGAGGAAGACGTCGGTGTCGGTGATCAAGCGGAGACAGAAACCGGGGGTCCGTTCCATGGACTGGTATTGGCCGTAACCGACTGGAAAGTTTGGTGTATGTCAACCGTTCATTGAGAGAGTTGACGCTGCTAAATGGAGTGTCAGGGTTTGCTTTCGCACTAACCGCTCAAGTGGTGGCATTGTCGTTCAACGCGTTCTTCCCCACGTTGACCCAGACCCTTGGATATAGTCCCACCGTAACTTTACTACTCGTCAGTCTAACTTAATCGCGCTATCTAACTCCTCCCTGATCTTGTTCTAGTGTGCTCCGCCTTTTGCAGTTGCAGCAGTTGCAGCATTCGCGTTGGCACGGTTAGTAATAATATTTGATTGGAACTTGATTTTCTGACTCCACTAGGCATTCGGACAAGGTTGGTGAAAGATGCTTCCATATGATCGCGTCGTTTGCCCTTGGCCTTGTTGGCTTCATCATCGCGATATCAACTATGAACACTGCAGCGCGTTACATCGTGAGTCGAAATGAACTGCGTCTTGGATAATGAAAGACTTATTGGCTAGTCACTCTTCCTGATGGCGCAATCATACGCAGGCTTTGTCGTGATGTACACTTGGATGTCCAATTCTTTTCCCCGCCCGCCGAGTAAACGTGCGGTGGCGCTTGCTCTGATGAACGCGTTCAGTCAACTAGGAAACATCTCTGGTATGGTTGAACATGAACTCGGCGAATTGGGTGCTAATTTCTTCACTAGGATCGTGAGTTGACAGAAAATGTACGTTTGGTGGTCACTAAAAGCGACATCCAGATACGTGTGGCCGAGTAACTGGGGCCCCACCTACCGCCACAGCTACGCGATCTGTATTTCTTGCACTGCGTAGGTGGTCAGCCGCTTGGGGGTCGATTGCTGATAGGTTTCCTAGCACGACGATTATTATGTGCCTGTTGTTCAGAGTATTCTTGCAGATGGAGAACAAGAAGCTTGAGAAAGAGGAGCAGGAGCGGGGAATAACGACTCCTGGCTTCCGATATGTGTTGTAGTAGACGACCCCCAAAAAGATGAGGACAAGGTACATATTGATATGATCCTAAGTAACATAGGTATGGTAAGATACATGACTATAAACAAGCAGCATTCCTCACTCAAAAAAACTGTGCGTTACAGTTAGAACAATAAGTAGGAGTTTGCGTAGTAGAGTTTACGGTAACGAAACCATGACAGACACGACGCCGATGAGCACGAGAGTACAAGTCCAAAGGTGTAACTTCAGTGACTCAGCTCCTGAATGGGCTGATGAAAGTTTCGCATAGGCCGTCCCACATTCCGCAACAGAAATCCTGGCGGCATCAGGATATGCTTCTCCGAGATTGGACGCCAAAGTGGTCGACGAGTTGCCCATTGCGGTGTAATAAAGTGACATCAAGCTCTTAGTACATGGAGAGCACGAGGCGATGGTGTTGTTGGGGACGCGTATGCCGAGGGGGAGCGAGTAGAAGAAGGCGTCAGACGGATTCGAGTTGTGGACCGCGTTTAAGTAGCAGTAGCTGTTGGTGGTGGGGTCAATCAGACAGCCCGCACTGCGCATAACATCAAAGGCATCGAGAGCAGTCTGAGTGTCCACGGCCAGACTATTCCGATCCTTCAAGTCGGTGGCACACGCTGATGCCAATTTCGCGGAAAACCAGGCCATGTTCGCTGCACAAACGTCGTTTGTCGGTTCTGTGTTACACGTCCCCCAAACTACAGCATTGAGTCGGTTTAGATCCGACTGCGCCGCGACAAATGAGTTGGATGACTGCAGGAGGAGCGAGAAGGCCCGGCAAGACCTGAATGGCGCGGCGCTCGTCATATTCTGGAAAAAATTGAAGCATGAGAGACTGGAGAAGTTCTGGCTAAGGGACGAGTCAAAGGGCTGAGGGAACGGTGCTGGGAGAGTGGGAGAGGTGGGGACAGCAGGCACCGTTTGTCGTGTAGGTGGATCGGTCTGTGTAGGGGTTGGAACAGTGGACATTGCTGAGCTAGGGAGAGTTGCGAAGTCTGCACGCTTGTGGAGAGAAGATATTTCAAAGTGGGTCAGGTAGCGGGTAGACGAGGTTATGAGAATAAGCGCGAGAGGGACCAGGACCACTGTCCATCTTATTCGTCGCCCGGTTCGCTGCTTGGCAGTGATAGAATCCGTTTGGACTCCCGGAGAAGGCGGGGGCGTAAGCATGAAGGAAAGTGGACCCCCGAAGGGAAAGAGCGTGTGGGGTCAAATGAATGTTGTGGTCGAGGAAAGGTGTGACGTTTCGGGTAACACGGTGGCACGACCTTTGGTTTCCCCAACGCGATGAACTCGCTCAATTATTTGTCGCGGCACTTTGACGCTGCTCTAACTAGCGCCAAAACTCCGCCATCGACACCGACAACCGAGTACCCGCCATCGCAGTTCCTCCAAAATAAATCTTCGAGTTCCGGGACATCGTCAGCCTTACCCCGCGTCCAGACATGGTCGACCAAGTCTTTCTTATTTGCATCACGGCCAAGCAGCTCGCTAACTGCCCGCCCCAAACGCTCATTGTCATCTCCAGCCGACTTCATCACCCTGGCGTCGTTGCAGGCACAATCCCCAGCGACCACTACCACCTCGCTCTCTCTCGAAACACCCCCCGTAGGAACAAGCATTGAGCCCATCCATAGGACATTTCTCATGAGAATATTGGTTTTGGCGTGGAATACGTTGCGTGCTGCGTGGGCGTCACTGGCGGCCAGAACTGGGTTAGTTCAAAGTAGAAGTGCAGTTATCCAAGTGGCAGAAAAGGAAGAAGAGGAAGGGCAGTCGACTGTCGAGGCAGACACTAATGCTGGACTATATATGGCGCCTAAACACGCGCCAGCAGCGGCTACGAATGCATTGCCGACACCACCGCCTATGGTGACGACTGATCCCAGCGCGTCGCGTTCTTCCACCCCAACAACAACTCGAAAAACACCCTTTCACTTGCCGAAAACGCTGGTCCTCGATCTCGATGAAACTCTCATTCACTCCACCTCCCGACCTTTGCCGAGCACAAGGTCAGGCTTCTTTGGTCTGGGCGGAAACAAGAGTTCAGGCCGGATGGTTGAAGTCGTTTTGGGTGGCCACACTACTCTCTATCACGTCTACAAACGGCCCTTTGCTGACTTTTTCTTGCGAACGGTATATTATTTTCCACCAACAGCCCATTCCTTTCTCTCATATCGCGTCAGGTCTCTGGGTGGTACACTCTCGTTATCTTCACCGCATCGATGCAGGAATATGCCGATCCCATAATCGACTGGCTTGATGCCGGAAGGGGAATTCTGGCTCATCGGTTATTTCGAGATGTAGGGTGTTTGGACAGTAGCGACTTTGACTGACCTGTTTCCAGTCTTGCACGCAGCTGCCCAATGGCTCTTACACCAAGGACTTGTCTGTCGTCGACTCGGACCTGTCGCGTGTCTGTCTCATCGATAACTCACCTATCAGCTACCGCGTCAATGAGGGTGCGTGTCGGCCCTCTTTCTTTTTCGTCGCTGACAGAGACGGTTTTCCAGCCAATGGCATCCCGATAGAGGGTTGGACACATGACCCTTCAGACGAGGCTTTGCTCGATCTCCTTCCCTTCTTGGACTCGCTACGGTTTACGTCTGATGTCCGGCGTGTGCTCGGTCTGCGGACTGCTGGTGGATTCTCATAGCACTACCTCTAGAGTTATTGGTATTTGGGCCACACCTCGCACTTACATAATTATCGCATTGCAATGCTGTCGTCTAATAATCTCTCTGTACAATTAACTCGTCTTCTTGCTTTAAATTGTCCAACAACAAGAGATCTAAGATCTAGATGTTCTAAATGTCTTACTCGCCATGCCTTGGTTCAGCCCGTACCCTTCGCCTGAACTCGATAGGCCCGCCACCTTCATCACCACTACTCGTCTCTCCGTAAAAGTCCTGTGTGCTTTCTTCGCCGTAATCCGAGTCTTCTGGGCCACTTGCAACCTCAGAAGAGCCGTCCGAGGAGCCAGAGTCATCATCATCGTCACTGGCCAACCTCCTCGGCATCACTACAAGAATATCATCCTGAGCTTGATCCTGAATAACCAGCCAGTCTCCACGTCTACCCTGATCGTCGAGATCGGGATATAACGTCCGCCATTCCACGCTGGTCAAGCTTCTGGCGCGCTGTTCTGGCTGGCCAAGAACAGTCACTGTCCGTGAACCAGGCCCAAGTACAATCCCACCAGAAGCGCTGCTGCTGGTGGGTGCCGGGGCTCGGGATTTCCCCAGCGCTTCAACACTGTGTCGTGCAGTGCTGATCAAGCTTTTCGACTCGTTCCGTCGACTTGAAAATATGCTTTTTTTGCGCCGCGAAGTTGGAGGTGAGTCATTGGGAGGAGCAGTAGCCCGCCCTTTGCCTTTGTCGCTTGTCGAGGATAGAATCATCCTGGGTTCGCTCATCACCGCACCTCTCCCATCCGCTGGTGAAGCATCTCTTGGAGACTTGAATAACTTCCCAACGCGTCGTCCTAATGCCAGGGAAAATGACCATTTAGTTCTGGAATCCGTAACTGTCTGATCTTGCTTTAGAAGCTTGGAGCTAGTAGCACGAGGAGGAGAAACTCGAGGCGGAGGATGCGGGTCCATCAAGGGAGCAGTGTCTTGCATCCAACGTTGCGGCTGGTGCATGTCAGCAATAAGCCAGCCATAATTCATCATGTTCTGTGGCAGACTAAGAGATGTACCTCCAGAGTAGAAAGTGGGGGTAGGTACCTTGAGAGCCTCGTCGTCAAAACGATCTTCTGGCGATTTATTCAGCAGACCATCGAGCAGAAAGAGGACTCCCCCATCGCTCCAATCTTCGCTAGCGATTTGAATCGAGGCGGATGACATTCTCTCCGGGGGAATCCAAGGGTCTTCGCGAATCGATCGATATAAGGCATTTTCGGCTACGACTGGGCCAGCATCACGAATGTCGGCATCGAAAGGCAAAGAACCAAAAAGAAGGGCGTAGAGAGTGACACCAAGGGCCCATAAGTCAACCGCAAATGTTACATCGCATTTCGGACCGCCAGGCGTTATCTCCGGGGCAAGAAATGCCGGTGTTCCAGCAGGACGAAAAAAGTCGGCGTCGGATGGATCGGGTTGTGCAAGTGAGGCAACCCCGAAGTCGCCAATCTTGACTTTAGAGCGGTCACCACACCAGAAGATGTTGGACGGTTTGATGTCTCTGTGAATGATGCCCTGCAGGTGAAGGTATCCAATTCCAAGAATCACATCGCGCATAACGCGACGTGTCTGCTCAATGGTCAGATATGGTCTAGAGCTGTCTCTTTCTCGCCACTGGAGCTCTCCGCCTTCCATGTATTCCATGACTAATGGGGAATTAGGAGTTGTTGTTGTTGTTGTTACATTAACGCACGAATGTACATCGAGTCGTTCGATTTGTCGTCGATAAAATACTGGAACCTGACAATATTTGGATGGTGACAACTGCGCATGAGTGCGACCTCTTTCGCAATCTTGGCCTCTTCGGTGCCTTTGGGAGGAGCAGAAAGATTGTTGGAAGTAGGAAGTAACCGAGCCGGGTTATTTGCACGCAGTCGCTGCAGATTCTCCGTCCGTTTGTTGTTGCGGGGGATTTGCTTCAACTAGAGGCCAAGTCAACCACAATCCACAGGAGCTACTAATGAGCAAGCTTCACGGCATAGAGTGTCTTGTCCGTAGTGCGTTCAGCGAGGTAGACGATTGAGTTATGGCCTTTTGCGATTTGACGACGGGTGATGATGAGGACATTCCGAACGGAGGGAGCGGCAGGAACGCTGTCCATCGCGGTCGTCGACGCAAACTACTCATTCAGAGAGAGACAAGTGTGGGGTCACGTGCAATCACCTAAAGTGTCGGCGCGGTACTTATTGCTATTAAGGATCGTACATTGGAGTAGAGATGCAGGAAAGAGGAGAGGACCCGATAGATAAAAGGAGAACAACACAAAGTTACATTGCCATTTCGGCTTGAAGCTGTCGCAACATCGCTTCCTCGTCGTCTTCAACCACAGCAGCCGGTGGTTGGCCTGGGGGAGACAGACAATCAGTTATGGAGAGACAGAATAAGGGAGAAACATACGAGTAGCACCAGGAGGCACGTGCACAGGAACATGGTCTGCGCCCATGAGTCGATCTGTCAATGCCTCATCCTCTAGTTCTGCCAATTCTCTAGCGAGGTCATCCTACAGAAGCTAGTCAGTGAACGAGACGAGCAAAACAATCAAGCCTCACATCTACTAAACTGTCGGCGCCAGGAGGGTTCGAGATGAGGTCCGTTATCTCGTTGGCTACCTCGCGCTGCTCATTGATCTGGGCCATCGTCTCATCGACTTTGGCAACAGTCCTGATTGGGAGTTTCAATTTATGATTACCTTTGGGGAAGTAGAAGACACACATATTTCCGTGAATTTGCTGGAGCACTTCAGAGGCCTTCTTCATGGCAGCCATCGTCTCCGCATTGAGATTGGCTGACTCAAGTGTTCCGACCTGCAGCTCAAGCTGCATTTGTTGTCCTCTCAGTTGCTCCAGTTGTGTCTCGTTCTGTCGTTTACGCTTTAACGCGGCAGTTGCCACTAGTTTGTCGGTTAAACATGAGCTAGAGATCGACCACAGTACACACGAGGTTTATTCGAGACAGCGTTTGCTTTAGCAATCTTAAGTTCCTGGTCGATCTTCTTCTGGAGGTGCTCTTCCTTCTTCTCTATTAGTTGTAGTTGCTGCCGAAGGCCGACTATAGCATCTCGAGCCGACTGCTTTGTATCCTTCCGACCGAAATACGACATGATTCCTTGGAGCTTTCTGAGCGATCCTGGCGGTATCTGGCGAAGGGTAAACGGGTTCTCGTACCTGCCATCATGGATGAACTATGCAAGGAAGTGGTCTGAGTGAAAGGTGTAGATTGTCCGCAGAGACCCAAGTCACAACGTTTGCGTCACTCTCCATCGCATCATGGCTGGCGAGCACTACCTTGCAGTTCTCAAAGCTCAATACGACTATGAGCCTGATGCTGGGGCAGACGACGAGATAGCCATCAAAGACGGCCAAATATTGTTTCTGAAGGAACGAGTTGACCAGGAGTAAGCAGCCCCTTCGTCCCGCCTTACTCTCTCCCCCTCTTATAATTACTTCTAGCTGGTGGAAGGTCAAGATCAAGGGCGAAACCCAAGAAGAAGACACTCCCGTCGGTCTCGTTCCGGCTGCCTATGTAGAGCCAGTACGTTCTACGTGCTATCGTCTACAACAACAGCGCGATAACTCTACCAGGCCGAACACTCGTCAGTGGTGAAGGCTCTATACGACTACGAAGCCAGCGCCCCAGGAGAATTGACCATAACCGAGGACCAAATTCTCGTCGCCTTCGATGCCGACGACGAATGGTTACTGGTTCAAACTGACGAAGATGGCGGCAAAGCCGGCTACGTTCCTGCCAACTACGTGGAATCCTATAATGGTGAAGAAGAAGACCAGCCAGCTGCTCCCCAAATTGTTGTTCCCGACTCTGTACGCGGTCTATTCTAAGCTCCATTATTGTCATCTAGTCTCATCATTTGAACGACAGCCGCCCAAGCCAGCTTATGTGGACCCCGCCACAAGAGTTGCGTCGAGCAAGATTACTGCTGACGATATCAAGACGTGGTCCGTCTCCGAGGTTGACAAGAAAGGCAAGAAGAAGAAGGGTACTTTGGGTGTCGGCAATGGGGCAGTGTTCTTCGCCAGCGAGGCGGACAAGGTGCGCTGAACTCATCATATTGGAGACACAAATTCTGACACTCAATAACAACCTTGTAGACTCCAGTGCAGAAATGGCAGACGGCTCATATCCAGGACATCACCGTTGAAAAATCCAAACATATTCACATCGACGTCGGTGGCCCAAATGCTGTCAACCTTCATTTCAGCGTGGGCTCGAAAGACAATGCCGATGCGATTGTAACCAAACTCAACTCCTCCAAAGAATTTTCTTCTGCCTCTGCTGAATCATCAACATCTGCACGCGAAAGCTCCCCAGGCAAAGACCACAAGAAGGCTACTGTTCATTTCGCTCCTGAATCGCCAACAGTTATACCAATACCAGATGAGGACGAAGAAGAAGAAGTCCAAGAAGAGGAGACAACAGCTCAGGATGATAATAATGCAACAGCCCGGTACGACTTTACGGCTGATGGAGACGACGAGCTTTCAGTTGTTGAGGGAGAACATCTAATTATTCTGGAAAGAGACGGTGACGAGTGGTGGAAGTGTCGTAATGCCAAAGGCCAAGAAGGTGTAGTTCCAGCAGCTTATCTTGAGGTCCGTTCTTGGTCATTTAGAGATACATGATGCTGACATAAACTAGGCCGGTGGTGGTGGAGTGCAAGTTGAGGAGGAAGATGAGGATGACAGTGCTGCCATCGCTGCTGCACGTGAAGAAGAAGAGGAACGAGCCGAGGCCGAACGACAGCGCAAGGCAAGGGAGAAAGAAAGAGCAGAAAGAGAGCGTGTCGAAAATGAAAGGCTGGAAAAGGAAAGGCAAGAAAAGGAGAAAAAGAAACAAGAAGCGCAGAAACGGGCCCGAGAAACAGCTGCAGCAGCCGAAAAAGAACGAGAAAAGCGCAAACAAGCAGCAGCAGCTCGTCCTCCCACAACATCACCCCCTCCCGTTTCGTATGTGGTCTGAAATTTGGCCGCTTTTTAGATGCTCAATATCGTTCCAGTCGCACTCCGCCTGAGCCAAAGAAATCAGAAAGTAAAGCACGGACTTCACCGGATCCTGTCGCTCGTGCGTCATCATACTTCTTTGTATTCCCGCCAAACTCATCATTTTCTAGTCCCTCCCCAAGACCGAGTTCGTGTGTGGCATGACCGATCCGGCCAGTTCCGGGTTGATGCTGCTTTCCTTGGTTTCAATAACGGGAAATTACGCCTACACAAGGTCAACGGTGTGATCGTTGAAGTGCCTGCAGAGAAGATGTCCGTGGAAGACATGAAATACGTCGAGAAGATGACCAACAAGCAGCGAGGCTCTCGCACATCTGCCGCTGCGTCACGTGCTATATCTGACGACGATGTCCCACTTGCGACGGTGAAACGAGCATCAATGGCAGTGCAGCCCAAAAAGGGCCCGACGATTGATTGGTTCGATTTCTTTCTTTCCGCAGGTTGCGATATCGATGATTGCACACGCTACGCCTCTTCGTTTGAAAGGGACAAGATGGATGAATCAATTCTTCTCGATATCACCGACTCAACAATGCGCTCACTTGGGTTACGGGAGGGTGACATAATCCGAGTGTCCAAAGCGATTGAGAAACGTCGGCCCCCTGCGGAGAAGAAGATTGACGAGGGAGAGGATAGTGGTGGGCCAACCAAGAGCCCGCCAAACCTCTTTACCACGGCTGGCGGTGCATTGAAGAACCCTCGTCGAGGCAGGCCCCAGGCTTCAAAGAGCAGCACATTACCGGGCTCTGTTGACATGCAAGCCATATCCTCGGTTTCAGATCAAATGCAACGTACCACTTCACCCAAGGCTTTGTCGCCAACTACGGTTCAACCTCCGCCCAGATCTAGCTCTGCTCTACTTCCAGCGACAAGTGGATTCGATGATGATGCCTGGACGAATAGACCGAGTTCAACTCAGCCAACTCCCTCACCAAGCACTCCAGCCCCAGCGGTGGCTGCAACACCTCCCCCTCCCGCAGCGGCTCAAAGTCCTGCTCCGGTTGCTCCCACACCACCAGTTCCGACTGTTCAAACCCCTCCTGTGGTCCAGACTACGCCCAGTCTTGCAAAGACAACCGAGGCTGATGTGTTTGACCAGCTTGCGCGACTTTCTGCTCTACGTTCACAGACACCCCAGGCTCCGCCTGTCGTTGCGACCCCGCCAGCCGCTTTACCCACCATTGCAGCTACTCCAACCGGATACGTATCGGGTCTTGGAATGGGTTCTTCCCCAGTTCCCATGGGGCAGCATTTGGTCAACCAACAAGGAGGTTTGCTACCTTCACCATCGCCTCAACCTCCAACTGCGTATACTGGCCCTCGTGGTCCTTATGCTCCAGTACCAGCGAATCAAACTCTCCTCCAACCGCTAATACCAACGACGACTGGATTCAACAGCTTCGTGCCAACTCGAGCATCCGCCTCACCTTTCGGCAGCTCCCTCCTCCCGACGCAACCAACCGGCTTCCCGGGCTCCTTACAGCCTCAGCCAACTGGATTCATGCCACAACAACAACAACCACTCTCCTTCCAGCCCACCGGATCGCCATTTGGTGGAAATTCATTTGTGCAAAGCAGTAAGGTTCACATCACGTGATATACCACCCAGCTGACATACGCTCTTAGATCCCACTGGCTTTGCACAATCTCCGTTCAACAACGTATCACCATTTAGCAACCCTGGCTTTGCTTCTCCGCCGCCTGTCCCGCCACTTCCTTCCTCAACACCACAAACCAATAACACGTCACCCGCTAATATCTTTGCCCAAATGAAGTCAGGGACATTTGGAACAGAAGACGGCGGCGCCCCTCAGAGTGCTGGTACGTTCTCGAGTATCATTTGGACCACGTATTCACAGGCTGCTCCCAGATCGATACGATGCGTTACGACCAAATCGTATGTCTTGTCTCAACAAAAAAAAACCCGCTCAACTGACCTTATTCTGTAGCCATGGTCGCACAACCGACAGGCTGGGTGGGAGGATACCAGAACGGATTTGGGGGTTACCACTAACTCGTTGTTGTGCTCTAAATATTGCGGAATTATCGTTATAAGTACACAATGCTGATAAGTTAAGTTTATGATACGTCCATGATGCGTTGGGAAATGCCAACACGTGAGAAGTAGGTGCGCAGGCTCTGGCGGATCTCGGGGCCCGTGTCTCGCGTGATGAGTTCCGTGGCCAGAGGATATATGGACGACAAATATTTGGCGAACTGGTGAGAGCGTTAGCAAAGCAACCACGGAAAAGCACGTGACCTACGTCTTGGTGACCAAATCGGCAGAATCCGTCCAGTATTTCGCCGACGACGGGTGTCCAGGCAATGATATTTTTCCCTTGAGTGTCGGCCTTCAGCTTGTTATAGTCACTGAGGATGCCTAGAGCCAAACTAAAACAAAAATCGTTTAGGACGGAGCACAGGTTGCAAGAGGGCGGGAAGACATACGGCATAAGTCGATCAAGCATCAGCGGACGAGCTGCTTGGTGCTCGGGACGATTGTCGAAGTACATCCGGAGGAAAACATTGACCAAGGTGGCCGCGCTACTTGACTCCTGCTTCAACAAATTGGGCAGATGCTTCATGAATCCTGGACCTCGACGGTGAGAACCTGAATCACACGAACGTCGATTTGACTCACCGACTTTCCAGAGCCCCGTCCTTAGCTCCTTGTCTTCGTTGAAACTACGAGCGAATTGATAACTGTGGTCCAGTACGCCCATCAGCCGCAACAGATGCTCCGGCGGGATCATCCTGTACACGTCATCATTGCGTAATAGATCATTCGTAGTCTCGATGAGCAAGAGCTGCAGAACGCATTTGACAATGATTTGCTTGAAGACGCGGCGTCTATCCGCACTTGAAGACCTGGGATCGTGCTTGGGCACTTCACCGTTGGGGGAAAGTGGCGCAGGAAGAATTGTGCCGTTTGTGTCTATATGCAGCGATGAAAATGGGCATGAATTGGTTAAGTTCGTCTACCTGTGGATTCAGACGGTTCTGGGCTGCTACCGTCAATATCTATGCGCAAACTTTCATCAAAAAGTTGATGAGGCGTCGTCGTCTTGAAGAGCTTGACGAATGTGGTGGTAATTCGATCCCAACGCGCAGCGCTCAATTTCTGGACATTATTTTCGAGCAGTTGTTGCAGACATGAAGTCCCAATGCGGGCAAGTGTGTCATTTTCTGTGTGATGACATAAGCATGTCGATTGGTCGTGATAATCAGTCAGTACCTTGGCAGATACAAACACAGAGAAGATCAAGCAGACCGTCCAGAGAACGTTCGAGAATATCGAAATGGAAGGTGTACAGGTCGATGAGATCTCGTAGAGCTTGGATCATTGTCGTCGAGAGCCACACACTCATGTCCTCTTGAGTGCTAAACCGTGAAACGTCTTGACTTGACTTGAGGACAGCAAATATCGGGAAGAGCAGCTCCTGGCATACAGTGTCCCAGAATTCAACAGGATAGTTTGCCCCGTAAGTTTTCAAGGTTGTAAACAACGAGTCTAATGCACTGGCAAGAGTTCAGTAACTGAATTGCTTGATGAGCACTACTTACAGTCTTCGAACCTCCAGATCTTCACCGTTCATGATGATATCATAAAAGGCAAACAAGACGGGGTACCAATACTTGATCATATTGTCGTCCATCGGGGAGGTCGGTGAAGAAGGAGTTGTCCAAGAGCACTCTGGGCAATCTAGCATAACCGGTATTACGCCCCGAAGCATCGCGATGGCCAGTAAACTGATTTTCTGGTACTTGCTGACTTTGCAGAAGTCGGTTATGCAGACTGTCAAGTCCGCGAAAGCACCATGTCGTACAATGGCACCAAAATGGTCCTTGTTCAATCGTGTGACGATCTCGAAGGCAGAAGTGGCAACTCGTTCTACGGAATGATTAGTTCCGAGACAAATACCACAAGGAGATGTTTGCACCTGTGAGAACCTTGGAGGCTGCTTGAAAAACCCCAAACATTGTTCGCCAACCAGATCTCATGTTCTGAACACGTGCTTGAATCATCTGCTGTAAACATTGGAGGACCTACAAGGTCGGATTAGACGCAATCAAGGGCTTCATCCGTGACTCACCATATCACGAATATCAGGGTTGTTATTGTGGATCATGGTGTGCTCGAACGGCTTCAAAAAATCCTTTTGGAATTTGAAGTGCGGCAGCTCCTCTTTTTCCAAGAAACGCATGGCAAGTTGTCTCAACGAATCGAGGGCGAAAAATCCCACGTGTGGATTATTATGGCAGCACACCTACAGCAAATCAAGTCAAATAGTCAAAGGAAAAAGAAACGCACTTGGTTGAAATGTTCCCCTAATATATCCCACAAATTCGACCATTCGAGACGGATACGGTTCATGTTGTAGTAGGAAATTTCGACTAGCTTTTGGAGACTGAATAGTCGAGGATGCTGGGAGAGACCCGAGGATTGAATTTCTTCCCATGAGACATCGCTCAATGCTTGAACGAAATCAACGATGGCAGTCTAAGTCGCGCTCAGCCTCAACACTTGACAGAGAACAAAAACGAACCCCAGACAAATAGTGACTCAGGGAAAAGACCATGTCAGTGGCGACAGTGATGTGCGTTGAACGACTTTCATTGGCTAGTTCTTCTGTGGGCAGCTTTCGAGTGCGACTGAGGCATTTTAATCTTACTACACGGACTCAAATATGATGAATACTTACCCTTTTCTTCCCGAGTCTGCGTCACCTCCACCACTAATGATTTGCATGTGTTCCAGTTGACTGACACAAGTAAGGACATCGTGCCAAGACCCTTTCAGTTGGTTGCCTTCAGTGACGGCAATATCGAGGAGCGTTTTTATAGCCTCCATGTTCTTCGTCTTCATCTCTCCAAGGTTATTGAGGAATGTGAACTTGGAGAGGGTCGTCACAAACGCATTGCGCTCGAGTTCGAGACCGAAAAAGCACACGATGCGAATGGCACATTTGAAGCCGTCGAGACACAGTTCCACGACTTCGAGATCATCCGTATCCTGGAGTGGGCCCGAGAGACCAGCCAAAAACGGGATCCAAGCAACCTCGAACATTGGGCGGACATGCACAGAATTGGACGCGCTGAAGAACTCTTTGCTGCCTTTACGCTGCGTTCGCATGAGTGTCCTAAACATTGCCTATGGAGGTGTAAAATGATTGGATCCGGATGAGAAAACAACTTGCCTCCGTCTTGTTAGCCATGCCGCTTGTCTGCAAGACATAAGCTTCCTTCTGAAGATCTCTTCCGACATTGGCGAGGGCTCCTGCAAGCCCAGGACCCGAAGTAGCACTGACGCTCGCTTCAATCTCGTCTTTCATCCGAATTTCGTTGCTGTCGATGTCATCGAAGATATCAGATAAAAATTCCTCTGGTAGATCAACCCCATCATTGATACCCCTATTATTCTTGATGAAGTCTGTCTTTGTCATCCGACGCTTAACTTGAGGGTTGTAGTGGTCCGTATTCAGCAGAATCACCGAGTATGCCAGTACATACGCCGTATCTGACCACTGTGAGTGCAAAAAATTATAGGAAAATGTTGTCTACCTGCGTTCGCAAATGGAGTTTGTGTGTTACCGTCAATGTAACGTTGAGCAAACTTGAGCATGAATCGATCGATCTTCTGAGCTTCACCAGGCAGTCGGAATGACTGAAGGAACACCCGTAGGGCCTCTACGAAAGGAATATCTCGGAAATCGAGCATATCGACAAAAGCGTGCATGATCGCAACATTTTCCTCTTCTCTGAGCCAGGGTTTAGAAGCGACTTGGGTGCAATCAAGTTAACATACCCTTCGCCGAGATATTCTCCAATCATTGCCTTGTTCAAGCCATCGGTATTCAACAAGAAGTGAGCAATGTCTTGGGGCGAATTGCTCGCGATGAACCCAGTCTCAATCAAGAACTGAATACCCTGAATTTGGGGTCAGAATATGAGAAGACATAAGCATGATTATTATTATTACCCGCTTGGGCTTGAAGTTGAACTTCTTCAAGCCTTCAAGGAGCGTAGTTTTCTTTTGCTTCGCGCTTTCAAACCGACTGGGGTCATCCACGATGTCAGGCGTTGGTTGCCGAAGTGCTTCAACACTAGGACCACCAGAAAGCCGATCTGGGTCAATCGAGTCCCGCCGTAACTCCTCCCCGGTTTGTGAACGTGTTGAAGGCGTCGCCAGTGGGTCATCCGCAATCTTGCCTGATGCAGTACCCCATGCGACCAGACTCCGAAGCACAGCGACGAGACATTCAAGTCCTTGGCGCTTCAGTTGACTTTCTGACAAACCGATAACTGATGTATCCATTGAGCCAGAAACAGTCAGAGCTGTGGTGCTGAGTGAAGGCGGAACAGAAGATGTGCCGTGATTCTTAACTGTGGGACTTAGAGCCGGGCTGGGTGGTTCACCAATCTTCTGTGGGGCCACAGCAAAAGGCATGCTACCAATCTTCGAGATGATGTTCATCAGACTGACAAGGCTTCAATTCAGAGTCAATTTACAGTAAAGGCACTGACTGTTCATAAATGTTGTCCACCGCCTCGCTGTCACAATCATAGTTGAGGTATATCTCAACGAGTGCCTGCGGGTCTTGACATAGCCGTGAGAGCATACCCAGAATAGCTGCTTTCTGTTTCAGCGTCGAAGTCCGCATTTCGAGAATGGGAATGAAGATTTCGTGTAAAAGAACCTCAATTTCTTTCTGAAATGTCACATTTAGTAGATGACAGAGAACACAAAACGAAGTCGTACCTTTAGCTTCGTCCTCATTCCAGAAATAACGCGCCAAAATATCTCGACGCTAATTTCGAACACTTGGGGCACGGGACTGATGGCATTCCGACTCAAGCTGAGGCAAAGGTACTGGTTGATGGCTTGAACCAGCGTTGTGGCTTCGTGTGAGGTGCTTGAATAGATGATAGCCGATGGATCAACAAAGAGCGGCATATGCGAGTTGAGAATCGTTAGAACGAGATGCAACGACAGTAGTTTTGAGCGCATAGCATGCGATTTGAGATCCCGTTCACTGATAATAATAATCAGTAGCGTGCCATCGTCCATCGAGCGCTCTACTGACCTCTCATTATTCAAGGGTTTCATTGTCAGCTTACAAAGTGCCCGGAAAACCAGGAAAGCATCCTTGACGAAGAGGTCATTGAGAGTCATCTCTCTATGTGTTGCATGGCCCGCATCATGGTCTTCAGAGCCATCTACTGAATGCCGCTTGCCGTTGGGTGTTTGCCTATCCGAGTTAAGTGGATCCGAACCCATCAGAAACATCGACCTACGGTGGCTCCATTCCGCTGGCTTCACCATTCATATCTTTTGAAGGTTCTAAAGGTATTGGGGGTTCATCCGTTGGCGTGTCTTCACTGCTGGCATTTTCGATTACTTCCTCACTTGGCTCTGATGGCAAGTGTCCGTTCTGACTTGAAGTTGAAGAGACAGGATCGACTGAAGGCGGCACAGCACTGATTTTGCACCGAGTAAAGACATGGTGAACCATTTGCGTGAGTCCACCCTGAGCGACCATTTGGTTGACGGGATCTGAACTGAGCAGAAATACGTTGTACACCGTGCGAACTGCCTTCAATAGCGACGAGTGGTGGATGAGTATTGTGGGAGAGAGAACCAGAGAAAGTAGAGCTTTCACAATCTGTAGCGACACGGCCTCGGGCGTGGTCTCCGGAATGACATGAAGCTATCGTGTTTGCCACCAGATCGACTAACGACGGCGGATTCAAGTTGGTCTGGGAGGATTCTGCTGCTGCGTGCCGATGGAGCGGGTTAGGAGAAGGTGGAGGGGAAGGGAGGCCATGGGAGGCAGATGAGGAAGAGTCGACGAAGAACGAGTATGATATTAACTTGGAAATGCAGTCCAAACTGGCAATCATAAGCTTTTCATTCCGTGTCTCGCACGCCAGACGCAGCGGTTCGAATATCTCTTCTGGGTGGTCCACGCCTTGGTTGGTTTGAACGAGTTCCAATGCACGCTGAGTACTGTCGCGTAACGCTGGTGTTCGTTTGGCTAGACCTGCGATGGTCTCCAACGCCGATGAGATGATGACGGAGACGGTATTGCCTCTTGACATTGTTAACGACCTTCTATGGTCGCCGGGAGACTCAGGTGCAAGGGAAATTGTTGTGGGTAGCCTGTCGTGGCCATTCGTGAGAACAGGAAGTGGAGCGGTTTTGGCGGGAGGAGTAGGAGGGAAGCCTGGGGTGGTCGGTGTTGCAGACGACGCGTTAATTTGGTCATTGTGTGAAGCAGAAATCTGAACGTCGCCATTCTGTGATAGTGACTGCTTCTCGACAACGGGTGGAATGACGTCCTGTGATACGGCTTGCAGAATTGGGGGGAAGTCGGCTTGGGGAGGAGGGGAAGCGGGCAAGGGAATCCCCAGCGCAACCTCCATGGCACTACGAGCGTTGGCCGTAAATTGGACTTTGCCGCGTCGTGATGTGACCAAGCGGTCTTGATGGCTTCCGAGTCCTCCTCCTCAGTCCCGACAAGCACATCCGCAGCCGTCCTTGCTCCTTCTGAATCGATTGACCCCAACACGTCCATATCAGTCCAGGGGCCAGATTTCAGCTCTCCTCTTACTTTGCAGGCTTTTATTCAAAGCTATGAACGTATCGGATTCCAAGCAACCAGCCTCGGCAGAGCAATCGATGTGGTGAACAAAATGGTATATTTCCTCTCTTTATTATGTCGCTCCGCTGTTTATCACTCTCCCAGCGTCAATGGCGTCTTTCAGATGACCCCGTTGGTCCCGACGAATCCGACGACTACCTCGATCCTACCGTTCGCGCAGAAACACGCTGCAAGGTCTTTCTAGGCTACACTTCCAATCTCATCTCTTCTGGCCTACGTGAGGTTATTCTCCATCTTGTGAAAAACAAGCAGGTCTCCGTACTGGTCACAACTGCTGGTGGAATCGAAGAAGACTTGATAAAATGTCTTGGAAAGACCTACCTTGCAGACTTCAACCTCGACGGCGCCGATCTACGCAAACGCGGGATGAATAGAATTGGAAATCTCGTGATACCTAACGACAATTACTGCAAGTTTGAAGACTGGCTTACTCCCATACTCGACACTATGTTAGCTGAACAGCAGCAGAGCGGTCAGGTTTGGACACCGAGCAGCTTTATCCATCGCCTCGGGAAAGAGATTAACAACGAAGAATCGGTGTACTATTGGGCCTATAAAGTGAATATATGTGCTTCCTTTGTCCAACGGCTCTCAAGTCTAATCAGAACAACATTCCTGTTTTCTCCCCTGCGCTGACCGATGGCTCGTTGGGGGACATGATATACTTCCATTCGTTCCGCTCTCCCGGTCTCATCATCGACATTGTGCGTGACATTCGTGAAATCAACGAGATTTCGCGCAAGGCAAAGAAAGCTGGGATGATCGTCCTTGGAGGCGGAGTGTGCAAACACCAGATAGCTAATGCGATGCTTATGGTCAATTTTCACATCGCTTCGAGACCTTGACTAATCACTCATGCAGCGCAACGGGGCAGATTATTCGGTATTCATTGTGAGTCGCAGTCTTGGTCATCCATCCTCGATTGACTCGAATAGAATACGGGACAAGAGTTCGATGGCTCGGACTCTGGAGCTCGTCCAGATGAAGCTGTTTCGTGGGGTAAAATTCGAGCAGGAGCTGAGGCAGTCAAGGTCTTCTCATCTGTGCTCTAGCTATTTGTCATCTGAACGTTGACCATAGGTTTTTGCCGATGCGACATTGGTATTCCCCATGCTCGTTGCTGCCACTTTCGCCAAAGATACGCAGCAAATTTAGATGCATGTATAGGTAGATAATTCTATGTAAAAGAGTGTAGCTCAAACCTCCATAAACCTTCGCAAAACCTTGCCGAAAATGTCAACTGCCTTCTTGAGCTCCTCATTCTGCGGTAAATGAGCTCCAGCTCATCTGGAACCACACAAAAACGCACCTCGCCGTTGCTAAAGCTGACACGATAATGCCCCGATGTCACGTTCGACCACTCATTGGTCGGGTTGAACATCGCACCTGGTCCTATCAACAGACCAGCTTCAGCAAACTCAATGAATAACTTTGTTTCCAGCTCTTTGACACCCAGCGTGCTGTAAGCAGGATGCTCGGTGAAGTGAACCTTCAGCCATACGAACATCCCAGATGTAGGTGGTACAAATGAAAAGATAGGTGTCGACAGGGGGACTTTCTCGTTGAAAAAATGTGTGGTGGACTTGGGCTTCACAGAACCGTTGAAGACCTGGCATCCAGCCCACATATCGGTGCCGGAAGTAGTGATTAACTGGAATTCATTCGCGAAACAGTCCACGAGGAAATCCCGTCGGAGAGTGTACTGCACACGGAGACCTTAAGTTCAAAAAATAAGACGATTGTCAGCCGGAGGAGGCTGTTTGCACCTTTCAACCACCGCATATAACCAGCTTCGCCCCATTGGATCAGTGTAGAAGCTACTAGTGACTGGCTGAAGCCGCAAGGCGCCTGCGTCGACGTCTTGAAATACCATTAGAAAAGGAATAACAGTAGAAGGTGAAACTGCTCACTTCCGCAGCTCTTTCCAGCCGCTCCGCAAACATCGCATTGCAAGTATACCAACCCAACCGGCATCCTGGTGCCATAGTCTGCAGAGTCTTAAAATTAATGCCCAACAAAATAAAATATCCAAACCTTGGAGAAGGTATCTAGACGGATAACGCGACCTTGATAGTCAATCCTTGTTATGCGATGAGCAGCAAGCTACTAAAGCAGAAATAAACTCACTTAAGGTAACTCGGTTCCAGCGACGCGATAAACTCCTCATCAGTCTGCGGAGATCCTGGCTTGCGCTGTTCCTTGGGGAGGTAGGGACCCTCTATTCTAACCATTTGGCTGTGTCGCAAATCGATACATCAACGACAAACCTTGCAGAACGAAGTAGGGATCATCTTCCACCTGCCATGGAGTTGAGAAGAGAAGATGAATTCGACTCATTTATAGCTTACCAAAATGCTGAAATATATTCAGTTCGAACGAGCGATGAGCCATGCAACAAAACGCACATGTCAAACTCAACACAAAGTTGATAGATTTCTTTTTTGCGCTGGAGCCCAGTGGTCTGCTTGTCGTTAGCGTGAGGGGGAGACGATGATCATGGTATTTACGGTTCCAGTAGGGTTCTCTCCAATAGGAACAGCGTAGATGACATGGGGTCTGGGAAAGATGACTAAAAACCAGCGTCACATCTGAGGCAACATACCGGGGCATACCACGCGCGTCCTCGTCCCACTCCGTGAGGACGGTTCGTAGGGCATCACTCCGCATCCCTTGGCCGTCGATGTCTACAGGAACAGGGCGGATGTTGTATGGTGTCATGGAGGCCATGGCACTTGGATAAGTCCATTTCGAGACTAAAACACCTTCTCCAGGATTACAAAGAGTAAGGACTGCTTTATTCCAAGCGTCTGGGGTTTCGTTAGCGAGTCAACTTAGAATCACAGATATTCATACCCGTATTTCCAGCATGCAGCATAGTCACACAGTCGTTGTACGCTGGGTCGTACACTCTCTTGGAGAAATTCTCGACCAGTTTCTGGAGCTGAGGGAGTCCAGAGGACAAACCTGATAACCATAAGAGCATTGCAGCGTGTTGTATGCCATGGCCCACCGTATTGAAGTGCCTGTGGTAGGGTCTTGGTCATACACAACATTGAGCGAAAGAAGCACTGTTTACCGTCGCTAGATTGAGGTCTTCTGGCCGACGCGCATACTTGGGAATAGTGATTGCAGTCGTCTTCTCCTTGGCACCAAAAAGTTTCCAAATCCATGAAAAGTTCGATTCGCCCGAGGTGGTTGATGGGAATGAGTTTGGGACAAGGATATTAGCAGAAACATCCGCAAACGGAAAGTAGTCCGGTGCCGGAAGCCCTCCCGCAAGGCTAAGTAGACCTAGTTTGTAGATTGAAGGTTAACTTAGTGGGTATCTAATGAGCTCAAACCTGGCTTATTGAGGTACTTCTGTAGGCCTTTGAGCGGCGAAGTGGCTCTTGCCTTGGCCACCTCGGAGAGATGGTGACGAAGCTCAACCGCGTCAGGCTTGAACGAAGACATGAAACCACTCAAAGGAACTTCAAGGAAGGTGGGGAAAGTCTCGTGGCTGTCGAGCTGTCGAAGTCGGACATCCGTGCATCACAATTCTCGATTCCGTAAGCATCATCTTCTTAAGTTACTACCGCCATCCTTCGCGGCCGAGAGAGTTGGGGTGAAGTGAGGTGCGCACTGGCATCATCCACCAGCAGAAGAACCACCTCCGGTGTATTGATTCGTTTTCCAAGGAGGCGCCAGTCCCATATTATATTCAACCATGGCGTCCCGAAAGAACAGTTCTTGCTTTAAGTGTGGCAACCGTCCGTCCCCTTTTTCTTGGATCTCGGTCCTATCTCACTCTTGATCACAAAGTTGGCCATATTGCTGAGAACTGCTCTTCTGAACAACGCTTGTGCTATAACTGCCGCCAGGTTAGGTTCAACCATCCATCGTCAACTTGATTGTCAACTTTTTCTCTCCTTAGCCGGGTCATGAATCGGCTGCTTGTCCTTCTCCACGCACTGTGGCTGCTAAGCAGTGCTATTCGTGTTTGTTATTTGGCTGTAAGACCCTCCTCTGGGCTGACGTTGTGAAGGCGGTGGTGTCGGCCACATCCAAGGCTGGTCCGCTCATCAACACAAGATGCTCGGCTCAATCAACCCCTAGCTGATTGTCCTACCTTGCGTATTCAGCAACAGAGTGGCGGGCAGAAGTGTTATAATTGTGGGCGGTTTGGGCATATCGCCAAAATTTGCCCTGTAGGTAATCCGGTATTCACGGCTCGCCCTCCACTTCCTGGTCGAGCCCTAAACACTTCCACACTCCCTCTTGTCAGATGCTATCGCTGTGGAGGCCCCAACCACGTAGCTCGGTAACACATTTCGACCCGCTGATATGAGCCATTTCAATGATTATTGGTAGCGATTGTCTGGCTCCTCCTGGGGATGATACTGCGGTCAAGCCGAAATCATTATCTTGCTACCGTTGCAAGCAGGTATTTTTTTTTCTAGTGATTTTGGTGCTCTCTGATCAACTTTGGGCAGGAGGGTCATGTGCGTTTTATTCTAGCCAGCTACGCCCGGTATAACATTTTTTTTTCTGCTAGATTTCGCGCGACTGCCCTGAGAATGCGGAATACGTGTAATACCACAGAGAAGAATAGTGTAGGCACTGTACTTGGTAACAGAACACAGCCACATGCTTTGCATTTCGCGTCTCCCTCGCGTGTCGCGTCGTCATCTATTTTCACTCCCAAATTTTCTCCCAAGCGAGTTACAGACGTATCAAGAGCACAAACGGCTTCCGTAGGTTCATCCAACTTTCTTGCCCTCTATCCGACTGAGGATAAGATCAAGTTACACCCAACAACAACTTTACAATGTGGTGTCGGACGTCGCGTCCTACCGCCATTTCATTCCCTTCTGTTCCTCCTCGCACATCCTGAGCTCAACCGACCCTACAAAAACGCCGCTACTCCTCGAAGCTGAGTTAACGGTCCAATTTCTGGCATTCAAGGAGAGCTATGTGAGCCAAGTAACTTGTACTCCATTGGAGTCCGTCGAGGTGTGCCATTTGCCCACCGAACATACTATAATGAAGTCTGACGCGTAAACAGGCCGTTGCTTCGTCCTCTACTCCACTTTTCAAGCAACTCAAAACAACCTGGCGCTTCAAACCGGATGGGCGCGCGACGATTGTGAGCCTCGATCTCGCGTACGCATTTGCTAGCCCTATTCACGCTGCGGTTTCATCCTCATTCTTTGGTCAAGTCTCGAAAATGATGGTGAATGCGTTTGAGGGACGGTGTGCAGAGGTGTATGGAAATGAATATAATTAAGCCTTCTCAGGCAGTCTCCACCGCCATGCCCGAGGCTCCTTTTCACGATAACTCCGGAGCCGCTCTGTTGGACTCATTTCATCCAGCGGAACTGGCACGAGCTCTTTCCTCACAGCTTTTTCGTCCTTCAAGGCGTTAAGGACTAGTTTGAGATGTCTAATATCAGAATTCAGCTATAGGAATTGACCTCGTCAATTAAAGCGCACCTCAAAGACCGGATAGTGTTGTCCTCTTGTTGTTCTGGGATTTTTTGCACGGCATCGAATGCTTCTCTTGAGCTGAGGGGCTTGGAGCTAGCGCTAATTGCTGCAAGCACGACACGCGTCGTTTCCGGTCTACTACCGCGGAATATGTGTAGCGGATTGACTTTTATCGGACCCGGCATGAAGGGAGAAAGTGTGACATGTTCAGAGTCGGCCAGTCGGAAGCGGCGGTCACACTCACAGGCGATAAAAAGTGAGGCTTCCGAATCTCCACCACACAGTCAGATCCCTGTTGTTCCACGATCGGCTCCAGCGATGAGTAAACTGAACGCCTCTGCTTTTGAATTCGTGCCAGGCAAAGGCTTTTCTCTTCCGCCTCAGAATGTCCAGCCACCACCACCACCTCCAGTCGAACGACCTGAACAAACGGAGGCTCCTCGACCTGCACCAACAATATCATTGAATATTGGTGGACCAAAGCCAACCCCAGTCCCCGCTGCCGCGCCAGCCATAGCGAAACCAGCTCCCGTCGCGCCAAAGGCAGCTCCAACAACGTCAGCCAGCGCTGCCCCAGCGCCATCCAAGACATTTTCGATGGAAAGGTCCAAAATGGACACAACAGCAATCGCACATGAAGTCAGAAATGCTGCAGACGATGCTGTCCTCGAAGATCTCTATGGCGATGGTATGTTGAGTTCAGTTTAGAGAGCTCGGTAATGTAACTTAGCTGTTCAGCCAAGGAGCATCTCAATATCGTGTTCATCGGCCACGTTGATGCAGGAAAGAGTACCATGGGAGGGAATCTGCTCTACTTGACTGGCATGGTGGACAAGCGTACGATGGAAAAATATGAGCGAGAAGCAAAAGAAGCAGGGAGAGAGACTTGGTATCTCAGCTGGGCACTGGATTCGACACCACAAGAACGTGCAAAAGGCAAAACTGTCGAGGTCGGTCGGGCTTACTTCGAAACCCCCTTCAGAAGATATACCATTCTCGACGCTCCTGGCCACAAGACTTTTGTTCCCTCGATGATATCAGGTGCCGCACAAGCTGACGTGGCCATTCTTGTCATATCCGCCCGCAAAGGCGAGTTTGAGACTGGCTTCGAAAAGGGAGGCCAAACCCGAGAGCACATCATGCTCGTCAAAACTGCTGGTGTCTCAAAACTTATCGTCGTTATCAACAAGATGGATGACTCCACAGTGAACTGGGAGAAGGCTCGTTATGAAGAGATTCGCGACAAACTAATACCCTTCGTTCGAGGTTCAGGCTTCAACCCAAAAACTGATGTTACCTTCATTCCTGTCTCGGCATATACTGGCGTCAACCTCAAAGAACGCGTTAGTGAATCGGTCGCGCCTTGGTTCAAGTACGCCTTTCTATTTGTCTTTGCTCATTGCAAAAATGTAACATCACCAGAGGGACATCTTTCCTTGATCACCTTGACCATATGCCTATGGTTGACCGCAAAATCAACGCACCACTGATGATGCCCGTTGCCGAAAAGTACAAGGACATGGGTACTATTGTCGTCGGCAAAATAGAATCGGGACATGCTCGCAAAGGTGACAATCTTATCCTCATGCCAAATAAGACCCCTGTCGAGGTGACGGCTATCTACAACGAGATGGAAGAGGAAGTCAACGCTGCGCTCTGCGGCGACAATGTCCGCATTCGACTACGAGGAATTGACGACGAAGATATCAGTCCCGGATTCATGTTGACCAGTCCTCTCAAACCTATTCACGCCGTTCGTCAATTCCATGCGGAGCTTGCTATTTTGGAGCACAAAAATATCATTTGTGCGGGCTACTCTGCCGTTATGCACATCCATACTCTATCGGAGGAAGTCACACTTCCCGCTTTACTCCATTATTTCGACAAGGCAACCGGTCGCAAGTCTCGCAAACCCCCACAATTCGCAAAGAAGGGACAGAAGATTGTTGCGTTGATTGAGACAACAGCGCCCATTTGCGTTGAACGGTTTGCGGACTATCCACAACTTGGTCGCTTCACTCTGCGAGATGAAGGCACGTACCAATTAATTATTTCTCTGCCGCTAAGTGATGCGTATGATTGTAGGTCGAACTGTAGCCATTGGCAAGGTCAGGACATGTCTTCTCTAGAGCGCGAGTACGTAACTGACAGGTTGACAGGTGACTAAACTCATTGACACTCATGTCGAGGAAGCAGCGGAGGGGATGTCCAACGTCTCTATCAATGCTTGATTTCCCCCAACTTGTATTATTAATACTAGTACGTAGAGACGCCAAGATTCAAGTCTGCTGGTGCGTGTTGTAGCACAGATAATGTATACCAGAAATTTTGCACAGCCGAGAATCGTTGAGGAATCTCTTGATGTCTTGCGTTTGGCATTTCCCGTTGAGGGATGAGAACGATATGACTAATGGCTATAATCGTATCTGGAGTTTGGTGAGAGTGAGTAGTTGCCCAACGAAATGGGTGAGTGTACTTCTTGTAGAATGTCTCCGAGTCCGAAGGGACAGTTTGATCTCGACGAGCTCCACGAAGCTTCAGTCCATTCTTCTCAAGTTCTCGTCTATGCGCACGATCTTCTTTGAGCCTAGAATAGCGCTGAAATGGGATCGATCTTCATAAAGTGAAGAAAAAAAAAGAACCATTGCAGTGCTACTTGATAAAGAGCGGTCGAACCAAACTTGAGGGCAAGATCGGAGGAGGGCCATGGCTGAGGAGGGGTAGGCAGACGGCCAAATGACATATGAGCGATATGGGTGGGGAAATTGTTCAAGCCATCGTCAAATATATGGGTTGCATCTGGGAGGTTGCAGTTTAGCCGGGACAGAGCTTGTCCTGAAAGACTTTACACAGAATTGTCGCGTTACGCTGCTCGCTGTCATTCTTAAGGAATCGGAGCAGATCGTCACGGACAAGAACGTCGAGGTCAACGGTTACTTCGTCAAGTAGGAGCACGTCATAAGGCGCCATCAGACCGAAAACAAGCTGGACCTTAGAGAAGTTTAGAGTTACTTCTGCAAGACAGGGTCAAGCATACTGACTCGGCGTCGTTCCCCATCCGATATTTGATGCATGCGCCTGGTTTACTTATGTGAGACAAAAGTAAAAGAAAGTCGCTACGAACCAATCCAAATCAACATCGAGAATATCGAGCAAGAGGTCCCTGCGTTCTTTGTGACGATACCCTCCAACAGAGTCGAGAAAGTGTGAGACCATGATATCCCCACGAACCTGATTAGATTATGTCAGTTGTTACCAAGAAGAGGAGGACGGACAACAGGGTTCATGGCCCATTCAGTTCCAAGATAAGTAACTCCCGCTGGGGTGTTGCGGAACACGTCTTGGTCCTGAATGCGAATGGTGGCTGCATCCACGAGTCGTTTTCCCGCCAACAATGCAAGGAGTGAGCTCTTCCCAGCGCCTTGGTATTTCAAAATCAGATCAGGGTTGGCATCATAAGTTTGAGCAACCGTTTGGGCCAATGATCACTGTGCGAGTGCCAGCAGGGAGATTGAAGGAAATGTTGTCTAGCGCCGGGGTTTCCGCATTCTTATGCGTGTAGGTCAAGTTGGATACGACGACAGACATTGTGAAGATGACCGAAGAAGGAAAGGCTCGTCCCACATGCAATTCACCTGCACCTCTGATTTGGAAGTCTGTGACCGTCACAGGCCATAGCCTTTCCTTCGCTCATCAACGCCGCCCTCACTCGTCAAGCTCCTCACGTTCGTTCTATCCGGCCAATTGGCTTTAGCAGAAAGCACACAATGAGGCTGGAGGCCCTCTTACCGCGCCAAGGCGATGGCTGCAAGCAATGTTAGTATGAGCATTCTGACTGCGCTTAGCTCATGTTCCTATAGGCGGCGCAACACCTTCTTGCAACTGCGGACCCGGCCAGCAATGCTTTCTTATCAACAGGTTGGTACCGTCTACTCTCCCGTGTCATGTCCCATCTTCAAATGAATTTAGAGACTGCAATACCTGCGCTACAGTTAGATGTGTTTCTACTTCAGCCGACAATGCTTCATCCAAGTCTGGCGTCGGGAAGGGCGCTCTGGCTGGCGCCATTATTGGCGTTCTCATTTTCCTTGCACTAGCCGTTTGTGCTTTCCTCTGGTACCGTCGTCGGGCTGCTCGTAGCCGCCCCACTTTCGACGTTAAACCAGACATCCCAGCTAGTGCTGAGGATGTACTCAATCGCGCTGATCCCAACGAAAAGCCTGCCGCCCCATCCCAACCCGAACATAACCATGTGGTCCGGGTTTTCTCTTCATCGAACTTGACTATCGACCTCGACCCTCAATCCCACAACTCACCTCTCCATACCCCATCCCGGCAGTCAACGCAGTCCAATCCTTTCTCTGACAGTCACTCGATCCAGACGGCGGGAACTGAAAGTACCAATGTCATTCCCATCGCCTTGGTTTCGCCCGAGCACAGGTCTACTTCAGATACTGTCCCAACCACCTCAACCGGCCCTACCCGGCCTGCCCGCTCTCCTGACCTCAACCTTGAGCATGCGAATGTCTCGTTGGACTCCGTTCGTCCGTCCAATTTACTTTATGCGCCGTCTCAGCGGTCCGGCGTATCTGCTGTGTCATCTCGGAACTCATACATGTCGGGAGCAAGCTTTGCAAGCGACTTCCTCAACGAGGCTCCGATGATTATTACGCCAGTCAAGGGCAATGTCCGAGTTGTCAAAGCAGAGGTCATCAGCGCTGGTGCTCTGTCACCTGTAACAGCTGAAGGATCCCGCGTCTCTCGACCGCCCGCCACATCGCCCTTGGCGTCCAAATCGTTTGGCCCAGGTGATGTTGTAGAGGATGACGAATCAGTGGCCGATCCCTTCCGGGACAGACCCTCGTCGCCAGCCTCTGTAACCACGTTTGGGCATGATTCCCGCGCTCATGCATCCATCAATTCTGACTGGGCCGCGGAGGAGCCTAGCCTTCCTTGGGCTCGCTCAGGCGAAAGCAGGCCAACGAGTCTCAGTACTCAAGCTGGGTCTATTATTGACATCGGGAATGCAACTCGAGTGAATGTTGGCCTTCTGAACCCCTCCACTGGTGGTGTACCTCGATCGCCCTACCGAACGACTATGGCAAGATTGGTGACACCTAATACAGCCAATAGTGACAGTCTCGAAGAACAACAACAACGAGCTCTTGATCATGCTCAGGCTCGAGCCAAAGCCCAAGGTGGCGCCCTCCCCAATCGCCGCATCTCCAACTCTTCTGTCATGACGTCTGCTTCACGAGCTGATTCTATTCTGGAATCATTCCCCTTTGTACCACCCTCACCCATCTCCGATAGACCGATGCGATCTCCCCCCGTATCACCCCTCGCTAAACAAACATTTGCCGCACCTGACAAAACACGCAAAGAGGAGGAATCTGCGTCTCCCCTGCCTGAGCCACCAAGCAGGCGAACACTGGGTATGTCCACAGCTTCACAGTTTTCGACAGCGTCCTCTGGTCTGGGATCCTTCCCCTTCCAGATTGATTCCGGCAGTCGTGACTCTCACCCGCCTGTACCATTCAACGGACGACAACGAGCAAGTCTGGACACGTTGGCACTCACAGCTGACTTGTCTTCTTACCCGCTGGGATTTGACCGCGACAGTGCTATCCCACTCCCCTCCCGCAAGATATGATGACCTTTTTCTTTTTCTCTGGCATTTTCTCGGTCTGCCGCTTTGTACGGCTAGCACATTCCTTATTTAGTATTTTATAGTCCCTCGCTTGCGGCGAGTCCCAGACTGCATGGACTACGAGTATTTATACCCTTGTACCCCTGCAATGCAACGCCCAAATGTTGTGACGAGTGTGTATGTGCTGTGACTCCTGAGTGATCTTGTCTCCTCCCACAATTCGCCATGCAAGAAGAGATCAGACAGCTAACTGAGATGGTGGAACTTCTCTGGTTTTGACTATTCACGTTATTGACGCGTCTATCGATAGGGCGCAACCATTGCGCAGGCCAAGGCAGCCTTGGCCAAGTACAAGGATGTCATGCAGGCCGCTGAGCGCATATTCGATGGACAATTCGACGACGTTGTTGAGGACGATGACGGAGATGTGCCTATGCCATCTGTGTCCAGGAATTCAATGGTCTTTGAGCCACTTCCCCGTGTTTTGAGCATAACTGATGATGTCAAGACCTCCGATGAAGACGACCGACCCGCTGACAATGGTTCAGACTCTGAGCCGGAAGAAGATGGTTGGAGACATTGGTCTACCTTGGTGGTTTATTGATTCAAACTAGGGGATGACGACTTTATCGACTATGACTCTGACGACGGTGCTCCTGCAATCGAGGCTCGCACCAAGACAGATGCCGATCCCTATGCCCGTATGTCTGCTCTTTGGCCCGTATACATGCCTTACCGATCTTTTCCTTAGGTATTTTCTTTTCGAAAGACCACCGAGAAGAAATCATCGAGATCGAAGAGGAACCTGAAACAGCAACTGTGTCCATACCTGGCGGCGAAACCGAGCTACTCAAAATCCTCCCACAGGGAGAATGGATGAAAGGCTGCCCACCACCGGCTGGAGGAGAGCAAAGCTTTCTGTTTGCTCAGTATTCCCAGTTGAGCGAGGGGAACTGTGCTTGCCCTCATGGGTGCGGTGCTGCCATCCCGCGTCAAAAGAGTGACTTCTTTTCTATCTTTGTGCGTTTTCCAAACCACACTCATTCCGCTTATCTAACCACAACGACCAGGCTGAATTTGCGTCGTATATCAAACACCTACGAAGTATTATCCAAAAAACATGTTCCCGATGCCAGTCCGAATTTTGTTTTGCCTGTGGAGAGCCTATCACAGACAAGGTCCAAAGACCTGGCGAGGCCGCTCCGGGCGATCCGTTATTCCATTGTGCGGATGTGCAAGGCGTGATCTTAGGAATGGGGCTATATATGTTGCTTGATCAGATGGTCCAGTCGCAAAGCGCTTCCTCTCCCGACTCCAAAAGTCGTAACAATAAACGAAGGAAGACGGGAAAGGTTTTGCCAAAAGACGCTGACGACGACGACGACGAGGTCTATCATAATGTTCACGGTACCGGAAAGCGAGCAAAGGGAGGAACAGGTTATGCTGGAGACCAGAAAGAGGATGTGAGATTCCTCATCCTAACAGTCTCTGAGCGAGCTAATTCCTTCCATCCAGCACACAGGACAGGTGCCGTCTAGCTTGACCGCGATTGCTATACGCTAACTGAAATGGTAGCTTGAAGCAGAGGCAGCGCAAACGGCAAATGACCAGGCTCTCGGAAATCTTTTGACAGAACTCGGGGTTTATCTACCATCACTTCATCGTAAGGGCACACATCCTAGTGATTTCTTACCCCACCCGACAACCCTGGCCCATCTTCGCCGTCGATTTAACTATCTCTGCTCCACTCTACTTAGGAACGACTCGCTGGCGGATATATCGGACCGCTCTGTACTTTACTTCAAGCTGCTCGACTGGTTAGAGGTATGTTCGTCTGGTGACTTCCTGTTAAACTGTGACGAGTCAAATCAGACCATTTCCTCCCATGAAACACTAGCATCCCTAATGGGACAGCCAATCATGACCGTTTCTTCGGTCAAGTCGACTATCACACGAAAGTCGCCTAATAACAAGCCCATTCGTGAGCGAACAGTCATATATGAAGGCAGTGCCGGACCCCGAGAGGTATGGGTATATTTCTTTTGCTTGATTTCTCGCTAAGTTGTTCGTCCAGTTACTCGAGGCAATATGCATACAAGCACAGGCCGCTCTCAAAGCTTTGGAGGGCAACAAGACTCAGGAATTACCACCTGAAGAACTTACCGAAGAGCAGAAACGAATGACTGTTGACACCAAGGGCAAGTCGAAGGAGGGCTCAATGCCTTCTCCCGCCGACGAAACTCAGAAACTTTTAAATTTCTGTCAGCGGATCCTCAACACCGCCAAAGCCATTGACCGCTCTCTTCGTGACACAAAAGGGGATGCTTTCGTGGAACGCTTGCATGCGTCGCTACCCAAGATTAGCACAACTTCGTCCACAAACGAAGGCGCCCGAGTTGATCCGGGAACCTCAGAGGAGAGCACAATCAAAGCCTATATCGACTGGGCCACACGAGTTAGATTTGAATACTGTGATCTCACAGTACCGAATCCAACACCTGATAATAATGACGACGCCCAAAATCAAGTACCGCACTACAAGTCCTACTTCAACCATGAAATCAGGATGTTGGCCGCGTCAGATTTGCCGAAACGCTCTTTAGCGATCGCAAAAGAGGTTATTCATTTCTTCTCTGGGAAGACATTACTCAGACTTGGTTAGCTGTCAATATTAACCTCCAATCTTCCCATCGCCTGGGACTCCTCCATTTTCTTACGTATCGACGAGACGCGGGTGGACGTCTTGAAAGCCTTGATCACTGGCCCAGAGTCAACACCCTATTACAACGGATGGTGAGCATGGGACAACTTGAAACCACAGTCTCGAACACTTGACTAGTTATCTGTTCGACATATTCCTGGGACCTAGCTACAACCAAATGCCTCCAAATGGTATGTCATCTCGAGCTGATTAATCTAATTGAAACTATCGTCTTCAACAGTCAAATATATGACAGTAAGCAAGCTATCCTCACTCCAGTTCTTGCTTATGTAACTCGCAGACAAACGGAGGCAAGTCCCGATTCAATCCTAATCTATACGCGGTATGAGGTCGCAGTTGTGGTCCAACTGTCATAACTAAACGACCAATCTAGGATGGGAAAGTTTGTTTGTCACTTCTGGGAACGTGGAGTGGGCCTGGTTGGGTAGCGGGAAAATCGACGCTGCTACAGGTTCTCGTTTCTATCCAATCGATGATTCTGTGCGAAGAGCCTTACCTCAATGAACCTGGGTGGGCAACTAGCGGCGGAACCCCGCAATCACAGTCCTGTGAGTGCTCTCACTGCAAAATCCGAATCACGCTGCTTACCATAGACAGACTCGGCCAACGTGAGGCGGATGGTTGTTAAGACAGCCATGTTAGGAAATCTCCAAAATCCCCCAGAGCCATGGGCAGATATCATCAGGACGCATTTGTGGGTTGTTACTCAGCACGAGAAGCATGGCTTTACTCACTGGTTACCTATAGCCGGCTCAAAGCACAGTCGATAACTGAGCAACTTGATCAGTGGCTCAAACTCGACGATGGGAAAGCGACCCTGGGTGACGGGGCGGAGATGGGACACAATCCCAGAACTGGCGCAGGAGCAAGCACGAATGGCTTTGCGGCAGATGTAGCTGAATTGAAGAAGGCTCTGAAGGAGCTTCAAACTAAATAAACTCTACATAACCACATCCGGGCCGCGGCGATCAAACATGTGATTCCCACCGGCATACAGTAGTATATTGACTTGAACCACAACTTAAACCTCTTCCGAACTTTGTCCTCCCAGTAATGAGTGATTCTGCTATCCATGCCGTCGCTGGTGGTGCTGCTGGAGTGCTGGCCATGTCCATAACTTAGTATGTCAGCTAATCACGCGTTAAACTCATTCTCAAGAAGCCCTCTATAGTCCGTTCATTTTCATTTCCACTCGTGCTGCGGTAGAGACCAAGAGTGACAACAAATCGGTCTATGAAGTTGTTGTAGACGTCATCAAACGCGAAGGGCTCAGTGGGATGTATAGTGGTTTGAGCTCAAGCGTGCGTTACCACCCATAAACACACCAACTTACTGTACGAATCTTCCTCTGCAGTTGCTCGGAATTGCTGTTACGAATACGTGCGCTTAGGCGGCTGTACCCCACCTCTGGCTGGTGCTCATATAACTCTAGCGTGTACTATTATTTCTACGAAAGGTCAAGAGGGATTGTGCAGAAGGGAAAGGCACTGAGCACTCCAGAGTCGATGTTGATCGGCTTAATTGCGGGTATAGAGCGGTCTTTTCTTCTTCAGGTGGCCAAGAACTAACGAAATATTGTAGGATCAGCGACGACCATAATCAGTAACCCATTATGGGTCATTCAAACCTCCCAAGCTGTCGAGTCCATGCAGCAATCCGAGCCGTCGCTGGCTCCCTCGCAGCCCAAGGTGGCCAAGAAACTTTCCATTGCTGCGACAGTGCGCAGACTTCTTGCTCAAGATGGCATTGGGTATACCGCTCGCAAGATGTTGTACCTCTTTGACCACGGACAGGGCATTCTGGCGTGGGATTGGACCAGCACTCGTTCTAGTCATCAACCCCATCCTTCAATATACCGTCTTTGAACAGTTGAAAAACACGTTAATAGCACGACGAACAGCCAAGTTGCGCGCTGCTGGTATCGCAGCGGCTGTAGCAGCGCTGTCAGACGGCGACATCTTCCTCCTAGGTAGCTATGAAAACTGATGAACGAGTCTAATCAGGTATTCATTGACTTGCAGGTGCTCTGGCTAAACTGGGTATGCTTAGACTCTGCGCAAACAGCGATAGTTGGTAATATTCTACTCTAGTCGCAACGTCTACAACATATCCCTACATGTCTGTGGTCTTCATCTTCTTCTACTGGGACACTAAAGGACGTAATTTAGTGTCGTGAAGAGCCGGCTTCAAGCTGGTGTCAAGTCGGCCAAGTATAGCTCTTCCTTGGATGGCCTGACGACCATTATAAAAGACGAAGGCGTCGCAGGACTGTACAAGGGCATTGGTAGCAAGCTCGTTCAGAGTGTGCTGACTGCAGCTATCTTATTTGCTGGGCAGCACCGTATCTATCAACTCACCAAGAAGGTCAGTCCGAACCCATAAGCGACTGTCATTTCACCCTTCTTCAGGCGTTGGCCGCATAGTTATAGTAGTCCTAATGTCTTGTACACAAGCAAAGAGCCGCCAACAAAGCTTAGAAGTAATTACCGTAGAATGTTGTGGCGTCAATTCATCCCAAAACACGATTTGTGACAGGGACGTGACAGCTCACGAAACGCGCTTGACCACTTTCTCTACGCATGGACGACCTAAACAGGCCTTTGCTTTCGGAGGACGGAGTTGATCCAGATGCGCTATTTGGTGGGAGGCTGGCTCGCAAACAATTGGAACAACAACTGGTTCGCAAACTCGATAAACGCTGTGCTATCTTAGTCGCAATTTATGTCCTCAACTGTGGGTAAACCTCAGCCGTGAGGATGCTCTTCTGTTATAACTTGGGTGTAGACATTGACAGGAATAATGCCAGCGCCGCGAGATTGCATGGCTTCGAGCAAGACCTCGGTTTAACGGATACACAATTCTCTCAAGTCCTAGCGGTGCTCTATGCTGGCTACCTATGTTGGAGTTTCGTCATTCACGATTGTGGCTTCGAGTAAACCGTCTTTAGTGATGCAAATACCCTCAAACATGTTTCTCAACTACATCGGGAGACCATCTATCTACTTACCAGGTTTGTGCTTAGTTAATAACAACACATCCTTCATGTCGCTGATGTGCTTGAAGGCTGCATGGTCCTTTGGGGCACTTTGTCTGCGCTGACAGGTATGAAACTCACTTGTCTTGTTTCTTGTCTTCTGAACTGGCATGTGAAGGTTTTGCTACAAAGTTCGTTCACACTCTCCCCATTGTAACAAGATCTAATCAACCGCATTGCAGCTTTGCTAGCGTGATGTGGACCAGATTCTTCATTGGTATATTTTTTCGTCATAATCTCAGGCGCCGTCTTATTTAGCCTCGTAGGAATTACTGAGGCCGCATTTTTTCCGTGCGTCGCTACCAACGCATTGATGGTTGGGGGCTCTAACACGATACAGTGGGGCATTGGTGAATTGAGCTCGGGCACGTTCGCAACAATGTCTAACCAACTACGAGTTCCTGATTTCGAAGTGGTATACCCGCAAGGAGTTGGCACAGAGGCATGCTCTGCTTTGACCATCAAGTCTTCCAGCTAATATTTAGCAGGACAGCCCTTCTGTCATGCGGGGTATGTGGCACTCTATGCACTCTCTATACTGCCACTGAATTCGGGTCAGTCGCTCATTAGCAATGCGTTTGGAGTGGGTTTCGTTCTCTGAGTTTGGAGCCGTTTCCGACCCCCCCGCTTTCAAGTCTTTGATAGCGTCGGGTATCCTTGATGTTATGGACGGTCGGATAGGCTATGCAGCTTGGAGGTATACTTTTCGAAACCGCGTGTGCTTTCTTACATTTAAATAGATGGCTTTTCTTCATAGGTACAGTACAATGCATCCAACAAACACCTATACCTTCGCCAACTTGACCTTCAGAGGGCGGCATGACCGTGGCAGTCGCTATATTGGCCATGTTCATATTACCAGACTTTCCGGAAAATTCCTCCAATTGGCTATCTGTGCCAGAACAGACACTGGCCCAGCGCCGAATGGTAGAGGATTCCGGAGAGTCGAAACTTGGATCAGAGTCTGTGATCGGTGGTTTAACGATGGCCATTTGGGATTGGCAAGTTTGGTGTGCGTTCAAAGATGTTCCTGTTCTCCAAGCCGTAACTTCCTCACTTTAGGGCTCGCCCTTGCACTTACTTTTGTAGTTTTGTCTCTTAGTTTCAACGCGTCAGTTTCGTTTAGCAAGTTCGCGACAGCGACAGGTGGATTGACGAGCCCAGATATTTCCCTACACTTGCGGAGACAATGGGCTACGGCAAAACACTCACATTACTGCTTTGCGCGCCACCGTGGTTCGTAGCGACAATCGTTGGATTCGCCGTGTCCCGGCACTCTGATCGAGTTGGAGAGCGGTTCTGGCATATAACATGTCCGTTCCTTATAGGAATGGTCGGTTTCCTCCTGGCCATGTCCACCATGCAACCCACTATTCGTTATATCTCATTGTAGGCGTGTGCTTTCCTATACGCTCTGCTTTTTTACGCGTCTCTAGGTTCTTTATGGCCAGTTCCTATGCTGGCTTCATTGTCTATCTGTCGTGGATTTCCGGCACGATCCGGCCCGCGTCAAAGCGCGCAGTCGCGCTCGCTCTCATCAACATGATCTCCTCCCTTGGAAATGTTTTTGGGTCTTTCATCTTCCCATCCTCCTGGGGTCCGAGCTATCGCACAAGCTATTCCATTTGCATGTGTGCCAGTTCCGTCGGAATTCTACTTTCTTTTGTCTTCCGACAGCACTTGGCGTCTCTCAATGCAAAGCAGGTCAGAAGAGAGTTGGAGGAGGACGAGCCCCAAGGCTATAGATATCTTTTGTAATATTATATAATCAGATCAGATCGGTCTTATCGCGAGATCGACAGTCTTGCTATCAACTCTCCACATACTCTATGGAGACTGCTAGCTTGAAGGATAGCTATAGCTAGCTTGTCAGACTGTCTAAGGCTGTACTGGTAAGAACAACTGTAGCTGCATTGTCAAGCCAGCATAGGTTGCTTGTGTTTTCTAGCTATAGGTGGTCTTGAAGGGCAGCTATAGTTGTTTTGAAATGTTGCTGTAGATGCTTTACGGAGCTGGAGGGGGCTGGCACTCAAATTCATGCTATATCTATACTGCCAGCCACCTATCCCACTGCTTCTTGGTGTAGTGGTATCATTGGTATGTTCTCAATCTTGTGTCTCTTCTTTTATACAGGCTCTTATCTTATGTAAGTACTGTGGAGATTTGTTTTCTTACTTTTTCGGGGGTCTTCTTTTAAGAAAAAGAATCCTTCCACACACCAGCCTTCTGTTATTCATATATTCCTATCTGAATTCATTTCTTGCATAGAAAAATTTTCATAAAGGGATTTTTTCCCTCACAGATCAGAGAACTCTTCAAAGCAGCTACAGCTGCTCTCAGTCACAGAAGGCAGCCCAAGTTAAGTTATCAAGTCAGCAACAGATGTTTTACCAAAGCAGCCCAGGCTATCTTCAGGATGCAACACTAGATTTACCTCTGTACATGCCTGTAGATATGTTCTCAAACAGCTAGTGATGCTGTAGAAAGCATCTGTGGTCATACTCAGAAAGCAGCAGACTCTATGGAGAGCTCTCCATGGAGAGTTGATAGCAAGACTAGCTATCTGCTTATCGCGGGAGATTGTCGTTGATTGTGACTTCGCCGGGCCGGTCATTCACACGCTTTGAATCTCTCCATGCACCAACTGCTGAAAGACTGGAAATTCACCCAGATTGGGGGAGGCAAAGGAACGAAAGAAGGGGAATGGCTGCCCGTCTCGACCTTTCCGACGACTGTCCACGTTGAACTGTTAAAGCTCAAGAAAATTCCGGATCCTGTATAACCTTGCATACGCAACTGGTTGCGGTCGTCTAATGGCACCTAGTTCCTTGGTCTCGCGGAGTGGGATGTCCAATGTGATAACTCCCTATATCGTCCATCAAGTTTTTGACTAATTTCTCGTGCGCAGGGGTCGGGGAAAGCAAATGGGCATTCAAAACAGACTTTGTCGTGGAGCCAACCAAAGCAGCCAACGTTGACCTCGTGTTCGAAGGTCTCGACACATTCTCAGCTATTCTCCTTGTCTATCCATCACTTGTCTCCGACTAGCAACGTCTAACGATGACTTAGAACGGGGTGGAACTTATCAAGACGAACAATCAATTTGTGTCCTATCGGGTACCTGTGAAGGACCATCTCAAGGAAGGAGGAAACGAGCTTGTTATCAACTTCGACAGTGCTTTTGTGACGGTAGCCTCTGCAGTGCGATCGCTGAACGACGCTGACACGCCATTTCAGGGCCGGGCTATCGAGAAAGCACATGAGAAGCTCAATCTTTGGAACGGAGATTCGAGTCGACTCCATGTTCGCAAGGCACAATACAAGTGAGAAGGGTCTGGGTTCCTGCCGTCCATGGCTAATTTGGCTTTCATCGTCAGTTATGGCTGGGACTGGGGTATCGCAAATTGGTCGGAAAAAGAACTCCAACTGATGAATTCTTCTCCGCAGGTCCGATTCTCATGGTGCGCATAGGAGAACTTCGAGGAAGAAAAAAAAATGATTTTATTGGCAGACGACTGGCCCATGGAAGCCTATCAGCATCCACACCTACGATAACCGCATCACGGACGCCGATATCCGGGCTCAAGTGACAGATTCGCTGGCTGCGAACCTTTCCGCAACCTTCAGCTTCTCGGGGGAACAAGAAGCTTTTGCCTCTTTCGTCTTGAAGGGGCCCGATGGCTCAACCGAGTTCTCTGACGACAAACCCGCCAGAAGCCTCCAGGATGGCAGAGTCGACATCTCCATTTCTTTCCCAGAGGGCAAAATAAAACTGTGGTACCCCGTCAACTACGGAGAACAGCCTATCTATACTGCCGAGTTGACGGTTTTAGATGCGGTAAGATTTGTCTCAACAGCACTGACCCGCAACTTGAATTTATTCTGAGCTCTTTAGGCCGGTAACGTGCTGGACTCCATTGTTCAGAAAATCGGATTCAGAAACGTGAAAGTCGTGGAAGAGCCTCTCGTCGACCAGGAAGGATTGACATTCTTGTTCCAAGTCAATGGAGTTCGCATATTTTGCGGTGGTGAGTCTGGCTCTCGCGGAGTGTGCATCGCAACAGATCATTCTGCACCACAGGATCAAATTGGATTCCGGCGGACTCATTTTTAACAACGTACGGATCATTCCTTAGATCTCGATTTGCTAAAATTCAATGGCAGCGTGACCGAGGACCGATACCGGGCGTGGCTGCAGCTACTTGTTGACGGAAACCAAAATATGATCCGCGTTTGGGGCGGAGGAATCTACGAAGCGGACGCATTCTATGAGATCTGCGATGGTCAGAATTCCTTCGCTAAGCGTCAATATGAAAGTTCAATCTTCTTTAGAGCTCGGAAGTGCGCTATTCTGATATTTGCTATCTAATATTGACCCAAGTTTCATTTCCCCTTAGTCCTCGTCTGGCAAGACTTCATGTTTGGATGTGGCCAGGTAAATGAGCAGGTTAAAATGAACTCCATTTAACTGCTACTTGATAGTATCCCGCATATGAATCATTCCTCGAATCGGTTCAAACAGAGGCTGAACAGAATGTGCGACGTCTACGACACCATCCAAGCATTGTCATCTTTGGTGAGTGTCACTTGTGCTGCGTTCAACAAAACAATAACAGGACCAGCGGGAAACAATGAAGGTAGCCTCCGTATTGCTACTTTAGGGTGTGTTGGGTGATGACACTCGTTAGATTATCAGATAGCAGAATCGCTCAAACTGGACTTGGATTATTCCGATGAAACCTCGGATTATCGTCAGACCAACTTTCCCGCCCGCCATATCTACGAACGGGTACTCCCCTCGGTCGTCAACGGTCTGTCTGACATCTACTATCATCGTGGTTCGCCGTATAGGTGCGGCAAACCCCCCAACTTCTATCTTCGCCTCATTAACAATTTCCAGCGGCCATGGGAAAGTAACTACCGACAAGTAAGCTTATCTGCACTTGCCTGACCTTCTCATAACTATATCAAGGACGCTGGGCGACCTTCATCAATGGAATGTCTGGCATGGGTGGGTTCTTAATTCAAGCCCAATCTCGGTCATTTCATGCAGTCCCAGTTCCCAAGAGCCCTGGCACAACTGGGATATTCTCGCCGGTAGATTCGTACGTCTCGGCGATGGTCTTGTTGCTTTTTAACGAGTATGAGTGCTAGGTCTCGGAATTTGGCATGGAGGCGTATCCAAATATTCGAACGGTCGATTATTGGCTCGATGGAAATACCGCGGAGAGATTCCCGCAGTCACGGTGGGCTTACAAGTGGAACTGACTGCATTTATTGACTTGGGCACAGGACGACTACCAATCACAACAAGGCAGATGGGTTCGAGCGAAGACTGGAGGCAAGTTGGCCCTAAATCTCACCACACTTTCGTGACGACTCGGATCCATAGCTTTATCTGGTTGAGAACTTCAAGCACAGTTTCAACATGGATAGGTGAATATTCTTGACCTTATTATAATGTGCTGAATGCATATAGCTACGTGTATTACACCCAAATCATGCAAGCCGAAACCTTGGCATCTGCATATCGACTTTGGCGGCGCAACTGGGCTGGTCCAGGAAAGCAGTATACTGCTGGTGCTCTTGTCTGGCAGGTAATAGCCCGTTGAGGCGACCTAAACGCGTCAAATAACCGAATAACCGAATGCAGATTAACGATTGCTGGCCAGTAACGTCTTGGAGTATCGTTGACTACTTCTTGCGACCCAAGCCGTCATACTTCGCTATTGCCAGAGAGCTGCGTCCATTCACCGTTGGCATGACTCGCAAGGAGAGCAAGATCTTCCCCGACGAACTCTCGGCTCAATTCACTATCAACACTGTTCTTGAGATCTGGGGTACTAACAGCACGCTTGCGCCGAAGCAAGTCACGTTGGAGGTGACCTCATTTGACCTGGAAAATGATAATTGGCGCGACCGATGGATCACCGATGCCTTGCTCCAGCCAAATTCCAGTACTGAGCTATTCAAAGGTCCGCTGCCTGGTCAGCCTCCAAGGACGAGGAGCAGCCAAGTTCCGAGACCTATCGTTGTTTCCGCTAGACTCATCGACAGAGATGGCAATGTGTTGGGCAGATATAGCAACTGGTGAGCTCCACCATGACCAGTCCGACATTTACCCACAAGGTCTCTCCAGGCCTGAACCTTTCAAATTTATCAACTTCCCTGCCGATACCGCAATAAAGGTCGAAGTCGACGGGGAGCAAGTTACTTTGTCTACGAACCGGCCGGTGAAAGGTGTTGTGCTTGATGTGGAAGGGACTGATGTCAAATGGAGCGACCAGGCAGTGGACCTTGTTCCAGGTGACCCACAGCAAATTCGCGCTCGAGGATTGGATGGTCGGAAAGTGCTCTTGAGATACCTCGGAGATGGCTCCGCTTGAAAGGAGTATTTGAACTTGTACAGTTGGTACACGACGACTTGTAAAAAAACCACCTGGAAAAAAAAGAAAAGGAAAATGAAACAACAGATAATAGTCCCGGTCCTCTATGGTGCAGTCGAAAATATTTACATAATGAGACACCTGTTTGCTGGAGGCTCAGCCTGGTTGTTGGGAACTCGTTTCTCGATCTCTTCTAAGCAGTCCTCGAAGACTTTGACTGGCGACATGTTAGATTCAACGGCAGCCCCTGTAAGACCCGACATTAACTCACCCACGTTCTTGTTCTCCTTCGCACTCGTTTCTACGAAAGCAGTGTGATTACTGTCTGCGAGTTGTTGTCCCTCTGTGATAGCAACCTGACGACTGCGACGACCGTGAGATGAGTTTAGTAAACTCAACACAAAAGAGAGTAAAAACCTCGCAACAAGGTCGGTCTTGGATCCAACAATGACGCATGGGACGCTGGTGACGCCGCAGAAGCTAATGATCTTGTCGTAGATGATTTGAATCATTTCGAACGAATTTCTGGAGTTGACGGAATACACCTGCGGTTGGTGTCAGGCACGACACGAGGTGGAGAGGGAGTTGATGACGCACGAGGACATAACCATGGACTCCAATAGCATGCTTGGAGTTGAGCAGCGAAAATTCATCCTAAAAGAAGCCGTCTGTTTACGTGGAGCGGGCGAGAAATGGTGATAGTTAACCTGGCCAGCGGTGTCGATGATGTCGCAGTCGTACTCGTTGTTCTTGAAATTGACTGTTTTCGCAAAGGTGGACTCGATAGTTGGATAATAGGAGTCAACGAATTCGTTCTGGCAGAATTGTATTATTAAGGACGATTTCCCTGGCCCGAAGTAAGCAAGAGCGAGTGCTGGAGAGTGTCGGGGAAGCTGACCGACTGAGCGAGAGCCAAGAACGGCGATCCTCCGCTTATTAGGTGACATTGGGATAAGGAAGTATGCAGCGCAAGAGGGAGATTTAAGCAGGAGGGAAGAAACGAGCGGTGAGGAGATAATAAAGGACGGAGGCAAGGAGCATCTACAATGTCACTGATGCTGTTTGTAACATATAGCTCCCTCAACTCGAAAGCCTACGTGAAGGTGAGAGCGGACCGTCCATTTTATCTCTCTGCGTTATTGCGCTAGTCCCAACTCAGACAGACGGAACACCGTGAGCAGTTCTGGAGACACCGATGCCGACATCAAGAAGCTCTCTATCTAAAAACACGCTATTACTTGACAGAGAATATGGTACATCTTTCTTCGTCAGGCTAAAAAAGAAAATTGGTTCATTGAGGGGCAACACTGGCGACAAGAAACTCACCGAAACAGTGAGAATGCTGTCCTCTGTCATCATAACGGCATTGGAGGCCGGGATGGGGAATTTTCGCAAGCTGAAAGGTCCGGAGGTGAGCACAGGCTCAACGAAAAGTCGACCGTTTTGGTCGATTTTCTTGTCATGGGTGATACGATTGTCAGAGAGCGGATAGACCTTCTTGAAATCCAGCATCTGGCACTCGTCGGGGGAAATTTGAATGACACAGCGTGAACCATAGACAAAGCAAGACCATGGCTCAGGAGACCGGAGTAAGCGTATCATCCGGGTAAAGGGCGGACCCCAGTCGGACCATAGGAAACATGGGTCGCCGTATTGGCTGCGAAGGAAGCCGAGGATTACGGACAAAGGAATACAAAGCAAGAAAGTGGGATCTGCAAGATCGTCTTCGTCCTCCTCTCCTTCTTCAAACCCTTGCAAAGAAACGACAAACAGACGGTCGTCATGTGTTGCAACAAAGGGAGCCTCGTGAATCGTTCCAACCGGCCATGAAGGAGCAGGCTCCGTTATAATCAGCATTTCCACGTCATGGACATCGGCTCGGTCAACGGACGGAAGGCATAGAGTCAAGCTACCGTCCATATCATTCATATACCCAGCTATTTCCAAAACCTGGAGCTGCGGCACCAAAGTTTTCATATAGTCGTCCTCGAGGAATGTCGAGATGATGATTCTTTCATTGTCCAGGAACGCAAAGGAAGTCAGTGCCGGACTATAGATATGCTGGTCATGTGTGTGTCAGTAATTGGTGGTAGCTGTCCGACCAACATACCTTTTTCAGGGATCCATTTCTCCATTCCCACACCATAAGCTCAATCTCGGTATAGTCGGCCCCAATGTCTGCCATGACCCCGACATAGCTGCCGAATATGCGCATTTGAAAGGAACTGAACGCAGTTGCCGTCGGTTTTTCGACATCGCGGGAAAGACGAGGAAGACGAGCAGACGAATGGGGCTGACCAGTCTTCATAGAAAGAAGATGAACCACCATGCACCTGAGGCAAGTCAGACACTATCAGCTATATGTAAGGATGGTGCATTTACATTGACGCGCCGACTTCAAGCACGACCAAAAGATCCTGCGAATAGTCCATGGTGAAATCGGCAATATCTCCAGAAAAGACCGGAAGGTCCCAACGCTCTGGTACGATGTTTCTCAAGGCGCAAGGTATGCGTTGGAAGGTGAAGCCACGATCAGAGTCGTATGTCGCAAAAACATTGCACGAAAGCTCCCAATAATTGCCACCGAGAGCAGCGGGAGTGACTTGCGCGTGTTTCTTTGGATTAAAGCGATCCCAACTGTTGCGGTAGGCCATAAGCGCCGCAAGACGGGCGACAGAGGCTGGTGAAAAAGAAGAGTTGTCGACATTACAGAGACCAGAAAGCTCTAGCTCGATGGCATACTGAACAGCGGAGGACCTTTTGATTATGTCGTTCCATCGCTGGGAGACCTGAGATAACCTGACCACAGACTTTGCGTCGAGCCATCGACAAATGGACTCTGCGATTTCCGGCGGTAACCGGTCAAGCATGATTTCAAAGTTACACGAGCATGTGACACAAAACCAACCACGCTCCTCCGACCACCATGTCTACACCCAACGATTCACCGATTTCCGCGCCCATCCAACCTCTCCATAACCCCGCTCAGGCAGCAACTGTTGTAGTACCAAAGGCACCCCTCGGAAATGTTGCAAACCAACCGGCAGGAATGGGAGCCAAGGCGTTGCTTGCAAAGAAGATGGCAAAGACTATGTGCGTTTGCTCGTTTCAGGGTCTGCCACTCGCTCAAACCAATTCTTTTAGGAACCCTACCTTCGTCTCCCCAACTGACAACCTCATGACGCCGTGTACCCAAAAACTGTCTGCTGCAAAGAAGAAGCATTTCACAAAGTACGTCCAATCCCTGACCTTTTTTGTTGACTTATCGCTGTGCTCTAGGGGTGCGAAGCCTATCCAGCTATTTGCTCAAACGGAGGAGAAGACGGACGACAGCGACGACGACGAAGTACTCGCTGTGGCACCAGACTCCAACCAACAACCCCAGCTCGCTATGGAGGTCGACGAGGAGAACCCGTTCTGATCGACTTTCCTTTCCACTGTTGACGACCTCTTACGATATATTGTACTGTGATATAGGCAGTCTGGTTTACTCGCCATGTACTGTAAAATGCCATCATTTGCATCCGTCACGCGTCGAGACGCGCGTTCATCTATGGCTGACTTAGACTCCCTCCTCCAAGTCAACGATTCTCACCAACTTCGCGAACGCGTTAGCCAACTTGTCTCCGAAGTTCTATCCCGCGCAGAGGATCCCTCCGCCAACCAACTTTCGTACGAGTGCGTTGTCAGTTGGCGTGGATTCAAGTTTGTTTCAATTACTGTTTGCAGACAACGCCTAGAGCTCATCTCTGCACTTCCTCGACTGTCTGAACAACAAATTCACGATGCTGGACAGACAGACTCGTTTTGCCCCATCTGCTACACCCCCTTTCCTGCTCTTCTAGCCGAAGAAGAGACTGCATTAGCTATAGATTCTCCTGCTCATCCTGCTGACGAGCTTGGAGTCACTAAGCTAGGCCAATCGTGGCAATGCGGTCACTTTTTCTGTCGCAAAGAGTGCGCAATCGCTGGTTTTCCCATATCTAATCAGCTCAGCTCGCACATTTTTCAGCATATCCAAGTGGATTCATGGCGGGGTATGTTTATTCAGCCATTTCAATTGTTGTTTCTGATGCAATGCCTACGTAGCACGGCTCCTGCCCAATGTGTCGCCATGCCTTAGTGGAGTCATCGACTGACCAACCAACTCCAAGGCGGAACGATGAAGACTCTGTCTGCCCTCTTAGCTCAAATCGAGTCATTCATGCAACAAGTCCATTCAAGCGGGGCAGTCGCCTATGTTGACCACGACGGCGAGTTTCGGGGTTTTGGCGAACCACTCTATGTGCCAGAAGGCGGCTACAACGATGATGACCGCAGTGAGTTTTCTGGGATGTACTCATAACGGCCACGTGCCGAAATGTTATGTGATTGGTACATATAAAAACAAGTTCGGCAAACGAGTGAGTCATTGTTATCATGAAAGTCCCCAACTACATCTACCCAACCTTGTTCACTGCTCTTGGCGGCTTTCTATGGGGTTTCGATACTGGAAGGTGCATCCTACGGTTCCCTCTTGTCGACGTCCAATTTGACTCTCTCCCAGTGTCGGACCCATCACGGTAATGCCTCAGTTTGCAAAGCAGTTTGGCTCGATTTCAGCCACCGTCCAAGGACTCTTCGTTTCGTCCATTATTGCAACTGCTGCATTTTCTTCGCTATCTTCTGGTGCTTTATCTGACCGCATTTCTCGAACGTACACCATTGCGCTCGGGTCTCTAATATTCTCAGTTGGAGCCGCCATTGCTTGCTCCGCAAACACTCTGGCACAACTCTTCGTCGGTCGATGTGTTACCGGACTTGGTCAAGGGATCTTCATCTCAAGGTATGCTTCCCAACTTGCATCAAGTGCCTAAACACCCTCATCCAGCATCACTGTTTATGTAATGGAGATCTCTCCAACGACGATGCGAGGTCGTACAATGACGACCGTGCAACTATTCAATACTGTTGGCATTGCCGCAGGTATCAATATTCATATGGTCATTTGCTAGTGTTCAACCCTTCACTTTAGGCTATTTTACTTGTTTTGGGACGGTCAAAAAGTCGGGCAGCATATCATGGCGGCTGCTGCTGGGCTTGCAAGCGTTGGTCGCAATCGTCCTCGCCATTGGCACTCCCTTCTTTCCTCATTCTCCACATTGGCTTTTGAGTGTCGGGCGTGTGACTGACGCTGAGCGAGCGACCCTCAAACTCGGTCTCCGATTAACGGAAATCCGGAAGGAAGACGAACTAGCCGCCGCAGAGGCCGCTAAACTGACCGTCTGGCAACAAGCCAGGGAGCTTTGGGCCAGAGATGTCAGATTCCGCACTTTCTTTGCGCTCTTTTTGATGAGCATGCAACAAGCAAGTGGTATCGATGCGGTCCTCTACGTTCGTTGGTCTCCATTTCACTAAGCGCACACATCTCTCATGCCCTGTGTCTAGTATGCCCCCGTTTTGTTCCAGCAAGCCGGCCTGTCGACAACTGAGGCCGCATTCCTTGCTTCGGGCGTTTCTGGGATCCTTATGGTCGCTCTGACGGCAGGCTCTCCAAGACAAATGGGCCCGCCGAACCCAAATGGTGGGCGGCGGGTCTATCATAGCCGGTTGCATGCTCCTCATGGGTACGCTCTACGCCTCAAATGCAGCCCAGACGACCGGAGGCAAACGAACACTGATTGCCCTCATCTACATCTTCATCGCTGCCTTCGTCACAAGCTGGGCTGTCGTGATACGCGTGGTCTCGAGCGAGATGCAACCGAAACGGACACGCGCACCTGCGTCGAGTCTCGCCCAGTGCTTGAGCTGGGTAGGTTTCGCTCATGGGTAAAGCTAACTTGTACTGATACTTGTTGAGGCTGTAAATTGGATAATCGCCTTTTCGACGCCACTCTTTCTGTCGAGGTCAACATCAGGACCGTACTTCCTGTTTGGTGGCTTCAGTCTGCTGACGGTCTTGGTCTGTCTCATTTGGCAGCCGGAGACGAAGGGACTTAGTTTAGAGGCACTTGACCAAGGATTCGACGATACCAAGCTCCAGTTTGCCATCAAGAAGCTGTTCAAGTCTAAAACGAAATCGCAGGCAACTTTTGCTTTAGGCCACACAGGCAACTAGGTTCTGGTGTGATATGGGATCCTTTCCAATAGTTTGGTTTGGCTACACCAAAAGAGTATATCCTTAAATACTTCAGTAACATATGTAGGTGGGTCGAGGACAAGTCCGGGAATGAGTGCAACATGAATAAGTGTTCTTGACCAAAAAATGGCAATGCTCAGTTTCTCCGGCAACATCTGAAGAGGTTGCGCTTGAAGAAGTAGAATAAGCACTTGTGAACGAATTCAGCTGTTGAGGCACAAATAGTCTGGGATGGACATACCCCCATAAAGCGAACAAGTGCAAGAGCAAATGTTGAGTACAAGATGATGGCAAAGTAAACGTTCTGCTTGCGAATCAGTTGTGCTTCGTTCGCTCTTGCGTCAGGGCTCTGGAGCCCGTTCAAGTTCTCGATAGCGATAGCCAAGGTGGCGTTAGATAGCATCCAGGCAGCGACAAGACGCGTTCGGAAAGTTTCTATGAGCGAGATGAGGAACGAAAAGCAAGGCTGAAGATGGCATACTGTTTTCGTCATCCATCGTTGGTTTCTCGACAACCTCCTTGGTCTCCACCTTGGTGATAGCACGGGTTACCGTCTCCTTGAAGGCGGCATCGATACCCTCTTGATTGGCCGTCATGTCCTCAACGACGGCGGTCTCATCCTGCTTCTTGGAGGAAACGACGGAAGGCAATACTTCCGCCTTGTCACTACCCTTGGTACCCCACGAGACCTAGAAGACGTAAGGAATCCGACAAGATTAGGAAAGGGAGGATATACATCATGCAGGTTGCAGAACGCGTAGACATTGAGAACGTTGGTGAAGCTCGGCGCAAGCAAGAGGTAAGGGAAGAAAGACGTGAATAAATGCCAGGGGTCGCGCTGTTGAAATATTGGAACAAATAGAGCAAAACGAGCTGTCGACTTACGTAAAGGAATGATGCGATCGCATAGATACCTACAAGAAACTTTGAGCAATTCATGACAATTTCAAGGAAAGATCCCAACCAAAGGTGGACACCATAGCCGCTATCAAAGCTCCTACTGGCGGTTTGAAGAATGTTGCGATGACCTGCGACGTGGTTTTATTTGCCAATTCCTTGGGGATGTTCTGGGGATGGTGTGGGTATGGACACAATGATAGGATTATAGGACCTACTGCAAAGGCTTTCCCGGTGAGCCAGAATGAACAGACGAGAAGGTACATCGCAAGGAGTGCATAGACATATAGTGTGATGACATATGCCATTCGTTCACCTTTCGGTCGATTACCCAGAGCCAAGACGAATTGAAGTGCCAGGAATGAGAGGTAAAGCCATTTGAACCCGTTGTTCACCCAATGGGTGATATCTGGAGTGCCGAAGATGATGATATTTTGGGTGGGGAGTAAGTCGATGATGATGCTGAACGTAAGCCACAGGTTCGCTAAGGCAAACCACGAGAAGATGAGGGAGAAGATATTGTACTAGAAAATTTAGAGGGAGAAAAAAAAGGCAATTGATGGTCCAAGACTCACAAGTGCTTGGACGTGCAAGAAGAACATGCGAATGATGCCATGGCCGGATCGGTAGAACATGAAGAAATTGACGAGAGCATAAACTGAGGCAGCAAATGAACCATTGAGCCAACGTCGACGTTGACCAATCAGTTCTACGGCACTTTCGGGCACATCCGTTTCAGCTTTGCTTGGCTTCACATAAGTCAGAACCCAGCGATCTCCAGCTTTGGCAACAAGCTCGAAACAAAGAATACGATCCTCCGCTGTAAACACTCAGATAAAAAAAAACAGACAGGGCGTATTGACATACCAAGGAACATGTTCTTTGTGAAGATGTTCATCCCGTAGATACCCTTGGGACCAAGACGGTCAGCCAGGGAGTGGTCTCCATGGAAGTACTGCTCAAGCGGTCTTCCTAATATTGCGCGGTACCGGTAAGCAGAGAAAGCACCAGGCAACACGGAAACGTAGCCAAAGCTACTCTCAAGCGGCTTATCTGTTCAAACGTGAGATATAAGAGTTGGAAGTGGTCGGTGTAACACACCAAGAATGTTGGACATTTTGTACTCAAAGTTTTGAGCGGCCACTAGAGGGTTGAGGAGTTTCTTTCCGCCCTTGATCATGGCGTGAATTTCTCCACAGCATCCACCGAGGTTGGGGTCATTGTAAAAGCTACATCTTGTGAGCTTGAGCTTGCGGCAAGGCGGATAATACTGACGCTTCCCAAAGGTAATAGATTGACTTGTGCCCGGGTTTGGTTCCCGCGTCGATTAGAACGCACGTTTCAGGCTGCATATGGGACATGAACACCATAGAGGCGATAGTGATTCAAGACGTACACTGAGCATTTTTCCTATCGCGTTGAACAACCAACGATGCGAGTTGATTTTCTTTTGATTCTTCGCTTTGAGAACGAAAATGATCTGGACTGGGACAAGGTTGTTCGCATCGTTGGGTTGCGGAAGCACAAGCTGCGGAGTTGCGTCGATAGAAAGTTGAGTCGTGTACTGCGAGAAGTTCAATATTGAGATGCCTATGAAAGAGGGGACCGAAAACCTCAAAAATGTGAGCAACAGTAGACTTGGTGTCAATTTCCTTCTTCATGATACCATCCTGGTATACGCCAACGGTTGCCAAGATATCGAGAACACTCTTGTCCATAGCCTCAAGACCATCAACAATGAGCGCAACGACAATCTTCTGCCAGCCGGGATTGCCTTCTTCAGCCTGACGGCGCCAAAACTTGGACTGCTTGGTCTTGCAAATGTCACGAATGTTAAGCATGACGCTAGGGAAAGTCAGAAGGCTAGGACATAGAAATAAGCGGTTGGATCGCTTACCCATGCAGAGTGCGAGCATAAAGGGTCTTGTCTTCGTTGTAGCTCGTTACCGCAATGAGGATCTCAGTGCTGCGATTATACATCTTCGTGCGGAGCGAGTAGCCGTTCGCTTCGTTGAACTCGTCGGGATCGACTGTTGCGGCAGTGTAACGCATATGCCTTATGACGTTGAGACATATGAGGTGGCGGAAATCAGAGCGCCGACTTACGAGAACTCGGTCGTGTTGCCCTGGCGGTACTGCGCCTCAATGGCGCTGTGGATGGCAGTGGGGACCGCATACTAACCGACAAAGTAAGACGTTGTCGGAATCAACGAGAATGTAGAGCACCTCAGCAATGAAATTGCCGTTGGTCAGCTTGACTTTACGCGTCACTGCACGGTCGCGCTTGATAGTCTGACGTCGGCGCCACCCATTGTCCTATGCAAAGAGTAAGAACCAGCCGTACAGTCAGTGTCAACTGACCGTCGCCGTCGAAGATGACACTATAGAAGCGGGGCGACCGTATGGGTCCCCATAGGCGTTGGGGTCAATGGGGCTACGCAGTCGCATTAAAAACGTAAATTATGGAGAAAGAAACATACCCTGGAGGATAAAAACCACCTGCAAAGCCGTCTCCACCGGACGCTAAGGGCTGTTTCTCGACAAAATCGTCATCGTCGTACTGGTCAGGGTGGCCATAGTCGTGTTGCTGCAAGGTTGCAGAAGACTCGTTGAATTGAGGGGTTGGGTATGGCGGTTGCTGGTCTTGGAAATGAGGACGAGGGCGGTTGTTGTCGCGAAACGGGTCAGAATATGAAGAAGAAGATGAAGGAAGGGGTGGGCGACCGTCCATCGCTGAGGTTGGGTGCTGGTAATGGCGGAAGGAAACTAGAACTCCACCTCGTGCCTAGCCGATGGCAATAAATAGCCGCCGCTTGTCACTCTTTGCACTGTCCAAGCACTGCCTCTTCGCAATGAATTCACCCCATAATTCAGTGCTTCTCTACGGGTCAGCTCTTCTCAAACTGTCGACCCAATCACTTAGTCAACGTTATGCTATTGTACCAGTTATTCTGCAAGCCCTTTCGCCATTAAGGTTTGGAACGACGCGCCAAAATTCACTGACACTGAACGTCACCCTTTCCTTAGATCCAAAATGTTCTGGTTTTGAAGAAGATTCCTTACGATCGCGTGAATGTAAGTATGGCTGCAACTGTGTGCCCATTGTCCAGTACTTTGTCCTAAACCTTGTGTTTCAAGGTTCCGAACACGCTCCCCCGGCCAGAAATCACTGAACTGCTTGGTATTGGTTATCGAAAAATTCCCCTCTGTGCCATCGGTACGCCGCTTTTTCCAGGGGCGCTCTATCAACCCTCACGGCGGCAGGCAACGATGTTTACTGCGATACAAGGTAGAGCAGCGATTGTAAATAACTCAAACCCTCCTCCAATTTCCGCAGCCTCATTGCCTCTGCACTGGATCGTCGTTTCCCGGCCAGCCAAGGTTTCGGGACGCTCTTTCCACCAAGGAAACGCGGCGGAACAGCAGACACAGGTCTTATCAAGGTTGCTGTCACCGAGCCGCCCATCGTCTGTCGAACTCATTTCGCTCAGGCATTGTCAAAGCACTGGGTCGACAATGTTGTGTTTCCTTTAGCACCGGCTCTGCTGCCCTGGGAGCGATTCCCCAAGGCATTCGTCGACGACAGAAGTGCAGTTCGTCTATCTCACTTGCTGTTGGCGTTTTCCTCATGTCCTCCAGCTCGCTTCTTCTACAATAAATGTCGCTGGTATTCTAGCTTCCCGCGAGAAAACGATAAGTGCCCTTGCGAGCCATCTGGTAAGAGCAGTCCTTTACAGTTTCATGTCCACTGGCATCCCCTTAAGTTCAACAGTCTCTTGTCGAAGAACAAGTAAGCCTTCATTTATCTCACGCAATACTCTTCATTCGGTCGTTAAACTAGCTCTTGGATGGCCGAGAATGGTTATTTGACACAGAGCTCCCCCTCCTTGGCAGACATTTCTGTTCACTTTGTCTTTGGTTGGGCCAGATCGCTACCAAATGGTCAAAAGCTGTTCGGATCGTTTCCCCGCTCGCTCAAGGTGGGCGTTCTCGTATTGATTTTTTCCTATTCATAATTGTTAGTGGCTGGACAGCGTCAACGCATACCTTGAAGAGCTCAAGGCTGGCTTGCCAGTGCCACAAAAGATCCCTGCATCTGACGCTGCCTCTCGCATCCTGTCTGCTGAATTTGAGCCACTCGATGTAGTTGGCTTTGATACCCTTGAGGCCACTAGGTTGGGACTGAAGCTTGGGATGCAAGTCGCACTTAGCCCCGAAGATAACGGTAAAATCCTCTGAATTCTCTCAGTCACATCTAAAACTACATATATAGGACGCAATTATCCGACAGTCGGAAAGTTAGTTGCCCTCAATCGTGAGGAATTTGTGTTAGAGGTTAAGGCAACGGGGGGGATTCTGCGATGCCATTTGCCGCGCATCATGTTCACTGCGAAACCTGTGGCGAACGCAAAGTTGTAAGAAACGACGTTTGCTTTGAACTTATTACTATCTATCTTACCCGATGCACTATGTCCTCGTCATCTGTTTAGACTGTCTTCTAAGCTCATCATTACTCGCATCACCTGCGGCATTATCGGGACGTGATACCATCACTGTCACTGTCACGGCATCACCGTCTACCCAGATGTGACGCCTGTACTCATTTCAAGACTCTTCCACCAAGTTGGTCAATAATGGTACGTCGACGCCCTTCCTTATCAACCCACGCAACCGCCTTAGCCTATGGGTGCACACTTTCTGACGACTATATGCTGATTTCTCTTCTATAGGCCAAGGCAAAAGCAGCGGCAACGTCGCAGGGCAAAGCAGCAAAGAAGAAGAAGTGGTCGAAGGGAAAGGTCAAGGACAAGGCCCAACATGCTGTCGTTCTCGACAAGGCCACATACGACCGTATCATGAAGGAAGTCCCGACCTTCCGCTTCATCTCCCAATCCATCCTCATTGAGCGCCTGAAAATCAACGGCTCGCTCGCCCGCGTTGCTATTCGCCACCTCGAGAAGGAGGGAACGATAAAACGAATTGTCCACCACGCTTCCCAACTGGTCTACAGTGCGTAATCTTATTTGGTTCAAATTCGTGTTTTTCTAATGGGTTGTGTGCAGCAAGAGTAACATCGTCAGCGGATTAGTTGAAACGTTTTACGCTCCTCGCAGTCTATATAGGCCATGTATCCATAAAAATTCCATGCTTGATGCCTCAAAACTTGGGTGTGACATGTCCTTCTATTTAGGCATCGACGTTGGAACCGGGTCGGCTCGTGCTGCTCTCATTTCTGCTACCGGCGATGTTGCTGCGTCAGCTACAGTCCATACGCTCACTTGGCGCGATTCTGAGGATCACAGAATCTTTGAGCAATCGACCACCAACATCTGGAACGCGATAGCATCTGCCACCAAACAGTGCCTTTCGACTTCAAATATACCTCCAGAGGCCGTAAAAGGCATAGGCTTTGATGCAACTTGCTCGTTAGCCGTCGCAGACTTCAACGGAACTCCACTTCAAGTCACCAAAGGCTCCGATCTCGGCTTACCAGGCGAACGCAACATCATCCTCTGGGCAGACCACCGCGCCGAAAAACAGGCAGACATTATCAATGCCTCTGGTTCAGTAGTTCTGGACTATGTTGGGGGCACCATGAGCGTTAGTCCCCTCAAACGAATAATTGTTGGACTTTATTAATACCACTACAGCTTGAGATGGAAATCCCCAAGATTTTATGGCTTAAACAACACATGGACGGGAATCGTTTCTCATCTTGCCAGTTCTTCGACCTTCCTGACTTCCTCACCTACCTTGCGACCTCTTCCCGCACCCGCTCTTGTTGCTCGCTCACGTGCAAATGTTCCTTCCTGCCATCCGCCAGCGGTTGGGACGCGTCGTTCTTCACCAAAATCGGCCTCGAAGAGCTCATCCAAGACGGGGCCTATCCGCAATTGGGAGGAGCACACAAAGATGTTCTCACTGCCGGTTTAGCGGTTGGGAGTGGTTTAAGCAAGAAGGCTGCTGAGGAACTGGGGTTATGCGAAGGCACTCCCGTGGGCAGTGGTGTGATTGATGCATATGCTGGGTGGCTTGGAACTGTCGCGGTCAGTGTTGAAGGCGACCACAAGCCGACTCTGTCCGACTCGCAACATCGTCTCGCAGCCGTCGCTGGTACTAGCACGTGCCATCTCATCCAAAGTCCCGAGGGTGTGTTTGTGAATGGTGTCTGGGGGCCATATAAAGATGCCCTTTTCCGCGGATGGTGGATGAATGAAGGTGGCCAATCGTCGACAGGGCAACTGATCGACTTCGTTTTAACAACCCACCCCGCATATAACACCCTTGTCGAAACTGCGAAGGAGCAGCAGAAGAACATCTATGCCAGTGGGTCCATTCTATGGTCTTCTCTCCAAGTACATCTATGTGACGACCCGTTTAGTCTTGATTGAAACTCTGGAGAGGATGCGCATCGAAGAAGGCGCCGAGACGCTCACCGAACTGACCAAAGACATGCACTTGTATCCCGACTTCCACGGTTCGTCCATTCTTTACTTGCTATAACCGCTGATTCTTGCGCTATAGGTAACAGATCCCCTCTGGCTGACCCCCGTATGCGTGGGGCTTTAAGTGGGCTCGTCCTTTCTTCGTCCTTGACTGATCTCGCCCGGCGCTATTACCTCGCCTTGCAAGCTATTGCTCTGCAAACTCGGCACATTATTGACACACTAGAATCTGCCGGCCACAATGTCCAACTGATCGCCCTCTCTGGTGGCCAGGCCGTCAATGCGGCCCTCGTCAGCCTGCTGGCGAATACCTGCGCCAAGGGTGTCGTGCTCCCGCCAAGAGGCGCTGAGGGTGGAGCCGTTGTCCGTGGTGCAGCAATGTTAGGTCGTTTTGCCGCTGAGGCCGGTGACACTGCGAAAGCAATGACAGAGGAAACACAAGGCAACGTGCTTTGGGAAATCATGGTGGACATGACCCCGTCTGGCACGCTCGTTGCCCCAAATGCATCACAGAAAGAGGACCGCCTCCTGAAGGCCAAGTACAAGATCTTCCTTGAAACAATTGAGATCCAAAGACGATGGAGACAGGAAATGGAGGAGGCTGCGAAGTAGAGAATCAATGCGCTGTTATACGCAGGAACTAGATTTGGCTCTTCTTTTTGCTTGATAATTGAAGAATACCTTGCAGTTGTTCTCAAGCTTGCGTTCACCAGAGCTCATTGTGCTATACGTATTACGCGCGATCACTCTCAACTTTTGATCTAATCACGTGTTCCACGCGACGCGTTTTTTGGTTTGTTGACTGGGCATTAACCCAGATAACATTAGGCATGAAACATGGATCCTAGGCGTACAGACAATAAAATGCGTACTGCGTACATGGAAGGTGGGGGGAAACGATGCAGGAATGGATAATATTACAATGCTTAAGAGCGTTCACCACGCAGGCGACGCGCGAGGGCGAGATCTTTAGGCTGGATAGTGACTCGCTTGGCGTGAATTGCAGCGAGATTGGTGTCCTAAGAAGAATGGGTCGGTGGCAAGGACAAACAGCGCCAAACTCACCTCGAAGAGCGAAACAAGGTAGGCCTCCGCAGCCTCCTGAAGAGCCATAACAGCAGACGATTGGAAGCGCAGGTCGGTCTGAACGATAATGAGCACAAGAAAAGAAAAGGCAACAGTCTACGAACCTTAAAGTCTTGGGCGATTTCACGGACGAGACGTTGGAATGGCAGCTTGCGGATGAGCAATTCGGTCGACTTCTGGTAGCGACGAATTTCACGAAGGGCGACAGTACCCGGCCGGAAACGATGGGGCTTCTTCACTCCACCAGCCGCTTGCTGGGAGGTTTTGCGCGCGGCACTCTTCGATGCGAGCTGAAGTGAGATGCATAATGAGTCAAGGTGAACGGTGCCATGGTGGACGACGACGGTACCTGTTTACGAGGAGCCTTGCCTCCGGTAGACTGAGAAGAAACGTTAGAAGATGGATAGGATGGAGAAGGGCGACATGCCTTGCGAGCGGTTTGCTTGGTACGGGCCATTTGTAGTTGTTGTCTTGAGGACCAGGTGGTGGTTGAAAGGAGAGAAGTGGTTGGTTGAGTCACAGCGGTCACGTTGATATTTAAACCAGTCAACAAACGATAGGCGGATGCGTGAGGATCACATGACCGTGGCTGGAGATCGTGAAGATTATAACAGATAGGTTTTAGGATCCTGGCAGAGTTAGAAGGGAGGGATATTCACTACTCGGAAGATGATGCGTAGGCCTGAAAGAGGAAGAGCGCCTTAAATCTCTCCAGAAATTGGATCCCTCGTAGTAGCCAAGATTTTGCACCAACAGCATTGACATCGGGCCTGATTTTTCACATTGGGGTTCGTCGTAAATGTTTGTCCAATTGACCCAATGTAGGCAATGCTCTAGAACTGATTTTCGAACTTTGAAAGAGAGTATGGTAGCGTTACAGGCAAGAGTCGGATTACATAAACACCACCACGTCCACTCTCTGATGCTGCTACCGTGGCTGCTCACGCTTCCCTTACCTGCCTTCGCAGCCATCGAGAAGACTCTCGGAGTACATCCAGGACTTCTCTCTAAATATTCTGCCCCCAAATCTGGCGCGCTGTGGAAGTGCTTGGATGGTTCTAAATCCATTCCTTGGGATTTCGTGAATGACGACGCCTGTGACTGTCCTGACGGTAGCGATGAACCTGGTCAGACTCGGTTCCTGTACAACTTGAAGTATTCTGACTTGTTTTTGTTGTGGACAGGCACCAGCGCATGCGTCAACAGTACCTTCTACTGCCAGAATGCTGGACACATTGGCGCGACAATTCCAAGTTCGAGAGTGAACGACGGTCTTTGTGGTGCGTCGCCTAACGGTATCGCGACTCGCTCCCTTGGTTAACTGGTGATAGAGCCCCAGTGTTGCGACGGCTCGGATGAACAACCTGGCGTGTGCCCCAATGCGTGTAAAGAAATCGGGGAGCAATATAGGAAGAAGAGGGACGCAGAGCTCAAAATTAGGAAGACTGTGCGGAATCCAACCTCGCTTGGTATATTCCTAACACTTTATAGGGTGCTAAAATTCGAGCGTCCTACATTACATTTGCCCACAAAGAGAAGAAACGGTTAGAGGCCCTCATAGAAACATCGTCTCAAGAAATTGTTGCCCGAGAAAAAGAAGTCGCTCGGCTGCGAGGTATTTGTTTACTTGCACTGGACGTTTTTGCTAAAATTTTTACCTTCCAAGATATCGCTGAACGAACGGAATCGCTTTCCGCTGCCGCGCTGGAGCACAAGAAGCAATCTCGTCAGTCAGACAACACTCGAATATACGCCTCTTGATATGTTGCAGCCCTATACGCTTCTCTCATATCCCACTCTGCGGCACTTAAGGCTCTTCAACGCGAACACAAAAAACATCTCGAGCGTGAAAAGGAACTAGGCAACATTCTTGACGCCCTGCGCAAAGGGTACAATCCTAACTATCAGGACATGGCTGTCCTTGAAGCGGTTCGTGGCTGGGAATACCTCGCTGGTCTACCCCATATTGGTGTGGAAGAGGATGCCAAAAAAGATGCAGATGTGTCGGTCTCTGACGAAGAGGCTGGTATCGAAGACGGCGACTCAGATGAAAAGGCCACATCGGACTCTAATGAAGAAGTTTGGACTCCTCAAGACCTCGAGACTGGTCTTGATGACCTCCTCAACTCGGATTATATATCACTGCTGATGGCTCATGACGAACATATCCAGACCCCCCCTCCCAGCGCGCGTATGTTGTCCCGCTTTTTCTTGTTCTTTACTGACACGAGCCGCAAGTGTTCAACCTTCGTTCGTACTTGCCCGACTCATTTATGCCTTCATACGACGAAATGCGAGAAACTCTCATCTCCTGGCTCGAAGTCATCGGTATCTCGGGGACAGACACAGAGACTTCTGGAGGTTTGTCCTTCATTTACCCCCTTAATCATGCTCAAAGTTTGGCAACAGACACTTCAAAGGCGCGACAAGCATTGAATGACGCCGAGTCGGCCCTCAACCGTGTCACAAGACAGAAGAAGGAGGCAGAGGACGACCTGTCAGAGATATTCGATGTCGATGGCTTCGGTGCTGAAGGCGAATGGAAGAAACTCGACAACACATGTCTCGAATTAAACACGGGAGAGTATGTTGCGATGCCTGACCATCTACGACTGCTAAATTTCTCAGGTATACGTACGAAATCTGCATGTTCGATGAAGCTCGGCAAAAACCGAATAAAGGCGGTCAGACTTTCAGCCTTGGGTAAATTGTGCTCTCTTTTTTTTCGTATTTGTCTCTCACAAATATGCAGGAAATTCTCGTCTTGGAACCCGTCTCCAGACGTAAAACCTGGAGAGCCTGCTTTCTATGAAAAACAGGTCTACAATCAGGGGACACGTTGCTGGAATGGTCCAGAGCGAAGTGTCGTCGTGCGTATCAGCCTTGTCTTGCGTTTATTTTGTCTGAGTTGAATAATTCGCAGCTGGTCATGTCTTGCGGAACTGAGAACGCCATCCTGACCGTGCAAGAGCTCGAAAAGTGTGAATACCAGATTACAGGCACGTCGCCGGCGTTATGTCTGCCATTAGATGCCAAGGTAGAAGCGAGGGAGGAACTATAGCTTAGGCAATACCACCACATATTTATTCCAGCGCGACCACGGCGTGCCATTTCTAAGTACAAACAAGCACGGTGATTAAAGGACGTTGAGGTCTCCGAATTTCTCGTTGTAGCCTGAAAAAAAAAATGAGCACACAACGGGTGAAAGCGGAGATAAACATACCGGGTACGGTATATTTCCCCTTCTTTGCCATCGTCTCCATGACTTGAGCAAGACGAGGGTGTGCGTCGCCGACTTCATAAGTCTTGAAGCCAAACATAAGCAAAGAATAAAAAAGATTAGGTCGTGTCACGCACGGTAAGGTCCTCGAATGGACGGGCGTCTTCGATATTAGCGAGCGTGGCTTGGAGCTGTTTAATCTCCGCGTCGATTTTCTCCTCTGTGGCTTTTGCAGACTCAACCTGCAAAGAGTCGTTAACCATAATCAATACCACCAGCCACGAAAGCCACCCACCGCCTTGGCTTCAAACGCTTCTATGGCTTTCACATGGGCCCCGACGTCGTATGTTACCGGCTTGAAACCAGATAACAGCTTCTCCGCCTCATCAACAACAGCCTGGTTGCGAAGAACTGAACGATAATGGGCGAGGTCGACAGTTGTTGGCTCGCTGTTGTATTGTTGGTGAAGTCGTTGTGCCTCTGCGTGGCGTTTCCGGAAAGCCTGCAGTGCGGCGACGGTTTCTGTCTCCTCGTTAGAGATCGTGACCAGCCCCGGAAGTGTACCGACCTTTTCCGAGGCCCAATGTCGAGTATATGCGGGTGAAGTCCTGTGTCAGAATTATTTCCCAAGTCACCAGGAGACGATAAATGGACGAACGGCCGCGGCGACGGCAGCTTTTGAGGCCATCCTGCAAGAAGGTCAAGTCGGAAGGAAGTTGTGAGGTAGCGCGCGATCCCAACATTGATCTCAACAAATTTTCGATGATCATCTGATGTGGAGCGCGATAAGATTACTTATGAACTCATGGCGACGCAAGGCCCCATCGCCCTTACGCTGGCCAAGTAATGACGTCGAAAGCCAGCCCCTCATAAATACGCCTCTGGACAGCTCCACCCACACAAACATCTCATCCTCCAACCGTGAACCATATATCCCAACCCAAACATGCCTCTTTTTGGCCGCAATACCCACAGTCGCCACCATCGCGCCTTTTATCGACGCGATCCCGACCGAGTTGCTGGTGGATACAGTGAGAAATTTCTCCGCTTTTTAGTTCTGGCAGCATCGTTAACAAATTTCCAGAAGCCGCACTCGCCAATCCGAATACCACTCGACAAGGCCGTAAGCATGCGAAAGCAGAGCTTCACGCAATGGTGAGTAGCATTGATCATTGACATCGAGGTTGAGAATGATTTTTTTTAGGGTCGGTCCTCCCATGTCTCTTTCATGACCAAGGTCAGGCGGGCACTGGGTATCCGCAAAACTCCTCGCCACCAGAGAGCAGAAGCTCGGCGTGAATACGAGACATCTCATCGTCGTAAGCGTGGTCGCCGTCGCAGAGAGTACGCATATTGAAGAGACTGAAGACTTGTAATCTGTGCCAGTGTAAATGTACTAGTAGAATACGCTTGTATTGATAGTGTTGCTCTTGGCTTTGAATCCGGTGTTTGACAGAATGAACCAGCAAGTGTGACTAATCACGTCTTTGCTCCGTCATGGAGGTCGACCTACCTTATCGCATCGATATGGTACAGTCACTCTCTGGACACTCGGATCGCGCATGGCATGCAGCCTGGAATCCAACCAAACCCCTCTTGACAACCTGCTCTGCTGACAAGACCGTTCGAATGTACTCTTATACTCCCGCAAGGTCGTTCACCCACATAACCACCATCCCAACCGGCCATACAAAAACTGTGAGGTCAATAGCGTGGGCGCCATCTGGCGAAACTCTCGCAACCGCATCCTTCGATGCTAACATCGGGATCTGGGAGCAAGAGGCAGCAGAGGAAGGTGGAGAGAAAGGCGAATGGGAATGCGCCAGTCTTTTGGAGGGCCACGAGACCGAGTGCAAGAGCGTTGCTTACTCGGCCTCCGGTACTCTTCTTGCCAGCTGCAGCCGCGACAAGACCGTTTGGATCTGGGAGGGCGAGTAATGCCTTACGCGCCAAACCCGTCATTCAGACTCAGTCGACGTTCAGTGCATCCCGACTCTGACTTTGAGTGCATGGGCGTTCTCATGGAGCATACGCAAGATGTCAAATGTGTCGCGTGGCACCCCACAGAAGAGGTCAGTATACGTTCTCGTTGTTGCCTTGAACAGAGTCTTGAATTCTGCCAGATTTTGGCTTCTGCATCCTACGACGACACCATCAAATTGTACATAGACGACCCTTCAGATGATTGGTTCTGTTTCTCCACTCTCACTGGTCACACGTCGACTGTCTGGTCCTTGGCTTGGTCACCGACAAACAGTTACCTTGCATCAGCCTCTGACGACAAAACGGTGCGCATATGGCGACGAGTAGCAGAACACAAATGGGAATGCGCTTTGGTAATCTCGGGAAACCAACGAACAGTTTTTTCTGTTAGCTGGGGTGTCGGCAAATCAAGTACTCCATCGCTGGGTTGGCTTGCAGCAGTTGGAGGGGACGGTTTCATTCGGATCTGGGAAATTTCGGTTTGTTCGCAGCCTTGATTCCCTTGTCACCGTTAACACAAACATAGCATAAGGAGAACCCGGAAACGCTCGAACACAGACTGATCGCTGAATACCCTGAGGCCCATGGAGTTCATGATGTCAACGCAGTCTCTTGGTGTCCACGTTCAGACTTTGAAGATATGCTGGCTACAACTGGAGATGACGGAGAAGCAAGGGTATGGAGAGTACAGCCTGTAACATAGTGAATGCAATGCACAATGTTGGTCCTGCCAGTCATTCGTCGTCATCCTCCTCTTCACCCTCTCTCTCTTCACCATTTTGGAGGTATGAAAAGCAATGCTGGACAGTTCCAGCTCGACGCAAGGCTACCCATTCATCAGCGGCTGTCCAGAAATTCCTTCCATTGAGGCAACCCCGCTGCCAATCAGCATCTGTGCTGTCGGGAGGGTAGATGACAACAAAACGGACATCGTCCAGAAGCTCAGCGGGCAAATCGTGGCTCTCCTGTGCTGACCACACAAATGTCTGGATTCTGATGGGAAGTGCTTCAAGCAGATTTCGGCAAATATCCTCATGCAGTATCATTCCCCCAGAGAAACACAAATGAGTCAATTGGGGGAGGGTCATGAGAAATTCTTGTGCTTCTTCGGGTCCCTCGTCGTCGTCCTGTTCATAGCCCCCCAGCACCTCGAGGTGAGTGAGGAAGGCAAAGGCAGGAACACAGTATTCGAAATCCCTTGTCATCTGGACAAGATCTTGCGTAGCACAGAATATTTGCGAAGGTGAGAGCGGGTTGAACACCGCCGCCAGCGAATCAAGAGGCTCCCCGAATTCGCCCACCAACAATAGTGACAGTTTTTCGATATTTGGACACAGGGTAAGCACCTCGATGATTTTGGATTCGTCGATACGTGAAAACAACACGTTTCGGACTGCTTTGGCGAAGAATTCTGGGGGTTTGTGGGCCGCGGTTTGCAGAAAACGGTCGACATCCCAGCACGCGACCATTCCACGAATGACAGTATCCGGGTTGAATGCCAAGGTGCGATAGAGAAGAGGTTCAATCCATTCCTTGACGCGGTGAGCGACAAGCATCAGGGTTGGAACAGATGCTGGTCGCCTGCGAGCAACATGAAGGAAAATTTCGCGCTCTAGCTCCCGAGGCAAGAATGGGTACATCCAGTGTAGTCGAGGTTAAGCAGGGAGCGTGGGACTTACTTGAGCATTATGGCTTTCCGAAGAACAATAGGAGTGCGAAATGCCAGAAAAGTGACGCGCAGACAATTGCGAACCTTGCTGTCCTTTGCCTGTTCAATGACATTGCCTATATGTAGAATTTCCACTTATTTGGAAGCCTCCGACTATCGGGAATTTCGTGACCACCGTAGCGGGCATAGGTTGTGGGCGTTTCTGTGCAGTGAGCATGTTAGCAGGTCGCACCAGATCACTCTCGACTACTAAATCAAAAAATTGCAGGGCGGGAAATCAACGACGGAGGACAATGTCAAGACGCAAACTTCGAACAATGAGTATTTTGGCATGCAAGACAAAGTATACATTGCCCGGGAGGTTATCGGAAACGGGTATGGGCGCGCCGAAGAGGGTCGGAGTCGTTCGAGTAAGCAGAGAATCCACTTGTTGCATTGGTGCTCTACAGTCATATCGGTGGGAAAACGCACCTTGCTCTCGCGGGCCGAGTCGGCGATCAGTGACCCACGAGCTGTCACACTTGGTTACCCCGTTTTTTTTACTTCCGAGCAACTCAATTCCGGACTCCTCGGTGCCCTTTTGCAAGGCTTGACCTGTTTCAAACTTGTGGAACCGGCCACTCTGTGAAAATCAGGCCCAATTGACTGTCAATGCTTAAAATATCCTCACTCGAATCGCAGTAAATCGCTGAGCGCAACAGCCGCACCACTTCTTCGCTTGTGTTTAAATCTTTCGAACCACATGGCACCTATCGAAGGCCGACCTATAAATAGTTTTCGAATGTGAGAGCGGTTTCCTGGTTGCTTCTGCTTCGCCCACCCGCTTCTCCAATGGCCGGACTGCAGACAGACACAGACGCCATTATTGCTCAGGCTCACGTTCTCAAGGAAGAGAAGGCTGAACTTGAACTGGCTTTCGATACCAAATCGCTCACCGAATCTGCACCGCTGGAGATGAACGATGGAGTCCACGACGGTCTCGAGTTCCCGACCGACGAGGAGCGTGCAACACTGCGGCGAGTTTCAGACTCGTTGCCCTGGAATGTCTACTGTAAGTTTCTTTTTGCTGGTCATGCATTCTGACGTTAATGCTCTTGAGAAGTAATCGCATTCGTGGAGGCTGCTGAACGATTCTCGTTCTATGGATCTAGCATTGTCTTCACCAACTTCATCCAACACGGCCTGCCCAAAGGCTCGCATACTGGCGCCGGAGGGACTGATCATCAATCTGGAGCGCTAGGCAAAGGTCAACAAACTTCCACTGGTATCGGGACGTTTTATACCTTCTGGTGCTACGTTACCCCGCTTTTGGGCGCTTACATTGCGGATGCCCACCTTGGACGGTTCAAGACGGTGTCGATTGCAGTCGTGCGTTTGTTGACCCTTTCGATCTAGGCCCAGTAACCAAGTTTCCTCCAGGGAATCGCACTTTTAGGTCACATTATTCTCATTATTCCCGCAATTCCTGGCGTCATCGAGAAGCCGAACACGTCCATGGGCATCTTCATCCTTGCGCTGATCATAATGGGCCTCGGCACTGGTTTATTCAAGGCCAACATCTCTCCTCTTGTCGCGGAGCAGTATCGTCGAACCAAGCTTTTCATCCGCACCACAAAGTCGGGGGAGCGTGTCATTGTTGACCCCATCATTACTGTGTCGCGACTCTATATGGTATGGTCATCCGTCTCCACCTGAAATTCCCGCTCACTCTGTAGTACTTCTATCTGTTTATCAATGTCGGCGCGTTGGTCGGACAGATCACAATGGTCTATGCAGAAAAGGTGACAAATTATTCGGGCTTTCGAATCTGACCTAATTTTTTGATCAGTATGTTGGGTTCTGGCTAGCATACACACTCCCAACCGCGGTCTTCCTCTTTTGTCCTCTCGTCCTCCTTGCCGGCAACAAGCTATATGTTCGCTCTCCACCTACGGGTTCAGTATTGGCGCTCTTCCTCAAGCTGTTTGGCTTTGCCGCAAAGGGCAAGATTGTTCTCAATCCTGCGACGACAATCAGCAACCTCCGGGGTCCATCCTTCTGGGAAGATGCAAAACCGAGCAGAGTTGTAGCGCGTGGGGAAACAATACCGTCGTGGATGACATTCGACGATCTTTGGGTCGATGAGGTTCGTCGTGGCATCAAGGCCTGCTGGGTCTTTTTGTGGTTCCCAATTTATTGTGAGCTCTCTCGATCGCCAACGTATACCAAGTAACCCCTTGCTTTAGGGCTCACTTATGGTCAACTGACGAACAATTTGATCTCGCAAGCTTCAACGATGTCGACTCATGGCCTGCCGAACGACGTCTTGTCCAATCTTGACCCGCTCGCCCTGATCATCTTCATTCCGATCTGCGACCAGCTCGTTAGTGCATGCTAACAAACCCTGTGAAGGCTGACAGACTCCCTAGATATATCCTGCCCTCATGCGACGAGGCTATAATTTCTCTGCGCTCAAGAAAATCGCTGCTGGTTTCTTTACCGGCAGTGCCGCCATGATCTGGGCAGCTGTTCTACAAGCCTATATCTACAAGGTCAGTTGTGTCCCCAGTATTAATCTGTTCTAAATCAATTCCAGACCAACCCCTGCGGAAACTATGTTGGCACCTGCGAGGACGGCGATGGAAATGCACTGGTTTCTTCGCTGAACATCTGGATCCAGTCTGGCTCGTACATTCTTGTCGCATTTTCGGAGATCTTTGCTTCCATCACTGGTCTCGAGTACGCCTTCACCAAGGCGCCAAAGAACATGCGCTCACTGGTCATGTCGATCTTCCTGTTTACTTCCGCCATCTCCTCGTTCGTGATGTCTCATGGCATATAATTGGCGCTAATATTTCGACAGTGCACTCTCTGAAGCGTTTGTCACGCTCTCCACCGATCCACTCTTGGTGTGGAACTACGGCTCGATGGCGGTCATCAGTGCGATTGCGGGTGTGCTCTTCTGGTGGCACGTGCGTGGTATCGATGCGAAGGAGGAGGAGTTCAATAGGATGGGTGTCGGCCATGTTGCGGCGACGGACGCAAAGGACAGTGCTTAAATCACGATACTTAACTTAAGTAATACCCGCTTAAAAATTTGGACGGAATTTTGTACCAAATCCTCTTTTTCTCCCTATCTTCTAAAGTATGTTAATGCCTACACCTTCTCATGCATGGCACTGTGCAACTTCACAGTCAACCCCTTCGCTCTTGACCCTGGGTTCAACATCGCTCTGGTCACGTCTGTCGCAATCGACTTGGCAGTTCATTCTTGGGAGGTGGGCACTCTCTCACAAGCACTCCTTGAGCTGTACGACCCGCAATACTCGGTGTTTGGCTCCTCCCCGTTTCCGGTGCCCAGTGTCTCTCCGGAATGTGTTCCTTCTCTCTCCTATGCAGTTGAGCGAATAGTCCTTGGAAGCGGGCCCAATGGCTTTGCTGACGCAGAGGGCGCGCTCGCTGATCCCGCGAGTCTCGGAGTAAGCGCTGTGTTATTGGGCAAACACGATGCCCGTTATGCGGACGCGGTTCTGAGTGAGATCGATTACATCACCACTGCCGCGCCACGGTTTTCGAACGACGCCATCTCCCACCGAGTGTCTGTCGCCGAGTTATGGTGAGCGGCTGTGAGTTGCGGCTTGTCCTGACGCAACATTAGGGCCGACTTCATCTACATGGTCCCGCCATTTCTCGCATATGCTGCAGCCGACCTGGACGACACCGACCTCTTGTTCGAGGCCTATCGGCAGTGTGGGCTATACCGCGAAATACTCCGGCCCCCCACCGGACCGGGCGTCTGGCAGCACATCATCGGGCCAGAGCACCAAGATGTGTGGCCCTGGTCAACGGGCAATGCCTGGGCAGCGGCAGGCATGGTCCGCGTGCTTGCCACGATAAGCAAGTCGCCTAGAGTAAACTGGACACAGGATGCCATAGAAAATCTTTCGGTGTGGATACTGGAGATCATCGATGGCGCCATGAGCTTCACCAAAGAGGAAGGACTCGTGCGAAACTACCTCGAGGACGGATTTGGGGAGGTGGCGGGTTCGTGTCTGTTTGCGGCAGCCATCTACCGCATGGCCGTCCTGCAGCCTGAGGTCCCTCGCAATGGGGAACACATCATCTGGGCCGACGCAATTCGCGCCACAATGGCACTACACATTACGAGCGGGGGAATAGCAACCCCGGCTGTCAATCCAATGAACCCTACAGATCCCAAACCACTCTTCACAGGATCGCCAGAGGGCAACTCATTTGTTGTCCTTATGTATGCTGCATGGCGTGATTGCGTTCTGGTTGGTATTTGTTCGTAGCCTCAGTTGGGAGTGCTTTGGTAGCTTCGTGACCAAACTCCTATGTGCTAGTACAACCAAAAAATGTCAAGGCTGGTGACAATTGCAAGTTCTCCGACCTCTGAATCGTCTGATAGCCCTGGCTTGACGAATGCTACATCCATGGTTTGGGCGGGATAGGAGATCTTGCGGCGATAGAGGCCATGGAGACGAGTATATTAGAGCTGAGGTCCATGATTTTCCTTGCTATGTGCCAACTGACCTGATTCAATAACCATTTCGAAAGACACGATGCAGGCTCCTTGCTGTCGCTGCAAAACGCTCTCGAAGCTGTCAGAACCTCACAGTCTGCCTGCTGAGTGCTCTTACAGGCGAAAGTGCCATTATGTAGATTAGATACGAGTAAAACTGAGCTTGATAGCTTCTATATATAGCGAGCGCAGCTCCTGCAAGCGGCAAGCGTGACGCGGTGGCCTTCTCTTCCAAAGCACTCTTCAACCAACTCGCCATGAGCACTTAGCCACGGCCATGTTTCTCGATACCACCAGGCACCATGATTACCTTACATCAGATAAGACTGAGCGAAAATCGAGTGTAGTTTGTGTTTGATGCGAGTAAGTTACAAATGTGTCGAATACTTTGATTAGTTAACTGGCGAGTGATTCTGACGACGTCCAAAGGTTCCACAACGTCGTAGATGACCGAGAAAAGCAATGAGTGCCATCAGGGCGTAAAACACAGTCGCCATTACGGACGACTGGGCCGGACGCGAAAGTAGTGTCGCTGAGCCGCCACCACAACGTTTGACGGGATGGAGTAGAGTATGAGGGTATAAGCACTCGTCACACCAAACGTGCGACTTGGGCTTTCTATAGATGCAAGGACCGGACCGCTGGGAAAAACGGTGGAGACCATGCACATCATGAGCTGGTCATCGGGGCTGGTGTCCTTGCTCCTCCTGCCGCTCGCCTTTCGGGTGTCCTATCACCAGCGCCCATAGCCAGTTCTGGCGTGCGCTCCCCAGCCTGAATGGCCTCTATCTCCATATCCATCGAATCTGCCTCTTCGTTGTCGGCCTCATCACCCGTGTCATCTGCACTGCTTAGGCTACGAGTGTCGTCGCTACTCGAGCCAGCGCTTGAATGGGCAGGCCGAATAGTCGGCTCGTCATCGGTCGTCCATCCGCCATCAGTTTCCGTGCCTTCAGTCTCAGTTTCAGTCTCCGTGTCATAGTCCGGAGTTTGGCTCGGCCCGCCATTTGCGAGTTTCGGTGATATGCGGCCACCGTAGGCATCGATGGCGCCCATAGCTTGCATTGGCGCAGTGACAGAGGCCGGCGTGTGTCGCACAGGTTCAGGAGAGTTGGAGAATATAATAAGCTGCTCGGCATATCGCTGCATCTCCTCTCGGGGGATCACGAGTCTGAAGTCGTTCAGGAGGAGAAATTGCAGCTCGAGCTGATTAAGCTCCGCTTGGGGCAGCCCCCCGACCTGGATAGGGTTAAGCAAAGGCGTTGGCCAGATAAGCGGAAACAGCGCACCTTGGCGTAACGAGAGTTGGTGTAGAAGACGTCACTGAAGAACTTGCTTGCGACGGTGACGCCCGCAATGACCAGACGGTGGATATTAAACGAGTCTATGACAAACGTCCGTCCGGTAGCCTCCGTGCTGAGTTTCGACATACGGTCGAAATAAACAAGGAGCGAGAGAAAGACTTCGTTCGTGGTTGGACAGTATTTAAGGATGCGGAGCAGATAGGCCTCCAGCGAGATGGTAGGAATGTTGCGAGCATGGAAAGTGAGGACTGATGCTGGAGTCGAGATTGCTGTCCTCGAGGCAGTGGTCAAAGTTCGCCATATGGGAGCATCGGTGGGTGTAACGGTGGCTAGGGTAGTTCGGGTGGGCGTTGTGGAGGGCGGGGCAGTGTGTGCAATTGAGTCGAGTTTGTCGTTGGTAGCTGATATTTCTGAATGAGAAAATGTCGGGCAAGATTAATAGCTACGATACGGACCTGCTATCTGGCTAAGGAGAGAGGCAAGCAGTTTAAGAAGGTCTGGCGATGAGTAGGAGTGAATATCGAAGTTCGTTTGCTGTGGTTGTGGAGGAGCGGGAGGAGGGGGAGCGGGAGGTCTGGGCCTGCTTGTCGCAGGTGGCGTTGGAGCAACCACAATGGCTGATGGTTTTCGGGTTGGATTTCGGTGAGTTCCAGTCCGTTGCTTATGAGGAATATCGTGGGTTTGCACCAAAGTCGCCAACATAGAAGCACGCGTAGCGAGAATTGGCTCGTGGCGGGGTAAACAGACTGAAAAACGGGCACGCTATGTCACGGGTTGATTGATCGGCTACCAACAAATCTATGCTAATCGTTTTTTTAAATTTTTTGCTCTGGGATAACCTGGTTTGCACCCCTCAACAAGGTCAACTTGGTTAGCTGCTCCAGTCTTTGTTGTTGTTTGCGCGTCTTTCTTGCCTGCTTTTGCTTCGACTTTTGCGCAACAGCCAAAGTCAACCACCGTCTTCTCCTTTCCTTCTCTTCTTGCTCAGTGAGCTTCTGTCGCCACTTGAATGTCGCATCGGCCCTGGCTTCGTGTTTCTTCCGTCCGTTGAGCTCTCGCATTTCAGCTGCGATGTAATCACGCAGTAAAGCTTTGCGGTAGGCTTTGTGAGACTGCCAGCGCTTCATTTTCTTGGCACGGGAATGGGGATTCGATAGCTCGCGGTCGAGATAGCTCTCCACTGGTGGCGAATCACCGAACCACGGCTTCTTCGTGGGATGTGACATCCCCGCAATCCATTCCTCCTCAGTTGGCTTGCGAACAAGCGGCGCAGAAAGTTTGGTTGCGAAAGAAGGTGGCACATAGGTGACTTTGTACACGTCCTCTTTTTTCGTGTCGTACATGCCAGCTAATCCATTTTCAAGTCAACACCGTCCTGACGAAAAAAAAAAAGAGAAGAGTTGCATACCGGTGGGGTGGGATTTCCGGGGTACCTTGGGCCATGGAATGAGTATCTTCTGTCCCTTGAGATGAGGAACGACTGGTGTTGTGGCAGACGCGAATCGCTCCCATTGCCATCGGTGTTGTCGACTATTCCAGACGGGGGATGAAGTGGAAACACGCTTCGCAAAGACGCTAAAGGACAGAGAATGAGGTTGGAGGGAAACAAGTAAAAATTCAGAAAACACGCACGGAACCTTGCGAGGCTCTGTAGAACCGGGCAATGGCGGGAAGTCGTAGTCGCCAATGTAAAGCTGGCATCTCGCATAAGAGTAGGCGGGGTGTTCAGACGAAACACTGCTCTCGGGCTTTCCAAAAAGTCAGAACATTAACACTGGATGACTAGCCTAGCACGCACTATAGGGAACTCGACGATATTTTCTAGCCGTCGAATTTTATAAACTTCACGCAATTTGTTGCCATATCTGCCGCGGATACGGACACGGTCGCCTGGCACTATGTTCCAAAACTTTATGCGCTCTTTCGGGACATGGGTGTCCTGCTTGCTTGTTGGGTCAAATGCGTCCCATTGACCCTTCTGAGTGACACGAAGATGACGAGGAAGGGGTCGTAGGTGATTAAAGTTGGTCGTCCATGGTAGCCGCGTGCCCTGGGTCAGCTGCTTGTAGAGCGCTGAAGTTAGTTGTGCTTTGGGCACGACAGCTGTGGTCATGAAATTTCTTGGTCATGTGACAACGAACACGATGGGTGTACAGACAAGGACAACGAAAGCAACAGAAACACCGTTATGTACACTCGAAATTATCCGGCCTTGCCCCAAGCTGCAGAAGACGCGCTTGGTTCCTCAGATTCCAATGTCTGAGAAAGGTAAGCTTTTTCTGAGACGATTGAAAAATCAACATCACCTCAAGCAACATTCCCAGAACATGGTCAACCTCTCCAGGAGGTACTCCCCCACAAGCAGCGCCAATGAGCTTTCTATAGTCTCCCATTCGCCCGCTTGTCCCCGTCTCTGCCTGGAATGTCACTAGCTCATCGAATGTAGTTTTTCTCCGTTTTCTGAATTGTTCAATCTCCAGTCGCAAATCATGGCAAGCTTGTCGTAAGGATTCTGGATTCGGGGGTATGTTGGAGTGCAAGGCAATAAGATCAGAAATATCTTCAGTTTGTGCGAACTTCCGTTTCAGTCTTGAAGCCTCATCGTCTGTGTCCATCGCGTTATTATCGGGTAATCCCGGAGGCACAAGTTGGCCATTTGCAGCAGCCCGGATAGTTTTCTCGCGGACCACCTCGTCGTTTACCCATCGCTCCCAGCCCAACCGGTATCGACGATCCATCTTGGCTCGCAAGGCATTTTCCAACTCTTTTAAATGTGCCTGTGCTTGGGGTAGTCTCTCTGCTTGTCCACGAAGGTGTGTAACCGTGCGCTGGCTTTCTAAGATCTCGGCCTGGATGTTGCCCAAGAGAGCATGGGCTTGAGAAGCGTCGCGTTCCTTGTCTCGTAATTCTTGATCAAAAGACGCAGCTAAGCTATCAAGCATACTTGTCATGTCATTGACGCAACGAGTGCTCGCTCGTTGTCCGACAACTGAATGGTTCAATGGTGGGCGCTCTGCGTGAGACGAACCAAATACGTAGTTGGGTAGTCCGTTGACGCCGCCGCCGCCACGGTGTGGAATTCCAGGCACCGGCGACGCTCTGAACCGCTCGTCTTCAAGAATATAGTCTTCAGTACTTTTACCGTCGTTGTTGACAATTTTTGGATCCGCGCCATGGTCGATGAGAAGTTTCACCAAGCGCTTGCTTCTACAACGTGCAGCCATAGTCAGAGCGGTCTCTCCATCCTCGTCCTGGAAATTTATCACGTCTGCAAGCTCTTTCGGGTATTCGCGGAGCCGTTCCAGAACAGTTTCCATATAATACCGAGCTGCATGGGTCTTGCCTTTAGACATAGCGACATCAACAATGTGATGAAATACGGTGCGATTGTAGTTGTCGATGTTGAGGGTGGATCGGTGCAGTAATTCGTACAATTCGGGAAATTTGCGCACATCGTAGTTGTTGGCAAACATGACGCTCCGCATTAGGCAAGTCTGTCCAGCGCTATTAACACGGAATATATCGGCGTTGGCGGAGAGGAGTAGTTTGACGATACGAATGCGACCCATAGCACAAGCCCAATGCAGGGCAGTGTGTCCGTCATCATCAATAGCCATGTTCGCATCAAAGTCGGAGGCACGGTCACTGACGAATTCGGGGATAGTGTTGGAGTCTGAGATGAAAAATTCGAGTAGTTGATCAGCATAGGCGCGAGGGTCATTCGCCTGATATTCGTCTGCAAACTCAATCCCGTGATGGCCACGGCGCGATGTGTCATCTGCGCGGATTGGAGAAGGGGTACGGGAGCTTGACGAGACCTCAGATGGAGAAGGGGTCATTGATTCATTGTCTGAACCGCGAGCCGACATTGTCTCTTGATCTGACTCAGCATTGGCGTGAGGGTTGCGTCGTCGAGATGAGCGTGTACCAACAGCAGCATCACTTCCTGCTCTGCGTGAAGGACGCGAAGAACTAGCTGTGACTAGATGTTTTGGAGCCAGAGGGGGACTTTTAGCGGCTGGCTGAAAGTCGATGATAGGGCGCAAAATCGATTCACAACTGTATTGTCGGCACAATGCAAGGCCTCTGTCGAGTGGAATCCAAGTTCCTAGATGCGATTGACTTTTTGAGGAGAAAGCAGTAAGAATCACACCTTGATATTTCCCATAACCACCTTGTACCTTCTCGTGCTCTCCCTTTTGAACCTCGCGCTCAAGAACTCGTGTCCGTTGTGGTTTGTCAAAGCCAGCTACTTTGAGAATCTGGGTCGCGTTAAGCCACGAGTCGGACCGTCGCTTCATCACTGCGACGCCCTTGCACATCCTAACCGTGTCAATCCTCGAAAATTTACGCGTAGAAAACAACCAACATCTCATACACAGGAATACCACTGTAAGTGGCCTGCAAGATGATCAGAAATGTGAGCTATTGAGGCTGCAGGAGCTCGCCTTGAAGATCTGATGGTCTGGCATTTCGAGCTCTTTGTAGAGTCGCGTATTCGACCTTTGGGCTGCCGAATGAGAAGAATTTCTCGTGCGGCACCTGGACAACAAGGCCTAGGAGAGAATATGATGTCGGGGTTACAGTGACGCGTGACAGGCATTCCCCAAGTTCGCGTCAGTCAGCCAAATACTACTTATTATTAGTCTTATAGTCGCCATGCGGATTTCACCAAAGCCATTGATTCTACTTATTTGATATGAGAAAGCGAATAGCATTCACGAATCCAAGTCAATAGCTGAAAAGCTTAGGTTCTGAAATTCATCTAGAAACTCGATGCCATTGGGGTCATGACGCAATGAGTCGTCTGTGTGGTTTGGACGGGCGCTGGATGGTGCTTTAGTGGTCCCTGATTCATTATCTCGACGTGTAATGGCTGGCAGAAAGTCGAGAAGGGGACGTAGAATCGATTCGCAGTCATATTGCCTGCACAAGGCAACACCTCTGTCGAATGGAATCCAAATTCCTGTGGACGATTTGACTGGTGAAGAGGTAAATAGCTACACCCACACACCTTGATATTTGCCGTAACCATCTTCCACATTCTCATACTCCCCCTTGTCGATTTCGCACTCAAGTATGTGTGTTCTGTCAGCCTTATCGAAACCAGCCACTTTGAGGATCTGAGTCGCGTTAAGCCACGAGTCGGACCGCCGCTTCATTACTGCGACATGCTTGCACATCCTAAACTTGTTACATAATTGCTCATAGAAGAAGAAAACCCACATTTCGTATACCGGGACGCCACTGTACATGGCCTAGGACATGATAAAAAAAACCGTAAGATTCGAGGAGCTCACATTGAAGATTTTATGGTCTGGCATCTCGAACCCTTTGTCGAGTCGCGTATTTGACCTTTAGGCTTGTTTGGGGGGGAGGCACCTGGAGGCAGGACGACAAGGAGAGAATCTGACGCATGGCATAACCTTGAATCAGTTCCGCGCCCGCGCCGTTGAAGTACTCGCCATAGCGGCAACATCAAGAGCGACTGTATTGAACATCCAGTAGCTGCATTTCTGAGGCGTTAGTCAGCCACATAGTGCAAGTGGCATTCCAAGGATCATCAAGCTGAAAAGCGTAGTCTCGATGGCGATGGGTCATTTGTACGGTTTGGAGAAGCAGCAGTACCGGCGCTTGATGCCGCTTAATGGTTCTTGATTCATTATCTCGACTTTGAACAGCTGGCACAAGGACGCAGAATCGATTCACAGTGATATTGCCTGCACAGTACAATGCCTTTGTCGAATGGCCTGTGGACGATTTATTAAGGAGGCAAATAGATGAACTTACACCCTTCTCATACTCCCCTTTCTCGATTTCGTGTTCGAGGATGTGTGTTCTGTCAGCCTTATTTAAGAGTCGCGTTAAGCCATGAGTCGGACTGTCGCTTCATCACCAGAACAATCCTAAGCGCGTCAATGCTCACTATCTACTCGTAGAAGAAGAAAACTCGCATTTCATACATGAGTACACCACTGTACTCGGCCTTGGACTTTAATTGTCTTGTCGTGAGATTGGAGGACTCACACCGAAGATCCTATGGTTTGGCACCTCAAGCTCTTTGTTGAGTCACGTATTTGACTTAGGGGTGTTTTATGAGAAGAGAGTTCATTCATTGGTTGGGGGGAGGAGGGAACCTGGACGACAAGGTGAAGGAACGATGTTGGCGTGACGCATGTGACAGACAGCTTATTCTCAACCAGAATCAGTTCGGCGCGCCGTTGACGCCTGTGAGGCCTTCTACTCAACTATGCCACCAAAGTGTGATCCTTTATGCCGCTTTGGGGAACGGTAGCTACATTATGTGTCGCGTTATTCTTCTGCCTTACTCGCAATAGCCTGTTCTTCACCACCTTCCCCCAGCACCCTGCCCCCAATCCAACAGTCATCAACAGGCTTGCCGCGGAGCCCAGCCATCGCCCACGTGTTCGTACGCGTCCAAGAGATGCAGAAACCGCAGCGGCCGACGATACAGCCACCTACTACTATTTCACGATAGACGACCAACTTCTTTATCTCTCGTTCTTCGAGGACTGGGGGCCACTCAACATTGCCATGGTCTACAAAGCCTGCATCCTTATCCATGAACTCCTCGAGGTCCGTGCGTGGTTGCTCTCTTGCCCCTGCTCACGTGTTTTGTAGGACAAGGACCTCGCGCCTCATCGACTTGTGTTGTATTCGTCAAATGACCCAAAGCGCAAAGCAAACGCGGGTTTACTTCTTGCCTTGTTCGTCGTGAGTTTCGCGTCTTTAGTTTGATGATCTGCTCAGACCCACTTCTATCAGATGATCGTGCAGCGTCGTGCCCCTTGGGAAGCATTTCACCCGATAGCGGAAATCGAATTCATGCCTTTTCGCGACGCCGGCCGTGGTCCGTCAGACTTTGACTTGGGTATACAGGACTGTTTGTGGGGAGTTTGGAAGGCGATGCAGCATGGGCTTTGCGACATGAATGAATTCAGCGTCGAAGACTATGAATACTACGAAAAAGTGGAGAATGGTGACTGGAACTGGGTAACACCCCATTTCATTGCTTTCGCGTCTCCCGTCGACACTGCGTGGATCAAGAGAGAGAAGGAGGCAAAGGAAAGTGGCAAGACAAACGGCGAGCTTGCGTCCTCCACCAACAGCAAACTGGCTCTCCAGCGAAAGCTGCCTACGCCTTTCCTAAACTGCCTAGATTACTTCGACAAACGCGGCGTCAGGCTTGTCGTCCGTTTGAACACGGAATTATATGACCGTGGCACATTCCTCGATCGCGGGATTGACCATATGGAACTATATTTCGACGACGGAACAAATCCAACAGACGAAATTGTCCGAACGTTTTTAGATGTCGCGGACCCGGTGATTGAACGCGGAGGAGTTGTGGCAGTTCATGTAGGTCTCCTTAGCAATGGGGTTCGTTTTGTCTGATCCCATCAAAAGTGCAAAGCTGGTCTTGGTCGAACTGGAACTCTTATCGGCGCTTATCTCATCTGGAAATATGGATTTACTGCCAATGAAGCAATCGCTTTTATGCGAATCGTGCGACCGGGTTGCGTTGTTGGGCCTCAACAGCAGTACCTCTATCTGAAGCAGATGGAGTGGTGTAAATGGGCAGCTGCAGACGAGATGAAGAAGCAACAAGCGGCCACCACCAGTGTCTCGACTGCGCCTGTTGTCACCCCTGCTACTCCTCCAGCGGACGACGATGAACCTCTTCGCATGGATGTTACCCCACCGGCATCACCCATACACCCCGCCCCCGTCACTCCCAGTCGACATATTGCTGCTGCCCAAGCTCAAGCAAAAGCCATCGCGACACCGGGCCAGCCACGCAAGACTCCCACCACCAAGCGGACCCTGGAATTCGATTCCGACGAGGAAGACGAATCCCAGGACGTATTGCCAGCCTTGGATTTGCGACCTGAGACGACCCGGGTCAAGACCAAGCCCCCGAAAACAATCACCTCGTCAGAATCGCGACCATCACGTGTCACACGATCGACAGCCGGAGCCGCCAACATCCGCAAAGCCGGAACCGGTGACACACGAGCATCGCCGGTTAAAGCTACCCAAGGCCCGAATAAGATACCGAGACTGGCGACAACTAAGACTACCGCGGCTGCAAAAGCTGCTGTAGCCGCCCTCGGGACCAAAACGACCTCACGCAGACTAAATCCAACGCCAACTCCGTCAGGGATTCCATCCAGACTGCCAACATTAGCTGGCAAACGAGCAGCACCCCAAACCTCCGCTTCATTGGAAGACGTTGTTACTGCGACTATCAACAAGGGAACTCCAGCTGCTGAGCGCTCAGATACGTGGATGAAAGCCCACGCTTCAGCGGTTGTTGTTCCCGCCTCCAAGTCCACTCGACCGGGACTGCGGCCCGTCCGCAAACGCAGAAGTAGTTTTAGCGCGGCAGACATCATTGCATAAGCTAAGTTAATTCTTTCCCCAACACAACCGGAATTCGCTATCGAACTCGCTCTATTTTGCATGCTGTATCTACCCACTCAACACCCACAACTCCCCACCTTACCAACTAGCCTTGCTATCTGTATTCTCTACTACTACATGTCTCGTTGAATTACGTCCGCGCCGAGTACTTGTGAACACACTCAAAGAACCAGCGAAGGTCCTCTGGGTCAACGCCAGGAGTGATTCCATGGCCTAGATTTGCTATCCATGCTCGACAGCCACCGTTTGCGGTGAAGCCATCGCACATGCGCTTGACTGTGGCCTCTATGGCCTCTCGTCCGCCGTAAAGCACGCCCGGGTCCATATTACCCTGGAGGGCGACCTTGTCGTTAACAAGACGGCGAGCTTCTAACGGGTCGACAAGCCAGTCCAGACCCAGCGTATCGTAGCCAGAAGACTCGGCAAGAGATGCAAGAGCGTAATTGGCACCTTTGGCGAACAGAGTCATCGGAACTCTGTCAGCCCCCAATCGTTCTCGTACGCCACGAGCGATATATTCCAGACTCGGGCGGGAAAAGGTGTCAAAGTCATGAGGGGAGAGCTCGCCAGCCCATGAATCGAACACTTGGAGGAGCTGCGAAGGGAAGATTAAGAATAACAGGTAAGTGAGAAGGGTTGTGACTAACTTGAGCTCCGGCTTTGACCTGGCCCACCAAGAAATCGATGCAGACATCGGCAATGCGTATGAGAAGGGCTTTCGACTCTTCTGGATACTTGAATATCCATGTCTTCACCTTTTGGAAGGTCTTGCTTCCACCACCTTCGACCATATACGCGAACAACGTCCAAGGAGCACCACAGAAGCCGATAAGCGGGACTTCCCCCGCCAAAGCAATACGTGTCTGCGTTAGTGCTTCGAAAACGTAGCCCAGTTCCTTGTTGACATCGACAACGTCGCGAAGCTTGGCAATATCGGCTGGGGTGGATAATGGGTCAGGAAACTCGGGACCCGGGTTCATCAGGACTTCCATGCCCATCGCTTGTGGAATAACGAGGATGTCAGAGAAAATAATGGCAGCATCCAAGAGCCCCGTATATCGGCGAATGGGTTGGACGGTGATCTCTGTCGCAAGCGCTGGAGTCCGACAGATGTCGAAGAATTCATGCGTTTTGCGGACCTCACGGAATTCTGAACAGAGTGTTACGCGTTTACGAAAGAGTAGAAGAGAACTGGACCTGGTAGGTACCGCCCAGCTTGCCTCATTACCCATACCGGGGCGCGTTCTGTCTTCTCACCTGAACAGAGCGATTTTCAGTGAAAGTTGGGCCATCGAGGACCACAGAGGCGAACCACGAGCAGCACGCAGCAATAGATCGTTCTTCAGTGGTGGAAACCCCATTCTCGTGGTGGTGGTATTGGGTAAAGAGTGGCCGGATGATAACTCCCAGAGTGAGATCTTTAGGGTGTGACATGCCGATCTCTGACCCCGACCAGCTTGTTGCGGCGTTCAAGAATTCTGGCGAGTTCGACAAGCTTCGTAGGGAGCTTCTTGCCAATGCACAGAATTCTGTTGGTCGACACACTACTGAATGAGATAAAACTGAGTCATCTTTTGAGGATGGATATGAAGCATTCAAGGCACGACTGGCGGACATAGTCAAGCAACGACTGCAGTCTGGTCAATTAGACTCGAATGACAACCTTCACAAGGAACTCATACAAGAAGTGAACCGGTTTGTAGCCTCTTGCGCTTATTTAAATCAGCACACAACGATCCCCTTCCGCAGTTTTCCGGTCGTTGACCGATTCGCCTCAGAGACAACTACCGGCATGCTTGCGTCAAACTCCTTCAATGATAACCTTCGCTCGGCCCTGGAACGTATTCTTCGTGAAGACCAACAAAAGGAATCGGTCGCTCTTCCTCCACCAAGTTCACAACCATCAGCTCCCAACGATTCTTAGTGTGCCTGGTTTGTGGGTATATAGTCTGTGCATTCTATACCAATCAGCACTTTAGGATACAAGCAAGACATAGCGATAATTAGCCCGACACAAGAAGAAATATCGATAGCACCCGCTACTCGCCCTGAATAAGCTGAATCGCCTTTTCCGACCGTGGCTCAATGTTGCAGGGGAACGCCACCTGATGACTAATAGTTCCCGTTGTGCATCGGTGAACTGGGGTGACAGGCTGCCCATTCTCGACGCATTTCGAGATGTTGAAGACAGCGAGCGTCGTTGCGATCGAGATGAATAATGACGCGTCAGCCAGATGCATACCAGGACAAATACTAAGACCAACGTCAACTAAGCAGTGGACAAGGACTAGATGTCATACCGACGACCGAATCCCCAGCAAAGGTTGTCTGGGTCTGGTTCTGCTGGAGTCTTTTCCGTTGAGAGGAATCGATCAGGATTGTAAGTCAATGGGTCTTTGTACGTCCTTGAATCGTGTGCTAGGCGATGGATGTTGGCAATGACCAAAGCACCTTTCGGAATCAGGTAACCCTCGTAAATATCGTCCCGCATTGCTCGGTGAACGACCCCTGCTTAACGTGAATCAACACGACAGGATACGTCTATCAACTGACCTGTAGGAACAACACTATGCCAACGAAGGACCTATACCCAAGGATTTCCGTCACCTTGACCCTCCAGGAACGATACGACATAACTCACCTCCTTCACCAATGCTTCCACATAAGGGAGATCTTCACGGTCCGCAAACGTCGGCAGCCTGTCACTACCGATAACACTGTCGATCTCTTGTTGGGCTTTGGCCTGAACTTGGGGGTGGAGAGTCATCGCAAGGAAAAATGCATAAATGGCGGAAACTATCTGGAACAAACGACGTAAACGAGTTGGTCCGCCTCCCGAATAGGACTAGACCTACCGTGTCAGCGCCGCCTGGAGAAAAAATGTGGATCAGGAAGAGCGGGTAGAAAAGAGAGCCGCATTTACCGCTGTACAGCGACGCGGAGGCCCACTTGATGTCAAACTCTTCTTCCGCCGAGATCTCTTTCGGTTCCAGCAACTTGGATGTGAATGAGATGGGAGCAACGCCAGCGGCCTTGAAGTTTCGTTTTATGCTCAGAGTTATCGGAATCAACGGAGGATCGACTTACTAACTGACGCTTCACGAAGGCGTGAGGTTGTTCGACCAGCTGATTCAATGTCGCCGACCATGCATTCGCCTTGATGCGCCAACCGACGGGAGCCCAGCGAGGGAGGTGGCGCACTATTGAGGGTAGTAAGAGTTGGTTATAATCAAGGAGAAAGACTTACAAGCTGGAAGGATGTCCACCATAAAGGCACCTGGAGCGGTAGCGAGCGAGAACTGCTCCGTTGCTTGCTCGGCAAGTTGCACAAAAGGATCATTGTTTTCCTTAACTTCGTAGCCATGCGAAATACGAAGGATATTCGCCCCCGCAGTCCTGATTAGCAGCCGTTATTAAGCTCGTTTAGCAAAAGCTCCAAACTCACCTGCGAATATGTTTTAATACATCCTTTGGTTTGGCCAGGAGGAATCGGAGGAACCGATTTGCCTCTGTCTCTTGAACGGGGTGAAACTGGTGCATGAGGTGTCGACTGCCAATTGTCTGATGAAAGAGACGTCGAAAGCGGCGGAGGCGGTCGCCATAAGGTAGCAAGACAAGCGTGTTTTTCCATCCAACAAGTTCCCCGCCTAGCCAACCTCCTCAGTAAACAGAATCTGAGAAGTTTCGCCAAGAGGTTACCCATAGGCAATGTCGGCCGGTCTGAGTAGATGGCGCTGCGCTTGTCTAAGAGGTCCATCGCGACTCGAGTACTACCCAGAATGACTATCGTCTTCCCAAGCACAGTGACACTAGATATATCGCCTATGCAAGGTTTAAATCAGGAGTTAGAATGTTTCTAGCGTACCATAAGCGTCAGACCATGTAGAAAAGGTCTCCCATTCCTGCTCTGCTGGCATATCCAGAATGTTCCCGACAATGGGAAGGCCCTTTGGTCTGTATCGACGCGTAAATAGTGGAAGAATGGCGGGAAAGGGGAGAGGAAGACAGACCCAGGCGGCAGCGGGTAGAATTTTTGACGCGTTAACAAGCGTTTGAGGAGTACAAACACACAGAGAACCGCAAAGACATCAAGGGCAAGGATAAGCATGGGTGGCGGAGAGAGTCGAGAGAAGGATTTGCGACTTGAGGGGGCGTGGCCTCAAGATTTTATGGCAGAACGCGACCATTTTTGCTAGGCCGATGATGGTTCTTGGCCAACCCGCGGTTATCGCCGCACGAGGGCTGTTAATCTCGATCTTGTTTGGACGGACTAACGTAAGCGGACCTAACGGGCAGCAAAACTACTTCGATGGAAAGAGAAGTCGTCCACGTTGACCGTATGTCAGCATGAGGCCAACGCGTCGTAAAAATACAAGAAAAATGAAAATTCCGTCCCAATTGTCATGAGTCTACTTCCTGCGCCGAATGGCATGACCTCTGAATCAGGTTGGGCATTAACACACATAGGCCCATCAACACAACGGATGACCAACCTCAGAATGCTTTCCTCCTCCATCGACCTCGCGCGTCGTCTGAATTTTAATGGAAATCGTGCGTTGCTGCTGTCAAATGGTGAACAGATGCTTCACTTGCAACGTGGACCCAAACCTGGGGAGAGCTCAGCTTGCGAGGGACGACTTTGGAAATGGTCTGAAGTGAAAACGTGATGTCATCAGGGTCGTCGGCAAGGAGATCCTAAGCTACATTCAGAGGATGCTTCGTTGGAGGGCGTGGGGTCGGCCCTTACCTTTCTCGCGTTGAGGGTAGCAAGAACAGAGTTGAAGTAGACTATTTGACCGATCAGCAGACAGTTGATTGATATGGGACCGGTACATACGGCGACCAAGACTGAAATAGAAAGCGACGTAGATGAGGGTGTCGCCCCAGAGTACTATCTGAAGTTGCGGGTTGATGTTTTATTCGGAGATATTTGTCAAAATATCAACTCACGGACACCAGCGACGCGATTGCGCAGAGTGTTGTCAACAACCCGGTGCTAACCGAAAAGACGATGAGTTTGCTAATCATCATGTCGCTCCTGGAAACACCGGCATTGAAGTTTGAGCCGGATTTCGCAAGCGTACATACTTTCTGAATCCAGTGCGAGAACGGCGGAGGTAGAATACCAGAGCCAAGGCGATGACAAAGTCGCTCATGGCTCCAAGAACGTTGACGGTCATCGAAAGTGGCTGAAGGATGGGTCAGAGCAATTCAAAAAAGCAACAGATCTCGCCCCATACCTTAAGCTGCTCAAGATCTTTCCACGTCTTGAGTTTCATGCTAAGGTAACCATCGGTATTTGGACTGGAACAGAAGAACGACTGACGACTGAACGGTGAAGACTGTGTGATATGGAATGTTAAGTCTGTAGCCGGGATGTATCATGTGGAAAGTTTACCAACAGAGCACCCTGTAAGGAGAGGTGTGAGTTTGGCGCTAGCAGTCGAAGGAAGACAACGAACCGAACTCGGCTAACACAAGGGACCCAGCGAAGATGGTCAGGACGAGGTTCCGGTTGGACACTACGTGGCCTTGAGTGAAGCGACGAAGGATAGAAACTTGGTCGCACATCGCCAGACCCGCATGATCAAAAAGCTTTGGAACGATTATTCGCGCAATAACAGCGAGAAACGCGGCCTACCTCTGCACGATGAGCCCGATTAGACCCTTGACGGATGAATAGTTAGCAAAACAGAGCGATAGAGCGGCAATGGTGCTGTACATTGAAGAGGACTTCCAGCTAAGCAGGGGTTAGTTGAGCGAAAATGAATGAAATAGCGGGGGGACAACACTGACCAAGATACTCCAAACGAGCATGGAAAGAGCATCAGGGTTGTTAAAATTCGTCACGCAGTACCAGTAAACCGTATGGGAGATGAGGGCTTGGTGAATAGTATCGAATCCAAGGCAAATGAGCACCAACGCCTTGATGTACCTGGTCAAAGGTGAACGAGTGGTGGTCGCCACAGACAAAAGAAAGCCTACCAAATATCTGTGGTGCCATATCTGTTGAAGTAAAACCAAGTCTGCACGCAAGAAACTGCGCAATCGTATTGTTAGTTCAAGGCCAATCACTGGGCAAATGACGCGTACCTCCATATAGGGCCGCAGCAGCCACAACGCCCACAAAGCTGCAACCGATGGTATTTCCTAGCGTCATGGAGTTTCAAGGAAGACGGCAGGCGACAAGCAGGGAATAGGAAAGGGGATACTTTAAGAATCCCACCAAGCTCGAACAGAAGCCGGCATTCGTAATCGCCAGAAGGCGTCGCGTGAGCAGAGAGCTGCGTGGCGAGAAAGGAAAGGTCGATGGAACCATGAAGGCAACCATAATCAGTTATTAGGGCAAAGAAAAGTAAAGGCAGGTAAGCTTTGAGGTGGTTGCCGTCGATCCTCAACTTGCCAAACATCACGCACATGATTTGCGGTATGTCAATGGGAAACTTGTCGATGATAGAACTTACTCCTTCTTTCAACCTCCACTCAGCGAGTGGACCTTTCTTCAAGCTGGCTGTTTTCGTTCCACTACACCGTCGTTTTTGATTTCGCATGGCCTCCGTCAACATCGTGAAGGGAACCAAAGAGCAACTCGTCGCTTTCCTGGTCCTCAATCTATGGCCTTCTCACTTTGGATTACCTCTCCTTCTCGCTACGATCCTGCTTTCCAGGAAGGTTCATCGGCACCCGACATTCATCAATCTCTGTACTGGCTTTATTCTCGTTGGAGTGTGCGTGGCCGTCGTTTTCGGCTCAATGCCCACGATTGACCAACCTTTAGTGCATCTTGTTTGCTGTAGGCTTGCTCTGATGCCCTTCTACCAGCTAAGCTATCTGTAGCCTCTATGCAGGTAAAACCACCGGACCAGAACCCTCGAAAGAGCTATGTTTGTTCCAGGCCTCGATTCTCTACGGCTTCCCGGCATTGTTAGTCCGCGATTTGGTCCGAATCATACTCTCAACTCCACTAGCGCATCTCTTTTGGGCTTTATGCTCGTCTTGCAGGTGAGTTGACGAACTCTAAACTCGTCACAAGCTTGATCCACTGTTCAATAGATGTTCCTTGTGGTGCGAGCATCTGCCCAAAAGCAAGTTATACGAGGTCCCCAAGCACTGCGGTTATGGATCGTACGAAACCACATCAAGACCTAGACGGCACATACTTATTTGAGTTCAGATGTTGGCGACCCCATATCTTGCGCTCTTGATCAGTATGGCTGCTACCATTGCGGTGAGCACATGATAACGCTACACGAGCTGTCCATGACACAGCCAAGGTTGGGGTTGCCCGTCCAGAGAGTGTATCGCGCGATCGTCGTTTTTTCTATTGCTCAGTTGATTCAGGCATCCTGTGAGTTCTTCTTGCCAAAATCACTCGACTAAAGCTGCTTAAGCTCTGGGACACTTGCTGCTGCTGGAGCCTTAGTTCTTATTGCAACCCTCGCCCTTGAAAGTACGTGCTTCAATTTCTCCCTGTTGTCTATTTTTATTGTTCAAGTTTGGACCCTGGTCATCCTTTTCAAGAACCACAAGGTCAATCAAGGGGTGCTCGAGCTCAGCTTGCCTATTCGCGTCATGGCATTCGGTCTCTACGTTATTATCGCGATCAGGTCAGTGGGATCAAACGACATCGACATGACTGCTGAATATGTTAGTCTGAGTCTCCTCAGTGTAACCTCACCCGAAAGTCCCATTCCTGATTTAGTGATTGCGTCGGGTGCGTGCAACGGTTGTCGCTCCCAACCCAGACCTCATCTTTGCTATAGCTGCAACCGTCATCATCTTGATCTTCGGTACTCAGCGCGTGAGGATCATCCCTCTATCGGTCTGGTCACAACTCATTCAACGTAGGATATTTTACGAGCACTTTGCTTCTGGCACAAAGAACCTCAACTCAAGTTCAACCAGCTCAGCTCTGCTCCAGTCACAGGCAGTCACGTGTCGCAAAAATCCAAAGTTTCCGAATCGGTATAGTTCTGGTGGAATGTAATAACCTTTGTCATATTTTTATTCGCTTCTATGTATTGATACGCCCAAATTCGGAATGAAGGATTCGTTGCAGCTTGGAGGACCCGTTCGGATTGGAGGACCCGTTCGGAGGAGACAAGTGCTGCCTTGAATAAACCAGTCGGAACTTGATGACGGAACCAATTCACCGCTTTAAAGTAGAAGCAGCTTCTTGCTCCAATGGTGGAGAGAACGGAGAGGGTTAATACAACGGTTAGACGGCTCGAATACTTACTCGAAGTTGGTGGCCACAGAGCGGCAGAGACTTTGCAACGACTGAAGATTTGGTCAGAGATTATTGATGTACGTTCTGTTCCTGATGACGACATCGGTAAGATCGTTGAATTACGCTGCGTTAATTCGCAACTTAGAGGTAGCATGAGCGTTGTGCAGTGAATTTCCAAGGAGTCTCGGCCGACGGAGCGTTTATCAGAGCAGTGGGACTCGCGGAGAAGGCACGAACAAAATGTGGGGAGGGAGAAGCCATTGCAGACACATTGAGGTGGAGTGGGAAAGAGATAATGACAAGGCACGAGGCTGATGACAGATGCTGATTAAGCCACGAGAAAAAAATTGGGGAGACATAGTGGCAGCTCAGGGTGCGTATACTGGCTGCAGCAAGACATGGCTGCCTACTCCTCGAAGGAGATGAAGAACGAGTGCTCGTTGAACCATTTTTCACGACTCGCATCATTTTTTTCGTATCAATAGCAGCTACGTCACGAAGGTAACAGACGTGACAACGTCGTCATCCTTTGCCCTCTGACATCACCTCACAGAGAGAATGCCTAGCCCTCCGTCTTCCGCCCTCAACGGTAGTGTTGAACGCAATGGACGACCTTCACAGCCAACCGACACCAGACCCCCAGCTCGTCGAGCAGACCATAACTCGGAGCACAATCCCTTCGAAGTTAGTTTTGGCGCCCCAAGCAACCCACGCAAGTCGACTCCCCCCAGCGACCATGAAGCAGACAAGAAATCGAAACCAATTGACCGCCGCACCTCGTCTTCACCACGTCCAACGCTACCACCACTAGCCTCTCTGGCCTCACCCGCAGACCAGTCTACCTATTCCTGGTCGTATCTAAACAATTCCCTGCGATCTGGGCCACTCTCTCCAGCAATGCTCGCGGGTCCACAGAACAATGATGGCCCAAATCATATACAGTTTGACCCCACCTCGTTCCGCACAGGTCTCACTCCAAGAACCGGCCTTACTCCACGAACTGGTCTGACCCCAGGATCTGGTCTTACTCCAATCGTTGGCGGTCCTTCCGCTTTCCCTCCCACACCAGGCACCGCAGCTTTTATGGCCGCCATGACACCCAATACTATCAATGCCATCAATGGTGTTCTCAACGGTGGTTATCAGCCCCAGGATGCGCCGTCACAGAACCATGAATACTCTTCCAATGCAGCCACGAGCAATGCGGCAAATGGCTTGTTCCTTCTCTCCCAAGCTCATCAGGAACTCACAAAACGTGAAGAGGCTGCTCGCGGCAATGGGACGGTTGATGCCGCAACCATGAACCCTCCTCCACCCGCCAAACGAGGGACAAAGCGAAAAAACTCTTCCGTCACATCCGAAGTAACCCCGCCCCCGCCCCCTCCTGCTCAACCCCCAAAGAAGCGTGGTCGGGCTGCTTCCAACGGCAGGTCTCTAAAAGAAATATCGGAGGACGACGATGACGACGACGAAGATTTGGAAATGATGGAGGAAGAGCCTGTTCGTACTGTGCCAGGGCGCTCACGACAGAAAAAACCAGAAACTGAGGAGGAAAAGCGCAAGAATTTCCTGGAGCGCAACAGGCAAGGTAACTTAGACATTTGGGTTGCTCTTCTCTGTTTCTCATTTTGTTTCAGCCGCCCTCAAATGTCGTCAGCGCAAGAAGGCCTGGCTCCAATCACTGCAAACCAAAGTCGAATTCCTCCAAAACGAGAACGAGCGGTTAACGTTGCAATTGGTCGCGTCTCGGGAGGAGATTTCGCGACTAGGCGCACTGGTTGGCGCTGCCGCTGCTGGGCCCCAACCGAACGGCCCACCAGTTAGCGTCAATGTTTCAGTACCCAAAGTCCCAGTCGCTGCTACCAATGGTCGCGGCGGCGGTGGGTATGGGTATTGAGTTCCTGTTTCCCCTCCCTTTCTTGCGGCCAAAACACGATTTCGCCGTTTTACCTCGCATTCCCACCATCGCATTCACCCAAAACGGGGCTACGGACACAGCTCGCATTAGTATATATCGTATATGTATCCCCTATTCCCTCCTCGTTTCGTTTTCCTTTCGCTGTTGTTTTTCTTTTCGGCCGTGTTTGGGAGGATTAGATGTGGGGTAGCTGGCCTCATATGATGGTTGTGTGTACGTTGAATAGTGTCGAATACATGAAGCTCGCGGCATCAACTCTGTGAGAAAGTAAATCTGATGCCATCAGACCAGTTGGTTGACATCCTCCCGAATGCATGACCTCTTGTGGATAACCCGCAACTCGATAATTATGACAAGAAGCCTCTTCAACTCCGCCATCAACTCTTATTAACTCTCAGTCTCTCACCACCACAATCTTCCTTGAAACGATGCCCATCCAGTATCATATACCTGACCTTCTTGAACTCGTGTCACCCTACGTCAAACCGCTCAACCCCCGCTTTTGATGAGCTCAATGCGAATTTCTTGCGGTGGGTTGACGCCGCAGGCTTTCTCAGCGAACGACACAAGCGGGTGCATCCACATTGCATCTTTTGGGGGTGAAAAGCTTACCATAAACTTTCCAAGGCATGGAAACATGCAGAACTTCCGCTGTTGATTGCCCGCGTGTTTCCGGAAGCCAGCGGGGCACATCTGCAGACTTGCCTCGAATCCATGATGATGTTTCTTATCCTGGAGCAACTGACGTGAGCACACATCGATACCGTTCAAAAGAGAACTAACCCCTTTGTTCAGTGACACGCCTGCTACCGTAGAAACATCGCGCAAATGGGCTGCGGAGTTTGTTGACGCGATTCAGAATGTCGATGCGCCAAAGGTCACCAAGGAAGGGCCGGCAGCCATTCTACAACAGTGGGTCCTTGACTTCTTGCGTCATCATGTCTCGCTAAGTTTTGTGTCAGCTTGGGGTCCAAAGTAATTGCGGCCATTGATCCACCTTATCGAGCAGGGTATATCGCGAGCAACCTCCTTCTTGCGGAGGGTGTAGTCCAAGAAGCGATTGACCGAGAAGACGGTGCTTTGCAGACATCTCTGACTAGCTATATTCAAACTCGGCGGAAATCCATTGGCGCGCTACCCTTCCACTATCTTGATTTGTGGATCTGGCAGCTAGAGATACCTGAACCAGTCTCAAATCACCCTCACATTCAAACAATGGTGGACGCAGCTGTTGACCTCGTTGGACTGGGTAACGTTCGTGCTCTTCTTTATTCATCAAGCCGTCATGCGATCTGACTATTCCTCCTTGATGTAGGACATTTATTCTTACCGAAAGGAATACCTGGAAGATGGCGCTAAGCATAACTTTGTCACGGTCGCGATGAATGACCCTAGTACTGGGATTCAGGCGGGAGACATACCCACAGCGATGAACTTCGCCGTTGATCAGTTCAAAACCACCCTGGCCCGTGTTGAACAGCTGAAGAACTCACTCCCATCGTTTGACGAGCACCCTGGCCTGGGGCCGACTCTTGACCGTTATGTGGAACTCATGATGGATTCTGTGACAGGCAACATTGAATGGAGCGTGGCCTGCAAGAGGTACTCTCTCTTCGAAGATGTCGAGACGCGCAAGAAAGGATACGTCACCATACCCTCCTGAATTTCTTCGTATGCACTGGATGATGATGATAATTCAAGGTGTAAAGAAGTACATTTGTGGTCAACGCTTGACTCTTGATGATTAGGGCGATATTAAAAATTTATGAGGTTGGTCAGACACAAGTAATCATAGCTGATCGCGATGCCAGCTGCGGAGAAGAGTTAGCAGACGGCAACCCAACAAACTACGACATCACATTTGTGGGAACTTGTGGTTGATTTCGACCATTTTAACGCCCTCGTTCGGTTTGATGCGGTTCCAGGGCTCGGGATTGGTCTTCGACCATTGGACTGGATAGGGATGGGTATGCGATACGGACTGCCAGAGAAGGGGTCCACGTACTGCTGGGACCCATCGCGCTTCGATATGTGAAGTAACTGGCGAAGGAGACCATTCCAGTGACGAGAGCCACTCTGGTGAGCACGTGAGAAATGCGGTAAAATGTGGGTATCCTTTGTCTTACATTGGAAGCGCCTCCACTGCCATCCATGGCTTCATTGTGGGTCTGATTCGGAGACTAGCAGGCATGTTGTGTGTAAGAGTGGGTGAGATTGGTAGAACAGGTTTGTTGGAGTTGGACGAGATCCTCTAGATGCATTTTATACGAGCTGTATGTCGGGGCAGGACGGACACGGAGTCGATCCAGCGTGTTCTGGACGATGACCCAGAGACTGATCAATATTGATTGATCTATTGATGGACCAGACCGCCTAGCCTTGGCCGTGTCTCGACCTCTGCGGACAGATAAATTGCAGCTAAAACTTGTCGAGCCAAATGTTGTGGTCGCCTTGTGGATGAATGAAGTCACTACTTCGAGCCTAGACCGCCAGTTATTGCATTTGAAGCTTGGGCCAAAACGCCACGAGTACCTCCACCAGCCTCGACATAGTCTCGAGGAAGTTGGCAGTACAGTAAGTTTAACTTGTTCAAGATCCTTGGCCTCAGCACATGATGACCGAATGACCCCGCAGTCATCAGGCGCAACAGATGCGGGGAAAGCATTTGACGTCAGCTGAGCCGGATTCGGTCGAGTGATCAAGTTTTATATACGGTTCTTGCTCTCAACCTCTATCAAGCCATGCCTTCAATATCCGCCCACAACACTCCAGATGCTCAGCGCATCTTCGACGAAATCCACCACGCATTCGAGCTTTCCAGCGAATCTCTTATTCAACTCACTGGCCAGTTCTTGCATGAATTCAAGGTCGGATTGAGTGGGTACAACCATGCTATGGCCATGATGTGAGTGGAATCGATACTCTCCGACCTTATATGAACATATCGCAGCCCTTCCTTCGTTACCGGAGTGCCCGATGGCACAGAAACCGGGTCAGTCAGCTCTACTTCTCTTAGATGTCTGGTTCTCATTCGATCTCAGGACTTTCCTGGCATTGGATCTTGGTGGAACGAACATGTAAGACTACCGCATATACTACTTGAACCCCTCCAGCTAAGGGTGCATCAGGCGCGTCTGTGAGGTTGTCTTGAAGGGCGACACAACCTTCAGCCTTCGCCAGCAAAAGTACAAAGTTTCTGACGCGCTCAAAACGGGGGAGGCAGCCGTTCTGTTCGGTGCGCTACTCAGACGTTTACGTTCCGCGTCTTTCTCATTCATTCTGTCTGTAGATTACCTCGCAGACTCAGTTGATGCTTTCCTGACATCAAATCCGCCAAGCGACGCTCCCGGATCTCATGAACTTGAGTCCACACCTGATGTTGTCCATCTTGGGCTAACCTTCTCATTTCCCGTCGAGCAAACCGCCCTCAACTCAGGCAAAATTCTCACCTGGACCAAGGGATTCTCGGCCAAGCATGCGATCGGTAACGATGTGGTCAAATTATTACAAGACGCGTTCGACAGGAAGCATATGCATGTGAAGTGTGTGGCCCTGGTTAACGACGTGAGTCTTGCTTGTTCCTTGTCCCCGTTTAACACCGCTTATGGATGAAGACGGTCGGTGCCCTTCTGTCTCGTGCTTATACTGCTGGCGGTTGCACACTTGGAGCAATATTCGGGACCGGTACGAATGGTGCCTATGTCGAAGACATCGGTGCGATAGAACCGTCTGTTTACTACGAACTTTCCCCGCTCAGAATTCTTTGCCAGCAAACATCAAGAAGTTGGCCAACGATCCAGCGGCGGCAAATGGCGGCGTTATGATTGTCAACACCGAATGGGGTGCTTTCAACAACTCACGCTCGCATTTGCCGTCGACCCCCTTCGATAACGCGCTTGACCGCCTGAGCATAAACCCGAGCTTCCAGGCTTTTGAAAAAATGATCAGCGGCATGTATCTTGGTGCGTCTTATCTAATCGCCAGCACCAGATAATCAAACCCCTATCGTCTCAGGCGAAGTAACACGAAACATTCTTCTGTCTCTTGTTGATGCTGCCCCCAAATCGCTCCTGTTCGGTGGGAAGACCACAGCAGCCCTGAATGCACAATGGGGACTTGACACCAGCGTCATGAGCGCTGTAGAAGAAGCTTGGGAAGGCGGCGATGGGGAGGCAACACCCTGGCAAAATACTGCTCCTCAGCTATCTTTGTTCGAGGATGTCGAAAAACTAGATGCCAACGTCGCCACCCGTCTCAATCGTGTACGCGATGTCATTGCAAAGGAGCTTGGCTTCTCCGTAGATGCAGTCTCACTACGAGATGCTGAGGTAAGGTCCGGAGTTCTGTTCGGTCGCTCTTGCTGACGAGACTGCCAGATTGTCCGATGGGCATCATCGATGGTCGCCCGTCGTGCCGCCCTGTTGAGCGGAGTCGCAGTTGGCACTGTTCTTATCCAAACTGGACGTGGCGTTCTCTCTGGTCAAGAGGGGCAACCGACCAAGAATGAACCCAAGATCGGTGTTGGTGTCGATGGAAGGTTCGTTTGAGCATTTTACTATTTGCGGAGACACGCTTACGGTTCTCTCCAGTTTGATTCAGTTCTATCCACACTTTGAAGAGACCTTGCGGGAGTCTCTTCGTATCGTGGTTGGAGCTGATGTTGAAAAGCGGGTTGAAATCGGTCTGGCCAAGGACGGCAGTGGAGTCGGAGGTAAGGGACAACCTCGGTCATGTCTCTTTGCTCAAAGTCTCGTTTCTTTTTTCAGCTGCACTGTGCGCGTTACAAGCGGTTAAGCAAGCGTAAGATCTTACTAATTGTACCCAGTAAATGTAACATTTAAGGCTATGTATGACATAGATGTTGTTTGCGGTCATTATCCATTCACGTGGGTGAGATATTATTACAGCTACGTAGAGCTCGAAACTACTTGGAACTAAGAATAGATTCATATGCCTGGCTGACTTTGTTCCAGTTGAGGACACTCCAAAACTCGCGTAACCACGCTTCCTTCCCCCAAACCCCATATCCAGCTGATAGCCAGGCGTGTTCATGAACAGACACGCAAAAGAGAGGATACAATACCTCCCCAATATGTAAAGCTGCTGCAGTGCTTTTGGGTTTCACGACAAGTTCACGAGCGGCTTCGGTTGGCCCATGGATACTGGCCGGTTGGGCCATGAAGTTTGGCTTGTCCTCCTCGCTGGATTGTCGAAGCCGCGCACTTGTGTGCATGAATCGCATCTGGTAAGATGGTGCTGGTTTGGGAGGAGGAGGGGTTCGTTCGTTCTCTTCCTTTTCTAGTTCTGCCATTGCTTGCTGTGACTCGGCAGTGAGGATCGTTTTTGAGAGTAGTCTGGGGTTAATGAGGTCAGGTATCGTCCCTTTCCCGTCGACACCCCAGTTGGATAGGTATTTCCGAGTGAATTGCCTGGTGGGATCCCACGTATATGGGCTAGTTGATGGCTGGCGGTGCCATAGTGTTGGATGGTCTTCGGCCATGTAGGTGCGTGACCGCACGAGCAGGGTCCCGGGCCCGAAGGTGGGGATAACAGACGTGCTTCCATATTTGTCGGTAACAAACCAGACATAGCCAGACGTGAACATTCCCATCCCAGCAGCGGAGAAGGCGGATTTGAGCTGGTCGACGCCCCCGTGGTCTGAGCGGATCTGACGCGCCAGGTTGGTGGTGATGGCGTTTTCACTGGACATAACAGGGTCGGGAGTCTGGTCGCGAACGTGAGATGGGTTGGAAGAAACAAAAAACGCGTACTAGATTTCCCAAGAAGAAACTATTGTTGAGGGCAAGGCTTGCATAGTTGAATGCAAGCGTTTTATGGCGGTGGGGAGCCGTACTAATGACAGTTTGTGTTACAGAGAAGCCATCTTCTTCAGTGTCTGAACGAGTTTATTGAGATGGAGATGGACCAGACTAGAGGAAGAACTCACGGCGCACTTCATCCGTTAGCCTTGCCAACAAGCCAAGTTGGTACTCGACAGCAACAGTCTCAAGAGCAGCAGGTGGAAGAAAGTTGCCCAGGCCAGCTTTTATGTCGTAAGGAAGGGGGAGCGGGAGGTGGTCAAACTGCCCCGAGACGCCACGACTACCGGATGGCAGCAAGGAACGGCGAGCGTGAAGGAGGGAAGGTCGCGAACGACATAGGAAGTTCATCGACGTGAAAGAATTTTGGGAGGCACGTGACTCCACGTTATGCCTCCCAAATCCACACCAGCGCAGACTTCCGCACCTGCTTCGTGAGTCTATCTCAGCCCTTCTGAGCGTCCCATTGAGGCGTTCCTGCAGGACGAACGCCTTGCAAACATTATGGCAGGCGTACAACGACCAGACTTCCAACCGTCTTAAATTCATCGACTCCTTCCTCATATTCCTTATGCTTTCGGGCATCGTCCAATTCCTTTACTGTGTTCTGGTCACCACATATCCGTACAACGCGTTCCTAGCGGGGTAAACGGTTTCCGTTCATTGTCTTCGTATATTAACCCGCTCCAGCTTCTCGAGTACTGTTGGTCAATTCGTCCTAACTGCATCCCTTCGTTCCCAAGTGAATCCCGAAAACAAAAACGAGTTCAAGGAAGTGTCTCCAGAAAGGTGAGTTATTAGCAATCATTGTTTCCCAAGCGTGGCTCAACCCCAAACCAGAGCTTTCGCTGATTTCGCACTGGGCTCTATCGTGCTTCACTTCTTCGTATTCAATTTCCTCGGATGATATATAAAATTACAATGGATGGTGGCAAAAGACAGAGAAGTGACGTTCATCGTGTTCGCTCGAAAGAAGTAGACCGCCCACATACGACAACCGCGAAGTCGAATGCGTACTCGCCTGCAGTTTGATGAGACAAATTATATTAATAAGAGCCTGCAACGCACCAAACTCGAGATATGAGCGGAGCAGTTCTATTTGTCCGTAAAATGAGCGCTAAAAGCGGTGAAGCAGCAACTTAACGCACGACGAATGTCCTTATTTGGGACTTGTGAGAGTTTGGGAGTGAGTCCAGTATTGCGCTTCAGTCCAGCAAGGAAGACACTGATAAGCACCGCATCAATCCCTAGATGCACTGGACCTTTGTGAGTCGTTGGAAGATAGGATGGTTGAGACGCGCACCGAGTTTGCCGAGCATGATGGGAGACAAGAAGACAGAAAGTAGTTGCTGCTTAGTCACATAGACGCCGCTCGCCACGTAAACGACGTGGCTAAACACTTGCTGCCAGATGACTACATACCAAGCTTCAACAACTTGGCGGTACTCCCTGTCAATGCAGAAGACGCGTCGTCCACTTAATATCTTCGATTTCCTGTAACGAGTACTGTGGTTCCCGGTGACTGTGCAATCGCCCGATGAGGCGGTAATCGCAGTTTCCTGTTGTCCCATATTGCTCAGCACCTCCGGTATTGGCCGGAAATAGTTCATTAGGGTATTTACCATCATTGTACGAAAAAAATTAAGGTATCCGCCCTGATTTGCTCAACCGGTGCAGTGACCGAGTTGACGAGTTGTGTAATATTTTGATTGAAACTGTGAATCTCAGCAATCTGGAGCCCAGAGCTGGATATTTGGGTCTCCAAATCCATCTATAGGCCTATAAAGGAGGTTAGAGCCTTCGAAACATTTCCCCCGCAGGGTAGTCGTTGTTTGGTGAGCGATTTGGGAGGTTTGTGACGCTGTGTCACACGACCATCAAATCTAGTCGCAGCTCTAGATAGCAGGCAGCAAGTGAGTTGTCCTTATTCTTTGTATATGAGAGGACTTCTAATAGTAGTCTGCACCTTTATTGCCCTCCCAGTGGAGACCAAACCATCAGGGTACCCAATATTGAGAGTTTCAATCAAAATATTACACAACTCGTCAACTCGGTCACTGCACCGGTTGAGCAAATCAGGGCGGATACCTTAATTTTTTTCGTACAATGATGGTAAATACCCTAAAGAACTATTTCCGGCCAATACCGGAGGTGCTGAGCAATATGGGACAACAGGAAACTGCGATTACCGCCTCATCGGGCGATTGCACAGTCACCGGGAACCACAGTAGCTTGGGTCTGTTGCTGAGGACAGGACCAAGTCACACTGGTGTCACAAAAATTGCCTCCTACCACGACCCTCCTCTGTGCCACCACCATGTCCGACCCACCTGCTTCGATTTCACGACCGCCTTCTCCCCCTATCACGCTTAAAAATCCGTTTTCTGCGTCCTTTGAGCGCTTCAGAAGAGAAGAAGCTGCCGACTGGGCTGGCGCGTTTACCCTGCTGGACACGGTCGAAACCTACTTCGACTCTCATGTCGATCTCCTACAACGCAAGCTCCAGAAGCACAGCGATAGACTAAAGAAGGACCTGATGTCGAGAGCGGAAGAGTTCAAAATCAAAGACTTTTCTGGAGATCAACTTGCGGAGAACTTCGAGCGAGAGTTTAAGGGCTTCAAGATAAAGGTACGCGTGCTACAATCCATTTTTTTCGTGTATCTCATCCTCCCATCTATTTAGCTCCAAGCTAGGATGACGAAACTCTCGACCTCCTGGCAGTCTGCCAAGGTTGTGAGGACACGCGAAAAAGTGTCTTTCTTCTTTGGCGTCATGTCTCTCGTGTTCTCTGCTTTATTATTTGGTCTCGCACCCCAGTGCGTCTTGACTTCAACTCTGAGCTGAGTTTCCGCTCACAACGTTCTCTAGATGGGTACACATTGCCTACACTATACTTGGATCATACCTCTTACCTTATCGTGCCTACACCTACAAGAAGAAGGCGTGGCATTATTTCTTATTCGACCTGTGCTACTATGTCAACATTCTCAACTTCATATACTTGTGGGGTCTGCCAGGGAGTCCGGCGCTGTTTACCGCCTGTTATTGCCTTTCACATGGGTCTTTGGCAAGCGCCGTGATAACATGGCGAAACAGCCTTGTCTTCCATGACCAAGATAAAGTCACCTCTCTATTCATCCACATCTATCCTGCATTTACTTTTACCGTCATTCGGTCCGTCCTCCTTTGAAACCGTTTTCCTCAGCTTATTTGCTTTTTCAGGCACTTTTACCCCGGTGCAGATCAGCGGTTCCCCGCTCTCCTCGAACTTCCGCATCTCAATCCACTTCGAGCCCTTCTTCTGAGCGGCGTTATCTGTATGGCCGTCACCTGCACTGTGACCTTTGACTGAATATGATTCCCCAGATCTCAGTTGGCAACTTTTATATTGGAAGGTATGAGACCAATCTCACCAGAACTACAACTCTTTCTAATTCCCTCAGTTCGTCTTGGTCAACCGCCGTACAAAGATTGAGTCGGGACAACGGATGACATCGTTCTCTTTCCTCCTGAATGACAAACGTGGTGCGATCGGTCGCTCATTGTCTGCCATTCCGCCGGCTTACCGGCTCATGGTGTTCATGTTTGGCCAATTGGGTGAGTCTATAATCTAGGATACGAACGTTTGACTAAACACCAACACAAGTATATGCGGTTTTAACAGAGGCCCCTGCTGTGTACCTGCTCTATGATAGCCCAAAAGCCAGTGGCGCTTTTCTCATTATCATCCTTGGCGTCAGTGTTTGGAATGGCGGAGGTTTCTACATCGAAGTATTTGGTCGCAAGTTAGTGCTGCAGCTTTTATGACCGCGCACCCATCTGACACGGCGTTAGATTCGAACGTGAACTAGAAGCCCTGCGCAAGGAACTTGCTGAATCAAATGCTCGCTTATCGAGTGGACGATCCAGCCCAACGGACATCACCCCGGCTCTGAGTCGAGGGCCAAGCTCAGACGCACTGAGTGCACTGAATGACCTTTCGTCACCAGAAAACTCCCCGCCATTGATGATGAACTCCAAGACTCTACTTCCTGAGGATTCCTCGACGTCAACCCTCGACATGAATGGGGAAACCAAGAAGAATCAATGAGGATCATGAATTTGTACGACCCGCCGACGACTTACACTTCTTACGACTGTGGTCTTTAGTACTTAGTTATTGAGCTTTGCTTCTTGCTATAACACCATCTAGTTAACGCGAATGTACCCATGAATTGTATCATATACCACCTGTACAATCGTTTGATTTTTCAAAGGACACGGTTGACCCTCGAATCCATCCGTTAAAAACACCGGTCTCCCCCATGAGATGGTCCTTGGCTTGTTGATATTCGTGCATCGTCAGCTTGATGCTGCGCAGGGAAGTTGGTTGGGCGCTGTCGTGGGTAAGTGAGGGATGAAAGTCGAGGTTGGACGGCCTACGCATCGGATGTCAACCCACAAAGCTGCAGTGTATCATTGTAAAGCTTGAGCATTGCTCTACGGCACACGATAGGTCTAGTATACCCTTCATTCAACAAATGCAAGAAATTGCAAACGAGAGAGAGAGAGAAAAACGAACAGCGACTTCTCGTCCAACCGCCGATTGGGGGACACACCGCGCTTGAATCCGTTGATGATCACTTGAGGTGCCTTTATCGAGTCCGCAATCCAGAAAAGGGCTAAACATCAGCATATATTCGTGAGGACTAAGGCAAACGAACAATCATTACATGAAGCGGCGACCTCTGGTGTCATCGAGCGGGAGTGAACGAAGGGGATGCGAGTGAAATGAATTGCGGGTGGGTGGAAGGAGTACAGGTCACTCGCTGTTGGTTCTGCGATCAGCAACCAGAGGGTTCAAGATGCTCGAGCTAACCGCTGACACTCGCCATCCGTCTTAACAATGCCCTTTCGCAGTCGTCCCTCACGGTCTTTGTTATTTCTTCGTTGATATTTTCGGCAGCCAAATCAAGGCCAACGATGATCTCGTTGACATATAACGGCGCGGAGAAAAACCGAGCGCCAAGTGCTCCTTGTATGCCCAAGAACGACCAGGCCGCAATCTTGTCACTGCAGGACATAGAAGCAGTGGTCGGCGCATCGGCCCTCGCCGGCTTGGTGCGGAGAATGCCGACAAGAGCGTAGTTGTCCCTTCCACGCGACACAACTGGGGTGACAGCAGCACCGTTCTTGCTTTTTTCTTTTAGGGCGGCCATTTCGGCATCTTGCGTCGAAGAAAGGAGCCCCATCGAACAGTCTCCGCATGGTACAGTGGAGACATAGAATCCTATTCTGACGCCGGCATGCATTGTGTACGAGTGTTGGTGGTCGCATTGCAGCCATTCAGACTTGAAATTGGAGACGGAGTTCATTCTCCCAATTTCTTCAAAGAGCCATCGAATCGCGCCTCTCCTGGCTAGAATTTCCGCGTGCGAGTCGTGGAGAGCCTCTTCGATTGGCAGCTTATTCGCAGCCAGACATTTAGTGCCTGTAGCAAGGGAGATGATGTTGAAGCCGAGATCTGAAGTCAGATAGAAAGCGGCCAGTATGGTCCATTGGCGTGGGGGAGGCTTGTAACGAAGTGTAGAGTACAAGTGGAGGATGCAGTCGATGATTTCGTTGTGAGATGACATGATCGGAATGACGTCAGCCGATGATGAGTACAAGTTGGTATCTGATTACTCAAAACCATACGAAGGCCCCAACATCTCATTCGGTGCAACAGCAGACTCATCCTCGAGCAATTTGGCCGATTCAACCCCAGCAATCGGGAGTCTGAGCCTCTTCCCATCAAATTCCACGTGACTGGGAAGAATACCGGCCTGCATACAGGCCGTTCCCTGATCCCACCAAATATGTTCTACTTTGTGTTTGAATTTTTTGGTTATAGTATGTTGGCCACTACTCACCATGATAAAGTCGATCTCCACGGATGTTGATTACCCCCAGCATCGGGATCGCAAGCTTTCTGCCTGTGGGAGGTACACCAGGGAGCAGCCAGTCAATCTGCTTGTCGTGTGTGCAGTGGAAGATGAACTCATCTGAGTCGAAGTGTCAAACCAGAATATGATGCACATGACGTTAGGACGCACCAACGACGCGATCAGAGCCAACTGTGCGTGATATCGATTGCAGGCGAGTGTCCTTGGGGTTGCTCGAAGCAGTTTAGGCTAGGACGAACAAGTTCAAAAGCACCAACTTGAAGATGAAATGGTCTCTAGGTTCTTTTAATAAAACTGACATACCAAGGCTTAGAAATTACAAACCGATAAAAGGCAGAAAGTTGTTTGCGTCCGATACCTCCTGCCAGCTAGTCCCGATTAGATTGACTACTCAGAAGATAGATGTGCGAACTAGCCGTAGGAACATGGTTGACATACGGCTCCGCCTGAAGGCATATCAACAGCTTGAAATTTGGGCAGTTAAGGTGGCTAGTACATACCACCATAGTGCCCATAGTCAGTGCTACGCTGCGAACTTCGAACTCAAAATAGGTATGCTCTTCCCATATGGCTTCTAAGTCAAAAACTGTTGCTACTGGTCAAACAAGGAGTATATGGGAAAACGCCGCGACGAACATGGTCCACCAAGGTACTTCTTGATGTGCACACTAGCTTTGCTATGGGCAATAGATGCGGCAGAGGAATGGAAGACGACCGATTGAGGCAAAGCAAAAGACGGGTGTTGAGCGTCAACTTTGAAAATGGTGATATCCGGGGTGGTGGCAGTCAGATTCTCGGTTGTAGATGGCACAAAGATGATGGTTGGAATGGTGGAAACGACTTGTGAAGGTTGTTGATGACCGTAGATGACGAGAGACACAATTCGATTGTCGCTCTTGATTGCTGAGAGGACTTGTGGTAAAACTTCCAGGTCGTATACTTAGTATGGTCAGCAACATTTTTTATGCCGTGACTGAAGCTTACCCACAACAGCGAATTTATCTGCTGTGTCGAGTTCCTTAAGCTGAAGTAGGCTATTTGTGGCCGTCTCAAAATCATCTTCGAGCTTCTCTTGACCATTGCTGATTATCTAGAAAAACGGACAACAGTTGGGGGAGGCGAGATGATTCAAGGACCAATGTACTCCTGCAACACAAAATCCTTCTTCGGCCCACTTCTGTAGAGGACGAGGGTCCAATGACATGCGTTCCAGGTTTGAAGTCGAATTCAAGCGACCTTCCGGTGGGAGGAACATGATTAGGCCGGGACCTGTACCACGTCGAGTGAGCGGAGGTTGCAAGGTAATAGTCCCTGAGAGGAAGGCAGGAGGAGCCGAAGGTAGTGCAACCGGCTGCTCAGCTGGAGAGTTTGGGTCGTACACCTCAGGCGGAGCCATCGTGGTAGTTTGGTGTTATCTTTACGCGATCACGTGCATCATATCCGGAAGGGCTCATAACTTCACGAAGTAGAAACAACATCGCATAGTGGAGACAGTACGATGACTGGACGAAGCCGTACATTGGTGGATTGTTGAATGTGTCAGAACTAAGTCATAGCAGAGCAGAAAGGTTGAAACAGGATGCCGAGTGACGGTTAACTTGTCGTTTTCCGGATCCGGGATGAGTAGTAAAGGTACACAGTGTTTTCGGTTGGTTGCGGACGATTAGGCCGTGGAGGACTGGTTCAGTAGCCAGTTAAGAGGGATGCTCGTGGAACGGGCTTGAAAAAGGTGAGTTGGACCACAACGAACTCAGAAGGAAGACGGTATCTGCCGCTATAAGATGGTCTATGCCGCAAAGAACACCCTTTGCAAGCGGCTCCAGCCAACATTGTGGTGGTTGTAGCCAGAAAAACAAGTGTGACATCACTGATCAATTCCTTGCCCATGGCCATCGACGGACTCATCATCCTCGATAATTCGGGGTCAGTGCACATTCATGTCAACTTCACCACCCACTGACGTTGTAAAGGCGAGCAATAATTCAATCCGGCTTTCGTTCCAAACCTCTAGCGTACCCACTTCTCCACATCGATGCTTTCAACACCGCAGTCGCCAAGTCTCGTCGAGCAGGAGATATAGAGCCCGTCATATACGTCCCAGCATATAATGTTGCAGAGTCTCCGAGTGCCTGCTGTCATGTTGAATGCGCCGATATAAGGATACTCTGTCCAGTCAGTGACGATGGTGAGGGTCTTTCGTTTGCAACGACCGTTCTCATCCAACTTGTCCAGGGGATCCACTTTTTGCATTTTCGTTCATTCGAACCTTCGTCGACATTCTCTACGAGTACTTTGGCACGCCTTCTGCTGCCACACTGAAAGATAATTTTGACGTCGTTTATCAAGTCTGTGAGCAACCCGTTGCAACTTCGTTAATCAACTGACTTGGAGTCCGCATAGCTGCTCGAAGAGACCCTGGACTCGAGTGGTCAACCACTTACGACATCCCCAAATGCATTGAGGGACATAGTTCTGCCTCCGTCCCTCTTATCCAAACTGTTGAGCGTCGCCGGTGCCAATCTTACATCTGCAATCAACGCAGGCTCGAGTATTGGCGGTCCATTCTCGTCACCGATACCGTGGCGTAAGGCCGGCTTGCGGTATACGAGTAACGAGATTTACTTTGACATGGTGGAGGACCTAAAAGCGATTGTCAACAAGTGAGTCCAAGCATCATTAGATAACTCCTCAACGAGCATTCCACCAGACACGGAACTACGCTCAGCAGCAGTGTCTGGGGTCGGATGGAAACTAACTGCAAACTCTCTGGAACCCCCGATTGTCTGTTGAGTTTCACCAATCCTCATGTCATCACGGATTGCGCCTTTCACCCATGTGTGCGGCTACAACGTTGGAAGAGAGACAGCTCTTTGTCATTTGTCCCCCCGGATGGCCATTTTACTTTGGCAGAATACCGTTTCACACCGAGCGCCTCAGCAACCACTGCACGATTCACGAATCCCAACGCACCAACCGTCTCATCGAGAGAGAATATTCCGCTTCCCTTTCTTGTCAAAGCGAATGTCGAGTTCGCCGAGTCGAGCGGTATGCATATCATAGGTCATCATGTTTCGCTCATCCTTTTTTTTCTTCTAGTCTCCTTCGAGTTCAAGTTGACTTCACGTATGCCATCGCACACACTCGATAATGTTGTCGTGGAGATGTTCCTCGGCGATGGGGCAACGGGTGTCAAGGGTTCAACAAGCCGCGGCGATGGCGGCAATGCTGGCCTGAGAGGAAGCGATGGATCTAATTCAGTGACGGGGTCTTGGACCTTCGACTCGCGAAAAACGGTTTGGTGCTTCGATCTTTGCATTACATCATCATCTCAAGCGATTGGTACAGGCTGTGCGCTGGGAAATCTCCCAAGCACTTCCTTCAAGCGTCTGGTTACTCCGCGGATCGTATAGCTGCTTGTGTGTTTGCCGCCCTCCAAAAATATACGGGTTGATTTTTATTTTTCTATTCATAGGAATGGGGTGCCACGACCCGCCCATGCTCTCCAAATTCGCTTTGATATTGCCTCGTATACGTTTTCGGCGCTCAAAGTCGACCAGCTCAAGGTTACTGGGGAGAACTACAAACCATATAAGGGCGTGAGAGGTCGTTCATCTGGTAGTATTGAATGGCGGTGGTAGTATGAAGACTGATTGGATTGGATTGAAATACAAATGTGAGTTAGATGGGGGTCATCAGCCTGTTCGTATAATGCCAGCGTTAACGAGCTTCATGATCTTTTCACGAATCATGGGGTTCTGCATGTGGTCCTGGAGGGCACCGGGATTTCCCTGCGCTTGCTGGAGAATTTGTTGCATTATGGGATCACCCATGATTTGAGCAACCTCTGGGTCACGCATTGCCCGTTCCAGCGTTTGCTCTTGTGTCTCTTCCCCGCGCTGAGCGTACAAAGCCTGTTGACACTTCATTTCCTGGTCAGCAATTTCTTTCGTGTGCTTGTGCTCCGGGTCGTGATTTCGTGCTTCTTGGACTGCTTCAATTGCCTTCGTATATTCGCGCATAGAATAGAGGATCGTTGACTTTCGGATGTAGGCCTTGGCTGCCGGAGATCGTCAGACAATATTTTAGACCGAAAGAAAAAGAAAAGGATGTACTGAATTCAGAATCGACTTTGATAGCTTCGTTGACATCCTTCAGAGCTTCTGGGAACGCGACCAGCTTCATGTAGGCAGCTGCTCGGTTGTTGTAGCCCCTGGCATCGCTAGGGTCTCGCTTGATACTTTCGCTGTAGCTTTTGACCGCGCTCGCGAAATCACCGCTCTTGAATTGAACATTGCCCTCCTCCCGAGCGGTAGCGCTCTTGGCGGGGTCGATGTAGGCGGCTTTGTCAGCTTCTGCCTTTTGTCGTTCAGTGTCACGTAGTTTGTTGAGCACATCGGGAGTTCGATGCTCGGATAACGACTTTTGGAAGTATTTCACCGCGGACTCCAGGTCGTTCTTCTTCTGGAACGCAGACCCGACACGACCGTAAGCCTTGGCAATCAGCTTGTAGTCCGCCCTCAGCGATCGTCCCTCGTCAACCGCCTTCTCACATGTCTCGATGGCCTTATCATATTCCCCTTGCTCGAAATAAACAGCTGTTGTTCGTTAGCACAATATGGCTTTCAATGAGAAGGGAATTCAATACCGCCAAGATTTGTCAGGAAGGTTATGTCTTTTGGCCAGAGATCCCAAGCTTTCGAGAATTGGGTAGCAGCTTCTGCGAAGTCCCGTTTCTTGTAGGCCTCGCTGCCCAATTTCTTTGCCGCCTCAGCATCCCGCTTTGCCGCTGCCTCTTCCTGGTCTTCTTCCGTCATTTCGACATCTTCGGCTGGTTCTGGAGGTGGCGGTGCTGGTTTGGAAGTTGAGGCCGTCGGGGGTGGCGCAGAGGGCTTCGCGGGAGGAGGAGAAGTTGACATGCCAGGTGGAAGTTCATCAGAGCCTTCAGGTCGCGTAAAGCCCTGCATGTCGATGCCCATTAAAGCACCGAGGACATCGATCATTCTTGGGTCTTGCATCGCGCTAACGCAGTTTCCGTCAGTGTTTGATTAGACAAGGAAGCTAATGCTCACGAATCTGCGAGCCCTGGGTTCTGTTGTATCATTTGAAGCTGAGAACATTGTCACTCAACCGTTCTGGATGGAGGTTCGTATTTACTTTCTGAACGAAGGCAGGATCTGCCAAATGTTTCTGAGTACGTGAGTTGGCAGCCAGTTTGCCAAACAGATTAGGATCGGAGAACATCTTTCCGAACCCAGTGGCCTCTTCCCGTGCGTCGAGGGCTATATAATGTTATTGTCTCGAAGTCATCAACTGATCACCACGTACCTTTCGCGTCCTGGACCTCTTTCAGCCCTTTCCGGAGCGCGGGACTATCCTCTAGCTTCAAACCCTCCTCATAGGCGACAATTGCCTCGTCAAATCTCCTGGAACCATGCAACGCAGCGCCTTTCCTTGCGAAACCCTTCGACCATGTTGGATTCACCGAAACACACTGGCAAACGGCGATTAAGAGGACAGTTTGATTAACTGCTTTCCTGCGGACTTACCGACTCTGCATCCTTGAGGGCCTCTGCCCAGTTCTTTTTACCGGCGTAGCAAGCACTACGATTGGAGTACAGGACGTGGTTTTTTGGATCGAGGGCGATACCCTGAGAGAAGAGATCGATAGCCTTGTCGTAGTCCTTGGCCGCAAACGCTTTGTTGCCAAGGTCTTTAAGTTCTGCAGCCTGCGCTTGATGTGTTTATTATGCATTGCTCCAGAAAAACGCGGTGTACGCACGCTAGCCATGGAGGAAAGAGCTAAAGACGGGATATCGAAAGTCTCGAACTTTCCTCGATCACGTGTGCATTTCTCCAGACCCTTTCAATTCGGTCAACAGAAATGGGTTATATCGTCATTATTTTGCTTCTTACTCAGGCGTTCGGGCTGCTCCCGACTCCCATGCGCCATTTATTTGAATTGGCGCGTCCCACCGCGACATCATGATGGCACTAGAGACTGGAAATTGCCTACATTCCCAATAGCGAAGGGTTCTTCTTCCCTCTGCGTACTTTGCGGGTATTTAATTTCGCTTGGGTTATAAGCTTTGCTCAATACTTCTGGAGGGTAGTATTATGTAATTGTCATTGGTGCCACTACTTTTTTTTTTCCCGACTCTGAGCGGTACTTAGTACACTAGATGAAGCTATGTTTTTTTAATCGTGCCTTGTTTAGGGTTGAGATGTTTATCGGCATGACATGGCCGAAAAATGCCATCACGGACCACAGGGACTAAAATTGCATTGCTTATATCCATTCTACCAAGACTCCGGGACTCCCCTTCCGTCGTTCACCCACTTCCACTGGGTTTTGCCTGGTCAGTGTTCGCTGTCTGTCTCTAGACAAATCTTTTCACAGACCTAAAAACAGCCGGCGTAGATGATGCCTGACGAGAGTTCCCCGTCAACAGCGTCTACTTCTCCAGTAGCTCCGCGGCCCAAACCTCCAAAAACAACTACAACTACTGGAACCGTTCGTGGGCGCTCTTCTCCAGCTGACCAGAATGGAGACGGGCCTCGTCCAGCAAAACGTGCTCGCAAGGCCATAAACTGCGAGCCTTGCAGGAACAGCAAGCTCAAGTGCGACAGGTGAGTAACAACAACAAAACAACGACAACTCTCTCACACAATTCCTCTCAGAAACCGTCCATGCTCATCGTGTGTCCTTCGTGGTGCGTATTTCCTCTACTTCGCTGGGTCTTACTTGCTCAACCCTAAGATAGGGACATCAGCAATGTGCTACCAAGACGGTCGAGGTCCAGAGGAGGGAAGTTATAGTGCTCGCCCTGAAGACAACCAGTGTGTTTTCTATCTTTATCGCTCTCTACCCCCCTCTAACTCGCTCTCAGACGCGTCGACCCTGCTCAGGAGATTGCCCGCCTACGCCACTCAATATCACTCCTAGAGTCCTACATCTATCCAACTCAGCGACCTTATACTGCCGTGCGCCGGGCTAGCGAGCTGCCGCCTGTCGTTCTCAAGAAAGAAATTTTCGATCTGGACATCTCAGACAAACTGCAACCTCCTCCAGCGCCAGGCATGTTGGAGAGTCATAGTCATGGCGGAACGTATACCGGTCCTACCAGTGCAAAAACCCATCTACTTCCATTGGTATGTCTATCTGCTTGGCCCGTCCCCTTTTCTGATGCACACCCTAGTCTGACTCGCGAGGATCGGACGATTCGGGCAGTCGTCAAGCGAGTCAAGACGCAAGCAGTGACGAAATGGCTATGGGCATGAGCCACGAATACGACCGCGACCTCCTGGCTACGTTACCCGCGGTCGATGTCATCGACGGTCTAATTGCCTACTACTTCGAGTACTGCAACTGGATCTATCGGCACGTGAACCAAACGACCTTCATGCACCATTGGGAACGGTACAAGAATGGTTCTTCCCCCGATCGCATTATTCTCAGTACCGCTTGCGTAATCATGGCTCTAGCGACATACTATCTGCCTCCCCAACATCGTCTTCTTGAAAACTACTCTGAGACACCTGAAGAACTTGGCCTCAAGTACTTCGATGTCTCCACCACAGCTTTGCAACGTCGGCAAGCGGATGTCAAAACCTACAGTCTGGAACTTATCGAGCTCCTCTTGATTCGTTGCCATTATATGACGACCACGAAGCGCGACAGTGAAGAGATTTGGCACGCCAAGGGCGAAATAGTAACAATCGGGACCGCGATGGGTCTCCATCGTGATCCTGGGAAATGGAGAATGCATCGAGATACTGCAGAACGTCGAAGATGGGCGTGGTGGCATATCGTTCTTCTGGAAAGGCCAGTTTTAGTCTTCGCATCTTCTTCGGACTTGTCATAATTAATTTCAACGCTCAGATGGCAAGCATTCATGTTTGGACGGCCAATTTCAATCGCGTCTCACCACTTTGACACACAACTGCCGTCATACTGTGACCCGACATTGGACAAAACGGGACGTTTGTTTTTGCCTAATATCGCCCTTTTCAGGCTTGCTTTCATTCTTGGCGATATTATGGATGGTTTGTCAATCAGCTGATGCATTCATGCCTGCCCTCACCTTTAGTCTACAGATGCAGTGTCTGTTCGCCCAGTCCCTTACGATAGCGTCCTCGCCAACGATCGTGCCTTGACTCAGTGGATGGACAACCTTCCACCAGAACTCGATCTTGACGAGTACCGCCTAGCACGTAATCTTGCCTCTCCCAGCCCAGCCACCCGTCGCCTTGGAGTGCAGAGTGTTGTGGTCAGAACATCATACTACCACATCCGCTTCACCCTTCATCGGCCATATGCGAGCACGGGACCGACTTCTTCCAAGATCAATGGAGAACTCTCCAAGAGCGCACAAAGCTTGGAGATCGCAGTTAATGCGGCGGACAAACTTATCGCCATGACCTCGCAGTCTCGACCCGACTTTTTGGCCACCTCCGCATTCTCTGTCCCTGGCCACATGAACTGGGGCCCTTTCCACTGCTTCTCGGCAGCCATGTTCTTTTCGTTCCAGCTCATCACGAATCCCGACCAGCCTGGAGCTAGTTTATTCCGCGCTAGCATTCGCAAAGCAATGACGACGCTAGAACAGAATCGAGGGATGGCTGTTGCCGACAAAGGATACAACATACTGCATTCCTTGGCTCCCCTCTACTCCGCTGATTTCCCGGTTCTGCCCCCAGATGTTCGCGAGAAGGAAAAGGCGAAAATTCTGAGCGTGGTCCGCAAACTCGCGTTCCCGTATCATGACTCGTACAAACTACGACGCTCCAATGGAGACTCGCCTGGTGCACGTGCCAGCACGACGTCCCCGTCCAACACCAACTCGGCAAGCCCGCCGTTGATTCTACCCAATCCTCTACCCCAATATGAGCACAACAACATCTCCTCAGTACGCACAATGCCCCCACCAATCTACACCCAGTCAACACACTCGCCGGAAGGTCACATCCGGTCACCCCAACAAATGTCGCCTCCGGTAGTCGGGCACGGCCAGCCTGGACCACCCGGTTCATATCCAGCGTACAACATGCCTCCACCCCAGTCGGGCTACACGGAAGCGCCTCGTTATGCGCAATACTCTCATGGCGTTGATGACGAAGGGTGGGGCGCTGCTATCGGCTTTGGGCAAGGCGAATGGACTCAATTCTTGGACGTGATCCGTCCTGACCAGGCGCCAAACGGCTCAGGCCCGTCAAATGCTGTTCTCCCGCCACAGCGACACATGTCAAATCCCGAAATACGTTGAAAATATGATGACCATTTTCTCCAAATCTTTTTTCCGTGGTAATCTGGATAGGATGGCTTATTCAATATTGTACTTTAGCTGCGTCGTCGCTGCAGAGCGATAATACCCACTTCTGTTCTCTTGCTTAACCTATGCAGTATAAATGTACGATAGTGTTCAGTAGAACCTTATTTGCACTATGTACCTCAGCCTGAAAGATTACTTTTAGTCAGCCTCTGCATCCGCTTCAGCCGATTGTCCAACTGCACTCTCAATTGGGAAAGACCGGGAGGAGGTGGCTCCAAACCGGCAGCAGCCACCAAGACTTGGTCAATTAATGTGTAAGGCAGCCATGTGGAAGCGGCGTGTTTGGTGGTGTCCCGCGAAAGCCGCGAATCTGCCTATTCAGAATGGTCAGCGTGTGTCGAGGTTTGGCAGCTCGCTAACCTTTTGAATCAAGGAAAGTGTGTGAGCTATACATTGGTCGAAGTCACCTGACCGAAGGGTGGCGTGGATGAGATATTCATGGTGATGTTCCTAGAGAGAGAGATGAATAAATCAAGCTGAAGCAGCATTTGATATACCTCTAGGGAGTGGATTAACCAGAGGGGCGGGGGTGTGGTTCTTTGGGTTCCCAACAGCGTTTCCAGCGTTATTTTGGTGTAGCGATAGTCTGTGTCCGGGCCATCATACCTCTCGAGCACTTGTCGAAGGTAGCGCCAGCCTCGGTCAGCGGGGCTCCCCGGCCACGAAGAGACCTTGTCCGTTAGCAGCCAATCGGAATTGTCCTCTTGCCTGTAGTGAACGATAAGCACAAATAACGCCTCCTCGAAAAAAAAAAACTTTCATGACTGCATCAGGATCTCGAGATAAGCGCACACACTGCGTCGTAAGCTGCGCAAATATGTCTGTCATATCAACTTTGAGGCTGTGAGCAGTGGACATTGCGAGGTTGAACTGTCGAGCTTGCGCAAGCCTCAGCACGATCGACTCGGGGGGGAGATCTAAGATCAAACTGGGTCAACACTGGTTCGGGGCAACCAACTACGGGGAGCCTTACCAGTATATGAAGCCAGTGCAGGCTCCCGCTTTACGATATTCATTTGAGCAGATAAAAGGGCGTGTTCATGCTGTATTTCCGACAATGGAACAACCTCCACGTCATGGTTGCCCGGAGTAAATTTTGATTCTGGGATGTGGCTGGATAGCCTTCTTCGTTTGTGCGGTGGTTGCTTGAAAGCGTTTTAGAGGCAGGCTGACAGAGTTGCAAAAAGCGCTCACTTCTCTAGCATATTCAGTGCTCGAAACGGGTAATAGGAACCACGCGTTCTTTTGTGCAACCAAGGACAATGAGTTGATGGCGATCGTCAATGCCTGGAGCTGTTGAGAGACCAAAGTAGGTGCAGCGGTTATGTCCGATGCGATGATATCTTGTAGTTTTCGCGCGCGCTGGTACATGACCAGAGCGGCTAAGACGGAGTTGGCCAGATTCGCAAAGAGCATCGAAACTCACCACTGCGATGATTCCCTTTGAAAGTATACCAAGAGTAGAGAATACGCGAGTAACTAGGCTGGATCCGCGGGTCGATATTCCGAGCCTTGAATGCTAATGCCTCTTCCACCTCGTCCGCGAAGCCGGGGAAGCTGTACGAGACCAGCTTTTCGACCGCACCATCTTCGCACATGCGGTAAACCAGCTGACCAACGCCTTCCCGCTTTCTGCATAATTTTGTCAGCCTTCGTTCCGGCATGAATAAATCGAAAACCAACTCTTTGTCGTGTGGGGTAGCGACCAAGGCCGAGTATGCATCATCATATAGGCTCAGCTCCGTGTAACCCTTGATGACAGTTGCCCACAGTGGAGAGGTGTCTACATCCAAAGGAGCAACAGACAAGGCCATCTGGGTAAATGAGACTTCGTATTGAACAAGCGCTGCAGCCTTAAACAGTTTCGCGGCATGGAGATAGAAGGTGAAAGCGGAGTCCGGTGCTTCAGATGTTGGAAGCACGTAGTACAATGTTTCGTGATCCTCTGAAGAGAGGGCATTATTTGGCGCTAGATGAGTCAGTCGGGACTGATAACGTAAGCTGACCACTGACAAAAAGCACCAGCGAGCTTCTCGAGTATATGAGCAGATTCATCGGGTCGATGTGTACTCAGGTATAGTCGTGCTTGGACATAATTGACACCAGCAGTTCGCGGTAGACATGTTAGAACCTCTCCGGCAGCAGCATATTGACCCAGTGTACGCAGTCGCTCACAAAAGATGACTTCGTACTTGGTAGCCATAGCGGGAGAAATGGACTGAAGCAAGCCTGTAGAGTCGAGGAAACGATGGGCTGCCCCAGGTAAGCCAAGGGTGTCTGGATGCCCAATGAGGAGTGTGTGGATAAGTGAATATGTTGGCGTGAAATGCGTGCCCCGTAGACTGCGCGAAACTTGCATATTCTGCAATCGTGAGATGACATCATCTGCGGCATTCTTCGAACCATCGCTAGAGCCAGCAGTATCACCAGTGGGTTGTTGAGAAATCAGGCGGAGAACGGCGATACCACGAAATACGGCAAACACCTCGGCCAACAAAGCCGGATCCCAGCTGTCCAACTCCTCAGAGCAAAAGAAGAGCAATGTGAGTAGAGCTAGACAAAGGTCATAGCGAGCATTGACGGTGACAGTAATGTATGCTGCCGTAAGCGCTCTGGACCAATCGGACTGTGGAGGCGGAAGGAGAAGTTCGACTTCATCTTCCTCTCTTTTCACATCTGAGTCAAAGCCGCCGATGATGTCCAGCGCCGTCCGGATAGCACCGTCAAGATCAGGCACAGTCTGTAAACGGCCTGCCATCCAGGCTTTTGCACCGTCGTCAAGTTGGTCTTCAAAACCAACTCTAGCAGCCTGATCTTGAACTATATCTGCGAAAGAGAATGCGCTTTCTTGTTGAACAATGTCAAGCAAACGGCTCTCGAGGCTGAGCATGAAGGACGTCCCTAGTTTCGCCTGCAGTCCCCATAGAACTCCGAAAATTGCATGCGATGGATCAACAAGCCGGTCTTCTTTAAGATTGCGTTCAAGACGAATAGCGACATCTTCCGATACAAGAGCGCCGACCCTTTCTCTTTCAACGATGATAATATCATTTTGACCTCTGGCTGCAAGAACTAGTGGCCACCGGGCACTCCGCTCGAGTTCTCGGCATCGAGCGATGAAGCCCTCCCAGTCTCTTTTCAATGCGCTCCAATAGTTGGTATGCTGCAATGCGCCGGTGTGAGGATCCCGTTGAAGACTGACAGTACAACCAACGACTGCGGCAATGTTTTCGCCTACACTCGCGTAGGTTGTTGTTAGGGCGGCTGGAAGTGGGCCAGGAAGAGAAGCACAAGCATCAGAGTATTGTTCGATAGCGGTTCGTAGGGTGAGCGCAGAAAACATTCCCGGTCTCATGATGGCCTCGAAGAATTTGGCAGTAAGAGAAGCAGGAGAGACAAGTAGTTCGTCCAAGTAGGCAGGTGTAAGCTCTGGTTCAGAGGCATAAGTGGAGTTTTGCCAGATAATGGGCTGAGTTCCCCCATTGTCGATGATTTCCTCGACCCGTATCGTCGTTTTCTCCACCATAGATTGACCCTGACGATCCCAAAGAGTGTACAGAACCTCACCGACGACCATGAAATCCTGTAAGTGACAATGCGCGCTGTGCCTCGAGCACTCGATTGTCCCCACATCATAAAACTGGTCAGAGGCGGTGTCGGTGAGCTGGAATCGACCACCTGAAGCCGCCGAGGAAGGAGTGGGGATGAAAGCAAGGACAAAGAAATGATCTTCGTTCCTTGGAGTGGAGAAAACACGAAGAAGCGTTTGTCGTTCGGCTTCTAGTAGAGTCGAACTATTGAGAGCAGGGCTCGCTTCTCGGCCAGATACCGATGAAAGCAATTTTGTCGCAACGCAGCCAATCTTAGCTTTCCAGAAGCGCAAAGTGCGATCCCGTGAAAGAGTCCAAACATGGCCGACATCAGTTGGCCAGGTGTGAGTCGCAATGGAGACGATTTCGGCAGCACTTGAAGGCGTGGAGGAGAGAGTAGGTATGAATGATGTTAGGGAGGACAGAAAGGATGTGTGTTGAAAAGGAATTTCATTCCATTCGTCTACAGGTGCATCAGTTGAACTTCACGTAGGACACAATTGTACTCGGTCGACGTACCAATACCACTATCACCAGAATACTCTGACTCTAATCTGAGAATAGATCCGCCAGGCTGGCCGATCACGATGCAATGAGTGCCATGAACGTGAACAAGACCGCTCAAGGTGCCTTCCAAGTGCTTGATATGGTACTCGCAATGGGAGATATTTGGGAGCTGGCGGGCCCAAAGGTTCATAGCTGTGTCCACAGGAATGATGAGGCGGTATAACGACCCAGTGTTGGTCACTGCCAGTATGTGGAGTTCGGCTTCCCATAAAAATATGGCTGGTGCTGAGAGAATCATGGATTGGAAAACAAAGCGCACGGGGGCTACGCTTGTTGACAGGGACACAATCTCCAGAATAAATCCGCCATGAAGTACTCGCAGAAGAATAGTACCAGTGATGGGAGTGTGAAGAACGGCGGAGTAAGAGGCGTGTTCATTGGGAATTGTGGACGCGTCGGGAATTGTGAGGGAAGATGACGGGCGTGAGGATTGGATGGATATTGAGGTGGATTGCGACGAAGGAAACAGAGATGAGAGCTGGGCCGCGGTAATGAGGCCACGATCCATGGCGCGTCGCGTCAAGTTGGGAGGCGTGACTTGCCATGTCACGCGTTGATCATTGAAAGTATTGGGTAGAAAATACTTACCTTTCAAGACACAGAATATGCTCTCATTTATGCTTAAAATTTTCACACATGATGTAGAGTGAAACATATTAATAGAAGAACTAGGTGTAAGTTTTGAGGGACCAAGTCTTGCTCCCCACAGGTGGCCAGATATTAGCAGCTGGAAGAACAGCAAGGAAAAGTTCTCGTGAGCTATTCGGCTGGGTTGACGAAATCAAGTACCTTCTCGAGTTGTTCCACTGCCAGTGTCAGTGCGCTCATGTTGTCAGTGAACAAAGGAAGGTTCGAGAAAACACCAACCGTGTAGTCTCAAGCTAGATTGAGTGCGAAGAAAGATATGGATAGAGTCTCCGAGTTAGGACCTCTCGAAATACGTATCATCTAGATCAACTATTCATTAGAGTACAAGCTGCTCTACAGCAGTGAGACGGAACTGGACCCACTGATCGAGCGATGACTAGGCGGGGGCGGTCGCGGCAGTGCATACTAGCAAACCAGATCGAGTAAGTGTCGAATAGGCATGCCGGTGGAAGAGAGAACGCATGCGGAAAGCATATAGAACTCTGAGAAAGCTGACGAGTTACCTGATTAGCAGTTCAGTAGTTTGATTGGTCTTTTGATAGTCGACGCAGATCTTCTCTTCTCGGAAGGGGGAAGCCAGCGCCAGAGCTTTCGGAGGTCAAAAAGAGGGATGAGTGAATCTTCGTTTGAAGAGCAACTTGAACTGTGTGAGTGTAGTCACGGCGTGACACTGGTACTTCGTACCCTGGCTCTCTTTGAGTACTCTGATTTCTTTCCCAAGAGCTATGCGAAACTCAGCCGTGCTACTACGAGGAGGACAACCGACGGCCAGCTATCACTATGTTTGCGCCCTCACCCGCGACACATGCGTATCCGGCACTTTGCCATGTCCAAGTAATAATAATACCAAGTTATTACCAACCACTGGAAGGTGCCTCGAATCTACAACTTCATTGCTGCAAGCTGTTCTTGCTGCCGCAATTGGGTTAGAACCCCGAAATTGTCCTCGCTGCACCTGTCGCAACTCGTTTTCTTTTCTTCCCGCCGTCATCTATGTCGTTCAGCATCTCGATCCTTCTAACCTCGTATTAACGCGATTGTCCCTCGAAGACCGTCTGGGAGTCACTAATAATCAATCATGGCAATGCACTCACACCTCGTTTCCCTCACCGTTCATATAAGAACTTCAACTTGCGCGTCGTCTCACCAAGATGATGCACCGCATTCAAGTTCGCAATCCTTTACCGGCACCTGCCACCCAGCCCACTCAGCCGCGTCGCGTCAAGGGCATTTTACTACCGGCTGATCAAAGGGAGTGCCCTCCTGCCACTCACCCCAGCTATAACGCCAGTTCAGGTCGTCACGGTCCGATTATGTCTCTCGTTGAAATCATGACCAGGTATTCTGAAACGGGTATTCTTGTTTGCGCTGAAACCTGCATAGTCCATTCGCCTTTTCGACCGAGTCAGGGCCACGAATACCTCATCCTGAGGTATATATGGATTTAGTCAGTCCATCTACTACTGGTCCATACCTGTACGTTCTAATATGACAACGCAAGATTGCTCCAACAACTATTGGCGGCAAGTCCTGGGACTACATCGTTTGTACCTGAACTGCTACGCGCCAACTGATTGCTGATTGCAAGTCTCTTAGATTATCGACTCTCTAGACGGCCTCGACAAGCAATTAAGTCAACCCTACATTCTCTTTTATCCCCTCGGGTCCCAAGATGGCTCTGCCTTTGCTGTCAACGCTAATATCCGTACCATTCAAGGCTCGCATTTCAAGGCTCATGCTGCCTGGCGAGGTCTAGCTCTGACTTGGGATGACCATATCTGACCTGTCTTCAGGCAATGTTGTGATTGGAAAATTCGCAAATCGCGATGCTCCGTTTCATTCTCTGGTAGACGCAAACACCTGTGATTTCGTGATCGTTCGCAACTTTTTGCGGTGTCTGGGGTCACCTCGGCCTTGATGTTGCTACTGAGAAATATATGCCAGGAACTTGGGAATACTGTAGTTTTTAGATAACAAATGAATTACACGATAAACAGACCCTATAACTCATCCCTTCCTGAAGCTCTTCGGGCAGCTCGTCGCTGAGCTTCCTCGCGTTCAGCTCCCTCTCGCAATGACTGCTCCTGCTTGCTTGGATCACAATGATCCGGGATGGGACTGGCTGGATCAATTGGACGATGAGAGACCCTGCCAACTTTGGGATAGTCTTTGTGCTTAGCGAAAAACTGTTTCCAATGGAGCACTCCCTGCATCAGTTTTTTTGTCAGCGTGGAAATAATGCAAGCCCAGGTTCAGCGTACCTCCCATTCCTTGTAGGACAGTCCACGCAAATCATGCGTCCTGTGGGTTTCGAAGCATCCAGTCCCAAATGCCCTCGCAGCATCGATGCCAGTCCTAGATGTCATCGTAAGCCCTCAAAAACGTTCACAAGAGAACTAACATGAAATGGTAGGAACCGCCGGGTTGATAGGCCTTTCCCTTGCTCACATCATATACGTCGCCGTCAATCTAACAATAATGAGAAATTGGACATGGCCGCACAGAGAAACGTACCGCCAGATAAGTCGGCTTCCCGTATTGGCCGGTGTACTCGCTCAGTAGTCGTTCCGAGAATAAGCGCTGGTCCGTCTATGTTTGGAGGCATGAGAGCGTGTCAATCGATGTAATGGGCACGCACAGGCCAGAACTGCTTGAGTTTGTCGAATTGCGTCTCGTACTCCCAAGTATAGCTTCCAGTAATGAATTTTCCTAATAGGGCGCCGCCGACAAGCACATAGAGAAGGAATTTCAGGAGCCCAACAAGCCCCACTTCGACGGGTTGAGTGGGGTCTGGTGGTAGAGGTCCCACAGGCTCTCCACGGGCAATCTTGTCGTCACGAATCTTCTTCTTCTCTAACCACTCCTGGTGCAATCGTTCCTGTTGTTCACGGTATTCTTTATAGCTGAAGGAGAGTTAATGCCGAGTGAAGCTTCTTGGAAGGAAGAATCGGACGCTAAAAATGGTTGGTTGGCTTTTTTCGCTGATACCATCCGGTCAGGAATATGAGGATCTGCAACCTTAGGCTCTGTGGATGAGTTATGTTAGTTGTCTCTAAAATGGGTAGCCTCGGAGGCAACCTACCGCTCTCGGGCACGACATAGCGCTCGGGCTCCTGTCCAGTGAGTCCGCTCATCCACGACATGGTTGAGATGGAAGAGCGTGTGGAGAGTGACACGTCGTTATCGGAGAGCGCGTCAAAATCACGTGAACATGAAATTCCTTGTTCCTGACACAATTTTTCTGGTGATCTGGATTCGCCAGCCTGGGTTTGCCCTGGACAATCCCGCTCATTTTGCGCGCTGGCCGCAGATGAAGGCGCAATAGAATGTCACCTCGTTAATTTGATGTCAACGTTACCCTGACAGTCAAATCGCCTTCTCAAGTCTGTTTGTTCTCGACGCATACGACATAGAATTGGACGATTCGATTTCTCCCAGCCCTCATCAGCACCATATAAATAGCCTTTCACAGTCCTGCGAACATTGCGCAATGCCTTTGCGGGATGGTGAACTTCGAATGCGACGATAAATAACTCAGAAGCGTACGATACGGCAGTGGCAACTCCGGTCTCTTGCTTTCTAGCTTCATGTCATTGCGCAATTCTACAGAGTCGGAGGAAAAGAATGCTGAACAGACCACCGTCTGGACGGAGACGCAAACGGCGAATTCGACAGACCCACGATACTTTGTCAAGGATCTCGACTACACTCCCCAGGAAAAGAGTGCGGTCATCCGTATCCTTGATCGTCGCCTTCTCCCAGTCATTTTACTGACGACCTTTGTCCTCAACATGGACCGCACCAACAATTCTAATGCCATCTCGGACAACCTACCTGGAGATCTCGGCTTCACCATAGACACAGTCAACACTGCAACTGCGATCTACTCTGGTTTGAATTCGTCTTAGCTCTGGCCTGTTGACTTAATTTATTTAGTCTTCTTTTCTTTGTTCAGCTTGTTAGTTACTCTCGCAACAATTAGCAATTGACATAGTTGTGCCACTACAGTTCTGGAGCTGTGATGGCAAAGATAGTGGGCCCAGCCCGATGTGAGTTTACTTGCAATCTGATTGACCCGCATAAACAGAGTTTTAGGGATCGTACGTTGCTTAGCCAAACAAACATGACCTTGTGTTCAACGATTCTAGCCCATCTTAATGTTCTCTTGGGGTTTAGTGACTCTTGCCCATGCTCTCATCAAGGATCGTGCCGGCTATCTCACCGTTCGCGTCTGTGAGCCAACTTCGCGTCGTTCAAGTCTCAGTGCCATTGACATGTTTCTCCCCAAGTTATTGCCGTCACGGAGGGCGGGGTTATTCCAGCGACGTTGATCTACTTGGGGAGTTTTTACAAGGGAACGGAGCTGTCGACACGATTAGCAGCATTCTGGGGCACTCGTTCGTGCTCAGTTGAACTTGGTTGATGATATGGAATTGTTTATGCCAAACCAGAGGCTATCGCTAGTGCAGTCAGCGGTCTCATGGCGAGCGGTCTGCTTCGATTGCGAGGCCGTGCTGGACTTGAAGGGTATGTTCACCTACTTTCTGCTCAGCTATGGCGACCCCTTTCAGATGGAAATGGTTATTCATCGTTGTGAGACTATCCCTCGTCGCCATCATTGATTTCAGTCTCAAGTTTTTCTCGTAGGACGGGATTATCACTCTCGTTGTAGCGGTTGGGATATGGTAAACGCTAGCGCTTGCCACTGAGCGCAGGATCAAGTTCACGCAGTTTAGGTTCTACCTTCCCCGGAACGTGACAAAAACGACAGGTGGCTTGCGGGGCTTTAAACCTTGGTTCAGCGAGCGCCAGCTTCAAATCGCAGTCACTCGCGTTATTCGCGACGACCAATCTAAACGAGAATACGAGTGAGAAAACATCAATATTTGCTACTCTTCCGTGCCCGCCGTTTCTGACTTCGGTTCAGGAAACGAGCTACTAAACGAGATTTTTGGGATGCGGCGAAAGATCTTGGGCTATGGGGACACATGCTGATCACAAACGTAACCTTGACCCCAACAAACCCACTTGGAACTTGTGGGTATTGACTTGTGACTCTTGCAGGGTACTGTTCACGCTCGATGCAGACCTCCCAACCGTGATCAAGAGCTTTCATTTCAACGTTTTCGTGTCTAATGCTCTCACGGCCCCACCATACGTCCTTCAGTGTATTATCATGATTTTGGTGATAAGGTAACAACCTTTTTGATGATAAGCATGTAGCTTACATCTTCTCAAGGCACAGCGACAAGGTTCGGGAGCGAGGGTTTCATGGTGCCTTTGGCAGCTTCTGGCAGTGTATTGGATGGGTGATTCTCCGAGCAATGCCGGATTCAGCCCCACGGGGTGTCAAGTGCGATTTGCCCATGTTCTACTTTCAAGCCAGCCAACGAACTTCAGATATTTTGGCGCTATAATTGTCGCATCCTGGCCTTACAACCACCCACTGAATATCGGATGGATGTCTGAAAACACAGGGAGCATCGGAAAGCGAACTGTAGCTTCTGGAGCGGTCATCTTTGCGGCGAATATATACGGTGTCTGGGCTTCTCAAATATACCAAGCATCCGACGCACCGTGTACCCACAAAAGACTCCTGGGCTAGTTTCTGTTGGCTGATTGATTTACAGTCTTCAAACGTGGCAACTCGGCCAACATTGCTATCGCAGGCTTCACTACCGTGCGTCCCTGATGTTCTAAGCTGGACATGATCTCAAATCACCTTTCCAACCAGATAATGTGGTTAGTTTCGTCTAATGGTCTTGTATACCCAAAGCTGACTCGAAACAAGGATCGTTCAAAAATATTACTACAAGCACTTGAACAGGAAACGCGAGCGAGAGTATGCCGCACTCTCTGAAGACGAGAAAGCCGCCGAAGACCGTCTGGTGCATGAGAAAGGGAACCAAAGCCTCACATTCAAATATACGACTTGAAGCGTCTGTGTTTACGTGCATCGAATGACTAGACCATAACTGGCCAATGCGCATTCGGCCTGAGACCCCAGCCTTCCAACCAACTTTGGAATTCCTTTGCGATCTTTTGGTGGCCGGCCACATTTGGATGGACGTTGCTTAAGATCTGTCAGCGACGTAGTGTGGCTCCAAAAAAGAAAGCTTGCGAACTCTGGGAAGACATCTGCGAACTGTACCCAGCCTGTGGTGTCTACGAGGAACACTGCATGGTCTCCTTGCTTATGGCGGGAGCTGATATGGGTCCCATCAGCTTTCTGATATCAGATAACGATGTGGACCTACTCGACGATCTCTTGGTATTGGCCTTGATAGTACTGTGAGATGCTTCCATCGGAGCTCGGCCAGCCCCACTAGTCATGTGAGTTTACTAGCGGACAAAGTCGAGAACAAACGGCCCCACCGGCGTGAAAACGAAGATTGGCTGGTTGTGGTAGACGGTACGAAGGCGAGCAATAAATGACTCGTAAACTTGCACGAATTGACTGGCGGTGACATTCTGGGAGGCGTCGTTGGCTCCGATATGGATCACAAGATGAGTCGGCGTAGGCCTGTCCTTTGCAAAGTTCCAGGAAGTCGTGAAGTTATGGTCCGCTGTGTAGTAGTAGCCAGTGTCTTCCGTCTACACCAGTATCAGTGCATGGTTTGCAGCAATTTCGGTCCGGAATCTCACCCGGAAAAACTGGTAAGAAACTCCGTGGACGTTTCCATAAGAGAAAATGTCCTGAGCGTTGCTTCAACAAACGGAGTATACGTAGCAAAAGGGATCTTGGCTGACCGTCAAAGCGGCTCCTGGTTGAGCACATATAACATGCTCGGCTTTGAAAGCTTCACCCACAAGGAATGGCCAGGCTTGATCAACGCCTTTGTCAAGGAATTGTCCCTAGGTCACATATTGGCTACCGTACCCCGTGCGTGAGTTGAACTGAACTTACAGCTGAGAGAGAGTCGCCAATAAATTGAAACGCGATGTTAGAGGGACGATACGGCAACAACTCGGCGCCCTACTGAGTGTCAAGCCAACGACCAGCCTGAGAGTGGTATGTAGATCGTGGCTCACCTTGTTGAGGATTATACTCTCCAAGTTTATTCGATTATTCTGCCAGCCCTCTGCGTTAACTCTCACGACGGTTTGTTGATTCTTCCCGGAGACGAAGTCGCTCAACGGTATGGAATTAGCGCCTGCGGAAACGTTCACGGTATTGAATTCCCCGTAGTCAACCGAAACGCCGATAGATGCTAGCGGCTGGGTCGTATGTACACCCAAGTTCAAAGTCATTGACTTGAGGTTTTTAACGTTCAGTTTGAAACCTGAGCCAGCCCTGACGCCCAGTTGAGATGCGGTTTCAAGTTTGTTCAGCCATCATGCTTACCACCATGTCCCAGGAGATTCATCCCATCGTCCATGATAGAATATGAGCGGATTACTGTTCTTGATTGTGGTAGCAGCAGAGAGAGTTCCAAGATAGGAGGCGATGACCAGAACTTGAACCGGAAGACGCATTGCTGATAGGATGAGCATCCACCACAGCAAGCATGAGTATTTAAGAAAGCGCAGAAGGAATCATGAGTCGACTGGAGGCAACCGATTATTCGCCGAAGTCAGTGGCAAGACACCATAGGTTTGTCAGTCATGATGGTAAGCAGGCGAAGAGTCGGAAGACTAACAGAAGCATGTTTTTGCAGACCATACACTACTAGTATTTTATGACAGTTGCATTAGCAGGGAGCCAACCCCATACGGTAAGATAGTAGATTACAGGCTACTTTCAGCGGAGAGGACGAGGTTGTGGTAGAGAAGAGTGCGATATCAGCCAGAAGAAGAAAAAGGTGGCCGAGCTGAAGTGATGCGGCGAGATTATGAAGTGAAGGACCCGCAGGGCAGAGGATACAACGTGAGAAGAAGCAATGTCAAGGAAAAATGGGAAAGATGCGCATAAGTAACAATGTGAGACCCGAAGCCGTCCGAGACCCATGCTAGAGAGAGAGGAGAAGGGTGAAGCAGACTATGAAGCAGGGCCGGCGAATAGTCTGTGTTCACGCTCACTCGCCTGTTGAGAGATCGTGATGTAGGCACCCCCCTGCTCTTCTGCAAGGCCAGGGGGAGATGATGGGTTGGTGGGTAGCATGCGGATGCTGTCATCATTGGCCTCCAAATCTTCAACCCAGTTGCGGACAGCAAGGAACTTGGGCGTCTTGATGAACTGAGGAGGCAATCAGCGGAAAAATTAAAATGAATACCAGACGACGAACCTTGGGAACTGAGTCTGTCGCCATCAAACGGAAAACGTGTGTCTGGATACGTTCATATAGCCTAATCATCGTCTGGAGCTGCGTGGCATTGAATGCATTTGCTTGCTCTGGATCAACTTGACCCTGGAAGACCTTGCCGGTCATGCTTGTTACGACGTCCTCCAGATACTTGGACAGCTCGTTGCGAAGACCGTGGTCGATATTGAGCTCGCATTGACTCGATGGTGCCAGATACTTGTTGTAGATGAAGAAGGCCGTGTTGATGAGAGTTTCGTGATGCTTCTCCATCGCTGCCTGCCCTGGCGTCCCTCTTGCAGGCTTGCCGGCAGTCGGCGCAACAGCAATCGCACTGGAAGTGATGTTGAACTTGCGCTTGAAGTCCTCTACCTCAAGCCAGAACGACAAGTTTTCCTCGCAGAAATTTCCCTTGAGGAATTCTCGGAACAACGACCGGAGAGCAGGATCATCCAAAATATATTTCAGACGGTCAGTGTTGCTCTCCTTGCCACCTTTGTGAGCCTCGTAGTTGAGTTTCTCGGCGATCGATATGCGACGATGAATCTTGGCATCAGTGGGCTTCTTGTTGACATGCTCCGAGTCTTCCATCGAGGACCGCGAAGTACTGAGGTTGGCAGAAGAGGCATTGGGCGAGTCGTGGGCACCACGTGAGGAATCCCAGTGTGCAACACGACGACCTTCATCTGTCACCTTGTAGATCGCTTTGGCCGTGCATCGGAACTCGCCATGTTGCTAAGAAAGAGTGAGACAGACAGTGAGGACAGGATAATGGTAGACGTACGCTGACAGGCGAGTTACCACCTGGAGCAGACCCACGAACGGTGAAAATGATCGCAGAGTCGTTGTTCTTGCGCTTGTCACTGACAAGGGTGATGAGGCCAAAACGCACAAATTGGGCAGCCATTTCGGCAGCCTCTTCACGCCCAACGACCGAAGTGAAGTCGCAAAGCCACTCAAGGGCTGTGATAGCAGCAAACGAGTATTTATGGAGCGCCTGACTCTTTCCTTGTAACGCCTGTGCACGGTCGTTTACATCCATCAGTGGAACACCTTTGGAGCGTTCATTGTACTTTTGGAACGGGTCCACGGGAGGGTTGGTGGAAGAGGGGTAATTGGGTTGGCGACCAACAAAGCGACGGAAAAGAGCAGTTATGACGGACTGGGTAACGATAATTTCGTCGTCTGTGGACCGTCGTTCGAGGTGGAGAAGTTTGATACAAATGGGTTGTGAAACAAACACGGATTGAAGATGGTCGGCGTTGATGCCGTTCTTGCTGATGAACCGCTCAAGGACATGGAGGCCCTTGGGAGTGAGAACGTAGACACCACGCTCTTTGAAGAGATTGGAGGATGGGTCGGTTGCGTTCTCTATCAGGCGTGCATCCATGAAATGTTGGCTCATTGCCTTCGCCATGTCGCGGGTCATCGAAAAGGTAGTTGTCGTTGTGGTCGTTACAACTCGAGAGGGTTCCCTCGGGTCAGGTCCCCTGTTAGACTGAGAAAATTTGAGTGAGGCAAGGTTCTGGGCGGCTTCATCGCTGGAGACAAATTAGCGGAGACCCCCCCCCCCCCCCCCCCCCCCCCCCCCCCCCCCCCCCCCCCCCCCCCCCCCCCCCCCCCCCCCCCCCCCCCCCCCCCCCCCCCCCCCCCCCCCCCCCCCCCCAAGCGGTAAGAGCACGAGGAGCATACGTCGAAAAGGAATTGGGGAAAGTTTTGAAGAATTGTTTGTGCGGCCCTAGCTGGAGGGAAACAATTAGAGTAGCGAAAAGGTCGAGGGTGTCCTGGTTGAAGATGAACAAGGGGGGTCAATGACGACGGCAACGCTGACGAACCTTGAGATATGGTCTACCGCGCTTGGTGGTCTTCATCATGTGGGAGGAGGTGCCTGGGTCATCTTGAGGCATCTTGGGCGAGAGAGACGGCACAGTGGAGAAAGAAATGAAAAAGGAACAGGCCCGTCGCCGTGCAGACGCTGGGAAGAGGGTGGTCACAAGTCACACCCTGATTTGAAGGCATCAAATCACCCAACCGTTACCGTGCCTCGTGTTGCCCCTCTCCGCACATTAGCTCCCCATGTCCACGAGTATCAATGTAGCTGCTCTTGCCTCGGCAACTACAAGCTAATCAAAATCGTTGCAACTTAGGATTCTGAAAGCGTTCGCGCTATTCTCGACCGTCTCCGTGCTTCCCATGCATGGCAGACTGCAAATAATCAGTCAACAGCTGTGGAAGCTCAGTCTGACTCTGACTCGGCCGTGTCAAATTTGCCCTCAGTCGCATCATTACTTTCTCAACTGAATAATTCTGGCGTCCAGTCAGAGCCAACTCCCAGACCAGCTCCCATTGAGCCATCTCCGCCGCCAATTCCTGTTCAAACCACGCCCGAGACAGATCTGAGACATTTGACGTTTCAGCAAGCCTTGCCACGACTCGCTCAACTCTCTGACGACCCTAAGATATTGTCGGCTATCGAGAACGTACGCGTTTCGTCACCTTCAATCCATGTCTGACCAAGCAGCTCCCAGTTGCAACAGGAACAAAATAAGTTGGAACGTGACTTGTGGTCAGAGCGCGTCTCCATTCGTTCCAAGTATGAATCAAAAGTCCAAGTTGCCAAAACGAAGTACGTACTTGTCGTGGTTTTTTTTTTTCTCCTCACGTGACACGCAACAGAGCTCAGTTAATCGGGGCCAACGGCGGCGTTTCCAAGCACGAAGCCGAGGTCGCTCTCTCATCCGTAACCGCCTCGTCTCTTCTTACTTAACATAACTACAGATGATCTCACGCGCGTATGAGAAGGAACTGAAGCAGTTTGATTCCGACCGCGCTTTGCCAGCCTGGGACGCGTTGGTAGCCAAGCAGCAGACGACCCTGGCTCAATTAGGGCTTCCTTCTATGTTTCTGACAACAGAGAAGAGCGATAGAGAGGCAAGACTCTGCTTGCCCCCACTCAGAAGATCACTAATAGCAAGTCTCTGACAGCGTCAACACCGGATTATACAAGTTGTGGAGGGAATAGTGTCGAGTAAAGAGTGAAAGATTATGTGGCTGTCTGATGCCCGATATTTTTTACTCTTCTGGGGGGAAACAAGAGAGTACTTCGGACCGTCTTTGATGATGGTTTCTGTCGGCGGTTTTATCCTATTCAAGTTCTCACGCACACCTGGATGTCGGTACACTTACAACGAATAATAGCCTATCAAGTTGCGCAACCCCAAACGACTATTTCCTATCCTCAGAGCTTGCTCTCTGTGATTCTCTGTGAGTTGGCTTTGGCTACATCTAACCATCAGTGCCCCGGCGAACGGCTCAATTTTCACATTCGCTTAGAGGACTGTACCCGATCAAGCAAGTCAAAGTTTTTCAATTGGCATTCAGGGTCGTCCTCTTATGGCATAGAATTTTCTTGCAGCATACCTTCATGCTCTTTGCTGAGCACGACTATGCCTTTCGTTGACATTATCAGCGACGACGACTACGCGTCTCTCTACTACATTACCAACACTCCCTTCTGCAACGTTGGTGGCTTTGACCCAGAAAAGCCCACAGTCTGCATTCTCCCACCTACGTTTCTCGACTCTTCATGGCTCGACGCTCAACTAGACGACCCACGGCTGGATTCGGAATATAATATCATCGCATTCGACCTCCCGCGGTGCAGTGGAAAAAGTGAATGCCGACCTAATGGACGCCACGACAATTGGACCGATGCTGCCGACCTTGCGTTCGCTGCTCGCGTATGTTTTTCTCCGTCATTCAACTAACATTCACAACTATGAAGGCTCTCGCCCTTCCCCCAATGCACATACTGGCTTTCGAAGGGATTGGGACGAATGCTGCCCTCCGCTTTGCTACACTGTATGTTCTTCGCAGCATCTCAACTGCTGATCATCTAACCCATTTAAGCTTCCCAGAAATGTGCCTTAGCTTGGCTCTATGCAATGTCCCTCCATCCACTGAGTGAATCCTCTAATCTATCATTGTTTACCGTCACTGACCTAGTTGCTTTATCAGGCTTATGTGGATTTACACTGCGTACAGCGAACTGGTCCAAACTTGGTGCTTCGCGGATGATTTGGAAGCTTATGAGCATGTTACGAACGAAGCTGTTTCATTCACCCTCGGACCGGTGCGTTGGTTCAGGACCTCAAGTGGAGGGACACCACTCAAAGCTATCTCTAGAATACCTCAACTGCCTTGCGTGACGAGGTGTGCATTGGAATTGGACTGTTGATCCAGGTCTTGAACGTTTGGTAGCTCATAGCATACTGGGAAGTCACGATGCATCCTCAGCGGCGACAACGAGTCATCGAACAGGCCAATCTCGTTATGAATGTGTGTCAACCCGTCAAGCGTTTTGTTTCCATTTCTTATTCCTGCTAGCGAACACCGCTTCCAACCAGCGCGCACCAGTACATCACCCAACCTGTTCTTATGATTCACGGAGAGGCCAACGAGTCTGCCCCGCGGAAATACGCTGAACGTTTGGCGCAGGATCTCAAGGCAATTTTTTATCCCGTAAAAGGTCGGCGTGTTTACAGGCCGCGTTACCCGAATGACTGATCCAAGTCCTCTATAGGCGGCGGCGGCTATCTGAGCATTACGCCTGGGACTGCGTCAATTGTGAACCAAGTCTTTGTAAAATTCCTGTCGCGGCTCCCCAAGGCACGCTCAGATCGTCCAGAACATATCACCAGTGTTCAGGAGCGGATGCAAGAGGCGCTCAATGTGCTCGAGTCCATAACAGGAAATACTCATTTATCCTCGCGCAACCCCATGTCGCCCCTCTCCTTCAGCTGTCTGGCTGACGGCGTGGTGCGGACCCAAACAGAGCAACTAGCAAACTATCGCAAGGGCCAAACCCTGGCTTTCTGTCCTCTCAATCCCCTGACTCAGCGTCCACTACGACGGTATTCAGAGCGGCCACTTGATGATTGGTTTGATGGTAACAACGAGAGCAAGTCCTCCTTCGCAGGTACTATACTTCTTTTGCCAACTTATACAACACGCATTCACGCTCTTCTAGTCGGAACCCGTTACCACGAACCCACAACCACTCGAACCGACCGCCCCCTTCCATTACCCCAGTCTGATCCTATATTACCTGACGAAGGGCGTCTCCGACGTGGTACATTCAGCCCAAACTCGGTAGAAAAACAGGTCATCAAGGGCTCTATGGCCAAGGTCGTCAGCTCTCAACCAAGCTTACAAAAGTTATTTCTCTAACTGATCACCCTTCGTTTCTTTGCATTCCCCACTGTATACCTACCTGCTTCACCACTCCTTTTGTATTAGAGTTACCTAGAGTCGCACAGACACAAACTACTATGGATGAAAAAGTACACTTAGCGTACACTAATGGAGACCTTGGTCTATATCTAACGTGGGAGTCCGATTCAATTATTAAAGGTTGCCCTCCTCCATTTTAGCTTTGTAGTAGCGGACCATCTCCTCCAAACCCATGCGGACAGTCCAACGAGGCTGCCATTGCAAAGTCTCTTTTGCACGGCTAGTGTCAGGACGACGGCGCTGCGGGTCGTCGGAAGGCATAGGCTCGTGAACAATCTGAACTTGGCGGGTGCGTTTTACACCATCTTCGTCTTGAACCTTCTCGACAATTTCACGGACAAGATGGGCAAAGTCACCAATCGTGAACTCGTCGCCATTGCCAATGTTGACGGGGCGCGACTCGTCCGAGTTCATCAGGGCAATCAGTCCGTCAATGAGGTCGTGAATGTATTGGAAGGACCGAGTCTGTTTGCCGTCTCCATAGACAGTCATGTCTTCGCCTTTGAGAGCGGAGACCACAAAGTTGGAGACTACACGGCCATCGAAAGGGTTCACTAACAATGGATGAGTATCGCTTTTGGAGTGGTCTGACAGGGAAACATACTGCGAGGACCATAGGTATTGAAGATACGGGCAACACGGACATCGACACCATCTTGACGCTGGAACCCATATGTGAGAGTTTCGGCCACGCGTTTGCCTTCATCGTAGCAAGCACGAAGCCCAATCGGGTTTACGTGACCCCAACTGAAAAAAAATTGACGGCTAGAACAATGCGCAGCAAGCGAATACTCACTATTCTTCGGTTTGGGGATGGACCTCTGGGTCACCATAGACCTCTGATGCACTAGTGAGCGGCAGACAGAATGTATCAAAGGATCATACCGGATGTGCTGGTAATGAGGAAACGGGCCTTGGTGCGTTTTGCGAGCCCAAGCATGTTGAGGGTCCCCATGAACGACGTCTTGATTGTCTTGACCGCATTGAACTGGTAGTGGGGAGGGGAAGCGGGGCACGCGAGATGATAAATCTCTGTAACGCGGGTAAGAAAAAACGCGTCGCCAGCGGGGAGAAATCATTTACGGTCGCATTCAATCATGAACGGTTCTACCACATCATGGCGGATGAGCTCGAAGTTGGGGTGGCCGACCCAGTGGCTGACTGTCGTTTTCGATCCAGTGAAGAAGTTATCGAGAACGGTGACTTCATGGCCCAGGAGCATGAGACGGTCCACCAGATGCGAACCAACGAAGCCTGCACCGCCAGTGACAAGGATGCGTTTACGCTCAGACGGCGCGAGAAGGGTCACTGGCGGGAAGCGGGAAAGGGTCGTGTACGAAATGGTCTTCGTGTCGGGGTGGTAAATCGACTTGGACTGGTAGTCGGCGCCTTGAGTGAACTGGGCATGGCTCGTCTCCTCCTTAGCGTCCTTGATATCGTTCGCGGTCAGGACGTAGTGGGGTCGCAAGTACAGCGAGCGTAGAACATCCAAAGACACCTCGCAGTTGAAGCCAAAGCGGTCGAAACCAACGGTGGTGATTTCTTTGCCGTCTTTGTCGAGAGTCTTAATCTGAGCGATATAAGATTAGGCGCGAGAGCGGGGAAGGCAAACAAACGGGGGCAGCGGTGGTGGTGGTCATATCGGGAGAATCAGGAAGGGAAACGAACGTTCAAGGGCTTTTTGGCTTTTTATACGATTGCGGAGGAAGGCAGAATTGCGCGTGACATAACTAAGGGGCCAACTGTCAGAAACTTTTTCAGTCCCGCTATGCCTGCTGTCCGAAAAGCCTCGGGCAAGTCCCGCCACGATCCACTGCTCGTCCAACTCGCAGACGATGATATTGAGGCACGCTATGGTCGCGTTTCCCAGCCTGGAAAACGGAAAAAATCCAAAGACACCGAGCAAGACGATGAGGTATGCATTTCCCAAGCGGCATCGCCTCAACTAAAACCATCCAAACAGGTCATATTAGACCCCAAAACTTCCAAACGCATTTTCGAGCTTGCCCGAGATCAGCAAGATGAGCTTGGGCTTGAAGACATTGACGACGATGAAGAGATCAACACGCGTGCTGCCTCACTACAAAAACCACGCCCCAACGAAAATGACAGCGACGAGGACTCTGAACTGGAAGACCTTGAGGATCAGGATGTAGAAGAAATATTTGTGAATCCACTCCTGCCAATACTGCGCAGCAGCTCACGATTATCAGGAAATTGACGAAGGAGATCTTGAAACGCTTGATGCTCTCCATCCACACAATGCTGGCGAGCGCCGAACTCTCGCTGACATAATATTCGCCAAACTGGACGGCGGAGAAACGCCAAACGCCGCTGTAATACAGAATGTGCAGCAAGGTTGGATCTCACCGTGAAACCGCGGCTTGTTCTGACCGACTCTCAAAAGACAGAGATAGACCCGACCCAGCCCTCGGGCTTGATCCAAAAGTTGTAGAAGCATATGAAAAGTGCTTCCTTCTTTGTCAATCTTCCTTCACCGTTCTTATTTTTCTGTCAGATTAGGCATGTTCCTACGCAAATATAAATCAGGGCCGCTTCCCAAGATCTTCAAAGTCATACCTACCCTGCCTGCGTGGGCGCGGCTTCTTGCTCTTACTCAGCCCGAGAACTGGTCACCACATGCTTGTCTAGCTGCGACACGAACATTCATCTCGAGCATGAAACCGCCCCAAGCTCAACTCTTCCTCAGCGTTGTCCTTCTTGACGCGATCCGAGAAGACATCAGCCAAAACAAGAAGCTCAATGTCCACTACTACGATGCGCTCCGTCGCGCGCTTTACAAGCCTGGCGCATTTTTCAAGGGAATCATCTTCCCCATGCTCGATCAAGGCTGCTCACTCAAAGAAGCCGCCATTGTAGCCTCTGTACTAGCTCGCACAAAAATCCCTGTCCTTCATTCCTCAGCTGCCATGCTACGCATTGCTGAGATGGACTACTCTGGCCCCAACTCGCTCTTCTTGCGAGTGTTGATCGACAAAAAGTATGAGCTGCCCTACAAAGTTGTTGACGCTTTAGTGTTCCATTTCATCCGGCTCTCCAACACGTACAAGGCCAAGACTCGCGGCGACTCTGAGAAGCTTCCTGTCCTATGGCACCAAAGCTTGCTAGTCTTTGCCCAACGGTAAGGAATCAAGCAATTCTTTGTTGTCGACTGTTGACTAGTTTCAAGCTATGCATCTGACCTTACGCCCGACCAAAAGGATGCACTTTTAGATGTTGTCCGTGCCACACCCCATGCACAGATTGGGCCCGAGATACGGCGGGAGCTGGTCAATTCTGTAGTTCGCGGCGCACCAAGGGAAGACATGGATGTGGATATGACGTAGCTACTCTCTAATCTTGGAAATCCATGGCTCAACCACTTGTTCGACAACTTGAAGGTTGTTTTTCTCCATGAAGAACATGTGACCATTTCCTGAGGATCATTCAAGCCTCCAAACTCAAACGCAAAGAGAGCAACATACCATGAATCCCCGCTTCGCCTAGCTGGACATGTTCAACCGAAACTCCTGCTTGTCGAAGGTAATTGACTGTACAGTTATCGTACTGCGCATGGTAGCTAGTTTCTGAGGTCACTACCAAGACGGGAATATGAAGGAGGTTTGTCAACCTCCTGGCTGGAGCAGCTTGCTCGAAGCAGGTCACATTGGGTATCTGGCTGCCAAAATTGAATCAAGGAGTCTTGACTTGCATGAAAAGGTACCTTAGAACGCGTCGTGACAGTTCCGAGGAAGAGGTTATGGGGGGATCATATGTCAATGCGATGTCCGAGACCCCAAACTCGCGAGCGGGTGTGAAGGGCGGAAAAATCGCGTTGATGAATGGTGGCCCCAGAGGCTCCAGAGCAACAATGGCTTTCACTTGACTCGGTCGGGAATCACCCAGTATCCAACTATACTCGCCAGCTTGGGAATGGGTCATCAAAATAACAGGCTAAATTTAAGACAGTAGTACTTGAGACAACAAGTTGAATAAACCACACATTGGACTCACCCCAATGAGATCGAGGAGTTGGCTCCCCGCAGTTTTGACGTGAACGGATTCTTCTGTGTTGTTGTTGATCGAGGGCACCGTCGAGGCATAGAAAGCATCGAAAACGGGATCGCCCATAGAGCCGTTGCCTGGCCATTGCGTATGCAAGGCTGCTTGAGGCCAGAGATGATGCTTTTCAGGAGCCGTAAACCGCGACTCTACGGTTAACGTGTCGAATGCAAGCAGGGCTCCGTTTATGGTGGGTTGCCACGCAGAACGACCTCTCGAAGGTTGATCGACGATGTACAGCTCGTACCCTTTGCTCAAGAAATGGTCCGCCCAACCGAGTCGTCCGTCGGGGGTGTTGAGAAAGTTGGACCCGGTCATACCCTGCCCATGGATTATGAGCAGAGGGAAAGGCTGCGATACCGTCGCAGGGGTAAGCCGTTCGGCATAGATTTGATTTGCGGCAAGGGATGAATTGCCTCCAGGGAAATAGGTCTGACCGGCGTAAAGATACGTTCTACGGTGCAGTGTCCCAAGCGGCTGCTGCTGGGCAGTCACACAACAGACTGCAACAGCGAGAATGAAAAGTAGAATCATAGTGGGTAATTGAAGCTCAAAGTGCAGCGTAGACCTTATATACGGTAGCGGAGTGGCGTCATGACGAGCTGGGACTCCGCCCGCAAGGCCTGCTGACCTAACAAGGAGGGAAATCGAAGAGAGTTGTGCATTCGTGATGGTTGAGAAAGAGTTCGAGAAAGCGAATTTCCCACGATATCAAGGATTACATTTAGGCAGATACATCCAATACATAGCTCAGTAAGGTATATTCCACTCCGTTCTACGAGATAGGTCTCACCCTTGGACTTGGTTTTCGCTGACCAAAGCAACCACAACCGTGACACTAGATCAAAAGGTTCAATGGGGATGAAAGGCAATAGTCGAATGCTCACTCGTCCGGTTTCTGCACTTGAATGGTCAATTGTGCGTTATTTTGTGGAAAGAAGTACTCGAGACGTACCCCGCCTGGAAAGAACATGCCTTCACGCGCAGCTTGGCCTATAATATCAAGCCTGATAAGTGACATTCTCAAAGCGTGCGAGCAATACCCACGTTCAAACGGGCTAACCCTCGTCTTAGCAGCCATGCACTCACGGGCATGAATAACCAGCCGATCTGCCATTGACTGGGCTTGCGCGTCATGCGAATCATCGACCTCGGGATCGGACGAGCAGATCTCGACCATTTCATGCATAAAGACATTGTCTGAGAATCCATCTGTCTAAAAAAAATAAGGTTGAGCTTGGAGCAGAGCTAACGAAATGGAATGCCCACATAAGCAACTACGATGTCTCCGTCACAGAGTTGCGCTCGATGGGTTTCAGCTTCGCGGGGGGAGTCGACACAGGCACGCGTAAAACGCTTCCCTGAGGGTGGGGGCAATTTTGTTAGTTGTCTAAAAATCCTTGAGCGACATAGCAGCCACGAATACGCGGGGAAAATGACTTTGGGCAGTTAAAGAAGTGTGTTTGAACAGGTTGAGTGTACAGAATCGAGGAGGAGCGTATTATCGAGAAACCGCTGTCGCCAAGACTGCCAGAGATGAGCTCCAAAAGCCGCAGATAAAGCAAGCCCTTTACTTTGCTGATCGTAGTAGGCCGTTCTGGGCATTGAGGCTTAGTATGCAGGCGGTGCTGGACCCAGCTTCAACGAATTTTTCGCGTAAAACCCCCCCATATGCCAGCTGAGAGAAGGTTAGAGACTGTTCAAGTGCTGAATGAACACTTCTTACGTCGAGACACTCGTATGGTGTTAGCTCCCAGCCCTCCACTTGTTCTCGTTCCTCGTAATCTAAGGCTGGATCCACCTCGGGTTCGCCGGCCCAAGCGCTTCTTGAATAACGGTGGGCGTGATACATGAGTGCCTGGGAGAATATGGCAGGATCTACACCACTCTCAAGCCACCCAGTTACTCCGTCTGCTACCCCGAGACAAATGCCCTTTCGACGCGTCAAATGAGGTTCCAACAAGGTTATCCACGCACCGAGCCATTGCGCATCTAACGCGCACAGTCACTCAGTAAGTCGCGTCATCTCACGAGCCTAATCTGGACCCACTGAATTGTGAAAGAAGAAATCCTCGCCACACTCTTTGGTCTGGACCTTCTTGGGTCGTGAGAGCATCTTGTTTCGCCACGAGCCAATGATGCCGTCGGAGGGAAAGGGTACACGAGGTCGCTCTCCTGGGTAGCGAATGGGTGGTTTGGGTGCAAAGCTGACGCCAATGTGAAATGAGTAGGGGTGAGGGGCCGCGTATGAGGAGTAGCATCGCATGCAAGAGGAAGGTCGACGACGACGGAGGACTCGTATTATGGACATGGAGACTGGCAAGCTACCCAGTGGTTCATGCCAAAGTTCGGACAGCTGACATCATCATCCCAAAATTATCATACAGCTCTAGACTACTTTTGGCGCCAATGTCCTATGAACGACCTTTCCGCTGCTTCTTGCCTTCGCTAGGTGCTGCCTTGATTGCCCCCATAACATCAGCAAGTCCAGAGTCCAGTAATGTGGATGTGTCTGTTTCTTGAAGACCCTCCAATGCAGTTCTTTTGACCTTTTTACCAAGTGCACCGGCGAAAAGCTCGTCGATTTCGTCCTTGGCTCGATTGGCATCTCGCTTCCGCTTTTTGGTTAGAGGCAGCTCTGACCGAGTGTGATTCGCATCTTGCTTGACCTCAGTGGCTGATGCGAACTTGGTTCGATTCGCTTGTGCAGTTCGCCATTCGTCAGGTCTTCGTTGAAGAAGGTAAAGGTTGAGATTCCTGGCGAAGAATTTCCCGTAATATGAGGCAGCAAGAAATGATTCCTGCGAGATCAGGGATCTTGCAATTTTCTCCTGTGAAGACGGACAAGTTGGTTCTGAACATCCGCTTGATGAAACTAAGCACTAACCTTGAGATAGGTATCGGAGAAGGCCCAACATCGGTCCCCAACCCGACTGCCTATGCGGTCGTCCACGAGAGTGTGATAATGGCCTATTAATGATTGCACAAATTGACGTTTGGCTTTCGTCGGGACAGTTGAAGAATCAAGGAGAGCGTCTAGGACGCGAGATGAAATGGGGTGCTTTGCAAGTGCCAGCACCTCTTCCATCGAGAAATTCTGTAGGCTACATCGTGCGTTAGCAAGCAATCAGACGCTGAATAAAAAGTTGCTCCACCTTTGAATGACCAAGTCGTTGAACGGTTCAGGCATTCTTAGAAGGGATTGTAAAAGGACTGCTCCTTGAACTTTTGGTTGCCGAGCATCGTCATCAGATTCGCGTTTGCGTTTCTGGTCACCCTCCTGTTGACCAAGTTTCTCATAGTCCTAAAAGTCATGTTTTAACCATAAGTCTTCTCCGATGGCGTCAGAATACCTGAACTGTTTGCAATCGGAGCATACAAGGCACAAGCAGTTTTTTGCCATCCGCAGTTGTTGCTCGAATCGACGCCCAAACAGCCTATCGTTGTGACTGAGGTCTCATCTACAACAGAAGACTCTTACCTCAGTAACTTCGGGTCCGCATGATTTCAACGCTGCTGCACGGTCGATGACAGCTCTCAAAACACCGGTTCTTGAGGTTTCTGGGGAAATGATGTCAGTGGCCAAGAGTTGAAGACGGGAAAAACTGACGTATCATTTTTTCCCAGACATTTTTAAGCTCTGTAAAAATCCCGACAAGCTGAGCGACGTCAACGCGTTCGAACGCTTTGGCTAAAACGAAGTTGGCGACAGGATGGCTTGCAATCTTGGGTAATGCCCCTCGGAAATAGATGGCCCAAAGATTGGAGAAGGCATTAGCAGGGCACTCCGTCACAATAGTTTCGAGTAGATGTGAGGATGTCGGGTCGCGAAGCAGGGTTGTGATATAATCAGAGACGGGGAAGTCAGAGTTTGCCTTGTTTCCTGTGTGCAGATGTGGTATAAAAATGTTACGCAGATGGAAATCACGAACGTGAGGAAGATACCAGACCAACGAGGACTCTGTCCATGAGAGAGTCCTCTTCTTCCGTCATTTGCTGTTCGGACTCGACGGCGAGGAGAATCTAATGGAATCAGAGGCAAATTTATTGAGACAAAAAGACGAACCTGCAGTGTAGGGCTGGCAACTTTGTTTGCCGCTAAAGCTCTGGTCTCGTTCGGATCCAATCCCTGCCGCACGGCATGCAAAAATCTCTGCACAGAGCTTTTGAAGGCGGCTGGCTGACTATAGGCTATGGAGTCCTCATTTGAAGCCTCTTCAAAAACAGACTTGAGGGGTCCTTGTCGGGCTTTCCATTTTGCACTCTTTTTGGAACGGACGTCGCCTCGACCTGCTTCTTGCTTTGCGGCCAGAGTGGGGGAGAGCAGAAGAAGAAGGGCGCGCATAACATGAGAGCCGAATGCATCCATCACCAGAACAGTGGACACCGCAAAAAGTTCCTGCATGTAGTGGTTAGATAACGAATGCAATATCAACAGATGCTGCAAGCACCTCGCAAACATCCACGATCAGTTCGGTCATGGTTCTGAGTTCACCGCTATCTTCACTTGTGGCAATGACCGGAAGTATACCCCGTTGCTGGAGGAAAATTAGCTGATGGTCCAACTCCTTGGATACTTTGTACTTCTCTGGCTATGGTTTGGCCTGCAACCGTGAAGAGGGTCTGGCAAACATGCGAGGCGAAGCGATGCTTGACAAGAACATCATAGCTTCAGAGAGTAAGGAGCAAAAACAAGGTGGAAGGTAGCACGCACGATCCCGCCAAACTATCAACGAAGACGCGACGGACAAAATCATCCATGGAATATAGCATTCGCTCCAAAATAATTGAGCAATCCGGATCTGTTGAGAGCTGCTTTTCTTTGCCGGCCATTTCCTTCAGCGCAGCAACGAAGAACATTCTTCTTTCTTGGTTTAGTTGAGGTTAGTCCATGACTGCAATAGTTAATACTGACCTTCGTTGGGATCGCTTTGTCCGTCATCTTCAAGGTCTCTCGCAGCATCCTGCCAGGCCCGTATTTGGATATCAACAGTGCGAAAGTAGGCCTTGACGTCGACGTCGACGTAGCCAAACGGTGCTTCAGTGTCGTTTTGAGTTGTCTCTTCCTTGGGTTGGACAATCCAAGACGGTTCTACTTTCTGAGGTTGCTGAGGAACATGTTCGGGTTGTTCAGCTTGTTGTGCCTTCTTTTTCTTGCCTCGTTTACGAAGCTCTTTGGGCATCCGTGCTGAAGCTCTGAGGAAAGGAAAATCTACACGTGACCTCCGCCCTTTGATTGACCTTGCATCTTTCTGAAAGGACGTGAACACAGACTACTGTTACACAGTGCAACGAGATCATAAGTAGATCGAGCCAGACGATAGACTCACCAATTTTGTCTTTCAGATTTGGGACATCGGTTCAAGCTGTTTTTGTCATTTTCCACCGAAGCAGAGTATTCCGCGAATCGACCTTTGTTTCCTAGCAATAGCTGGTAGCGCACACTGTATGGTAGGCAATTTATATTTTTGTGTAGAATACTGGAAGAGTGCGACGCTCATAGTGATTGGGCGCCGAGATTTTGAACAGGCACGTGGACTCGGAGAACCCAACTCATCTCAAAACTTTGACAGTCAACACTCAAATCTATGCGGTTCCGATGTTTCCCTGACTCCAGCCTGCGATGAAAGACTCGTGCACGGACCAGCCGAGACCTATATAAACAGGGCACCCCTTTCACTCTGTTTCTTTGAAGCCGTCATGACCAACTTTGGTTTGATTCGCGGGATGCGTGGTGCTATGCGTGGGCGAGGGCGAGGGCGAGCTGCACGGGGTAGCGCGGCTGGAGCAGGCCAGATACGAAACAAGTTCGTCTTTGGATACTCTTTCGTCGTTTTGAACTAATCGCTCTGTCCAGTGTCTCTGCATCGTTTGGCAAAACCCTTCAGTTCATCACTGAAATCAAGCTGGCCGAACTTGAAAAGCAGCGACTTGCCTATATGGAACACTCTGCCGTCCTCCAAAAAGCTGCCGCTTTGACGAATGACCTCCCCGGCCGTGTCGAGCTTCTCCTCAACGCCGTCCGTTCTTGGCGTGGCTCGGGTGCTGTCAACTATCACACCATCCTCGCTGGCAAGCTCGACCTAGCCAGTATCGACCTATGGCTGCTCCAAGCCCGCAAAGACCCTGGCTTCAGCCCTGAAGTCGTTAGAGACTGGGCTGACACGTTGGAGGCGCATATCCGCCATTCAATCACTCGTTTCGAGTTCGCGAAGCTGTTTGGCGGTCTCTTCAATGAATGGCTGGCCAGCGGCGATTCTGTGACCGCCAAAAGTTCGTCGCTTGATGCATCACCGGCGACAGATACGACTGCCGAAGCGTTTGTCGAGGTGGGGCGCAAAGAGATGTACGAACAACAAGAGCGGTTCAAGTCTCTCATCTTCCAGACCAAAAACATCGACACTGCTGCTTTGACCGACTACCTTTCCGCCCTCTTTGTTGGCCCTTCCATTGAAATCCTTGACAAGATGAGGGAAGGAATGTTAGAGTTTGCGCAGGAACTCGAGAAAAAGACAATCACGGCCGACGATATGACTTGGATTATCAAGTCTCTTCTTGCTTCAGATCAGATGGCTGAGTCAAAGCGTCAGACAATCCGCGAGTTTGCACAAAACCCTACGGTTCTATCCGAAATCGCGACCGTTATGAACATGCGCCTTGCCAATTTGGAGGCTTGGACGTGGCCCACTCAAGGGGCTCAAGTTGACATGCGCCGACATCTCAATGGAAAATATCGCTTCTTCACCGACCCTGATGTTCTTGATGCGCTCTTCCTTCATTACATCGGTATTATGTGGCAAGTCAAATTCAAGCAGGATGCCACAGAGTTGTTTTCCTCGAAAGCATGGAAGCAGGAATTCCAGCCATTTACTCATGCCCAAACTCAGTCCCGCTCGAGCTTTTTCGGTGAACATGCCAATAATGCATCTATCCATTCCCATCGTCAAACTCTACGCAAAGATCACTTCCTCCTCGGTCAATTGGCTTCCTCAGTCGAATCGACGCCTGTCTACGATGAGGATGGCATTGCAGACCAAACTCAAATTCCTGCATCTCATGTCAAGCAGGAGCTTCTTCATCTTGTGGCTACGGAGTCGTATCTCAACCGCACTCTCCATGATACTTTCACTGTTGTGGCGACAGACTTTGAGTGGTTTGGGCCATCGCTCTCCTTTGACACGATATCGACATGTCTTGCCTTCTTTGGAGTCCCAGACAAGTGGCTTCAGTTCTTCCGGAGATTCCTGGAGATGCCTCTATACTTCAAAGAGGACAAACCTGGTGAAGGAACGCGTATCCGTCAATGTGGCACCCCCCTTTCATACTCATTGAGTGCATTCTTCGGCGAGGTTGTACTCTTTGGGCTCGATTATGCTGTTAATCAACGGGCTGGTGGTTTGTTTTTGCATCGCATCCACGATGACGTCTGGCTTTGGAACGCTGACTCAAATAAATGCGTGCAAGCCTGGGCAGAAATCCAGAACTATTCGTCGTTGGCCGGTTTGACGATCAACCAAAAAAAGACGGGAGCCGTCTGTGTTGGTGCCTCTGTTGCGCCAGAGCTTCCAGTTGGCGACATTCGCTGGGGTTTCCTCAAGTTCAATGCGGAGCAAGGTCGATTCATAATTGACCAAGCCGAGGTTGATGTCCACATCGTCGAACTCCGTCGCCAGCTGGCTGCAACCAAGTCTGCATTTGGGTGGATCAACTGTTGGAACCGGTATGCCGCCTTCCTCAGCAGGAACTTTGGTGCGCGACCAACCAAGTCGTTTGGGCCCGCGCTTTGTCTTGGTCAGGCTCATCTCGACGACATGATCGACACGTTGGCTCGCATCCAGCGCGAGCTCTTCCACTCCGAGTCTGGTTTCGGTGCAGTCAACCATCTTCGCGCGGTCATCGAACAGCGTTTTGGCGTCACCGATCTGCCCGACGGGTACTTCTACTTCCCAATCTCCAGTGGCGGCCTCGAGTTGCGCAATCCGCTCATTGAACTTCTCGCGGTCCGCGATGCCTTTATTCAGGACCCAGCGGGCCAATTCCTCGCGCAGATGAAGGCCGACCAGGAGGCGTATGACACCCTCCAGGAGAGTTGGGCGGAGAAGCCAACTTACTCCTCCTACCCGATTGGCAAAGCGTTCCCGCCCTTTGCTGAGTATGCGTCCTACCGCGAGACCGGGCTGCGGTCCTGGCAAGTGCGCTATCAGTCGCTGATGAATACCGCACACCCCACTCAACTCACTATACCCAACGGCCTCCAAACACCCAGGGCCAATCAGATGGACTTTTATGACCGCTGGGTGCTTGCCATGTATGGCGACCAAATCCTCAAAAAGTTCGGCTCTCTCGAGCCCGTTGATGCCGACCTGATCCCAGTCGGGCTAGTCCATCTCTTCTCAGGCAGTAGACATCAGTGGGATCAGTAGAGCATCGTAGCCATAAACTGTACTTGTAATACTACCACACACCCAACTCAATCGACATGAAATGACCATGGCATTGCGTTTCTGAGCCACTACTTACTCGTACAACAGGGAATTGAACTATTACAAATGCAGCAAGGAGCGAATGTCCGACGGGAAATCAGAGTTCATAAAGCATAACATTTCGTACGAGTCTTTGTTCAGGTAAGCTGCGACCACACGCAGCATGCTCGATTCGGACTTGAGGGAGGCCCTGACGTCCAGCTTGCCCTCCTTCAAGTCCTGGAAACGCTTGGGCCGGTACTTCGCCTGCCTCTTCGGAGAAACGATGTCCAGCGCTTCCAGTTGGCCACCACCGCCATGGTATTTCCACCGCGACGCCATGAAGCAGAGCAGGGAGGAGTTCTTGAACGACTCGCCGTTACAGTTCAGGTGGACACTTTGGAGGCGAGGCACCAGGGCGGTATCTTCCAGTGCTCGAAAAAACTCGTTGTTTATGTAATCATTCTCTCGGTCGGCCTGGGACAGTGCAAGGCTCAAGTGGCGTAAAAAGGGCACTGCTTTAAGCGCTTGGACGATCTGGGGTGTGGTGAGGGGCAGGTACCCCAGATTCAGGCTCTCCAGATGGGCGCCTATCCGATTGAGGAACGCGAAGAGCTTGTCTGGCTGTGTCCAATGGTCGATGAGGTTCCAACTGACGCCGAACGATCGAAGAGCAGGGCAGTCCAGTTTATCAAGAAAGGCGTGGAGGCTGGTCTCTGATGGCGAGATGTGATCCCCGTTGTAGAGCTTCAACTCGAGGTCTTTCATCTTGGGCAACACAATTACGCGTTGGGGATCACGTGTATCCAGAACACAGACGGCGTTCAAGCTGCATGCCGTAAGATTGACGCCTTGCTCGAGAATGTGCAGACAGTCGTCGAGGGTGGGAATCGTGATGAGGAACAGGTCGAGTGTGACCAACTGGGCCCAGTTTAGACCCAAATCAGGAATGAGGAATGGCGAGAGTCCGACTGTTTCCACGCTCAGCGACCTCAGCGCGGGGAAGCTATCTTGCTTGGCCTCCCAAAGTGACAGCAGACTGGCACTCGGCGCGTGAAGCGTTGCGTCGCGCCAACGATAAGATGCCGAAAGTATTTCTTGGAATAGTTTGGTGCATACCGTGTCCAGGACTGGGTATCGCAGCTTGAATGTCAGCGACACGTGCCTGGACTGCTTCAGCCAGTACTTCAGAGCTGAAATGAGGCGTTGGCCGTGGAGGACTGTGGCCCGTTGAACATCGAGCGAGAACGACGACCAGAGTTGTGGCGTGTGCAAGACCAAATTTCGCCATGCCCGAGAGACACGGAGGAGAAGCAGCGGACCAGCATTGGTCTTGTCAACAGGGAAGAGCTCTCCGATGTAGTGCCGGAATATCTCGACGCGAATTTCAACAGGAAAGGCAGCAAACAGTTGGTCGTCCTAAGGAGGGTGTGAGAGGTTAAGAAGCGAGGAAAGTATATTATTCCTACTTTTGTGGTTGACTTGAGAGAGCGAGTGAGAACAAAAGGCGGAGCAGAAGAAGATGAAGGAAAGGGCATTCGAGGTCGTTGGAAGATTAAGGGTATGGCTATAAGTAGAGGCTTTAGTACAATGGTCACTTCATGGGCTACAACGCGTTGCAAGCGAAGGAAACGCCGCGTCGGAGAACAAGAAGCCTGAGCAACATCGACGTTGTCTAAATACGTCCTTCTCAACTGATGACGTCATCTCATCTGCCATCTCCGCCGTATATCTTTCTAATCGAAGAATCGAAGCCCTCCCACATTAGAATGACGCTGTCTATGTAACAAACCTACTTACAGACAGACAATGCTCAGAAGAAATCCTTGAAACTGTACGCCTCTGGGCCCCCAGCGTCCTTTTGCGAGCCTTTTGTCTTGACCGGAGCATTGGCCACCTTCTTCAATGGTGCCGCTTTCGTTTTAACCGGCATCTTAGCACCAGACGCTAGACGCGCCTTTTTGGATGATTTGGGGTCGGGTCCGAACGAAACTTTTTTGCGGGGGGCCGGTTTGAGCTCGGCTGCCCTTTTGCGTTTTTGTTTACCGGACACAACTGGCTCCGGGTCTTCATCATCTTGTTCGTCTTCATCCACCGGTTCTGATTCCTCATCCTCGTCATCACCGCTCTCCTCGCTCTCCGTTGGTTCATTTGCCTCATCTCCACTGCTCTCGTCAGCGCTTCCCGATTCATTAACCCAAGATTCATCGACGATTGCCCTTCGTGTTTCCACAGCCTCTGTTGTGAGCTTGACCAAGCCGCCAGACTTGCGCAACTCTTTACGTGTTTGTAATGTAGCCAGTACTGCTTCGTCCGCGGCAGAGAGCGTCTGGTTGTCCCCCTGTTGGGGGTGGTGGGCTGGTATACCTTGCAAATTTGCCCGAGTTCCAATCTCGAAGCACAATCCGCGCGGCTCCGGTCAAATCGAGATCGCCTTTCTGGGGGAAGGTCAGAAACAAGAATGGAATAGACCCAAATCTGTCCACCTTCTTGACGAGTTGGTTTGCACGCGCAACACAGGATAGGAAAGCGTCAGTGTCGCCGGTGGTGAATGCAGGGAGGGTGTAGAACAGCATCAAGTCCTCAGCATTGGCGCGAGGAATGAGATGGTGAACTATCGCAACATGTTAACCACCGATAAACAGCTGAATAGTAAGAACGGATCACCTGGAAGGACCGGGTCCTTCAACCTGTCAATACGGCCTTTACTCCTTAGCAGAATATCCCGAGCGCGAATTTGTTCTGGGTCATTTTCCTCAGTTTGTTCCCAAGTCAAGCCAGGAGTATCAATGAGTCGGATTGTTCGAGACTTGATGGTGAGCGAGACCTCTTGGGCATAGGCTGTTGTCGTGGGTCCCCGAGATGATGTTGCAAGAGTGTAGATGGGCAATGTAGCTTTTTGGAGCAACGAGTTGACAAAGGACGTTTTGCCGACCTGTGATGATTTTCAACAAGCGAAGTGGATAAGCAGAGGTTCACAAACATTTGTTACACCGACAACGGCAACACAAAGCGGAGTGTCTCCCTTCTTGGCCTCGGCCCACGCTCCGAGGATGTCCAGGATGGCATCGGCACCAAGCGCATCTGAATAAGACGCCTTAGCCTTCCCCTTGCCTTTATCGTCGCTTTTAACGGTTTCAGGCAATAGACCTGTGGCCGAGCGGAACGCAACTGTGGGATGACTGGCTCGCAAATGGGTCAGCCAGCCTGAAACCGATTCTCGGGGACAGGTCTCTGTAATCAACGCGGTCACCAAGCAGACACTAAAATCAGAAAAAATACGCACCGATTTTGTTCAACACGAAAAGGACATGCTTTTCACCCGCAAGCTCTTCTAAATGCTCACTGCGAAACGCCAGTGGGTCGCGTGCATCGAGTATTTGAATGACCACATCCGCAGAGTCCAAGACAGCTTGGAGATTTGGAAGTTCACGATTGATGAGAATGGGAGTGTCCTCTTCATCGTCATCGTCAACTTCCATGGGCACAGTACCCTTCCGCCGTTGTTGGACTTTGGTCTCGTTGAGCTGTTTGGCGCTGAGACTCGAAATGCCTTCGAATCCTTGGTCAAGTCCGCGCGCTTTCACTTCCGCCAAAACGCTATCCTCGTCCTGGTGCTCATGCTCGCCCTGTCGTTTCTTTGCCTTCTCATCCCTCCTTCGTTGTTTTTCCTCAGCTGCCTACAGCCAGTCGATCAACATCCAGACGAGCAACAAAAAAAAACGCACCTCTCGCCTCTGGTCCGCAATTTCCGCTAGAATCTGCTCCTTGTAAGGAAACGCGCTCGGGATGCCTGGGTCCTTCTTATGTTCTGCGACAGATTGCATTTAGCTATAAAGGAAGCGCGATTAAAAGACGGGACGCACTGGACTTCCACTGGGTGTTATTTTTTGCAGCCTTCGCTTTTTTCTTACGGCTCTCGCGCACTTTGTTTTGCACCTTCCGACGATCATTGGTCTTTGTGCGGTTGCTTGTTTCTGTTTTCACATAGAGATTAAGACATCGAAAGCAGAGGAGAGATGCTGACTTTTGCGGATTCGAGGCATGGTGGTTCAGTCCAAATTTTTTGGAAGCCATCTGATCGGACTAATAATGATAATTGTTGAGGCTCACTCTTCAGTTTCTTTAGGCTAAAAACAAGTTGGGAAAAAGAATCTTTTTATTCCACGCGAGTACTGCGCTACATACACCGTTGCGATGAGTAACTACTCCTCCACAATGTTGGCGAGCGTTTAGAATGACATACGTAACCATCCATCACCAACAGCCGATTCAGATGGACGCTTGGGCGCTAAAACGACTTGCTGTTTACAAGGTCTTCAAGACGCGTTCATGCTGCCTTCCTGATGTGACTTGGGGGAGAGATTAACTTGTAGTAACTTGCAACAAAATTGGAGACACGACAGCGAGCAGGTACTAGAAAACATTGCGACAACTTGAAACTTGGGTGGGGGCACATTTGCTATAACCGATATTGAAATGATCTTCAATGGGATCCTTGCTCTTCGGCCTTCTTCCCGTCCTTTTTTTTGTAGACTGATTTACCAACGACTGTCGGCCGGGGCAGCTGCGGCAGGGGCATCATATTCACGACGAGGGCTGCTTCCTCTGGGTGGGCTTCTGCTGTAAGACCTTCGGCGTCTGTCCGGTGAGTACCTTCCCCTTGATTGCGGAGGCGGACTACGGCGCTCACGCCAATCGCCCCTGCCGCCATCTCGACCGTATGGGTCTCTGTCCTTGGTGTCACGGCGCGAGTCACGGTCCCTGTCACGGTAGTCACGGTCGCGGTCCCTGTCGCGCTCGCGGTACGAGTCTCGAGAGTCGCGGCTGTCACGTCCACCCACGTACGAGTCACGAGTAGCACGACGATGGCCCATGTATTCGCCTGGAGTTGGAGCATGGGGACGTTCGGTAACAGAGTAGTCGACACGAATTCGGCGGCCGTTGAGCTCCTAGAGTAAATAGATGAAAAAACCATTGTCAAGCCAAAAGAAAAAACATACCACCCCGTTCAGCTCTTGAATGCAGCGAGTAGCCTCTTCGACGGTCGACATTTTGATGAAACCAAAGCCGCGGGAGCGGTCTGACTGCAATAATGATTCATAACTGAGATGAAAAGTGAACGCAACCACGAACTCTCTGGTCATACACAATAGTGACCTTTTCAACGCGGCCAAAACGACTGAACTCGTCATCAAGGTCACGCTCTTGAGTGCGAATACTCAGGCCAAATACACCAAGCACGTTGGAAGGGGTTGGCGCCTGGACATTGAGGTCAGAAGACTAAATCGTGAGAGTAAAAAAGACCGCACAATTGGAGGGGCAGCAGCTGCACGACGGGCTGGGGGAGGAGACCGACGACGGTAAGGACTACGGTAGCCTTCACGAGAGCGTGGGACAGGGCTGCGAGAACGAACACGACCAGGTTCAGCGTGAGACTGAGCCGAAGCGCCGTACTCGTCAGCATATGGGTCGACAGAGGGCGGGTTGTCGTTGTACTGAACCGACATGGTAGTCAGAAGCAACGTGGGGGTAGAGCCAAACAAGAGACGCAAATGCTGTGTACTTCTCACATGACACTGCTGAGCAGCCGTGATGTGACACCGTTACCATCCTCAAATCTCCAAGCCGCCATGGTGAGCTTGTCGTTAATGTGGAAGGCTCAACTCATCGTCTCCAGGGTATCGACATCGCCCACCACCACGTCAAGAAGGGTGCCAGGACCGCCCCCAAGAGTGAGGACCCGTATCTGCTCCTCCTCGTCAAAGTGCGTCTTTTCTTGCTTTACTTTTTGACTTCCTTATTTTGTTCCAGCTTTACCGTTTCCTTGCTCGTCGTACCGACTCGGGCTTCAACAAAGTCATCCTCCACCGCCTCTTCCTTTCCAAAACGAACCGCGCACCCTTGTCGTTGTCACGAATTGTGAAGGAGACTGCCAACGCTGGCGACCTCGACTCGAAAATCATTGTCTCGGTCGGCACGATCACAGACGACGTTCGTTTGGTTGAGGTCCCCAAACTGACGATTGCTGCTCTCCGGTTCACCCGTTCTGCCAAAGAGCGCATTCTCAATGCTGGAGGTGAAGCCATCACCTTTGATCAGCTGGCTCTTCGGGCGCCAACTGGTGCCAACACCATTCTGCTGCGCGGCAAAAAGACGGCCAGGGAGGCCTACAAGCACTTTGGCATGGGTCCTCACAAGAACAAGAAGCCCTACACGATTTCCAAGGGTCGCAAAGTGCGTATCGTTATCATCATAGCCTACCTACCCTTTCATATTGATGACCCTCCTAGTTCGAATCTGCTCGTGGACGCAGAAAGTCGAAGGGTTTCAAAGTGTAAATGGCCAAATCAAAATCTGGTGGGCGTGCGGGAACTTGCTACATGTTATGCCAGGTTACATTACAACCATTGTATGCTCGTCTTTTCCCTCATCCATGCTAACTCTCCATGACCATCCGCGTGATCTCTTTCACCACTGATACCTCGATGCCGCCTCGCTAGCTGAAACCCACCTCTTTGGTGGGGGCGGAGGTGGTCCCGCTGCCTCCGCTTTCAGCGCGGCTTTTTGCTGTTTAATCCGTTCTTGATGCTGCTTTGCCGCATTACTAGCACTCGTCCAAACTCTCTCTTCAGGCGGTATCCGCCTGATGTCGATAACGAGAGCTTGTGGATCTGCTTCTCCGCGCTCTTCTTGCGGTGACTCGGGTTCCGGCTCCGGCTCTAGCAATGCTGACGGTGTAAAGTCAAGCTCAATGAGGCTCTGAAATGTGTCTTGGCCATGGTGGTCGAGATCCACGTGGTTTATCAGCTCAGCGTTCCCCTCGTCCATCAGATCCAGTTCCATCATCGGCACCGGTAAACTGCGCCTTATCCTCCGGTGCAATCGCTCCCTCTTGATCGCACACTCCAGCTCCTCCTTCGCCAGCGATTTGAGGACAGCCATGCACTCCTGGAATTCGCTGACGTAATGCGCATAGACCTCTTTCTCGGTGTCCATCCCGCGGATACTCTGCGCCATCTGCTCGAGCCGGCTCTTGGCCTCGATAATCATCGGCTGGTATGTCTCCGCAATGAGCTCCTTGGTGTGTGCCTTCCAAGCTTCATTCGGCTCATCCTGTTCCCCCTCAAAGTACTCGAGCTCGTCGGTGGGTGAAGGGGTATCGAGGAAGTCAGTCGTGGGTGAAGTCGGTGAAAGCGGTGAAAGAGACGCCATCAGAAGCAGCGGACTAAGCAAAGCACTTTTATTGCTCAAATCTGTTCCGCCTCGTGTTCAGAGAAGTCCTCTTCCGACATTTGATCTCTAGCACTCTAAAGTGTGTATTTACTTTTTTTGGGAAATTATTACTGCCCTGGAGGGGGTACGATACTATCCAACGGCGGAGGTACAGTCAGCAGCTTTTCCTCCGCTGGTGTTGCGACTTCGGTGGAAGCATCGTCCTCCTTCTTGGCTCTACCCTCCTTCAACGCTTGTCGCTTCTGCAACCGGCGACATGCCTTTGCCCCACCCGCGTAGAAGAACACGAGGGTGCCAGCAATAATGGCATGCCCATAGAACCACAAACGCGCCCACGTGGCCATCGATGATGCAGTTGTCAACAGCATGAATGGTGCAACCGTGTAGTTTAGTAAGAGGACTGTGATGAACGTCCCAACGATATCGTACAGCCGCTTGGCGATGGTTGGCGGCTTTCCAGGTGCGGGAAGAACCAATGGGCGGAAGTTGGCGCGTGCAAGACGCCCGATGGTGGTAATGAAACCCCCGGTCAGGAAAGATAAGTAGTAGCCTCCTGCAGTCCCATGCTGATCACAAGCGTAAGATTGATGGTGACTTGACCAGAAGATTGACGCACCCAAAACGCGCTGGTGAAGAACGTAAGCATGCTGCTAGAGAACCCAGGCTTCTTGCCCTTGGGTGTGATGCGCTTGTAAACCGTCTCGCGCAGCCAAATGCTTGTCTTGGTATTCCAGTGGTCGAGCGATGTCTTCCAATTGGATGGCAGCTCAACTTCCAGAGGAGTAACATTTCGGGCACCTTCCCACATAGTTTGTCCAGTAGGGCTGATGCCAGAGAATCCGTTGCCGGTAACAATGCTGGCGCCCTCAGTAAGAATCCAAAGCGCGTAGTACTTCATGCGCTCGGTTGTTCCACAAATTTGATGAACCGCAATCCTATGGATCAGTTGTGAGTAGTAGCTCATCAACAAGGGAAACGCGGAAGGAAAGACCTGATATAAAGGGGTTGGTGTAAGAACCAGTCCGTTTTGGTGAGCTGGAACGACCAGTTGGGGCCAAATACGACAAATACGCCAAGGTAAATCAATCCATAGACCATCTTGCGGTAGGCGACGCGTTTGCGACCATCAGGCATGTTCCGACCGCGCTTCCCCTTGATTTTGAGGTCCTTGAACTGCGTCTCATTCACCAGGTCCATGTAACCGGCGAAGTCAAGGTAAGGCCCGACCAACATGCCCGGGAAGTAAAATGAGTAGCCAAGAAATTCGAGCAGGGATGGAAATTTGACGACGCGTTTCGCAAGTTGCCATTTGTCTCCGTCGATGTCCTGGTAGTAGATAAGCGATGAAAAAAGCATGAACAGATAACACACTGCTTCAGTTCGTCTCCCATCGTACACATTCCACGCAAAGGTGGTGAGCTTCATTACAAGCACCATCTGAGGAGAGGTGACTTCGAGCGTCTCGTAGCTGAAGTTGTTCATCGAGCGTATAACGTGGCTGAAAAAAAATATTGATGAGCGCAAGGGGCTACGTGAGGAAGTAGCACCAACTTGACTGTCAAATGGCCCATAACCACACTGTCCACACTGAGCTGGGTCCAAGCAGGCGCGAAAGCACGCACCCAAACACGATCCAGGGCATCTGTTTCGAGCGAACATACTTGGTGATAAAGAACGTGGCGAGGATGCTTGCCAGCAGTTGGAAGAATGCGACCTGGAGCCTGAGCAACGGGAAGAAGAATATAATGGTGATGACGATGTTGAATATGTGCTTGAGGCCGGGCTGGGTAGGCGGGATGCGGATAAACAGAGAGCCGAGGGGGTATGTGACAAGCAAGCAAAAAATGAGCTTGACCTGGTCGGCAGACGCGCCAAAAACGTCTGCTGCGGCCTCGAATGGATCAAGCATTGTGACTGGCGTCTTTGAGATTTACGGAGAGGTGTTTGCCTTCAACGTACTGGTGGGGGACTCGGCTCTACGCGCTCAAGGTGATGACGGACAGAGCTCAAGAACGTTGCATACTGAATTTGGTAAAAGACTGTCAATGATCATGATTGGTATTCGAGATCACTACTCTACAGACGGCTACGATCTAATGCCCGGCTCTCAACGCTCTTTGGTCTCTAGGTTCTCTTTGTTGTCTGCGCCACTGTCTCTTTGGAAAGCAATAGCTTAAGTAATTACATTTGGTCCGTCCTTGCTAAGGGAGTTGGGAGTGATAATGTGGTCAAAAGGCAAACAGGCGCTCAGTTGGTGGCGATGCTGCAGAACTCGGCATACGCATGTTTGGCGCGGATGAGCTCAACAAGATAGTAGGCAGGTGTAGCGGAGGCGACATGGGTATGTCCTTCTTGACCATAGGCAATGGCCGAGTGCAGGACACGCTTGTTTGTGTCCTTCAATAGTTATTGGGTCTACAAGCTATGCATCGCGAAACCATTGAAATTTGACGGCATACATTTCGAGTATAACAAAACCGTCTTTCCATAGAGAGAAGTTACATTGCGAGAGGATAGAAGACAAGTGGCTGTCTAGGTGTAACACTACCTTAGCCTGACAATGTTGATTGTGAAAGAGACCCGAGTCTGGAGCAGAACTGTAGGTTCAGCAAATAAATAGTCTTGTAGGTCATCTAGGGTCGACAAGCCTCTTGACTTCCCCTATGTACCACTCGACGACCACGCCCGTGACCTGCTTGTCGGCGAGGATGCCAAGGATGTCAGGTGTCGCGTCGCAAACTATGGCGGCGGAGGATGAGTTGGGCGGAACCGCAATCCAGATGACAATGGGGCCGATGTACGCGTCTTTGCCGTCCTGCTCGATTAAGAAACGCACTGGCATCATTGATGAGTATTTGATGCCGCGAGCCTTGAGCACTGCCAGGATCATGGGAGCGACGATGGGCCAGACGGGGGCGAGCGGTGTGCCGCTGGCGTCGTGCGCAGTCTTGACGGGGATGGAGAAGAAGCGCTCGCCAGGCGCGGGCGTGGGGAATAGGTTCTCCTCCAAGTCTGAGCGCCACAACAGCGGGGGAGGGCTGTCAGAGATGCCATGGTAATAATGGTCCCTCTCGTATTGGGTTATCACCTTGCTTTACAAGGTCCTGAGACTGGAAATGCTTCTTGATTCTGTGATTTACAAACAAGTATAAACTGTGTTTTGATCGCCGCTGAATCCTTGTATTCCCTTGCTTCTTGATTCTGTGATTCGCAAATACATACAAATAACATCTGATCTTGGGCTTGGTCACGGTGTAGCCGGAATGGACGTTTATTTGCATCACATAGGAAATTATTGAAGCGCATTGGGGTTCACATAATTCGACGTACTCATAAGCTAGTTCTGTATTTAAACTGGGATACGGAGTGCTACTAGCTTAGTGTTGCACTCTGGACATTTGAACTGGCTGTTCTCCGTTCTATCGATTTACTTTAGTATATCCGGGAGATTGTTAGCAGACTGTACCGTTTAGCATAACCTGTCGGAGTGGGAAGGCGATGTTCTTTGTTTGGGGCGGTAGATGCGATGTTGGCTGTGGGTATAGGTGGTGCTACGTTTCCCATAGGAAGCAGCTGACGGGGTTCGGCGGCTGTGTTGGGGATCGGCCCATATATCGGATTTCCTTTGTGCTAGGTTTCATGGGTATCAAGTGGTCGACGGTATGGGTGAATGCGTACAATTGATTGTGCATGTGGATAGACTGTATCACGCATTGTCTGCGAGTACTATAAACGAGTTTCACTAGGAACACTGGGGTAAGCGTACCGATAGCTTTCCCTGAGGGATATGCTTCGAAGGTGGGATGCTCGAACTGCCCATGATGCGGTTCTATATAATCATTCAACCAGTATAACCCGACGAGAGGTAAGAATGACAGTACCTCCGTTCGATGCCAGCTAGTGTAAACAGATTGCCCCGGAGGCGGAAGACCTTTTGGGACAGGGTTGCGGTCAGGCGCTATTGTCTTGTCGTCTAACCAAGGCGAATGTTTACTGGCAACGTGCTAATTGAGTCGGTTAACACGTGAGTCGATTAGAAAGCTGTGTATCTTACCGAGTTGAATGTGCTTATGTCTTTGAACCCTGTTGAACAACGATTACAAGAGGGGTGAAGGACAGAGCTTGTCCAATGCTCTTGTAACTCTTCTAGTGAGAATGTCTGCATTCGGCATTTTGCGCAGTGAAATTCCTCGTGGAGTGCTAAACAATGCTGCGTATGGTCAGTATTGCGATCTGCGAGACACGGTGCACTTGCGTCGGTGTATTCTTTCTGTGTCAAGAAACCATGTGCGCACGGTTCGCATGTAGGGTGCATGATAGACAAGAATAAGTGATCAGGCTGGTCTTCCTCGTAAAGCTGCATTCCGCACACGCATGTTGTCTTGGGATGCTGGGACGCAAAATGCTGTACAACTCGATCAGTTAGTTATGCAGCGCCTAAGTCATGAACTTTCCTCCGCAACAGCCGTTTGGTTAAGGAAACCCTTTACCACACTTGGTACAATTGGGATGCGTTGGTTTCCCTTTGTAGTGGTCCTCTAGCGCTGATTGGGTCTTGAATGAAGCTCTTGGTCTACATGTGGAGCAATTGAAGTGAAAGTTCTCGACATGCTTTCTCGGTTACAGCGGGTAAATCGGAAGTGGTATCGAGACATACGGCTTCCAGCTCTTCGCGCTTGAAAAGGGTTGAGTTTGCGTCGCATAGAACGCATCTGGTCATCGTCGGTTGTGCCAGAGTCTATGGATCGTCAGAACACGTCCTTTGAGCGGTAGATGACAGTGGATAATAAACCCTGTGCATCGCAGTCCCTCTTAGACAACGGACACGAGTATGTAGACGGGAGAGCAGAGACGCCCAATAGGAAGGGCTTGGGTAGGCGGGTGTATTTGTAGTTCGGGTCATACATTGTTGCTTAATTCCATGGACGATCTCGGATAGACGTTTTTTTTTTTTTTTTTTTTTTTGTTTGACACCTTGCAACGACCATTTCAAGCGTCTCGCCAGCAAGCCTTTTAGAATCCCGATCACTGATGTATCGGTGAGATGAACGGTAAAGCGTCGCGTATTACAACGCACCTATACCGCTTTGTTTGTCGGTATGCAGGGCTGGAAAATCCAGACCATGATGGTCTGGTCTAGCTCGTTGGATGGCATAGCGGGACAGTTACGTCGGTTGTTGCTCCTTTAGCGTTTGTGGATCGACATAAACTTGTAGTGTCGAACGATAATGATCGTATAGCCAAACCGGTGTCTGTTACCACCGTGACTCTGACGACGGTATGAAGCTCCGAGTCCGATACAAACCCATAGTGTCCCAGATAGTCTAAATTCCCCTCTCTATTGGGTCCTATTATCACAACTCGACTTTCCTTGAGTTGACGTTGTGCTGGCGCCATGTGTAGCGGTGGAGGGTGTATATCGTGGTTTGGGTCGAGCCATTCGATTAGGATTCTTAGCCTCGAAGAATCTGCATCCAGAGTAACGACTAGATGGTCACGGATATCGGATTGGTTTAGGGTTTTCGACGGCTCGATATATCCTTCTTTCCCAATAGCGGATAACAGCGCAGGCGATATTCTACCGCGCTCCATCCTTTTGATTTTGATGTCCAAGCGTTTACCAGAGAAGTTCGCTCTTGTAATCCAATGGGCGCTCTTGGGTCGAATTATTGCCTGATGCGAGAATATAGAGTCGGTTGGGTTTCCTTTGAATGTTATGAATTGGGAAGGAACAACGACCTTGTCAGCTTGTGAGTATGTAGTCTACAACACAGAGCATATTACCTGCGCATCCAAACTGTCCTGTTAAGATATTAGATTGTTCCGTGTGATGGGATTTATTTTACCAGTCGTATTTGGAAACCACCAGGAGGAAACTGCTGGTGAGCATTTCGCAGGGGTTTCAGGTTGAAAGATCGCAGTACGATACCTTCGCGACCTGCATAATACCCGTGTGTTATTTGGACGGCATCGCCAGGAAGGATGAGTAATCCCACGATGCGTAGTGCCACATCGCTTAAGCGTATGTTGTTAGACACTATGTTCAACGAAGAAGGCCTTGTTATTCGCTGTATTCGTTCGACGTAGCCAAAGCTAAGTCGGTGAGGTCCCTCGAGTATGACGACTCGGTGGCCTAATCTAATATTTACTGGACCTGTTATAAAATGAGGTCGCAACATTTCCCTGTCTATGGTGATTTCGTCGTCGGAATAATTGAGAGGCGCCATGAGTTGAGTCGTCAAGGTGGATGATAATATGTCGATGGGATGACCGTCTGTAGCAACTCGGACTCGACAGCTTCCGAAGCAGTCAACATGGGTTATAAAGCCGCCTTTTCCTGTATGCGGTATGTCGACCCTACTACCTGCAACTAACATTGCAAAGTCGTCTGAGCTCGCAACTGACGATATGACTTGTTGGTTGATTGCTTCCCAGAGGGCTGTCTCCGTCGTCGACAGTTCGGCTGGTGTGTTGTAGATCACAGAGTCGTGAGGGACGCAATGGAGTATGAGGTGGCCGACCGTTATAGAGTGATGTAGTGTACAATTCCCACGTTCTTCGTTGTGTTGCGGTCTTGCGTGCCAAAGCTCGTTATCAAGTATTAGCACTAGTTGTCCGGCAGGAATGCAAGCATAAGGAGTCAATAAACGAGTCCAACACGCTTGATGCTTTTCTTCTTCTACGTCAATGGGATCTTTTCCGTGGATTAAGCTCCATTTATTGGAGTCGGACATTGGACACAGAAACCGATGTGAATAGAGATCATGCGAGAGGTATAGAGCCTCAGCACATATGACGGGTAAAGGAGGTGGGGTGATGTTCGTGTGCTGGTAATTAGACGAGAGGTGTGAACCGGTGGTCGCGTGGAAAGGAAAGGTCGTTGGTGGTTAGACTGAAGTGTGTGACCGGCCATCAAATAGTATGATTTGCCATCATCTACCCCGAAACCTCGGGCATACGGTGTATAAATATAACAAATCACACAGTTGTCGAGGTATTCTCGTTTATATGTCGATTTCTACGTCTACCTTTTCCAGGTCAACCACTTTACCCGTCTTCATAAACACAAATAACTCGTTCGCCCGCACCTGGGCAAGCTTCACTATTCAAGTGTAAGTGGGTGTTTGGTTGTCCACCAGATGTTACCTTTGCCGTGCGCAATCGCATCGTGGAACTTCGGTTTGAAATACCAATTGGAGAAAGTTGCACACGACCTGGTCGTCGAGCCAGTTTATCATCTCCTTCGGTAAGACGCGATCTACCGGAATAGAGAACATGGTACACGCCACCTGCGTGCATGCAACGACGCGAAGAATGCGATCCCCTTTATCCAAGGACTGGAATTCCTTGACATAAGCAGCTTGGTCATCTCCCGAGCGCACGGTCGCTGCCTGGCCTTCGACAACATGTGCAATGGCTGACTCCTCGAAAAATGCTGCCTTTTCTACCTGTCGTTGATATTGTCGATATAATATTTATACCAAAGATGCGAGCACTTACCGTGAATACCGTTAGACGTGTCGCTGGGACTAACTTGCCGTGCAAAGGAGACGGCTGCAGTGAAAGCGAGAAGCTGTGGCGTGCTCAGTAGAATTTCCCGTCCACCTTAAACTACTTACAAATGCCGATGGAGGTATCCGCCAGGGACATTGGCGAAATTCGCAGCGAATAGAGCCCATTGTCCTAACGCAGTGCGCCATTCTTCCACGTACTTAATGAAGAACTGTAGTACGTTGGCGATCTCGGGGTTGATATGAAGAGGAGACGGAGTCTGAAGGGTTCGACACATTTTTTTGTGATCTTTCCAGTCTGCTTTTTGACACTTAGCGTCGCAGTATCGACAGAGTTTGCAATCATAGCATGTGTTGGGAGGCTTCGCCGCCCCGCAATAGTGGCAACGAGTATGAGCACGAGCAGCTGCAGTCAAGTCGGCCATGTAGAGTCGAGAAGGTGATTGATCGAGTTCCGGGTTAGTTGCATAGTATTTATTATCAGTACCCTGATCTACGAACACTTCGGACGGTCATTTCTGCGTCGACCCGACTGTTCGTGGGTTTACGTTGCCCGCGTCCGTCGGGTTGATTCTTGAGTTTGTGGTGTTGGGAACATCGCACGAGTCTCACGCGTGAGTTCTTCGAGTCGAATGTCTTCTTGACGTAAAGCTTCCGAGGGATGTGTTGTGAATAATTTAGGATCGAAACCCCGTAAGATCCGAATGGTGTCGCGCCCTCGACTTCTGGATAGAGCGACGTATGCGTTGAACGGAGTCAGTCCTCCACGCGGAGGGCTTTCTAAATCCACGACCACATAAGGTATGGTCTGTCCCTGGGATTTATAATCCGTGAAGGAATACCCAGGCGTTATCGCGTATTGCCTCCGTCGGATCGTGACCTTCTCAGTTTGCGATACCTTGATGGTAAACGAACTACTTGTGGGGCTAATAGGCAAAACCCCAGGCGGGAGACCTTCGAACGGGGGGAAACTGAAGTTGTCGACTTTAATGAACACGACAACGGGGGGATATTCTAGGACGTTATGTCCTTGTCTGTCGCATTCGAGTATAGGTTTCTCCCGTGGATCTAGTCTGAAGTCGACGATGGATCCACGAGTGCCATTAGCGAGGTCGGCTTCCGTCGCAATGTTCCATAAAACCATTGCCCGCATTCCGACGGCTATCTCGACTTGGTCTTGTAATTTGCCAGTGGCTTTATCGTTCATCCCAGCAACTATGAGGCGTTCTCGTGAAGTAAGAGATCGACGGGATCTAGTTGCGGTGTCTTCCGAGTTTGCTAGGTATATGTGGTTACCAGAGATGCGTTTATGTCGATAGAGTGAAGCCGAGTTCCAAAGCATGCGACAAGAATGACGTGGGGTGACCAAAACTGCGTCGAGCCAAGGCGGTCGGTTCCATTGTGTTTCAACCCGGTCGTTCGTAACCAGCAGTTCCTTGAGCATTTTCATATCTTCTTCGGTGCATTGGCCGTGACGCAGTCGTTTGAGTAATTGGTTCCACCGGACATCTTTGACACGATTTTGTTCGATAAGTGTCACGACTACCTTGAATTGTCGATAAAAAGCCAATCCGAGCTGGGATAATAAACTGGTGCCTGTTTCCACGTCGTAAAGCGCTGCCCTGGGGTTCCCTACGGGAGGAAACTGGTGAGGATCTCCGAATAATATAACGTTTACATTGCCGAAGGGACGAGAGGCGGGGGCGCTCCCTGCGCTTGCTTTCACATGGCCCATGATTTGTGATAATTGCGCAAGAGTTTTTTTGGTGAGCATCGAAAACTCGTCGATGACGAGGTAATGCACAGGTAAGATGTTCTGTTTGCGTCTTTCCTCGATTTTTTTACTGGATTCTAGTACCCTGTCAACTTCCGATACATGGAAAAAGGAAACCATGACTTACTCCCTAGCCAATTATCTTTCTCCCCAGATCTAACCGGAATTCCCGCCCATTGGTGGAGAGTCTGTCCTTCGATTAGGCTTGCGGATATCCCGGTGGTTCCAGTCTTCGCTAATAGCTTTGTCGAACCGAAGAAGTCGAATGTATGGCTGACTGCGTTGAGAAGAACTGTCTTTCCGGTTCCACCTTCTCCTTGTACTATCATGAGCAGCTGCTCCTGGGAAACACCGTTGCGCTCGTTTCTCAAGTGTGCCTCGATGATATCGTGAGCGCGCCGCTGTTCGACATTAAGGACGTCCAATGATCGTTGTTGATCGGGTGTTCGTTGCCTAGTATCATCTCCGACGAGTGGAAGGACACCGCCAGTAGGATCGTCGCGGTTTCCGTGCCCGAAATCGATCCCACCTTTATCCGGTACAGGGGTTGGTTGAGATAAGGGTCCACGTTGGGCACGGGTGATAGAGGCGACCTTGGCTTCCCATTGCTTGAATAGAATTATTTCTTCGTCTGTTGCAGTCGATGCTACGGGTAAACCCGGAGCTTGAGCGATTCCTTGGGCAGCAAATATGCCTGCTTTCTCCGCGATTGCAAGACCTTCCGCCCCATATTTCCTATCCATCTCCGTCAATTTTGTTTGTCGAGCGTCATTTATGTCTTCGATCGTGATTTCCGTCGCTGGCAAATTAGGTTCATAGTGGTCATCGGAATCTATGATATCGTCCACCGTTGCATCGACATCCGCGTTCCGTTCTCTTGATCGCCTTGCTTGAGATGAGCTGTCGTGGTAGTACTGTATATTCTCTAAAAGTCTGAGAATATCTTTGTCGCATTCCTTCAAGAACTCGGCGTTGGCAGATACGAAAAGACGAATGGTTGCCCAGCAGATCATTGAGTTTTCTCCAAGGACTGAACATCAGCATGACTTGTGCGCAATAATTCTCTTGATTTAGATCATCGTTACGAGGGAGCCACTTGCCCATGATATGAAGCGCCGTTTCTTGTCGCTCTCCTCGAATAACTCGAGCCCCTTCCCTATCGGACCCGTCGATATACTGTATTCGTTGATGAGCGACCCGGCCTTTCCCACCAGCGGGTGGATGTTGATCGGATATGTCGGTAGTCGGTGACACGTGATATGTGGAGAGAAAGAAATCGTAGAGGTTCATCGATTCGAGCTCTATCCCTCTATCCGCATATTGTCCCAGCTGATCTTGGAGCGTGAATGACCCATTTTCTAATACGATAGGTCGCGACTAGCAAAGTTAGCGTGTGGAATACATTTTCGGTTGTCTCACCTCTGATTGCGGATGATCGGTTGGATCTCCGTCGGAACGGTCCCTTGTATTTATAAGCAGATGCAAGATTGGGAACAACGAACTTGACCTACATGAGTTTGAGGGAAGGAAAGGCTCTATAGAGACTGGCGACCATCGAATCCCAGTAAATTTTGATAAATGTATGGGAGATATAACGATCTCCCCATCCCATAAGGTAACTCATGACCTCCGGTCCACTCATTTCGTACTGGCGACTGAGTGTATTGGCGCATTGTTCGAGCAGGCGTAGGTTGATCTTACGCAACTCTTCTTTGTTCCCGATTGTTCTGGTTGTATTCGCTGGTTTGTCGTCTTGTAAGAACGCCCGGCTTTGCGCTAGGACAGCTGATGCATTGGCGGCTTGTACTTGTTTCTTGGTGATGTAAAGAGTGATATAAAATCCGATATCCTTTGTCTCGCAGGCATTGGTGAGAAGTTTAATGTCCATGTTGCAGCGGGTGACGCGGGATATAGGCGGGTTCCAAGGGTTAAGGAATGGATAACGACGACGAGGTCCCCAGTTCCCTTCTGCGTCTACCCAATCGTCGGGGTAAGTGAGCCAGGGATAGCCACGCTTACATGCGATACCTCCTTTCACCGATTTGAGGCAATAATATATCGTACATTCGTGGCTTTGCAGGATCGCGGCGTTGTGGGATTCGGATCGTAGTATCTTTTCGTGATACCCTTCCTTGCGCGGGTCTATTGGCCGCGAATAGGAAACACCTGCTCGTCCGCGGGTTCGAGCTTGTTGGGGAAGGATATCGCCTGCAACGTCGGCACGGATGTTGTTCTTGATGAAAGCTTTGATCTTCGATCTAAATTTCTCGCTTTGAAGTGCTTGTTGCATTAGTGACGAGGTTGGGGCGTCTTTCAGCCAGAACAGAATGTGTAAGTGTAGCGAACCTCGAGCTTGCGCTTCAACTGTTCCGATGTATCCATTTACCAGGCCGAAGATTCCTTCTTTTCGATTTATAGCACCATGGACCCCGACGTTAATCCCTATCATTTCGTCGAGTAGAATTCCGATGACGAGATGAAAATACTCTGCCGCAGCGAAAGGATCTGCGCTCATAACATTTCCTCGCATCGTGGCGTTCGGCCCTGTCTTGGCCACAAAATTGTCGAGGTCGATTGCTTGGCCTGCGAGAACTTGAGCGATGGGGTCGTTGGTATCGGACAGGTTGATGGTGAGCCAGAGTGTCGGTGGGTTATATTTGATTGTCATACCCCATATCTGCGCTCTGATTGATACCCGACTTTCGTCTGTACCTTGGACACGCGCTCGTACTGTCGATATATGCTTGCGCAAGAGACGGATGGTCGGATTCGAGATAGATCGACCGGCAAGTTCGTCTTCGTTGGCTTTCAGAAAGTCTTTCGGAGTAAGCAACTTGAATGCTGTTTGATTTGCCAGGAACTGGTTGCGATCCATTTGCAGTTTGGCCGAACGACATACTTGTCGCTTTAGCAGTACCCCGAAGGCTTGGAAGGCGAATGAGGTGTGTTTTCGAAAACGAAGGTCGTGATACTGCAGCGCCCATTTAACGTGTTCTTCGTAGGTGACTTTGCGTTCGCGGTCAACTTCAAATCCGCCGTACCCGTAGGGAAATAGCATGGGGAATGCACCAAGTAAATGGTTTGGGTTGGTTGCCCCTCCATCAAATCGTTCGTGGTTTTTCGTCGACGCGAGCGTATTCGTTGACAAATGCTTGGCCTTTTCGAACACCGTAATCCTGCGCATAGATGTCGGGAACAACGTTCTCTACCGCATGGGAGAATAGCGTGTCATCTGGAATATTGTCGCCTCCGATGTCCAGAACACCGTGAGTTTGTAGAGGAAATACGGGTGGTCCTATTTTAGTCAATATCCGATTTTGTTGTCTATTCGCTAATCCATACCATCTTCACTTGCACCTATGAGTGGTCTAAGATTGAGCGCTCGTGACCGGAAATCATGTCCTTACTTGTAAATGGTTCGTCAGGAGAATGATCGTCGAGAGGGTCCCCATCTTGGGTGTCGATCTCTGTCGGATCTGAGAAACCTTCGTCGTTTGCAGACCCTTCTTCGCCGTCCGTATCAGGATTAGGTACATAGCCGGCGTGTTCCCGACCGACTGCGTCGACATCTGACGAGAGACTTATATTTTCCAGAATTTCGGTCGGAATGTCGTCTTCTGGTAACGCTTCGAAGATTTTCTTCTGAAATGGTGACATTGGCGTATAGAGTGTTGTTGGTCTTGAGCCACATAATGGCTTCAAACACGCGTTGTCGACGCACGCGCAACATACCGGGCATATGTTTCAATGCGGTCCGGTTGACGCCTATGAATGTTACTCCAATCACAGCAGCTAGCAACAAAGATGGGCGAGGAACTAGTTGTCCCGCCACCATATGTGCTATCTCCGTCGTTGGTAGCCTGAATGTCGAGACATTCCCCCTCAACTTTTCGGTCGTGAACGGGAGTGTGGCGTCGGCTTCATAGTCACCCCGTGGCCTGACATTTTTGGGGTAAATCTTGAAAATATACGCGACCGGGAAATAAAGGGATACGAGGAGTTGTTCAGGTAAGGTAAGGATAGAGAGCTGGAAGGGTATGTCGCCAACCCACATGTTGTTTGCGAGTGAAAGCTTGGGCATGTTGCATTTGACGAGTTCACGGACACACGTGTCGCAAACGGGGTTGAGGCCATTGATGTCGACAGTAGAGTGGAATAATGCACCATCCACGAGGACATGAGATGGGTGACCGTGTGTGGGTTTGAGTACATGACGGTTGGGGATATCGGTAAGAGCAAGAATCTGTATGTTTTTTGCAAATAGCCGACGGGCACACACAACACAGGTCTTCTTCTGTAGCGTCTGGTTATTGGTGCGATCAATAAATCTGTGCAAATCATGAGGTTCATTGTTATTTGTTTGTTACGAGTCATACTTGGTGATACAGCGCTCGATTGTCCCTTCGTCCTGGGTTCTAAGAAATGGACCTTCGATTAGATCGTCGACTGTTTGTATCTTGTGTTGTTGAGATGGCCCAGGCTGACTTGTCGTTGGTCGCAAGACTCTTGCTTTTTTTGCTTCTCGTGACTCTCCAGCCTTTTGGGTGACCGCTTTACGCTTTGACCCTACTCGAGCGGTAAACGTGTCGTATATCGTCTTCTGAGTTTCAGGGTCTAGGGTGCCTAGGAAGGACAACAGGTTTTTCCATGTCCGCTTGGCTCGGTACGGAACCCGGCATATACTATCAAGAAGTGCGAGCGCCTGAGGAAGCGTATGCGTGCGAAGAACCGCGTCCATGTAGTGCGGTGGCCGCGGCGGACTTGATAGGTTGACAGAAAACAGGTATGGTCGTAATATATAGGAATTGGATCCGATCTGGCGAACGCCATCTCGAAATAGCGCGGAGAACTTGATAAGGTTCTCAGCAATCGTGCTTTATAAGCCTTGGACAGTTGTACTCGCCTTCAATGGCATTCCTTCTGGACCCCGTCGACTGGCTTCGCAAACTTGCTCGCCCTCCAAGAGAGAGACGCTATACTAGGCATATCCCAGACTTTAACTCCGGATTCCCCTTTGAAACCTGTGCATCTTGTGTCCGCGATGTACAACCATGGTCGTCGTTTCATCGGCAATGCTCGGTATCAGATCGACTTCTATGCACCCGATTTCTCCCCCCATGTTATGTTGAATACATTCCTATCTGGGTCGGGTGTCGATGCGACTTCGGAGGTCTTCGGCTGTGTGCTCATTGGAGCGGTCTCCAGTCTACCGCTGAACCCAATATTCGGACAGAGCCTGCGGATCCATCTCGTTAAACCGAATTGGGCAGACTATGGGTGGACGGGGAACGAGTTCGAAGATGTGTGGTTGTCTCAACTGCATGTACTGAAGAATGTAGCGAAGGTCGATCGAGAGCGGCTGGGTAATAGGGCGTTGGTGAGTGCATAGGGCGTAACAGACGACTGAGACTGACAGAATCATGGTTATCGCCAGCGAATGATATTCCACGACTGGATAGACTCTGACCGTGTCGTGTTAGACGTCGATGGAACTGCAGTGTCAACGGAGTTCCACGTACCCTTGAATGCTTGGTCCTATCATGTCTTCTTCCCACATGAGTCCAATACCGCTCTCCCATTAGCAAACGGGGACACAGTAGTGGTGGAATGTAACTTGCGTCGTTACGACATTTCTGACCCGAACTCTAACATCGACAATGAGCGGGTACGTTGGAAATGTTTGCTCCCAGTAATACTAATAGGAAGTGGCAGAGCTACTCAGTCAATGCTCTCAAGATCAAAGTTGTGATCCCTCATAAGTGTAACGAGAACCAGGTCCGGCTTGTTTACTTGGCCGTCCAAGCATGCTTATCGAATGAAAGATGAATCCTGGTAGTCGTGTCATTAGTATATCGTAGGTAGGTAACAACAGAACACGTGCATCTTTGCAACAACGGCGTTGAGGGATGAAAGCGGTCCACAGGCCGTGACTGATTGTGACTCGCCCATAACGGTTGTTGTTCGCCGGATAATCGGACTTCGTCCGTTCATCGGGTTTCGCACGATCACGCGTGAGGTGTCACCCCTTGTGACCACCATTCTTTCACTTGTATATAGGCGAATCCGCCCCATTCTATCGTTTCCTCATCGTCGGAACCATTCGAATCCTAGCAGCCATGTCAACTGAACAAGGTGTTCCTGACTTCACTCGGAAGGTCGTAACAGACCTCAATCGCGAGGTCGAAAAGTATCGCAAGGTACCGACTCACAGTCATGCGTTAGTAGGCTCTGACCTTTTAAGACTCCGGTCAAATCTTTCATTGGAATGCTCTTTCCTACTGGACACGAGCAACCCTTGCTAGTCCGTGTCCCTCTCAAAGTCGATGTTGATACTCCTCCCACTTCAACGCGGGACTTGAACGTCTCTATGTGGGTTCCTCGCGCTTCTGGGATGCATGCCACCGTCCTAGAACGAGTCAATTCTTCTGCGATGATTCGGACTTGGCCCTTTGACGACCCCGATCCTCTCGAGTACGCCTACGTCGTATATTGCCTCCCTCAAACCATCGAGAACGCGCTGTCTGATTCCACTGTCCAACATGAGAACAAGTCAGTGGAGTTCCTTATTCCTAACCTCGGCCGACCTTGGTTCGGGAATATCCTGGTCGTCCGAACCGCGACCAATGATAGTGCCAAGCCTGATTCGGACGGTATCGGCGATGTTTCGCGTCTCGATTTGCTGACAATCAAGGCTATCTTGAAATAGTAAGCCCTTGTTCTGAATATATTGCGTGAATCTCACAGCTTTCCCAGTCTTCTCCGTGGGCATCTCATTGGAAAGGATGTTTTAGCTTTGTAGCGTATATAAACGTACAACACACAATCCGATCGACTGTTCCTATTCGATGTCGCGAGACCACCTCACCAGCATTTTCTTCGAATCAGAACATCTGGTTAAACGGACCTTACAGGCTTGTCCATGGCCTCGGTTCATCCGTCTAGCGCAATGCACTCGACTTACTATGCGGGTCGCAAAGCAAGTAACCCGCGAACGCATGCTCCAACGCCTGGGGCCTTTCTTCTCCGGTGGTTTAGCAAGTAATAGGTCCAGCGATCGATCTCTGGTCGATATCTTTCTGGTCATCTTAGAGGAAACGGAGTCTGTCGTGATGGGCGCCGTCCCTCTGTCGTTGTTCACTTTCTCTGCCGACGAGGACAAAAGGCTCTCTATCACTTGCTTGGATATGGTCTGCCCACAGATGGCCGTCAATCGGTGGCGCACCTTTTTCGAAGTCATTCTAGGTTTTGAATCGTATGTATCGCTGGGTTGTCACCCAAAGGCATGCTGATAGTTCTTATAGGGTACCACACACGGGTCAGCGCTCTGATTATACGAACCACGTCGCTCAAGGCATGACATTCACGCATCGACAACATGTATGTGCTCCTTTTGAATAGCGAATAAGATTACTAAATGCTATGGTCTTGTCCTTTTCCTTTTCTTTAGAGGTTTATGATTCACCTTTACGCTTCACAATCTCATAGCGTGTTGCCGGTCGTATTCTCCGCTCGCTTCACTTCCAAAATGAATTTCATCTGCGGGTACTACGCCGTCTGTCCTTACCCTCGCCTAACTTCGGATCGCCTGGCTTTGCCCGGGTGGAAACACCCCAGTTCTTGGACATGGTATATCAACTTCATGTCAAGCAATTCAGGTCCCCTCTTCCCGTGGATCAAATTACTTCCCGGAAGCTTCCGACTTCGTCGCCCCTGCGGTCGCGAATGTCCTCGCCTCTCCCGCCAATGGGGAGACTTCAAAGGGGTACGCGTATTTAATTTCGGGGGTAGTACTGAAGCAGAACCGCGTTTGCTGAAGAGTCGGATCGATTTTGATTGGATTCTGGCTGGTGCCTGCAACAACAAGCACTGCGACACGAGGGACTAAACTCTGTCGCAGAATATAATCGGGTTTTTGTTCTATTCGAAATATTATATTGGTTGTGGTGCCTTATCAAATCACCATATCCGACCGTATTACTCAGCAATGATTGCATCAAATAGAGGCGAGTGACTTTGGACATCACGACTGTGTACCTTTGTGACCGTTTGCTGGCCTGTCACAATCTAGAGGTTCTTTCTTGTCTTTTGACCACGAGTTCGGTTCTTCAGTCGGCTTTTGTCGGTGGGACAACGAGTCGCGAATTCAGGTCGACGGCCGAAGATGTTGTGGGCCTTCTGGGCTGTACTTGACAATTCAGACGACACTTCTAAGAAGGATAACGATTTGACGCTGCCGAGGCGCGATGGCGTCGCACGAAGGGCAGTGTCGTCTCTGAGCCGCGGGGTTCGTTCCAAGATACCCAAAAAGAAGAAGAAGGCCCGAGCAAAGGTCGACCCAGGACCCGCGTGGGAGGACTTGCTCGACGATCAACAGCTCGATCTGCTCGTGCCCGTTCAATAGAGGGGACATCTTAGATCTGGCGAGCGACCAAGGTTTGCCTTTCCTCTTTTAGCATGACATATGGTTCAGTGAGTATTTTTCGCGCTTTTTAACAGCGACAGCAGTTCAAAAGGGCCGGTCGACGAATTCAGTGTGCTCTTCTATCGTTTCTGTACCCTCGTCTTCTTCGCAGGGGTTCATATCGACACAAGTTATGGCAACCGACTCGGATAACGCGCAGCAAGTCGATATATTCCGTATCGACGCCCAGTCTATACCCGTCAAGGAGGCGATATCTGAACCGCCTCATATCGCTCCGTCGCAGTTACCGTTCTTGACGAGTCCTCCAAGTATCGGTCCACGTAAGTCGAGCGAGTTTCAAGCCTATATGTAGTTTTTGTCTAACCTCTTAGCAGGCGACTTCGAAGTCGAGCTAGCTCCACAGCAACCAGCTGCGACGTCAACGAAGGCTCCACAAGGCACTAGTAGCATCGAATTGGCAGCCAAAAAGCCTTCCCCCGCCATGACCTATCGCTCCTGTTCCCCTGAATCGGCCAATCGAGTGCTTTCTGCTGTAGAGCTCGACTATATGCTGCGTACAGTCATTGACCTTGACGAGCCACCACGCGCGCTACAGACGGCGTATTTGAATGCCCATGAACCCGAAGACGGACAAGGGACTTCCTCAGGTTCGTTGCCTCGCTCGTTGAATCTTGCGTTACATCTGAATTCGCGTTCCTCTAGCATCGATGCATTCCAGTGGAAATTCAGTGTCGACGGAGCTAGTGAGCCCGACTTCGATATACCGCCCAAAGCGAACGACTCCTGTGGTCTGTCGTATCACAGTCGGTAGCGGGATTGATAATCACGGGCGCTTCCCTCTCGAAATCTATCTCAACATATTCGAACATTTCGATCTTGCCCAGCTCGTTCGCATGACCTCAATGGGTTCCCGATACATTCATCATGTGGTGAAGTTCTACCTGCGCACGCGTTATCGGAACCTACTCGCCCATTTCTTCGGTCTCCATGCATACGACATTGCTGCGATTATAACGACCTATCATGGGGGTGTCACTGGAGAGTCTGCGCGTTGGTTGACAATCTCCCGTTTTGACCCTGTGCGGTTCTTTTATCTGCAGGCGTTGACAATCGGGGTCGGTGCTGGGGCTATGGCAGACTTGGAACCGAAGTTGAATGCGGCTGGGTTGGTTCGATATCGTGAATTCAAGCCAATCACGCCAAGCGTCTATTCCGTCCCAGGCTTGTGTTATGGTGTCCGCTTACCCCGAAGGCTCTTACTGGGATTCTCGCATCATCGAATTCAGCAATAAACCCCCTGTTCAGAACAACAAGAA